AAGAAGAATTAAAGACTTTTGTGCCCTCTATGTATGGAAAATTTAGAATCAAAATCTGAATTAATGAGCTTTAAAAAGGCATTAGAAAATATTGAAGAAACTCAAAGGTAAAAGAAAGAATATGTCGAGAATGTTTTAGTTTTTAACATCAAATAACTTGAAGAACTCTAAAACGCTCTTCGTTAGTTGAAATCTAATATTGTTCAGTAATTGGATTAATTGATAGTAAATGCAAATGAATGGATTAAACAAATTTAGATAAAGGGAGACTCAAACTTTATATATAGTTTCTTTGATGAATTAGAAAAATTAATTGATAAAACAAAACTTGATTTATCAAATTAGAACTTTATAGTTGATCAAATTAATTAAATTAATTAATAGTAGAATCAAAAGATCTTTAAATAATTGAAATAATTTAAATCTTTTTAAGAAACTAAGATATGTGTAGAAATTTTAATAAGTTTAAAAAATGCCAATTTAATAAAAGAGAAGGAAATATTGATTAAAGAAATTTAAGAAATTAATAGTAAGAAATAAAAGGAAACGAACTAAGTAATATATTTAATAGAATTAATAGGAATAATAGTTAATGATCGATAAGCAAGTTAAACTTAAATTAATTGATAATTCTAATTAATAGAGTGGTTATTGTTATGCAATAGTATTTGATAAAACTGGATCAATCATGATTTCATGTAATAATGAGGAGATTAAAATTTGGAATTTTGAATAAGGAAGATTTAAATTAATTAATAAATATTAAAATCATAAAGATAGAGTTACATGTTTGGTATATAGCAAATTGAGAAATAACTTTATATCTGGTTCTTATGATAAGACTATCATCTGTTGGCAATAAATTAATTAAAAAGAGTGGAAGTATTCATAGCCATTCTAATAACACAGTGGAACTCTTCATTGTTTGATGTTAAATAAATAGGAGGATCAACTTATTTCAGGAGGTTAGGATGATTCAATAAAAGTTTGGAATGTAGATTTTATAAAAAATGAACTGAATTTTCAGTACTCATTAGATAAACATAGTAATAGTGTATTTTCATTCTGTTTTAATTCATCTGAAACTGTAATGGTATCATGCGGATATTCTGATTTTGTCATATGGGAGAAAGGAATTTAAGGAAACTGGGAATTTTAATATAAACAAGATGTTTCATATTTTGGATATAAATTACATTTAATTAATGATTAAAAATTTCTTTGGGTAACTTTGAATAAGTATATTTTGGTGTTTGAGACATAGAATGGAGTCTTTTAAGAAAATATTAAGAAAACTATCAAATTGACTAAGAATAATGAATGTTATGATGATCTATATTTCCCTATTATTCAAAATAAAGATAAAAATATAATATTGGTAAGACATAAACATTATATCTATCTAATAAGAGAAGAAAATCATGGCAAATTTAATCTTATGGCATCATTAAATTGTTAAAATCATGAGATTTATGGAACTATGACCAATAATGGATAGTATTTAGTATTTTGGGATAAGAAATATGAAAATTATTAATCATATGAGATATTAAATAAATGAATTATATATCTATAAAGAATATAAATTTTGATTTTACCAAAAAAACAAATTGGTAATCATTAAATTCTTCCCATTTAAAGATATATGCTGGAAAATTTCATTTCATTTCCAAAAGTATGGATATATTAGAGATTATATTTTCTAATTAATTCTAGATTATTTTATGTTTGAAGTAAAAATTAATTAATGTAAATCTAAATAAAATAATGGAATAGTCAGGATTTTTATTATAGGTTAGCGTTTTTGTAAATTTCCAACAAAAATGAAAATTTATTTAACTTTACATCAATTAACAAAGTTAAGAAAGGAAGTAGTAATAATTGACAAATAATCCATAACGGAAGCTATGAATATAAATAAATCTTGAAAGCCATCGATTTTGATTAAACAATAATAAATTAGGAAAAATATACACTTCTTGACTAATTATTGGGATTAAGAAAAAGAAATAATATAAATAGAAATTATAAATAAGTTTGTAATTATTTTGAGGTACAATTAATATAATCTTTAAAAGATTAATTGCCTAATTATTAAAAATGCTTAATTACAAATTACATTTGCTAATTATTAGATATAAATTAGGATTACATTTAGGCCAAATTGAAACCTTAAGAGTAACTTCATAGGAAATGATACAAATTGATTAAGTTTACTTTTTATTTTTTAAATTAATATTTTTATTGAACCTGTTCTATTTAGTTAAAAAAGCCCTTTCTCTTTTTAATAAAATCTTAAGGGAAAAAAATAACTAAAATTATTAATCATGAAAACTCATCCAAATAGAAATTTAGAAACTTAAAATTAGTATTTAAGTTACTAATTAATTGTCCAAAAAAGTTCTTTAGGTATCTCTGAATATAATATCTCAATAACAATTCTTAATCTAAGTATCACCAACTCATCATCTTCAAAAGGTTTAAGAAATTTGATATATTAATAGCATATTTAAAATAAAAATATGATGAGATTAATTAATGATCAACTAAATTTTTTTAAACTCATCCACATTTTATACCTCTTTGTTTAATTTAACAACTATCTGATTTAATAATGTCTTCCAATTTACATAAATAATCCATATAGGAAGCGGATCGTTTCTAATCTCAGTTGAGTTTGAAAAACCTGTTGAATTTGTGTAAATGTTAGTCAAAACTCAACATAATCCCAGAAATAAATTCTGCAAATATATCTGTCTTATAAGCTACCCAAAAATTAATTAGTCACAATGAGTATTAATAGCGGATTTTCCTAATTCTTAAAGAAGAAATATAAAGATAAATATCAATAAATTATTCGTTGTATTTGATTCTCAATCAATATAACAAGTTTAATCTGAATCTTCTGAAGTAGAGCCTAATTTAGCTGAAGTTCAGGCCATCCATTTAATAAAGAGTGTAAAAATTATTACAAGTTTGGAATTAGTTCCCAATAAAAAAACTACATATTATGCTATTTTTTGTTTTAACATAATTTCATTAGATAATTTATTCATCTATTTCAACTTTTTCTAAATATAACTTCAAGGACTAGAAGAGTTTTAAGTTTCCCTTCCAGTAACATCATTTTAGTTTTTTCAATAAATGTTTGTATCTTCTTTCACATATTACCATGTGATTTGAATGAAAAGAAAATATGTTTTCTTTCAAATAATACTTTAATGATTTTCTTCTCTGGTTGATATGATTTTAAATGCTTTTTAATCTAAAAATTTGGTTATTGTACTCATTAAAAGAGTCAAAGAGAAGGATAGTATTCAAAATATATATCAAATTGATGAGAGAAGATTTCAGGCTAAATTTTAGTAAATGAATTATATACTTTTTTCTCCTTTAGATTTGTCAAATAATTCAGGGCTGATTTTTATTAAAAATAAGTTTGTGAAAATGTAATGTTTTCATTAAAAATCACCATACTCTATCATCCTATCAACTATTAACTAGAAATTTAATCAAGGCAATTTAAATACCCCAAGAATAAAATGATAAACAGGCATACTGATATTTATTTTCTTTTTTTTTATGTAGATAAGTATATTCTTCTGTCAAATAGTAGACCTGAAATATTATAGCCAAATATTAAAATTAAAAAAGAATTATAAATTTATTAGCAATAATTAAAAAGTAAAATTACACATTCTTATATGGTGTTGAAGTTATGATAATCATCTTCTATTAAAAAAAAATACATACATAACTTATGCATTTATTGTCTTAAATTAAGAATTTTGAAAAAAAATAGATTTACAGTAATGTTTGTATTTGATGATGATTATGATTAAGAAGAAATTCTATGATTAATGTAAAAACCTATTCTTTAGTTGTTTTAATTTAGGGAATCAATTACCAACAAATATTTCAATGATTCTAAGATCACTCTATCGCTCAGGTAACTTGTTAATAAATCCTGTTTTTATTATCCCTGTTTACGATTGATCATGAGTTCTTCCAGATATTCTCTTGGCTCATAATTGATATTTTTGTCCATCCTACATTCAGTCATTCTTTTAATCCTCCCCTCTATATCAGATATTACTGTTCTTGTCTTAAGTTTTCCCAGAAAGAGCATCTAAAAAAAAAACGATCATCTAGATCCTTGGTATAACTGGTCCTCATAAGTACTCTCAAAGTGCCCTTCTATCCGCGAGGCTCCTAGACAAGAGATGTGCTTTATAAGGTCTTGTCTAGGTCCCCTTTTAGGGAATTTCAGACTATATCTTATGGACAGATTATTTTATTTTTTAAAAAATATTATGAAGATATAGTAATGAAATGAATTATATATTTATTTTTCTTTTGATTGAATTAACTTCTCAATCTCGAATTGATAGCATCTTAAATACTTTAAAAGAATTCTATTATCAAAAATAAAATAGTTCAAGTATACTTTTGTACTTACTTTAGTTGAGAAAATCTACTTACTGCATATTCATTATTTTTTCGATTATTTATTTTGATATTCATCAAAGTTTATAGATTTCATGATCTTTCTTATATTTTCTGTTATTATTATTTCAATTATCTAGAATTAGTAATCTCTTTGTGAATTTATATTTATAATAATTCCTAATTCTTATTGTACACCTGAAGATATTTTATGACTATCCCTTACTTTTAATTCTGTATTTATATTAAAAAAATTAACCTCCATTTTTATCAAATTTCAATTAAGCTAAAATTTTAGCATTCCTTGGATTTCATTATCAAATTACAAAAAATATTTTATATGACTATCAATAAAAAATGTATTACAATCAAAATTATTTACATAGGTAACTAGAAAATATGCATTTATCTTAAGCCTAACATTTTTAAAGTCACATTAGAGTTATTTATTGTATAATCTTTCTAAATGTATAAATTATAAATAATTCAATATATATTCAATTTTATTTCATCTTCATACACTTTACATACTAATTGTAAATTAAATTTTGTGGTTTTGAACAAATAATTTATATATTTAATGCAAAAGTTATGCTTAGTTTAGTTCCATATTAGCTTTTAATAATATTGGGAGGAGCTAAAATTTCTTATTATCCTTCTCTAAATCTATATATTATTTTTGTCAGGAAATAAATTCTTTATTCAAGGTTGAAGAGTGATATTAAAGCAAAAATTTGATAAATATTGATTTAAAGATATGAAGAACATTAATAATGAAACATTTCCATTAAAAAAATTTCACTAAATATTTACGATTAATGTTAAGGAATTAAAATCTTTGAAAAGATGATAGTGCAATTATGGCCTTAAATTTTTGGCTTAAAACTTTTAAACAGTTACAATTTAAGACAATCCAAAAGAGGAGAGTAGTTAAATAGAATGATTGAATTTAAATTATTTGTTGTACCTTTTATTATCATATTATTATCAAAATCCTTTCTTTTATATCTAATTTTACAAATTCAGAAGAATAACCATGAAAATATTTTTATTAATACATACTCTTATAAAACTTATAATTATTATTGATGTATTTGTTATTCAGTGTCTAAAACCTTTATATGTTAAAGTTGATTTGAATTAATTTTATTCATTAGCTAGTGAAGTTCCAAACAACTCCTATAGTTTATCATTTTATGTTTGAAAATTTATTATGTATTTATTCTTTTAGTTCTAATGGTCAAGTTCATCAATTCTATTCCTCAACAACATTATTTACAGGTAAAACTTTCATTTTGTTTGCTTAAGATTACTTAAATCAACAAAAAATTTCTTGAATGTGTGTTTTTCCAATCAAATTTATGGTGTTTTATTCTTGATATGCTCAAAATCAGAGATCAAAATTTAAACTCATTTAAAATGAATAAATTTTTAACTGATCCATTTTAATGATTGTTTCTTTTAAAATAATATTGTTGTTGGTAGATTGGAAGAATTTGAAAAATCAATTTATTTATCTAAGCTAAATGTAAAGTTGCCAATAAATAAATGTTCTAATTTTGAAAATATTGTTGGCCAATCGAAATGAGCATCAATATAATTTTGGAAAATAGAATTTGTTCATAATGTAATGATAATTATTTTTATTTATTCATTAAATATAATGTAAAATCATCATGTCATATTACTCGAGTTATATGTATTAATACTTATAATTAAATAAATCTTATTTAGTCATTACTATTAAAAATTCTTTTTTACTTTAAAGACTTCTAAAAATAATTAATTACTGTTCCTTCCATAAATTCATAAACTAAGTTATTAAATTTGGCAAAAATAATGAAATGCAAAAAAGAGAATTAGTGTTTTTTCATCACATCCAAATCTGACTGCTCAATAATTGTAGAAAAGTAAGTAAAAAGAGAAGAAATTCATTTATGTTGTGAATTTATGATGAATTTTGACTAAAATATTGAAATCAAATGTATATACCTTTTATAAGAGAAAATAGAAAAGAAAATTTATGAAAATAATGAAAAAAAATAATAATTTTTAGGTTCAAAAATACAGGATGTAGAGTCAATAAATGATGATCTTAATTAGTTAAAAAATCAAAGTTGTTTGCTATTTATGATTAGATTTTAGGAGATCTAAAAAATTGGATAGATTATTTAATTAAAGAATTATAAATTAATAAAATATATATGGTCTTATCTGTGAAGTATATAAACTATTAAATTCTAATAGTCATGATAGAGAATTGATGTAATTTATAGATGAAATTATTTATTAAAATAATGATTGTGTTTAAAGAATCAATTAGCAAATTAAAGATTTCATTTTTTAAAATAACAAAAATTCCTGTGACTGCAATGTAATTAACTCAAATGAGTAATGAGATTAAATAAAGTCAAGATTTTTATACATTAGCATTTAATGTAACTGTGTAGATTAAGATTTCAGGTTATGGAAAGATATAAAATATGGAGCTTTAATAATTGAGAATTAAAGGAAAAATAAAAATTATCATTTCATAAGTCAACAATAAGTTGTTTATTATTTATTTAGTAAATGATCTGATAATTTTATTTCTGGATAGTATGATAGCACAATTAGAATTTCGAAAAAGTTTAAAGGGTAATAATGGAAAAGTCTATCTTCAAATGATGATAATAATCGTATATTTTGTTTAATACTTTCAAAAAATTCTAATATCTGGCAGTTAAGATCATTTAATTAATTTATGGGATATCGATTTTGAATTTAATTGCTTAAATTTATGTTATCCTTTAATTAAACATACAAATTATGTTTCTAGTTTATTATTAAATTAATCTGAGAATTTTAGTTTCATGGTGAAATGATTAATAAATAATTGTGCGGATGAAAACATCAAATAATTAATGGGTATTTAAATAAATTTTTATAGTAAAGATTTAACTTGTAATTTTCAAATTTATAATAATTATACTTAATAAATAATAGAATTTGGTAAAAAAATTTGTTTCATAAGAAAAAATTAATTATATGAATAAGTGAAAATTAAGATGGACAAGATTAGATTGTTTTTTGAATTATCGAATAAGTAGTTTTAAGAATAATCTAAACAATAAATCAAATTAATTTTAAATAAATGTATGATGATCATTATTTCCTATTAAGTTCAATTAAGGAAAGAGGAAAATTCTTTTAAGACATAAATTCAATTTATACATACTCTCTCAACAATCTTCATAATAAATATATAATTTCTAAAAAATTTTGCAATTTTAGAATAATATAAATTAAGGATCTATGACCAATGATGCTTAATTTATGGTGTTATGGGAAAATAAGTTATTCATGTTACTTTATCTATAAAATTAAGAAAAATTAAAATGGATAAGGTTAATAAAGTTGATAATAATATTATTATTCAAAAAATCAACCATAAAATTAATAAAATATGGAATAATCTTACCATCTAATTACATTCCAAAAAATTAATATTAAAAATAACAGTCCTTTGTAAAGTAAAAATATTTATTATAATCTAATTTAAACATTAATCTTCAAATTTTTAAAAGATAAAATATGGTCTCTCGCATTTAAAGGATTAATCGTAAATAGTTAATAAATTTGTTAAACTGAAAATTCAATTAGTTTTATTGAAGTAGAGAAAAAACTATATCTACAACATAAAATTTTAAGATCATTATTAGATTATTTGATTAAAAAATCTTAATAAAAATAATTTCTAATTTACTAATTTTTTTATTAAAGAAAATAATAAGGTTGGATTTTTAATTTATAGGTATTAATTTAATAAGAAATAAAGTATTTGATTTCCAATAAATATGAATATTTGTTAAATTTATATAAATTTTATAGTATTTTATTTATAAATTAAGTAAATAAAGTAATCAAAAGTGAAAAATTGATGATGAAATCTTATAAACCTTTATGTTTATCAATATTTTTGAGATTTCAAATAAAAAATGATGTAATTAGATAAATATTAAGTATATTTAAGCAATTTTTTATTAAAGATGCAGTTTAGCAGTCCTTGACAGATTGCCAACATAATATATGACGGTTTAAAAAAATATGAAGAATATTAATTTTTAATATTATAAAGTATAAAGCTTTACAAATATTGAAAAAAAAATAGTTGTATAATAGTATTGTTATTGTTGCATTTAGTAGTATTAGGTGGCTATAAATAGCACTACTTGCGAGTGCCTTCCAATAATAATAAAAGAATGTTCTCGCATTGCGACCATGTAATATATTCTTAAAAAAGTTTGCTTTTTGTATGAGAAATTATACTACTTAAAATTTTAATCATTACAAGGTTTAATTAATTGAAAATAAATTCTATTAATTTAAATAAACATTTATATGAGCTTTTAATTTGCCTACAATTTATAAAGGATCAACGTTATTCTTTATAGTAATAGGTTTATTAGTAAGCATTGATGAATAGTCTTAGAATTAATTTCTTTCAGTACAAGGTTATAGATGAAAATCACTTTAAATCTTTTGTTCTGAGTATCCGATTCTTTAGTATTTGTAAGTGCCAGAATACCACAAAAACGTAATTATAGAATTTTATCTGAGCAAATCATATCTAGTGGACATACCTCAGAATAGTTACATAAATAAATAATTTAAATGATTATAATTACACTTTTTAAAGCATTGAGTAGAATAACATCCAATTCCACTTTAATTTGGTTGTATACAGATTAGAAATTATAGAATCTACGCAACTTAACATTAAGAAATATATAATTATATTTTCATTGTTCAATACTAAAGTTTAGTCATAGATCTGAAGATCTGGAATGAATGATGTGATAAATGAAATATCATTGTAATATACCAACAAAAAAATTGTCTCTGTTCACTACTAGGCCCCTATGTTCCATTAGAATTAATCTTCAATTAAAACTAATTCAATATTCTGAACTTAAATAGTCTTAGTCAATTTTATTTATTGTATTTTCTGTGCTTAATACTCTTAACATACTTAATTTTAAGTAATTAATTTAAAAAGTTACTCCTTCTTCATACAATATTCTCAAAATAAAATGATCTGACCAATCACTGAATTCTAAATTATTGATGTAATTCATTCTATAATCATCTGAAGATTCTTTTATTTTATAAACATATTATTATCTATATTCTTATACAAAAGCTTCAATTTCAAAAATTTTTTGTTCAATTCAATATATTTAATTATAATTATTATAATCCTAATCTAAATATGCAAATTTTGGGCCATTTTTAACATTCAAATTTTTTTTTGTTCAATTATACATACAGTAAACAAACTAAAATTTATTAGAATAATTTACTTATTAAAACCAGAAAGTGAAATTTGATAAACAATTTTCACATTTCTTATTTATATAATTTGAAAGAGGAGTATTTCTATAATTCCGTTTTATACACACTTAATTCATTTTGCAAATGGTTAAACATTAATGAATAGAATAATACTTCATTTCTAAAATATTTTGACAATTATAAGTTGCAAAATATAAAGAATTTAGATTCAATATATGCATGACTTGCTTATTAGCATATTTTTATGACTTTTGTAAGTTTGTAATTTGAATTTATTATAGTTTTCGTATTTTCCCTTATTAATAACACCAAAACAAATCATAAAGGTTCTAACTTTAACTTAATTCATAGATAAATACCTAATAAAATAACATAAACACTTTTTTAGATTTTAGTTGAATCCTTGATATAATAATGTAATTCTAGATTCACTTTCACCATTCAATTTTTTAGCTTTTCTAATGTTAATGACTCCACTATAATCTATTTTCTAAAGCTTCTATTTTGAAATCAGAAAAATATTACTTAATTTAATCAATTTCCTAATAAATTTAACCAAATTAACTTTCATTTATTTTTGAGGATATTAAGTAATTTTACTAAAATACTTTTCCAAGTAAAGAATAAATTGCCACTTTTAAAACGTGATCAATATTAATTACATTATAATTAATATGCCATTAAATTATCATGAATTTCATTTATTATTATTTAGCTATTCTAATATCTTAAATTATTAAGGCAGGTAATCAGGTTTTTAAAACCTTCTGTTTCATATTTCTGGATCATGATATCACAGGCTTGAAAATGTAAATGTTTTCTCGATTCTCATTACTACCAAAAATGATCAATACGAAATTTTTGCTACAGGTGGAGTTCTTAATGTCTAACAGATGTTAATGCTGCATAAAAGTTAGACAAAAAAAAAGGGACAAGCAAATTACTTCAAACTAAATCAACATGAACCTAATAGGGAATAAAGGCAAAAATTTTAATGTGAATGCATCTCTAAATAGTTAATGCATATGATGCATTTAAGACATGAATTAATACGATTTGATGGCAAGGAGAGGATCCTCAATCAAAATATGATAGGAATACTTTGAAGTTTAATGATAAACAATCAATAGAGCCTATATATAGTAATAGCAATTGGATTTAAACCCTCATTAAAAACTGCAATCACCTCTACTATGTCCTTTACTTCCATTAGGGGATTAGGCTTGATTAAAATGTTCTATAATAATCAGTTATATCTGTATTATATTCTAGAATATTGGTAAAATAGCTTAGTATAAATTATTTCATTTGTTTTAATTTTTTTTTTATTGTTACATTCTAGAAAGCTATCATAAGAGTAGATTTTTTATTATATATTCGGAATGTGTATAATATGTATTTTATAATTTAGAATTTGAAACAAAAATTGCGTTTTGAAAACTTGAGAAGCACGGACGGATGATTTATTTGATTTAAAATTTATTAATAATACGAGATTGGAAAATTTAAATTGAGAGAAAAAGGACTTAATTAAACAAAAGAAAGTAAAAAAATTAATCTGTTATAAGTTGTTTTTTGAACTCTCCTTAAAATAATATATCGTTGTGCTTCAGAATTTATCACATTGTTTTTAGTACAAATATTACAATTACCATAAATTAGAGATTATAATGAAATAAATCATAAACAATTATGGACATATAATTTTTCGAACTTATCTATTTCAATCTAATATAAAAACAAATTTGAATTTTATTTGGTCAATTTAGCTCATGAATTTTGTAACTTAAATTCTTAATATTATTAAAGTTAAAATTATTCTAAGTGCTTCATTTTTAATAATTATATTTCCTTAATAACTTCTATATCTATAATATCTATTACTTCTGGCTCTTTGAAAACCTATTATAAATGTAATACAATCAATGGATAAGGAAGAATATCAACAAAACTTCTAAAATTAAATTTTAAAAGTCTATTTTTTAAATTGAAATTCGGCTCATTAAATATTTCCTTCTAATATATATATAACAATTCTTTTATTTGAAAAAATCCTCTTTTTTTTGAGTGGGTTTAGTTTACTTTGATAATTTGAATCTAATCAATCAATTATAGTTTCTCTGATCAGAAAATAAAAAATAAGTGAACTTGAAGTAATCTTCAAAATCTTTGATAAGCTCATGAAAATCTATATACATAGTTTGAGTTTCAAGATTTTATACATTTTAATTTTTTGAATGACCATTCAACAAATAACTTAAACCCTTTAAATATTCAACTTAAAATAAAATTTATTTTATAAATTTTCCTTTTATAAGATATTTCATTTTAATTCTACATTTGGAATATTATCCAATATTTTAACTTTGGATGAACTGATTAACACACATGGATATAATTCTTATGATATATATGTATCTATTTCCAACTACTAATAATAGTTTGATAGTTACAACTGTTGCTAATGGATTATTCTATCTCGTCCATTTTATGTACTTATGTTCAATGCTTACTTCCATAATTATTATATCATTAGTTGTAAAAGTAAATGAAAATTTTTTATTTTCTACATCTTTATTATGATGAGAGCGCATACTACCACCATCATTTATTAAATATGATCTATTATTATTTAATTTAATACCCATACCCATACCCAACTCCTGCATTTATATAATTATTTTTTTATATAATATCTCTGAATCCAATTCCAACAAAAAACTATGTTCCACTTAGCATTTAGAATGCAAATATTGTCTTCCCAGTTTTTGGAATTGCTTATTCACAAAGACAATAATAGTAACCACTATTACATTCAACAGCTTTTCCACCTTCACTTATTTAAAAATTTGAATGCTTATAAGTATTAGAAAATAGTAAAGCTTTAGTATATTATTAAATCTATATATTTAAGTTATTGCATACTTTTTCTAACTCTAATTTTTATTATTTTTCTTTTTATAACTTTTCTTGATTAATCTAATCAAGTTGTTTTTAAATTGCTTGCAATTCCAATTCCTTTTAATTGATTCTTTTATTTAATTCTGTGATTTCCTTGTTTTCTATATGTAATTAGAATAAAGAATACTTTGATCTTCTAGAGTTTTGATAGTCTATAATTTATCCTCTTCATTTTATTTTTTCAAATTTATTAATTCTTAGGTTTTTTGATCTAATTACACTTTGTATTATTAATTTTCTTTATCCTATATTTATAATTTGGCATTAATCTCATCAATTATCCTTTAATCTATAAGAATAAAATTAAAAATACTCTAAACTTGTTATTCCTTTAAAACTTTTTAATATTCTTAATGTTTCTCATCTAACTACTTGGACATTTGATTAAGTAAATTTGTTTCTATTGATTCATTTTTACAATTACTTTCAATTTCTAGATCTTTGTTGACTTCTGTCAATTTAACTAAATCTAATTCTAATTTTTAAATATTATTATATTTCTTCATTTATTTATTTTTATTACCAAAAGTAATAATATAATCATTTAATACTTCAGATAGATTCTAATATAGTATTAATATTGATTCCTATTTATTACCCTAATTATTAGTTTTATGTTAAATTAGTTATTAAATTTAATCAATCTTATTAGAATGCTATTAAAATAAAGTAATCGTCTAATAAAATAAATTTATTTAACATTAGTATTTTTTAGCCTAATCAATAAATTCTTAGACTTCCTTAATAAATTCGATATAATTTTGATAATTTTCATCTTTTGTCTATATACATTTAGATAATTATTAGATATGTTCTGATAATTATAAAATTATATTTCTTTCAACTAATAAAAAGATTTAAATTTTTAATACTTGGTATTTCTTTGAGTATATCTATTGATTATTAAATATCTAATTAATCATATTATTTTAATGACTCTAAATGATTTTAAATTTCTTTCTGAAAAATTGTATCTTTATTTTTAAAGCTTGTTATTGTTTAATTTTAAGAAACTTTTTCTTTTTCAATTAATTATTTTAAGTCTTTTAATAATTATTCACCTTCTAAAGACTATATTGAAACTCTCTTTATATAATTTAAATCTTTGTTTTTATGTATTGATTAGAATTATTCTGAGATTAATTTATCACTAATTTCATTTAATTTCTAATTATAATTTTTTCTCATTGAAGCAATTTAATTAAATAAATCGCATCTTTTATTTTTACTTTCCTTTTAATATTGTAATAATATATTTTAAGATTCTGAATTGTAATCTATCCATTATTTATTAATATTTTCAATTGTTTAATATTTTATTTATGGATTTTCAGATATACAATCAACACAAACTAATCTATCCTCAATTTTCTTATTCTAAGAATCCATATCAATCATAATGATTTCTTTTTTATGATTCACACAAATTCTATTTAAGCTTGGTGTTTTCTATTAAATTAATAATAAAATTAATTAATTACATATTCATTCTTTGTCTATAATAATGGTTGTAATTCAATAATATTATTTTCCATTAGATCTTAAATTATTTGTTTTGTATTCTTAAATGTATCTAATGTCTAAAAATATTCAGCATTATTAAACGATAATTCAAATTATTTTGTTAATTCATCTATAAAATATTTATCTTCAATTAAATTATTTGATTACTATTAATCGGAAGAATATAATTCTGACAATTATTTGATATCTTCGAAATAATTCAATTGATATTAATTTTCTTGTAAATCTTATTTTTCTTTTTATATTGGAAACATATATTATTATATTTACTTATGAATCTTTTCTAAAGAATCATATATAGATCTTTTAAAATCCATTATTTAATCTAAAATATTTTTATAGTAGTTGAGTCTTGTTTAATTCTCTTTAGTTTTTATTTCTTGTTATTAAGTCTTTATTTATTTTATTCTTTCCTTCGACTACTCAATGGTTGTCACTTTATTATTATTTAATTTATCAACTAGACACTTACCACAAAAGAATTTAATTTATGATTTATCTGACATGTCTAAGTCAACTGCAATAAATTCCAAATTGTGAGTTTTACAAATTGTCTCTTAAGGTTCTTAATTGTAATTTTATTGTAAAATATTCATATTTTTTATTTTATTAATAAGATATTTTCTAAATAAATATAAAAAAAATTGTAATTATTATTTTAAATGCCATCATCTAAATTTCAAATATATTTATTTGATAAAATAATTTTAACAAATTGAATCCAGATGTCAATTAGGTGAATTTCAGAAATTTGAGCTTTCTATAATTTTTGGTTTTTGGTAAATAAATTGATTATTTACTTAAGAATTAGTAGTTTTAACAATTCATCTCTGCTGTGAAATTAAACAAAAGAGCGAATTTAAAAAATTAACTAAATTGCTAAGGTATTTAGCTTTTTAATTATTTAACAGGAACTAAAAAAGTAATTTGCAAAAAATAGCTTTGGGGTATTTAGTTTTGAGAATTACATTTAATATAATCACTCTTTCAACTCCAAAATTAGTAAACTTTCATGAATATTATTGAATTATCAAGATACTGATTCTATATCTACCTTTTTGTAAAGTCTTCCCTTAATATATAAGCACAGACTTATTTGGATCAAAAACATGATAGTGAGATCCGTGCAGTTAAGGTATTTCTGTTCCTTTTTTAATTACTTTGGAAGTTTCTATAAAGATCCATAACCCAAAGATGAGTAACCAAAAATTAACTTCAGGAAAATTTGCATTATCCTCCAAATAACTCGATATCAATTAACTTTAAAAGACTATTCTAAGAGGAAAAGAGTTTGATTAAGCATTATGATGCAATTATCCATTTTTAATATTTATATTCAAGTGACTTAAAATAAAAATGCTTGGTAAATTAGATAAGAAAGTAATTAGGCAAAAAACGATTGAAAAATTGAGATTTTATTTAAATAATTTTAAAAATCATTGTTTTTTATATTAATAAGAATGGCTTAAAACTACCCATATTGAAATAAATACAAATATATAAAAAAATATTGGAATCTATAAATAATAATATTAATTTTAAGTGTTTTTGATTAATTAATTCCAAAATTTTTGTAGGTCTAATGAAAAAGCAATTATTTACTTATTATATTTTATTTATCCCAACCATTTTTATTTTTTTTACTTTAATTAAATGTTTAACCTTTGATAAAAACTAAAATATTGAACTAAAAGAAATTTAATCTTATTTAACCAAAAAAAATAATGAAACAAGGCTTTTCATCAGTAATTTAGATAAGGTAAGACTTAAATAGAAAGAAGTAGGTTAAATAATAAGCCTGAAGATTAAAAAAAAGTATAACATCCTGAGATCAAGAGGATGAGAGGGATGATTTTTATCTGCCATGTAAAAGTTTTTTAAATTAATGCAGATTGCACCAAAAAATATCTCCATAAAATTTTGTTGTTCTTTAATTATTGTTGGATAAATATCAATTAAATAAAAATTGCCAATTATATTCAATTATTGGAGGTAAAATAAACATAATATCAATTAAATCTTGTCGCAACCGATAAAATAGCATCATTTTTCTCAAAAATAGTTGATCTAATCATTTAATCTTATTGATAAATAAATTCTAACACCTTTACTTACAATAATCGATAGATTTTTGCTTTTTATAACTATTCAACACTTAAACTTTATTTTTTGGACCTGCCAACCATTATGTTATTTATTCCAAAGTAAATGAAAATATCTTTATTAGAATATTAAGATGAATTATTTGATTAGATTAAAGTAGAATTCACTGATATATTATTTTTAGGATAAGTAATCATTTATGATATATAAAAAGAAATAATTTATGACTTTAATATTTTATTAATTCTGATTGGTGATGAAGGAATTTAACAACATTAATTATAATAGTAAAATAAATATGCTTTAAATTGTATTACAACACCAAATCCTTAAGTTTCTGCAGCATCTCCTTATTCAAAATCAATTTAGCTGTAGGCAAAAATACTAAAACAGAGGAGGAAATTCAGATATAAATATCTTGAGATTTTCTCATCCAAATTTCATAATGGCTAATAGTTCTCTGAATATCCAACACAACCATATTCTAAAAAAGTTTAACAGTTTTTGATAAATATAAATAATGATTTGATTTTCATTCTATAAAATCTTGTTATTAAATGTTTAACAAAATTAATGGGTGCTGGTGATAGTTTTAATCTACTTTATCTTTAAAACAGATGATTCATATGCTATTATTTTTCCAGATTCTTTATTAGTTTATACATTCACTTGTTCTAATCATAGATTTTAATTGTCAGAACTTAAAATACGGTAAAAATTGCTATATTTAATACATCTTTTTATTCTTAGCCATTCAATGCCCATTGATATACATCATATATTGAACTTGGTTGTTTCCTCTTAAAAATATTTAGTTTGTTAAACGCTATAAATTAACCAGTTTTTTCTGATGTGTTATCAAGTGCTTTTCTAAAAGGTATATTTTTTATTTAAAACTTAAAGAAAAATAAATAGTCTGATGTTATTAACCATAATTTAAGATTTGGCCTAGTAGATCTAGGGATTTAAGATAAGACTAAGATGACTTACGGAGTGGCTAATTAATTGATTTTAACCTCCCTCCCCATTTCTTTTTTATTAATTAAGGGATCATAAATTGAATCTAATCAGAAATAGTGATTAAACTTAATATCTAGTTGATAGATGAGCATCAAACTTAAAGACTTAGATTAATAGTGTTTAATCTATGCTTGCTGTGATAGAATTAGAAATACATACATCTACTATGGGGGTGAGAATTCTTGGGTAAATCCCTAATATTAGATCATGATTGAAAAACATAAACTATATTGGTAATCATAATCATATAAAAAATTCTTTATAACTTACACATTTAATTCTTTTAAAGAAAATAATACAAAAGTAAATTCATCTGTTAAGGATCCTATTAAAAAGCGATTATATAATAATAATAATAAAGACTAAAAAATTCATAACTTAGGAATTCATTTGTGTGATTCTTTGGTAAAAAAGAAGAGATATTAGCAATCGGACGTTGCTTCCCAAAAAATAAGAAATGTACAGTGAGAACTCGCTCAAACCATTCGCCTTTTGACCAAGATAAATCTCCGAAATTCTGATCGTTTTTCAAATTAATAATTAACATTCCGAATGAGTTATGACTTGAACACACTTCATTTCAAAAAGTCATACGTTATGTTTCTCTATTCTTCTGGATTTCCTCCACTCTCGGGTTTTTCTCGTTGCTTCAGGGAGCCAGCCCTGACCACCTTTATTTGGACCATGAATCGACCCGAGTTTGATCTGTATTGGTTATTCGATTCATGCTCCCCTGGTATGATCACTATTGGGATGGAGAGTACTCAACATAAGCAGCTAGATGAACGCACCATCACTGCGGACATCACATGAGAGACCTCATGGACTCACCTAATCACCCTAATTCCTCACCGGCAGGAACCTATTTTATCGACTTGCTGGAGGCCTATAAAATAAAATTTAATTTAATTTTTAAGCGATTATTATTGTTCATATATAATAATTTGGATTGATATTATTTATTCATAAATATTTTAATTGGAATTAATGATATTATTTTTCCAAATAACTTAGTTAAGATATTTGAGTTGAATACAATTATTTATTTTTTATCGAATATGCAAATTGCTAATTAAATTAAATCTAATTTTTTATGTATACAATGCCCTTTTGAAACTGGATATCTTTAGAGTTTTTCAATAAGAGCAAGAAATAATTTGCTCACTTTTATATTTACAATAAAATTCATTTTATTTATTAGTTAAAGATTTTTTTATATCTTTATCTAATATCTTTTAATATTTATATCAGAGTTTAGAAGAATGAGAAGACGAATTCTTCTAATAAATCTAAAGTTTAAATCAATAAGCTTCACTCAAAAGAATCGAATTATTATTCCTGACATAATGACAATAAAGATAATTATTATGTATGGTCTTAAACTTTTGCACATTCTTAAGAATTATTTTAAAGAAATTTTATACAGACTTATTTTATTTTCCTTTATAATTAATTAGAGATAATAAAGAAGAAAAATTTGGTTCCTTTGAATTAACTATTCTTCTATTTGCTGAAATATAAGCTCAACCTGGAAATTTAGTTTATAAGATTAAAATATAAGAATGAAAGATTCGAGTTAACTGAATGATATTAGATATAAAAGTATAGCACAAGATTATATATGATCTTAGAGTTTAAGATGTTCCAGGCAATGATGATTAGATTTTGTGAAAAGCTATTATAGAAACTTAAGCCTTGTTTTAGATAAGTGAAAGATTTTTGTTAATAGTAATATTTACTCAATCAAAACTTGGATGGCTAGGAACAGTGAAGTCGAGTAGTTTTATTTCATGATTTTGAATCAAATTTTTGTGTTTAAAAAAAAATTATAAAACACTAATAATTGGAAATAACTCTTTATTTTGAATTAGTATCAGAATACAGAATATTGTTAAGAGAGTTCTTTTGCTCAAAAAACTATTTTTTGTATTAATTTTGTATAAATTAAAATATAGTTTTAGAAATATGTTTAAGAATTAGTATAATTATAGGTTAAAAATAATGTTTACTTTTATTGCATTTGCATATAATATGATAGATTGGTTCTAAGATTCATTTCGAAATAAATCAAACTTAAATTAGCAAGACAAAATACTTATGAACAGCAAAGATAGTAAATAGATAATTTGACAATAAGAAACAATATATATCTAATGGGAATATCAAATGAAGTATGAGTTGGGTAACTTAATTAATCTTTTGATCCCAAACTGCTTCTATCATTATACTAAAGTAAATCTATTCAAAGTTCCCTTGATAAACATTAAGATCAAAATGTAAATTCTCCATATTCATCAACTCATTATACATTCTCTCATCATACTACTCTTTAGGTAACAGTTTGCAAATTTAAAAATAGTATGAGGTAAGTTTCATTTTCTAATATAATCCTTATTCATTTTCCCATCTTGATCTAGTGTTTTTGTAAATAAATTCCCTGAGAATGTCCAATAGAATTTGTCGATTAATATAGCTCCTTTCCTGAAAGTCAGCTTCCGCGAGGCCGATTTTTTCTTCTATGTATCTATATGAATTCACTCTTAGTATCTACCATACTGTATTTAAGAACTTGTATACAATATGATGTTAATTCAAGCAATATTATATCAAGAATTTCAAAATCTTTAATTGTTAATATGCTCAAATGATCCCAATTTAATTTTATATGTAAAAAAAAAATACATAAATCGCTATATAATTCTTAAATAAAATAGCATATCATAATTAATTGATATTTTAGAATACTTAATAAAAATTTAAAATTAAATTGAAACAATGTGGTGTTGGAATTTTGAATAATACTTGGAAAATTAAAAAAAAATTTTGTGGGCTAATATGAAGAGTTAGAATTTTCACTAAATATGAAAGATGTAACAATCATATAATCAATTGAAGACAAAACAATTAAGATGAGAGTAGCTTCGAGTCAAAATACTGGTGGAAATGGAGAGAGATATTTTGAAATGAAGGACAAAGCAATTTAAGTTGTTGTTGAAAAATATAATTCAGACTTATTGGTTCAAGATATGTAAATAAAACTATTAGCTTTTAAAATAACAAAAAATAGATATTAACAATTTAAAAAAGTTCAACAAATTAAGAATGAAGATTTAGGAACTAAAACATGTTTAATTGATCACTGAAAAATAAATTTATCATTTATAAAATTTTAAGTAAATTAGTTGTAATTAATTATGAAAAAATAATAGAAAAATATCTAATTTATTACATTTTAAAGACCAATGATGGTTAGCTACTTTTTTTAAATGAGTCCAAAAAATTTACTTTTTCAATTAAAAATACAATACTATTAGGACAGAAATTACGAGCTTCATTATTTTTAATCAATATCATTTGAAATATCTATTTTACTCATTGTAAAATAATAATATCGAATTTATTTCTTAAAAATAGTTGAAATTCATTATTATAAAACCTACTATTTTGTATTAATTAAAAATTTTGTGTGTTTATTTCAAAAGTATAATATTTTAATAATTTGGACGTTTAGAATCAAGAATTTCAAGCCAGATAAAGAAATGACATAATTCATGTATGATTTAATATTGATTAATCATTCCTTCATTCGCTACTATATATCCTATATTTAGTTTCTTTTATAAGATTAAAACTTAAAATTTTGTTCATTTGATTCATCTTAATTATAAGCAATTCTATTTTCCTTATTTATATCAGTAAGATAGACCTTTTGTATATCAACAATTTAAGGATTTCAATTAGGAGATTCTTCTATAATTGGATCTATCTAAGGCACTAAAGCAACAATCTAAATAGGAAAATCAATTGATGGATCCTCTTTACCACAACAGGAATCAGGTAAAATATAAAATTATTTTACAATCTAAATTAACCTTAATCTATAATGAATAAACTGAATTCACTAAACGGCATTTAAGGATGGTTATGTTTCTTAAGGTGATTTATTATTTTGCAAAATAAACTGTACATTCTTTTTATCCTTGCTTTTTGATGGAACTCCTTTAATCTATTTATATGCAAAAATTTCATTTTAGAATTTTTATCGGCCTTAATCATCAGTTAATGTCAAAGTATTCAATAAAAGTATAGAAATGGAATTCCTTGTTCATCTAAGCTTGAATTATAAATGTTAATTTATAAATAAGCTACATCTCCTGAAGATAATTAAGTTTATCAATACTACAATTGACATGACAAGGCTATAAATAGAATTTATTTATTACTCCATCACTTGGAAAACAACAATCCTGAGAATGAACCAACATTTGACCATTCAAAGGTTTTTTATTTTATCGTATTGGTTCTCTTATGATTAATCGTTGTCTGTTAATAATAGAATTATAAGAGGATTTCTTAGATAAAACAGCTAATTTATGCTAAATCCTTTTCATAATATGAACCAAGAAGATAAGAGAAAAGTTAAAATTAAAAAGGAAATACAAATTACCCTAATGGTAATAAAGGACTTTCAAAATTATGTAATTCCAACTTATGTTAATAAATATATGACTTTCCTGTATATGTATAAGTAGTTGTGCTTATAGATGTATTACTTTCTGAATCAGTTGAAGTGCTTGTTGATGTTTCTGTCCATTTACATTTCTCTTAGGCTAAGACTCTCAAATAAACTCCACATCCTGGAAATCCATCCCTAATTATATTTAAATATATATTTCCTACATAATTGTAAAAATCAATTTTACCAAGTATAACTTCACCAGAGAAATAATATGGTTTATCAGTATAAATAAATATATCTCAAAATTAAGAAGCAGATATTCCAGATTTCTTTTTTTTCGAATGGCTAGTCTCACTATTTCCCATTTCATTTTAATTTTCTTCGAAAAATTTATTTTTTATAATTAAAAATTATATTTTAAGGATACTCAACTTCATCACACTTATTATAAAAACAATTTTGATTTAGAGATAAATATTATTAAATTATGATCTGATATAGAGGATATTGGAATTAAAAATAAATTAAAATAATACTTATGGTATGGTTATATAGTAATAAGTTAAAATATCAATAAATAATCTAAATATTATTAATTTGAATTTTATTAAGTAAACTTCGGCTCAAATAGAAAATAGAATTTTTGTAAAACTTTTGACTTTTGGGTATTAATATTTGAATTAAGTCATATTCATTAATTTTCTAATTTTATATTTTAGTATATGTTTTATATATTATGTTTTTTTCCATCAAATACATTCTTGAATAAAGGTTTAAAATGATATGAGAAGCATAAAAAAGATAAAAATTGATTAAAAGAATTAGATGCTGAAAATGATTGCTATCTTGATTATAATATCTGAATTTGAAATAAACTTTATTTAATCTTCTATCAAATAAGAGCTACTAATTAGATAAATAGTAACATTTAAATATATAATTTTAATGTTATTCAATTTAATTCTCTTAAGTTAAATTTAAGAAAACCATCTCATTTGATTTATCTCAAAAGGAAAAATAAATATTGGATTCTGAAAAAATTAATCTTCTTATTCTTTTATATCAAATATTTCATAATTGACTAAGTTGGATTTGATTACTTTTTTGATCATCTCTTCAGATTATAAAAGTAGAAATTTGAATAGAGTAGAGATTTTGCTAAAATCTGAGTATTTAAAATTGAATTTTCAACTTTTTTCTTTAATTTGTCTTTTAAATTATGTATAGAAAGCAGTTGCTTTTTTTCAACAACAAGTTCATTTTTAGATTCTTGAAAAGTTTTCTATGAAATTACTCTTTAGCTAGACATATCAAATTAAAAGGCATTAAAGATGGTCTTTGCAAATATTCATTTAATATTAACTATTATTCTAATATATCATATTGATTTATCATTAGAGATATTAATTTTATTAAACCAATTACATTTTTATTTAGAATTAAATTTAAATATCACTAAGATATATAGAGATTAATGACTATTTAATTTTAGTTAAGTGAGATATATTATTTAATATTAATGATACAAAACTATAATTATCAAAAAAACTCTTAAACTTTATGTATAGAGAAAATATAAGATATTGATGGTGTAACTCCTAATCAGAATCATGATCATATGCTAACCTAAATAAAGTTCTAAGTCAAAAAATCTATAAACAACGAAATGCTATATATGATGGGTGGAAAAATTATTAGGATGTATATACAATAATAATGATTTTAGTGACCAATAAGAGACTTCATAAATAATGACTAATTTAGAACAAATAGAGCATCTTACTTGGTAAGGGGAAAGGAGTCATAGCTTCTAAAAAATAGGAAGGTGGACTGCAGATTGGAATTGGAATTATGAAGGAGTTGGAGGATATTATTCTGAAAATGGTTAGAAATAAGGTTAATGGAAAGAAATGGCATAGAACTTTGGGGAGTATTTATTATTGGAAAAATATAAAAGGAATGCAAAAGTTTATGAAGTAGGAGAATACGAAAATGGAGTTAGAATAGGAACTTGGAATTATGTGTTCGAAAATAAAAGATTGTAAAATATTTTTTGAAAATTAGTGGTGGAGGAGTTTATAAAGAAAATGGGGTAAAAAATAGTAAATGGATTGAATTAAGTGATAATTTTTCAAGGTATAATTGAATATAATTTATACTTATAGTTAGAGTTAAATAACATATAATGGTGAATATTAAGATGGCAAAAAATTTGGTGTATGGACTACTATGTACAGAGGACATGGATATGATGAATTTATATAAATGTAAATATCTATTTTTTATTTGTTAAGAGGCGGAGGATAATTTGATGAAAATTAAAAAAATGGTGAGTGGATAGAATTGAGCAACTTTTTTAGCAAGTACTATTTTGAATTCAATAATATTTATAGTCTTAGTTAAGTAATTTATTAAGGTCATTATTTACATGGAAAAAAATCTGGTCAATGGGATACAATGGCAAGGTTATCTGATGGATTAAAGTTTGCATAAATGTAAAGAATAAATAAATAAAAGTGGTGGGGGATTCTATGATAAGAATGGAAAGAAACAAGGTAAATGGGTTGATTTATGTAATTATTTTTAGAGGTATATTAATTTGATCTCTATAATTTAAAGTTATGTATAAATCCTCTACAACGGTTAATATCAAGACGACTTAAAAATTGGAAAGTGGGATACGATATTTAGAGAATATAGTAGTGACAAATATTGTGAGATGTAATTTGTGATTAAAAAGCAATATTGTAGCGGTGGTGGATCATTTGATGAGAAAGGAATGAAAATTGGTAATTGGATAGAATTAAGTGATGGATTTTATAGGTTTTTAGAATATCATATTATTTCAATAGGGAATGTTAAATCATATATTAAGGTGAATATCAAAATGGTTTAAAGGTAGGCAGATGGGAGATTATGTATAGAAAAAAAACTAATGATGATTATCAAAAGATGTAAATACATAAATAAATTATCATTAAAGTGGGGGTGGTTTATATGATCCATGTGGATTAAAGGATGGTATATGGATGGAACTAGAAAATAGTTTGAGCAGGTAATGAATTTAATATATTAATAAAGAAAAACTTAAGTTAGTCATGTAGGATAATATAAAAATGATAAAAAATATGGTCTCTGGGAGATTATGTTTATAGGAGAAAAAATGTAAGAATTAAATTATGAAAAACTTAGGGGTGGAGGTATATTCGATGAAAATGGAATAAAAGATGGACAATGGAGAGAAATAAGTGATAATTTTTCAAGGTTGTTGTAGATTATTATTTCAATATAATTTCGTAGAGATTAACACATCTTTTATTAGGGAGAATATTAAAAGGGTAGAAGAATTGGGAGATGGGATATTGAGGAGATAGTGGAAACAAGTTATGATCATGAAGATTTTACATTTAAATATACAATGTATTTATGAAAATTAAACTAAATTAAAAATAGTGGAGGTGGATTATATGATGATACTGGATTAAAAGAAGGTATATGGCTAGAATTGAGTCCATTTTAATATTGGTATTGATTAATAATTATTAGATTAATAAAGGTGTTAAATATTATTTACTGGTGAATATAAGAAAGGTAAAAAAATTGGGATTTGGAATACTTCTAAACCGAATGAATTGATGTAAGTTTTCAATGATAAATTATTTAAAATATATAGATTTGGTGGGTTATTTGATGAAACTGGAAGGAAAGATGGGAAATGGATAGAATTGAATGATGGATTTTGTATTTAAAAAGGAGAATACTAAAATGGATAGAAAAAGGGGATATGGGACATATTAAAGAGCAGAGGATTGTGGGATAAGGAATATGAGAAAATGTAAATATATAGCATTTAATAAACTTTAGTTCAGAAACAAGTTATATGGATAAAATTTGAAGCAAATTACATATAATATAAAAATATAAAGTTTCATTTATCTAATTAGTTTCTAGTTCTATTCTATTATTTTGATCTTTAACTAAGATTAATGAGTATCCAAAAGTTTAAAATTCAGGAACCTTATCAATTGTTTTGACTATAATATTTTGGGATATAAATTTTAAATTTTTAATGTTTTTTTTTCTAAGATATAGTTCAACCATAATTACAGAAAAAAGTAATTTTACTATTGATAATCGAATACTTAATTCTGAATTTTATAAATAGAATAACAAGATAATTTTAGAAATAATTTAATATTAACAATCATATAACTAATTTTATACTTAAATTAATAAAATTCTGTGGTTTAAAATCAATATGAATATAACCAATTTTATATAATTATATGAATTCTTTTATCTTCTATAAATTATCTAAATCATATTATACTTAATAAAATAACTAATTCTTCTTTTGAATATAATATTTTAAACAATACTATTAAAAATGCAAATAATGCTACTTAATCTTATTTTTGATTAATCTCTACTTCCAAATCAAAAAGTTATCCTAACTTATATTCTACCTATTTTTTATAGGATTATAATTAGAAAATTAAGAACAAGTTTAATTAGATTTGAAAAAAATATATATTTAATTATTTTAAATTAATTCTAAGTACAGATCTAAGTTTTCTTTGACTATTTAACCAAAAGCTAAAATTTACTTTTAATAAACATTTATTACAATCCCACTACTACTAATGAAAAAAATTCTTATTCATCTCAAAATATAACACACTACTTTAATGGATAATATCTTCAAAAAAAAAGGAGATATAAGTTTGATCTCCTTTTTTTTGAAGATATTAAATGCAGATTTTAATATTATAAATTAAATAGTCAAGATTTAGTTAATAATATTCATTAACGTTATTAGAATTTTATTAGGTTCCAAATTTCTTCAGCTCTTTACTCAACGATTAATTCAGTTATTCATANAAGTTATATGGATAAAATTTGAAGCAAATTACATATAATATAAAAATATAAAGTTTCATTTATCTAATTAGTTTCTAGTTCTATTCTATTATTTTGATCTTTAACTAAGATTAATGAGTATCCAAAAGTTTAAAATTCAGGAACCTTATCAATTGTTTTGACTATAATATTTTGGGATATAAATTTTAAATTTTTAATGTTTTTTTTTCTAAGATATAGTTCAACCATAATTACAGAAAAAAGTAATTTTACTATTGATAATCGAATACTTAATTCTGAATTTTATAAATAGAATAACAAGATAATTTTAGAAATAATTTAATATTAACAATCATATAACTAATTTTATACTTAAATTAATAAAATTCTGTGGTTTAAAATCAATATGAATATAACCAATTTTATATAATTATATGAATTCTTTTATCTTCTATAAATTATCTAAATCATATTATACTTAATAAAATAACTAATTCTTCTTTTGAATATAATATTTTAAACAATACTATTAAAAATGCAAATAATGCTACTTAATCTTATTTTTGATTAATCTCTACTTCCAAATCAAAAAGTTATCCTAACTTATATTCTACCTATTTTTTATAGGATTATAATTAGAAAATTAAGAACAAGTTTAATTAGATTTGAAAAAAATATATATTTAATTATTTTAAATTAATTCTAAGTACAGATCTAAGTTTTCTTTGACTATTTAACCAAAAGCTAAAATTTACTTTTAATAAACATTTATTACAATCCCACTACTACTAATGAAAAAAATTCTTATTCATCTCAAAATATAACACACTACTTTAATGGATAATATCTTCAAAAAAAAAGGAGATATAAGTTTGATCTCCTTTTTTTTGAAGATATTAAATGCAGATTTTAATATTATAAATTATAAATTAATAATAATTTTTAATTATAAATAGTCAAGATTTAGTTAATAATATTCATTAACGTTATTAGAATTTTATTAGGTTCCAAATTTCTTCAGCTCTTTACTCAACGATTAATTCAGTTATTCATAAAATAGCTTCATAATCCATTTCTTAATCATATAAGAAGTATCATGTTAATGCTCTTTCTCCAAACTAACCATATAAACATTTCAAAATATATAATTTTTAAACTCTGATTTTAATTATATGTAATTAATAATAACAATAAAATTTTAATTTTTTTAATTATAACAATTAATCTCATTCTCAAATATATAATACTATATCACCAATTTATTTATTATATTATACAAAATTATAAAGGATTCCAATTAATTCTAAAGTAGTTCAAAAAACTTATGATAATCTTAAATTAATTTTATTTACAATTGATTAATTTAGTATTTTAAATATATTAATTATTTAATCTATTTTAAATATCTTAATTCCTCTTATTTTATTCTTTAATTTTAATTATTTTAATGATATTTTTTATTTCATCAATTAAATTCATCTTTAATTCAATTTCTCAATTATAAGCTTTTTTTTTTCAAATAAACATCTACCTTTATAAAAATCTTCATTTCTCTTATATTTCTTATTATAATTAGTATTTAATTTAATTTTCTATTAAAAATTATTAAATAATAAAAAGTATATTTCTTTTCTTCATGTCAACAATAAATAAAAGTATGGTTAACTTAAAATAAGGTTAATATTGATCCTTATAATCAACATTAATATCAATAATAATTAAATAACTAAATATTTTAGGATTTAAAAGTATTAATAAATACTGTTTAAATTACGATTATTGATTTAATATGAATTTATAAAATGATATAAATTAATATATTTATCATAATTGTTTTAATATTTTTTTAATTTCTTCAAATATCTAAGAAATTTTGTGTCTTATATAATATATAATTAGATTTAATTAATTATAATTGATAGTAAATTAATTAAGATTTTAGATATTTAAAAACACTCTTATTATCTCTATTATATTATTTATAAATAAGCCTTTGTTAATGAGTTAATCTTATAAAGAGTATTGGAAGATGTTAATGGAAGATCAAAGAAAAGTTTAATCAATTTGTGGAACTATAGAACTCACATTCTAATTTACAAATGAGAATGAACGATAATATGGAGAATTGCCAGATAGAATATGATTTATTATTAGAAGATGAAATGTAGAATTATGATGGTCCAGATGAATTGAATATTAATTATTATTATTCTAATGAAAAAGGAGAAGAAGTAAAAATAGATATAGAAAACTATGAGATAGATGATATTTCAGACCTTAATGATTAAAATGATTCATTAGAAGAAGGTAATTCATTATTTGATCCAAATCATTAATTTATTTTAATAAATGTAAATGTTTAAATTTTAAGAAAAAAAGAATTACAAAGACTTATTATTATTGATATTTACAATCATAAGATATAAAAATTATTATTAAGATCTAATTTTTTAGGAGATACAAATCCATAATTTTCTAAAGATGGTAATTTTGGCATTAATAAATATTATAAATGATAGCAAATAATTAATGTCAAAATGGTTGTTTTTGGATCTTAAAAATAGAATTTAAAAAGTTTTATACTTTTCAAATAATTAACCAATTTTAAGAATAGAATATGATGATTAATCTAATTTTTTTTTATATGACACATTTAGATTCAATATATTAATACCATTTAATTTTAAAAAATTACAACATCGATAAATCAAAAAGATAGAAATATAAAATTAATTCAAAATCCTATTAATTTCTTGAAAATCATGATATTCATCTTTATATACTCATTGATTATTTAGCATTAATTGTTAATTAAAAAGGTTAATATAATATTACCAGAATAAAAAAAAATGGTAAAATTAAAAAAAAATTACATTTTTGAAAATTATTATCCAAAATTCATATCTAAAACCTGTTTATGTTGTGGCAGCAGATCCTAAAGAACAAAAATTTCTTTTAATAAATATATCAATAGCAAAATTAATTAAAAAGAAACATCTTACTTAGTAATTTTAAAAGTCTAATTATTATTATGATTCATAAAATCAATCTTATCATATTATTTATTAAATTAATTGTCTTACATAAGGACAAGGTGATTATGAAGATAATGTTAATTAAGAATACAGAAGAAAATGGATGATTTTTTATTTAAAAATAAGTTAATTAAACTTGGTTAACTTAAGAATAAATAAAGACAAATTTATTTACAAATAAAATAGTTATACAAAATTATCAAAATAAAATCAGTTTTTAGTTGAAACATTGATTTTGATAAATATTAACAACAATAAAATATTATTTATCATCATTTATGTACTTATTCTTTATATATAAAATTATTAATTAAAAATGTTGTAAATTGTTAATTAATATTTTTTAACATCTCTCATTAATCGATAGTATTTTTATTTTTTATGAAAATTATTGTTTATTATTGAGAGACAAAATAGGAATTAGATAATTTATTATTCATAATATTAATTATTTGGGAAAATACTATTCTAATTATATATGAAAATCAAGATTTTGTATTAGGAACAAAATTTAAATAAATACTGAAGAATTAGTTGTAAATATTCAGATCTTTACAAATTTGAAGGTTAAGACAAAATTAATCTGGATTCTCATCTATCAAATCTGAAAAAGGAATAAAATTCAGAACCTAATTCCTCTCTGTGAGACTAGTAACTTTTATTTATAATCTCAAACCAAATCAAGTACTTTTGATATTGATAATTATAAGTATTCACAGCTTTCGGGTAATTGATTTTTCTTATTATTTTTTAAATATGAATTTCATATTTCTCTTCTTCTAATAAGCATCAATAATTAGTTTCTCAATCTAACTCAATAATAATTGTTTTTTAAATTACTCAATTTTTGAACTTTGTTAAAATATATTACTTAGTAAAATTTTTAGAAGCATCTACTATAAAATAAATTAAAAAATTTTAATAGTTATACTAATAAAAAATATAATAGTCTATATATTTAACTTAAAACTTAAAATATATTAGGTATATTCACTAACTATTATTTCTTCACTCTGTGATAAATTGATTATGTAAGTATAAATAAACAGAATAAAGGCTTATATTTAATTCATTTTATAGTTGTTATTTAGTTATTAAGAAATGATTGTTTAAATATCATTGAATATTTTGATAATTTTCATTTTAAGAAAAGAATGAATTATTTAAAGGGGAACTAGTAAATTAGAATTAATAATCAAATTTTTATGTTTTTGAAATAATGAAATAGTATTTTATTTTATTCTATTATCAGCTAATATAAATTTTTGATTTTCTCTCCTAGTTAATATTAATTATTTTGAAATATGATACAAAAGTTGGATTAGACATTGGTCCAAAATCAGATTCTAACTTAATTTTATGTATATCAAGATTTGCAAAATTTTGTTAATTTATTATATTCGTTGAAAGAAGTCAATCATTTTTTTAAAGAATAAAAAAATCATGCTATGGTTAAATTATGTAGAAACAAAGTAATTTTATAAATGAATTTGTCAAATTGTATTCATTATGACTTACTATAATAAAATGGATCATCTTCAATATTATTAAATGAGAAAAAAAATGCTGTGAGTTTATTGAAACAGTTAGAGCCTGAATTAGAAGAATTTAAATAATATATTTAGTGGTATTAAACTAATTGTTTGAATGAAGATGTTAATTTAAAACAATAACACTTAGAAGATATATAAATTGTTGCTAACTTTAATTAAAATGTTTTATCACAAATCATTCCAGCAATTAATTCTATGGATGAGCAAGTAAAGAATTTATAGGGTCAAAAATAATTTATAGCTCCTAATATAAATTAAATTCGAGAAAAAGCAATGTATTAGTAATTATTTTATTTAGCAAATTTAAAGATCACACAAGAGAAAGTTTAGGGAAGAATTTTCCTCCTTAAGAAACTTAGATTTAGTGGGTAGATCAAGAAAAGACATTTATTATTTATGAAAAATCCATAATAAAGAATTTCTAAAAATTTGAACAATACGAAAAAAAGTAATATGAAAATATTAAAGAATATATAAAGAGTTTAAAGGAATCTTAAAACGCAGATGAAAAATTTGCATACTAATTATTTTATCATAAAAAAGTTTTCGAATTTCATCCTTAATATTATAAATTTTATTTGTTTGGATTTTTTTTAAGTTTTATGGTAGATAATAATAAGATTGAATCAAAATAAGATTAATTTTTATAATTTTACTAAAATTAAACCAACTTAGAAAAAAATTAATTTAATTATAAACATTTTGTGTAATATCTATTTACAATTCAACAAAAAAAAGTTAATGTAAATTTTCAATCTTATTGTGATTATTACAAAAAATCATAATAATGAAGTGAAATATGTTTGATATCATTATTAACGATATATAATTATTAACAAATGTTTGTAATTTATAAAATATGATATTTGATTTTTATGAGGTAAAAAAATAGGGTGAAAACACTATTTATAGATATAATTCTCAAACTTTTTTTAGGGAAATGTTTTTAATTCCCTTGTTGTATTTATCCTTAATTATTTATTAAGTACATGTAATCTGGCTTTCCGCTCATAAAAAAAAATTTACGATAAGTTAGAATTTCATTTTTATACTTATACAAATTTTATAAGAACTACAAGATCCATAATTTTTAAGGGTCTTAAAATAATATTCTATTTATCTCTCGAAGTTTTTATTTAATTTATACGATAAAGGGATATTATAACAGTCTTAGTTACTAAAAGGCATTTATTTTTTCTTAGAGCTAAACAATTTTACGATCAGTAAATAAAATCTTATGCTTTAATGTCTAAGATATTATTTCAATAACCCGAAAATGTTTCTATTATTTATTACTATATTTTGAGATTTTTTCAAGTGAACTTACATCAACATACATAAGTTTGTAATTTTAACAAGAGTATCGACGCATGAAAGGAAGTTTTTAGTTTCTTCTAAAACCAACGTAAGTGAGGGAGTTTGATAAATGATTTATCATTCATTTTTGAATTGTTTAATGAATAGTTCTTAAAGAAATGCCTTACTGAAAAAATGAAACATTAAATTACATAGAACTTGAAATTAGTTATCTTTTAACCTTAGCCAACTTAATACTATTTCTGAAATTTTTACTCCTCTAGCGTAAGGTAATATAATTTGAATGTTATTTTTAGCGCCTTCTACTTTCTATAGCCACAGCAATTATTTAATTCTAAGTATTTGAATAGTTAGATTAGCATTCTTTAGTGTTAATTTAAAATGGGCTTCTTTTTATGGCTTCTAAATATTTAGATGAATCACTATCATTTTACAAAATAACTTATTAAATATGCGTTTTGTCAGTTTGAGTATCAATTTCTGCTTAATAAGAAAAAATAGTATTTATATTTACTTAAATTGATAAAATATAAATTTTCTATATCCTTATTGCGGATAAAATTGAAAAAATCATGAAAATAATTTAAAAAATGTGAATATAGATAATGATACTAAATATTACTTTATAAAATTTAATATTAATGATAAATATTTATTTATTATATTTGTAATTAAGGATGCTATTACGTAAAATAAATTTTGAATAATATAGGTTTATTACATTTTCAATAGGAACAATATAAATTAGCAAGAAGCTCTCACAATTTGTTATAAGGCTTTCTTCTAACTCCAAAAGACCCTTATAATTATAGATTTATTATTTCATCAATCCTTGTATTTCTTAAGATTAAAATTTTGGATTAAATTAGCTCTTAACTTTATTTTAAACAATTATTGCAGAGCATATTCGATTTTTTCTAACTAGCAAAAATTATTTGTTTTTTTTAATTATTTTAATAAAAAATCTTTTCTAGATTATTTTAAATTGTTTTGTTTATCCCTTCATATGTAGCATTTTTTAGTGAATTTTAATAAATTAAATTTTATATTATAAAATATATATTTATAATTTTATCGCATACATAATTCGTAAAATTTAGGATTAGTATATAACATATTCATTAACCAATTATAAAATTCTAAAGAGTGAAGATTTAAATTACTAAAGGTGCATTAATGTCCTAATTAAAATTTGTAAAAGTAAATTTAAATTTAACTTGAAGTAATGGATTTTAATTTTTCATTTCCATCCTTAAACTTATTACAATCTTCTTCAAGTATTTAATGTAGCGAAATTTTATATTAAGAATAACATAAGAAAATAATTTAATTATAAATTATAAATTGATTTAAACAAAAAAGTATTCTAATAAAGAGATTCAAAATACAATATATAGCAAATGATTTTTTTTAATATTTCAAATAAACTTAATAAAATATTTTGGAAAAGAACTTTGATATTCTAAATGTTATATTTTTTTGGTGATGAAAATTCTTAATAAATTATAATTTCTTTTGTTTAAAAAGTTGAAATAATAAAATTAACCATTAGGGAAATAGAATTGATTAATAATTTCTTATGTAAATAATATTTAGATTTATTTTGAAAATTATGAAACAAAAATAAAGCTTAAAATTAAATTGTCCTATTTTGGTCAGAGGATCAAAACAGTAATCAAAAAATAACTTCACCAGCTAGAATTCTACGATAAAATATAAAAGAAAACGAAATTCAGAGTAAATTGAGTTTAAAAAATTAGGTATAGGAAAGTAATTTGAATAAAAAAAAGAATAGTTTTGTGAAGGGAGATATGCAAAATTTGTTTTGAAAAAAAATAAAAATATGTGGTGATACTTGCGGACATCCATTTATTGCTGAATCTGAAAGTAATTAGTTGAAGAAAATTGAAATGTTTGAATTATCATTGAAGTTTACAATAATGATCTGATTTATTATAAGTATGATAATTCAGTCTTTTAAATTAATGATGATAATTTATGAAAATTATTGTTATTTTTCAATTATTATCAACATTGACATTTCTATTAATCTGTTTAAGGGTTTTGTTGGCTTTATTTGTTTAATTAAATTTTGCCATCAATAGTGGATTAAGGAACTTAATTAGAATCTTATTAACTTAAAGTAGTTGGCTAATCAACATCTTGGATTGGACCAAAGAGTTTCAAGGCAAGATTCTTAAAAGTTGATTAAACGTTGGTTCCCTCCTTAGCTGAGACTTCATAATAGAGTAATTCTTGTTCTTTTGCGAATTTTTCACCTTCTTCTGTTGTTACAACTCTTAAATTAATTAATACTTAACCTTTCTTCAATATCAATTTTATTTGCAATGAGTACACCCAATACATCAGATCCTCTTTCTTCTCTTACATACTCAAGCCATGATTTTATATCTGCAAATGACTAGGTATCTAAAAGCATAAATTTAAATAATACTTGAAACATCATAACAAAGTACAGCAGCATGAGAATCCCTTATATAAGATGGAATCAACGATCTAAAACGTTCCTAGCCAGCAGTATCCCATAATTACAATCTTACTGTTTTATTGTCTACCTAAATGCATTTTGAAAGAAAGTCGATTCCAATAGTAGGCTATTATCACAATTTGTTTGATACTTGATGTGATGAAGGGATTTGTTCATATACAAATCGAGCAATGATTGATGTCTTACCAACAGCTTGATTGCCAATAAATACAATTTTGAATTTAGCAAATGCTTTGGATTTGTTCGCCGAAGTGGACATTTATAATTAATTTATATTGTTAAATTCAAAATATGCTAAAATCTTTATTATTAGTACACCTTTTCGCTCTGGTTACATTATCAAAGCATATCGGAAATCAAATAATAGAATTAGAAGAGGTCAATTACTAAGTGATAATAAAAGTAATTGATTTTTCAGGCTATGCTTTATCTGGAGTGATTGTTAATGTTAAGTACATTTTTATATCAATTTAGGAATTCTAATATAATTATTGGAGATAAGGATCAAATGACTGAAGGAACAGGTATTGTGACATTTATAGGAAAAATCCCAAAACAATCATCTTACCAAATTACGGCAATTGCAACAACTACTTTTAACGACATTTCAACATCAGGTAAAATAGATGGGATTGGAGATTCAAAAGGCACTATTGTTTTTAATGGCAAATTATAATTCCCATAATCTGATGTATAAGTCTAGGATGTGTTTTAAAGAGGATTAATAATCGTAAATATCAAATATAATTTCAGTTAAAAACACAATCAAACTCAAAGCCTCTTCCTGGGGTAACAGTAATGTTTACCGCAATTTATTCAGAAGATAAAAAAACAAAAGAAATAAATTTCAAAGCCACAACGGATGAAAAAGGCGAATAAAATGTTAGGTTTTTATTACCCTCTTAAAAGCCTACATTTATTATTCTTTATACTGCTTCTAAAAATGAATATTGGAATTCTTAATAATTGAATCGTGATGCTTAGGAATTTGCATTATGGCCGTAATAATTATAGATATATTAAATCTAGTGTAAAAAAATACGAACTACCAATAATCATAAATTTGGATCCTGGTTAATTCAAATATATCGTAACAGCATTAGTTTAAGATTAATTATCTAAACCATTACCTGGAGCAAAATTTTAAATAGGAGGGATGAACATGGGATCAAATAAAGAATTAGAATCATTGAATGCAGTAAGTGGAACAGATGGAAAGATAAATCTCATTATACCTTTAAAAGCAACTGATAAGATTCATGTCAAGGAACAAATTACAAAGGATGAATATATTGGACAGAGTTCTGAATTTGATGAAGTGTTTAATCTAAATGTTAGAAAGGATTAATTCACTCATGATTTAGGGATAATAAAATTATAAGAAGCTTCAGGGGATTTATAAGTAATATGAGTATAGATATATTTAGATTTCCGGAATCATAACTGATTCATCAAAATAGGTATAGTTTGTACAAGGAGCTAAAATTGTATTTACAATTTTAGATAGCATAGAACCAGTGTCTGCTATTACAGATGCTCAAGGAAAATTTAAGGCCGAAATCTATGTACCTGCTAATAAAGATTTATAATTAAAAGCAACAGTCACTGCTCAAGGATTTATGAATAAAATAGCTGCTCCAAGATAAATTAATGTTTCTTCTAAACAGCCTTTGTAGATAACTTTTGATGTAGTTTTGGATAGAACAATAAAAAATATAAAAATAAAAGATAAGCTTGTTGATCCAACTGGTAAACCTATTTAAAATGCAATCATTAAAATTATTGAGAGTAATCCAACAATGCCTGATAAAACTCTATATAATAAGGAAATAACAGATAATGCAGAGTAATTTAATTAAATTTATAAATAGTGGTTCATTTGAATATCCATTTAGTTGTTATGAAGATATAAAGTTTTAAGCAACATTTGTATTTCAAGTGCCTTAATTTGTGCCTGTAACTTATAAAACAGGAGATTTGGAATGTAAAGATTAAGATTTAGTGAAATATTCTATGACATTATCAAAATAGACAGCTATTCTATTAATCAAAGGGTAAGTAATAGATGTTGATTAAAAACCAATGAAAGGAGTAGCTCTTAAATTTAAGTCAGATCCAGTATTAGACGTCCCTAATCCTAATTTGGTTACTGATGCAAATGGTAATTGGTAGGTTGAAAAATTAACTGTCATACCGACAACAACTTATAAATTTACAATTGAATATACTAATGATATAAAATAATTAGTATAACTAGTATAGACATTCACCCCTACAATGGATAAGGAATAAACTTTCAACTTTCCAGTTATAGGGTTTTAAAAATATGTTAAAGCTAAAATTGCTGGTAAAATAACACCTGCAGATGGCAAAGCAGCTATTCCATTACCATTAGTAATTACCTGTGATGGAAAGGGTAAAGATGGAAAACCAATTGTTATAGAAACTACTACAAAAGAAGATGGATCATATTCAGTAGATATTGAAGTATTAGCAGGAGCTGATAAGCCCTTATCCTGCGTAGTTACAAATGGTAGTACTGGAAATGGAGCTGGTGGTTCTGGAACAGGTAATACAGGTGCTGGTGGTTCTGGAACAGGTAGTACAGGAACTGGTGGTTCTGGAACAGGTAGTACAGGAACTGGTGGTTCTGGAACAGGTAGTACAGGAACTGGAACAGGTAGTACAGGAACTGGCAGTACTAATACAGCTTCACCTGTACAACCTATAAAAGTTGATGTTAAAGTATCTGCTCCAACTTGGAGTAGCAATACAAATATTCCTGTTACATATAATACAGTTGATATCATTCTAAAAGGAGTTGTTAGTGATAAAACTAAAACAATTACAACAGTTGAAGGTGTTGATATTACTTTAATTGTCACTCCTCAAGATGTTTACATTTAAAATCCAGGTAAGCATATACTTGAGTCATACATTTTATATAAAAGACATTTTTAAAGTTCTTCTCAATCAATATTGTAAACAAAATCAGGAAAAGACGGATCATATGAATTGAAATTCAAAGCTATATAAGCATATCCATTGAAATTTGAGATATAAGCTAAAAAGGATCCATTATTTTCACCTTATGAAAAGAAAGGAATTGAAGAAAAATGTTAAAAGTCTGAAACTTTAACTGAAAATATAGAAATAGACAGGATTAGAATGTTAACAAAATTACATTCTACATTAATTGGCACTGATAAAAAGCCAATAATAAATGCATCTGTTAAAATGACATCATCTGATCCAATTATGAAAGATTCTAAATATTACAATTTACCAATTAAAGATGATGATAAAGGATCCTTCTTTTTGGATTTTGAATGTTATAAAGAATTTGATTATGTTGTTGATTTGTAAATAGATGTACCTCAATATGTATAATAAAACATAAAGAGTTCCAAATTTAAATGTTCATAAGCTTTAACTGAATTAAATCCAATATCTTTAAGTTTGGAGAAGATATAAATTAAGGCTATACTTTCAGGAAAAGTAATTGATCCTCATGGAGATGGAGTACCTAATTTAGCTCTAAGTATAATAACAGATCCTGAAAGTGCAAATTTAGAAACTAAGACATAAACAGATGGAACATGGACTATAACTGATCCAAAAATCTATCCAAATACAGATTACAAAGCAATAATTACTTATATAGATATCAATAAATAGAAGTAAAAAATAGAATAAAAATTCACAATTCAAAGTGATAATTAAAAAGTTCCAATTTCAGATATAAATTATTAAGCTATTGTGAATGCTAAGATATAAGGAAAAATTGATTTAGAGAAAGGGACATTGAATTCACCAGTTAAAATCAATTTGAGTTGTCCCAAATTTAAAGATTCTAAGGGAGCTGATATAAATCAAGATTTCTCAACTGATAATAATGGAAATTTTGATATTCCTATATAAATTTTGGCTAAACATGATGATAAAATAGAATGTATTCTAAAAACTAAAGATTCTCTCTAAGAAACTACATAAAAAGTAGAATTAGTAGCTCCAAAATTTTAAGTTTAAGGAGTTTCAATAAAATCTAAATTGGTTACTACTACATTTACAATAACAGGTAAATTAATTGATAACTAAAAATTGGAAGACAAATTACCTGGTTTAAAAATTACATTAACATTAAAACCATCAGATCCAATATCTAATTAACCTATTATTAGTAAAAGTGTTAATGATGGAACATATTCTATAATTTTTGAAGTTGTAAGAGGAGTAAATTATGAAGCTACACTCAATATAGATGCATAACCATAATTTAATATTGTGAATGAAAAATTATAATTCATCGGTAAAGAAGATAAATAAAGCATTTCAAAGGATATTACTTTAATAAGATCTATTATAGATTGTAATATTAGTGGATAATTAGTTGATATGAATTAAAAACCAATTTCTAATTCTAAAATTGAAATTTTAAGCTCAGACCCTCAAATGACAAATACTTAATTATATAATAAATTTGTAGCTGCTCCAAAAGGGGATTTCTAATTACCATTTTAATGTTATAATTCAGTATCCACTACTTTAAAAATGGATATGGAATCTGATGTATATCCTAAAACTGCCTTATCTCCTTAAGTATTTACTTGTGGAGAAAAAGATCTTAAACTCAAACCAATAGTAGTATCTACAAAATCTGTTTAAATAACAGTTTCTGGTGTATTGACAGATAGTAGTGGAGTAACAAAAAATGTATAAAATGCTCAAATAGAAATAATACTAAATCCGGCTGATCCTTTAGCATCAAATTTGTAAACAAAATCAGATTTAAATGGTAAATATTCATTAAGTTTTGGTGCTGTCCAAGATTAAATTTACACAGCTGTTATTTCAATAACTAATTCAGACTTTAATCCATATAAATCATCAAATATTCAGATTAAAGCTGATAAAGTATAGAGTATATCTCATGATGCAACGATGGATAGAATCATTCTTTAAGCAACTCTTACTTCAACAATTACAGATCCATCAGGTAAAACACCTCCTGCTTCTACATTGACAATTGAATCCTTATAGCCTACTGTTAAAGGAAATGAAAAAACTTAAATAACAGGAAAGACTGATTCTGCTGGAAAATTTAGTTTATAGGTCCCTTGTTATAAGAATGTGGATGAATCTTTTATATTAGATGTTAAAGCTGATAAATATAGAGATGTAAAATCTGATAAAATTTAATTCTCATGTTCTGGTCCAGCAATATCTTTACCTCCAGTGAAAATTAAATATGAATTAGCACCTACTAACACAAAATTAACTGTTGGAGGAGAGATTATTGGACCTAAAGGTAAAGGGTAATCAGGTGTGAATGTTAAATTAACTTCAGATCCTGTTACTAAAGAATTTGAAGCTAAAACTGGATCAGATGGTAAATGGTCTATATTAGATGATTAATTACAATTTGAAACCAAATATCAATTAACAGAATCTTTTAATGATGCAAGTGGATAAAATCATAAAGTTACATAAGCCTTTTAAACAAATAATGAGAAATCCGAAATGACTTTTCCAAAATAATATTATGATGATTTTGTTTAATGTGAAATTGATGGTAAAATAACATCTGAGGGTGGAATATTTCCATCCAATGTTCCAGTGAGTTTATAATGTGATGCTTTTGGTGAAAATAAAGTACCTATTGATCTTAAAACAAATACAGATTCTACTGGATCATATTAATTCAAATGGAAGATGCTAATGAATGCTAATTCTAATATTGATTGTTTACTTATTTCACATGAAACTGCTAAATTTTAATAAACAAATAGTAGATTCAAAATAAATCCAAATAGTGATGTTATGAAGATAACAAATTAAGCTCAGGTGACAGAACAATTCAAAGCATAACTTACTAAATATTATCAATATTCTATTATTAATGGTGCTGTAATTGCTGAATTTGATTGTAACTCAAAATTAGAATGGAAAGGATTAGAAGGGGTTAATATTAAACTTAAATAATGGAATGGAATTTCTTATGCAGATCTTAAAATTGAATCAAAGAGTGACAAAGATGGTCTCTTTGTAATTAAACATTAAATTCTGAAAAGGTATTTATTTATATATATATATTAAATAGTTAAATTTAAAATGAAATGAGATTAGAATTTACTAAATAAAACTATATTCCAACAACAGCTGAGTTTAATCTTTATTCATTTGATCCTTAATTAGATGGATCATATCTTATCTAATTATCAAATATAAGAATGGTTAAGATTGGATAGCCAGACAAATGTCCATCAATTAAGAAAAATAGACATCATCAATGATATACTATAATATACAAGTTGTTAGCTTTAATCTTAAATAATTTAAATATAAAAAATATTGCTAATAATTTCTATATATAATATTTCACCATCTTTAATTAGAATTTTTTTAAATTAAACACATCGCAATAGTTTTTTTTTGTACATTTTTGTTGATTTAATTTTCAATATTTTGAAATTTATTTGATAATTAACTATTCTCTTGAATCCATGTCTCAATTTGTTCATCAAATTCTTCAAGTTCATATTCAAATTATCTTTTTTAAATTCTTCCGTATCCTCCCTACTTAGAGTTTTCAACAAATTCATCGTCTAATTCTCCTTCTAGTTGAGAAAGTCTTTTCAACTATTCTCTTATTGAATTAAAATTGACAGGTTTTTATAATTATTTTGTGTATAAAATTTCAATTAATTTGCTAGAATTATATAATTAAATACCTTCTTAAAATATTGACTTGATCATAAATTTCTGATGATCCTCCTATTCTTAGCAACGAATCATTAAATGATATACATCTTTTTACTAAAGGTTAATAAGTAGTAAATCTCATTCCTACATATAAGCTTTTAAACTTTTTTCTCTCTTAATTATCTAGTTGATAATTGATATTTTCATTAATATATTCAGTTTGTAATTTATCTTTTAGCGCATCTTCTTAAAAATTATTAAATGTTTTCATTGAAATATTGGAATAATTTATTTCTAATTCAGTAAACTTTGTAAAAACACTTTATCCTTTATAGATCATCTTTAAAACTAAATCATGTCTACTTTCAAATTCTTCATCAGCTATTTCTAAAATATTCTCAATCATTTTTCTGCGCTTTTATGAAATTTACTATATTAATTCAGCCTCCAAAGCCATTTAAATTTCTATATTGATAGTCTCCACATTGATTATTATAGCACCCAACAAAAATAAAGGTTACTCGTCTCCTGTTTTAAATAATTCAATTAATATCTATATAAATTTTTGAATTTATGAATCATCAAATTATTCATCTATTTAAACCTTTTAACAACTAAGTGTTTATAAGAATGTAATAGCCTTTTTGGGTAATATTAAATTCATTTTTTATTACTTAAAATCTCTAAAATTTTTTAACTCTATAATTTCATTAATTATTTATTATTCCAATTATAAAGAATCTTGAAATTCTTTGGCCTCTTTTGCATCTTTCTCTAATTCTGTTAATTTTTTAGTATATTAATAATGAGATCTTTTACATATTATGTAAATTAAAGTGCAGAAAGTTAAATCTCTATATATTTATTCAGAAAAACTTATGGAGGATAATAATGTATGATATTCAATGTATTAACTTATATTTTTAATTGACATACATATTTAACTACGTAACAAATAATCAATATAATTCTGATAACCTTATAATTAATATTAAGTTAGAAATGGATTTTAATCAGCAATTTCATTATGTTTTATTCTATTTAAATATTCTAATCTTTTTCTAGCTTAAATTAGATTCTAAATGAATTCTAATGAAACGTCATAATAATAAGCAATATTTAATGCATGTATACCAGTCAATAAATGAATGTGTAATTCTTCCTTTGTTTGATCAGTTAAAACTTTTGCGAAAGACTTATTTGTTAAATTTTCATACATTTTTCTATTTAATGGATTTTCAATTTTAGGTATTTGATACCAAATATTAAATATTTAATCTGATAATTAATATTCTAAACAATTTAATAAATTCCAATCAGCAAGAGTTTAGTCTAAATATTTATTCATTATTTTATTTTCTTTTTTTAATGTTTTGATAGCACAAAAAGAATAAATTTAAATTAAAAATGGAACATTATTGTTAGATGCAGTTTTTTTCATACAATATCTATGTACATATGTCTTAAGAAATTCTTTATAAATTCGTTATATAGTCTTTACAACAAAGTATGAGGAAAATAAAAAAAATTCTCCTTTTATATCAAATTAAAAAGCCTAAAATTATTATTATTTATAATTATTAGCTAAAGTTTCAAAAATTAAAGATGATTTATTAACAATAATGTATGATTATCCTAAGAATTAGAAATCTTATGATGTTGCTACTGATAATTAATAAATAGCACAAATACTCTTAAATGTTTCATTATAATAAACTGTATTTCGATTATATTTAAATAGATCTACTACTTTTTAAAGTTCAATCAAAAATAATTAAAAATCTAAATAATTTAAATCATAAAGGGATTGCATAATTTTTTCATCCTAATAAGCAACAATAGATAAAATAATTGTCTTATGAATTTAAGAATTAGAGTTTCTGAATAAATATTTACAATTTTTATCAAAATTTTTATTTATAATTCTAACCTCTTCTAATTGGTCAATATATGTAGTAAGGTAATCATATTTCAAATTTTTAAGTTTATAAATATCCTAATTATTTGAATAATAATATCCTAGTATTGCTTAAATTAATTTCCTCTCTTATTTTTATTTTTCAAACCTAGGATGCATAGTATATTCAATATTATATGTTTATAGCAGTGATTAATATAATTAAAAAAGTTCGAATATAGTTCTCATATTCTACATATAAATTTTGATTCTGCTTGATGTCATTGATTATTCTTCAGTTGATTATAATATAGCAATATGTTTTTAATAAGATTTAATAGCGGTTTCATATAATCCTAATTAACATAAAGAATAACTCATCAATAATTTATTCGAAGAAAATGTAAAGGTACTAAGTTTTTATTCTGATTTTTCAAGTGTAGACTTATGATTGTTTTCAATTTTTTTGAAATCTGCTTTACAAAATTTTTAATAATTTGAGAATTAAAAATTTAATGAAAAGCATGGCTAATATAAGGGTGAAATATAATAAAGACAGGAAATAAAATAATTATCTCTATCACTAGATTTTGTTGTTTCAAGCATAAAGAGTTATAAATCTTGAATATCAAAATATTCTAGTACATTTTGGATAAATGCTATTTAATTTTATTTAAATTCATCTGATTTTTTCAACATACTTTCTTTCATTACTTAGATTGGATAGTTAATAAACACTTTTGATAGAACTATTAGTATTTCATCTAAAAAATTATATAAATAATGAAAAAGTGTCTAATACATCTTTTCTTTTGTATTTACATCTTAAGTTGATGCTTAAATAATAATCAATTCAGAATTAAAATCATATTAAAAATCTGTATGCTTTTCCAAAATAGAAAAATCTAATTTTTTCCCTGAATAATTTTTTTTTTCAATAAAGACTGCATCTTTGGACTTAAAATATTGTAACCAACACTCTTACAACACTTAAGGTAATAAAATTTACCATAGATTCTTGTTATCATCACTTAATTCATATTTGAATTCATAAAGTAAATGTAAAGTAATTAGATTATTTTAAAATTAATTAAATGCTTCAATACTTTAATCAATTTTATAAGTCTTTAACCATAATATTCCAGCAATATGATAATACTTTAATTTAAATGCTACTTCAGCTGCTTCTTCCCAACATTTAGTTTATAGATAATAAATTAATGATTATTCATATTATTATGCTGAAAAGAAACATGCTGCTGCATTTTTTTTCATTTTACATTCTAAGAATTTTTCAGCTGCTTTATTAAAATTATTAAACATTTCTGATTTAGATTTTTCATATTTATCTTTATATTATCTTCTTAAATTTTAAGGTAAATGAGTATCTTCACTTAATTCAACAAAGTTTTCACTTTATAATAATTATTTTTCAGCTTTAAATGCAAAGGCATATGCTTATGATTTAGTATATAATAATTAGTGTCCAGACATATCAAAACATTTGATTGCTTAATCATAATATTTATTAGCAAACATTTTCATTCCAGTTGCATACCATTCTTCTTTTGTATTTTGAGTTATAATTTTATTCATTTCTTTTGCATTTTAAAAATATGATTCATCCAATATTTATATTAAATTTAAAGATTACCATAAATCTTAAATTTTAGTTCTTTTATCTGGTTACTCATCAAATATAATTAATCTATTTTTTGCTCTTGTTGCAGCCACATATAAATACTTTAATTCATTACATAAAGCATTATAATTATTTAGATCAAATGATTTAATACTAGGTTTTAATCTTAATTTCTTAACTAAAATATTTCCTTATTCATTTTAAGTACTAAATGATGCATTATTATCTTAAATATCTTCAATACTACTATTTTATTATTCATGTCCTAAATAAAATATTAATATTTACTTGTTAATTTATAATTATATTCATCTCTGTCAACCTCTACTTCATCAATAAATAATTAATTAAATAGATCCCATTAAGATTATAGGATAGTATTATCGGTAAAGAAATTAAATAAAATGACATCTTCAAATTCAAGACCCTTTGATTCATATATTGTTAAAATTAAAGCATGAGCTAAAACAGAAGGAATATTATCTCTAGCATCTGAATCTTTAACCAAAACTACTTAATTACAACCAAATTCAATTGGAACTGCTTATTTATCTAAATTAGGATTAACATCTCCTGTTAAAAAATTAAATAGATCATCAATATTATTACTTTAAATTAACATTGGCATAGGTCCTTTTAAATCAGAGATCTCTTTATTTAATCTATCAATTGCTTTTGGAAAAAATAATTCAATTAAATTAACAATACTATTTGCCAATTATAGAATATTATTATGAGATCTAAAATTAATAGTCAATTAAAACTATTCCAATTCTAAAAGTAATGGATTTTCTACATGTTTAAACATATTTTTAAGATCTTAAAATCTAAAACCTACTCCTTTAACTATATTTTAGGCAGTATCTCCACAGAAATAATAACCTTATTCAATTAATCTTATAAATAAAGTTATTACTGCATGTGGTAAATCTTAAACTTCATCTACAAATAAATAATGGATAGGAACAGTTTTATAATCTCCCTTATCTAATTCACATATAATATAATTGACTAAATCCATTAAATCAAATATTCCACATGATAATTTCCATTTTTCATATTCCAAAAAGTAATCATATATAAGATTAATTATATCTTAAGATAGATTAGATGGATTTAATTCAGCATAAATAGCTTTAGGTAAATATTTCATAGGATAAGAATAAGAAAATTAAGATCCTTTTATATACGAATAAACTTATGTCCATATTAATGTTGGAAATGATCTTTCATCACAACCATATTTTTAATTTGGTTTTTTAATTGTTGGCCAAAATCTTTTTAAGAAATATTCATAATCAACTTCTGTTACTTATATATTAGATTCTTATTAATTTTATTTTTAATTTTATTAGGCTTTCTCTTCTTATTTTTATATTAATAATTTAGTTTCATCTATTTTCTCTTTAACTTCTTATTAATTTAGCATTTTAAATTCTTATTCTTCAAATTTAGCATTTTCATCTATATCAATAACATTAATATTTTTATTTGTTTTAAGTTTTTAAGTTATTTTTATTGTTTTTCCAGTATTCCAACCAGCTTTTTATAATCTTTTACCATTTTTTTTAAATCTTTCTTATTCAAAAAATGGTTTTTTCAATGATGAATCAATTAACAAAATTAATTTTTTTAGACTTAAAAAAGCTGGAAATTTATCATCTGACATTTATTCTAATGAACCAAGTAAATCAACATCTTCTAATTAATCATCTTCTTCCATTTCTTCTTTATCATCTTCACATTCTGTGCATATAAAAGATTCTTCTTATAATATCATACTTATAGAACTTTCATTTATTTCATCACAAATCTAAAATGATTGAGATATACTAATAAAATAAATAATTATTCTTACAAACTTTAATCTAAACTTAATGGAATATTTTATTATTAATTCTATTATTTCTCTTAATTCCTTTTTATAGAATCTTATATATGTTATAACAATTTTCTATAATATTTTCTAACTTCTCCTATTAATACATGATTCTAAGTTGTAAATACACAATGTAAACCAACTTTATTTGGTATATCTTAATAATTAAATAAAAGCTTTTCATTTTCTTAATTAAATAGTTTTTATCTAATTTTGAATAGAGTCTATATTGCAAATAATCTAAGGACTGTACAAGTTGTTTTTCCTGTTCCACTTCTACCAATAATTAATGAATTTTATTTTGATGCTATTACCTTTCTTTCTTATTAAGTAATTAGAATTTTAAAATCAGGTAATTTTTACATAATATCAATTATCAATGCTCCTGATTCAAAGTCTGCATATTAATGTAAAATATGTTTATTTTATTTTGATAAATCTCTATTCTATTTATACTTCTTTAAAAATTCAATATCTTCATTTTTCACCCATTAACTCAAATTTTAATCATAATAATATTATTTCAATTACTTTTCATCTAATTATTTAGTTTAAATTCCTGTTGGTATCCATCTCATACATTATTAATCTTTTAATCCAATATTGAATTAGCATTCTCCCCATTCTTCGACTTCATTCCAATAAAATAATGGTTTCTCCAAACAAAAGTATTTTTATTTTCTTTAAATCGAAGTAGCTATATATTAATTAATTAATTTACTAGAATCGAAATTTAATTATCCAAAATTCTACCTATAAGGATTTAATTTCTAAGTTTAATTTTAATTAAAGAGTCTTAATAACACATTCTCAATTCTTCTATCAAATCTTATTGCTAAGAAATGAATTCTATGAATTGTTTGAAAACCCAAAAACTAAAATATACAGTAAAACTTACTTCGTTTTTTTTGATTATTGGTTTCTTCTCTAAACCAATTTCGAAGTAGAAATGATAGTTTTCTGGGGTTATACAACAAAAATAGTTTTATAATAATCCACAATGAAAATTAGTAATCAAATTTGATGTAGTTATTGGAGAGAATGGACAGAAATACCCATCAGAGATTAGAATCATATAAACAAATATTTCAAATGATATATCAGGTTATTATAGAAGATCTTCAATAAATTATTCTAAAATCATAATTTTAATTTACAATCTATTGTGCAAGGCCATATTCCAAGTTTTTTAATCATTTTTTCAAGGTTTTCTATGTCCTACTCATTTAATATTTTCATGATGATATCTTATGGTTATTTTGACGATTTATAATTTTCCTATAGTCTTTAAATCAATTAATCCTTGGCTATTGATTTTTGTTCATTATATTCTGTAAATTTTGTATGATTTTTCTTCATATTATAAATATTAATAAGATATACAAAATCTATATATGTATAAATGCTGATTAAATAAAAAAAATTTACTAAAATTATTAAGCTAATCATTGTATAATTATTAAATCATTAGTTCCAATGATTTACTTTGAATTTAAAATACAAAAATTAAGATTCTTAATCTATTGCATGATGTTTAAGGAATATTAAGTATATGAGAACTTTGAATACTTAAATTAAATTTAAATGTACAAAATTTCTGCAGAATAAAATAAAAATTATTTATATTTATTTTAATTTAATTACAAATAGGTAGAGATTGATATTATAATTATTTAATTAAAATATTCTAATGAATTAGGAAGGCATTATGGACAAAAAAGAGATGAAAGAAATTAAGGGAGAACTTAAAGTATTTATTTTATAATTTTTAATAGAAAGGTAATTTAAGTAGTGATTATGATAAATAATCAAATATAAAATACATTCCTAAAGATGAAAAATAAAAACATTTAAATCTGGATAAACAAAATAAAAACAAGCAGATATTTTAAAATAATAGGATAATGATTAACAAAAATAATATCAAAAAACTAAAAAATAAAAATATTACAAAAAATATAACAGGAGTAAAGAGATTAGGTTTAAATTAAAGACAATAATAAAAAAGGTAACAAATTCTAAGAAAGAAAAGGTGATACAATGTAATATTAAAATCAAGAAGGATAATCAAATTAGTAATTAGTTTCTAATTAAGAATTTCAAAATTCACAACAGCCTAATGATTATAATTAGCCATTCTGTTATCCTTATAATAAAGGGTAATAAAATAATTTTTAGTAAACAAATGATGATAATAATAATAAATTATAAACCAATGATGATAATAATAATTAATATGAAAAGAAAAATAATAATAAAAACTAAGAAAAAGAATATCCTACTAATTAGAAATCGAAAAAAGATAAAAAAATAAAAACCCACATAAATTAAAATTCATCAAAATAGAAACATAAATTCAATAATAAAGGGATTAATAATGATGATTTAGTTGATGATTATTAGTATAAAAATGATTAGGGAAATTTAAAGAAAAAGAACAATAAGGATTATGGACTTAGTTAATATGACATATATGAAAATGACGATATAAAAAACAAGAATAGAGGAAAATTTTAGAATAATAATTAAAATAGGAAATAAGTTTTTAAAAAATATTCGACTGAATAATAAATTGAAGAGGGAAAAGCTGAAAATGAGATTTTTGAAGGAATCTTTACAGCTAGTGAATATACTAGAGAGAAGAGTGTTATAAAATGTCCAATTTTTAAATAGAAAGTACATATTAATTGTAATTTAATTTTTCAAAATAATAGCATTTGTTGAACCAAATAGAGCATTTCATGGAGCTCTTGTTGCATTCAAAATTATTAATATAAAAAACTGAAGAAGAATCTGATGATGATTTGGAAGAAGATATAACTGAATAAATTGCAATGAAGAATACTAAGATTAAGAAGGAAATTAAATAAGAGATTGTAGAAAAAGTAGAAAATAATAATGATTGTTAGAATAGAAATAATAAAGAGGAATAAATTGATGATGATATATCAGAAGTATAATTCATTAGTATTTTCATATTTAATTATGTAATAATTGTAATATAAAATAAGTGTATCAGATCTATATATTGTTAAAGAGAAGATCACTTTAACTAAGATTTAAGAATTATTAAATGCAAAACTTATAGGTAAGGTTGTTGGAATAAGGAAAAATCCATTAGAAAATAGAGAGATAATAGGAAAGATATATTTTAAAGAAAAGTATAAATTATAAGATAAATAAATAACAAATAAATAAGAATTAATTAATTATATAGAATAGAATTATCATATCTCATTTTAATGTGTTAATAAAAGAATTCCATTTTTTAATGTTAAGAAATTAATTACTTTTAATTATGAATTGGTTAATTAGGAACCTTTATAGAAATTCATGGATTATGTAACTTAAAGATATTTTTCAGCAAAATACGTATAATGGGCCATANAGAAATCGAAAAAAGATAAAAAAATAAAAACCCACATAAATTAAAATTCATCAAAATAGAAACATAAATTCAATAATAAAGGGATTAATAATGATGATTTAGTTGATGATTATTAGTATAAAAATGATTAGGGAAATTTAAAGAAAAAGAACAATAAGGATTATGGACTTAGTTAATATGACATATATGAAAATGACGATATAAAAAACAAGAATAGAGGAAAATTTTAGAATAATAATTAAAATAGGAAATAAGTTTTTAAAAAATATTCGACTGAATAATAAATTGAAGAGGGAAAAGCTGAAAATGAGATTTTTGAAGGAATCTTTACAGCTAGTGAATATACTAGAGAGAAGAGTGTTATAAAATGTCCAATTTTTAAATAGAAAGTACATATTAATTGTAATTTAATTTTTCAAAATAATAGCATTTGTTGAACCAAATAGAGCATTTCATGGAGCTCTTGTTGCATTCAAAATTATTAATATAAAAAACTGAAGAAGAATCTGATGATGATTTGGAAGAAGATATAACTGAATAAATTGCAATGAAGAATACTAAGATTAAGAAGGAAATTAAATAAGAGATTGTAGAAAAAGTAGAAAATAATAATGATTGTTAGAATAGAAATAATAAAGAGGAATAAATTGATGATGATATATCAGAAGTATAATTCATTAGTATTTTCATATTTAATTATGTAATAATTGTAATATAAAATAAGTGTATCAGATCTATATATTGTTAAAGAGAAGATCACTTTAACTAAGATTTAAGAATTATTAAATGCAAAACTTATAGGTAAGGTTGTTGGAATAAGGAAAAATCCATTAGAAAATAGAGAGATAATAGGAAAGATATATTTTAAAGAAAAGTATAAATTATAAGATAAATAAATAACAAATAAATAAGAATTAATTAATTATATAGAATAGAATTATCATATCTCATTTTAATGTGTTAATAAAAGAATTCCATTTTTTAATGTTAAGAAATTAATTACTTTTAATTATGAATTGGTTAATTAGGAACCTTTATAGAAATTCATGGATTATGTAACTTAAAGATATTTTTCAGCAAAATACGTATAATGGGCCATAAATAGCCAATATCCAATGGCTGAATTGATAAAAGAAATAGGAGTACAAGGAAATATTGATGTGGAATGTGAGGCATATATATATATTAACATAGAATTCTGTATATGAAAATGAATTTTCAGAGATTTGTATGGATGAAATGAAGGCATTTAATAATGATTCAATAACAAAGGAGAGTATAAAGAGAATTGATTTAACAAAAGAATATATTTGTAGTATAGATCCTGTGGCTGCCAAAGATATAGATGATGCATTTGTATTAATGATTTAGGAAATGGTATTTACGAGATTGGAGTACATATTGCAGATGTTTCTCATTTTGTCATTCCTAATAGTTAAGTAGATAAGGAAGCGATACTTAGAACTACCTCTGTTTATTTAGTTCATAAAGTTATACCAATGTTACCTAGAATTCTTTGTGAAGAATTGTGTTCATTAAATAAAGATGTTGAAAGATTAGCATTTTCTGTATTCTTTAGATTCAAAAGTGAAGGAGAAGTATTATGGGATAGTTTTAGAGGTGCTAAATCAGTTATTAAGAGTTGTGCATAGTTAAGTTATGAAATTGTTAATTAAATAATTGAAGGTGAAATATAATAGTTTAGTTAAGGGGATTAGAAGTATAAAGTTGCTGAAGGATTTGAAGAAAATGTATTGAAAGATAAGATTTTATTGTTAAATACTATTGCTTAAAAGAGAAGAACAAAAAGATTAGAAGGATCAATAACATTTGAAAAAAGCAAATAAAGATTCATTCTTAATTCTGATTTATATCCTATAGGTTATGTAGAAGAAAAAAGAGGACTTGCTTAATTATGGTAGAAGAGTGGATGTTGTTGGCTAATTAATTTGTTGGTAAGAAGTTAATTCTTAGATAACATATACCACCTAAAGCTGAAAAAATAGAATATTATAGAAATCTATTAAAAGCTTGTGGATTAAAAGAAATGGCTGAAAATTTAGATGTATCATCATCTAAAAGTTTGAAATTAACTATGGCTAAAGTTAATGATATTTAATCTGAACAAATTAAATTGATTTTAGAATTCCGTCTATTAAAATTAATGGAAGCTGCTCAATATTTTGTAGTTGATGATATTCCAGAATTAGAATGGAGACATTATGCCTTAGATTTTGATGTATATACAAATTTACATCACCAATACCAGATATTTTAGTACATAGAAGATTATAAATTGCTCTTGAATAACAAGAAATTGATCAAACTCTAGAAACAAGGAATAAATTAAAAGCAATTATGTAACATTGTAATGATTGTTAATTAAATTCAAGAAGAGTTAGTGATTAATGTGATTAAGTATATTTAATTAATATATTCTTTAGTTATTTTTAGCTTTACACTTAAAGACTAATCCAGTTGAAGTAGATGGATATATTCTATGTATTAGTTAATAATATATCGAAATTACAATCAAATAGAAATATTATTTATGTAATTATTTATCTTACTGTATTATTCCAAAATATAATTTAGAAAGAGTATATATATATTTATATATTAATATTATAGAGAATTGATTTAAAGAATCTGAAAAATATATATAAATTTAAAGTTTAGGATGTAGGAAAGAATAAATATGAATAGATAGTTTTCTATAATGATCCTAATGATGAAAAAGGTATTAGATTATATTTTGTAAATGTAAGTTATTTTATTATTTTAATAGCAATTTTAATTAGTAAAAATAAAATTATCAAGTACTGATACATTCCCAATAGATTATTAAATACAAATAATTATTAATAATAAAGTTTTAATTTGATTTGTATTTATATAAGTCACACCAGTATTTAATTATAAAACAATAATATTTTATAATACCTAAAATGTAGCTATAAGTTAAATGCAATGAATAATCATGGACATTCAGAAGACCTCTGGCTGAACTATCCATTAAGAAAATAGTAAAAAGACTTCCATATAGAATAAGTAATCTCCCAAATTTATTCACACTTCAATATGAAGACTTTGATGGAGATATGATTGATGTCACATGTGATGCTGACTTATAAACCATAAGGGAATGTTAATTCAATGATTAAGTTGTTACATTGTAAATATTTATTCATTTATTCAAGATATGTACAAGAAGTTTAATAAGGTGGATTTAAGAAGGAATAAGTATGTCATAGAAGAGAAAATAGAAAAGAACATATTAAATAAATTGTGAACCAAAGAGTCATGGAACTAATTCCTGAAATTACTAAGCAAGTCAAACTATCAATGGCAACAGATGATATTTAAAAAAAAATAGAAACATTATCAATTCAATATACAAGCATTAATGAAGTCAAAGAAGTTAAATAAGTAGTCCATGAGAAAGTAGCTTGTGATGGATGTGAAATGTTCCCTATTGTAGGTACTAGATATAAAGTAATTTATTCAAATTATAATATAGTGTGCCGTATGCAAGGACTTTGATTTATGTGAGAAATGTGAAGATCTAGGAACCCATGAACATGCTATGTTAAAGATTAGAAAACCAGAATAAGCTCCTTCAATTATCGTAACAGCTATTGTATTTAAATATTTAAATAATTAGGGTGATAAACCAGATTTACCATAAGGAAATATCTTAAGAAGCTAAATCTATTAAATCCTTTAATCAATGCAAGTTCAAGATTATACATCTATACCACCATTCCAATCAGATATTTCATCAATTTAATAAGAATAATAATAATAATAATAATAATAATAATAATAAGGAACTAACTTAAATAGATCCATTAATCCTATTATTATTGAATTGTGTGAATTATTAGCAATTAGACCAGAAGTAGCTGAAACATTGAGAGATTTGTTCCCAAATTAAAGTGCTTAGGAAATTATGGAAATTATTGGAGATGACCTAGAATACTTGAATTCCCTTCAAAGATCAACCATTTGATATATTAATAATAATCATCCATTATATGGCTATTTACGACCCCTTTATAGTAATAAATCTCTTTCTGCACGTTCTGCTGCCAATTTCTCTTACTTTACTCTTTCCTCTTTATCCTTTTTCTCTTTAGCCTATATATTTATATTTATTTATAAACAATTACCAATTATAGATTAGTTTATTTAGTGGCAACTCCCATATCAGTTTTTCTTGAAGCAAAGTTGTCTTGTAACATACCTCGAAATCTATTTATCTCTAATGTTTATTGAGCATATGCCTATTCTTCTGCTTTTTCTTAATCTTATCTTCTTTTCTTTTCTTCTATCTAATCTAGAATCCATTATTTTTGTTATTCTTTATTATATTTATTGCGAGAATCAAATTCTTAAGATAATAATATAATTATTACATAAATCTTCACCATCAAATTCCTTTAGACCACTTACACCTTATCTATATTACCAATCTGGATGTTCTCTAAAAAATGTTTCTTTTGTTCGTTTCATAATATAATTTATATAAATTTGATATATCAATTTTCATCTTCAAATTGATCTTCTTGATATTCTACAGAATTTAAAATTTACATTTAATACCTTCTTCATTAACTTCTTTAGTGGGATGTAATTCTGATTATAGACTAGCTTTAATATCGCTATTACTCCTATTTACTTTATTAATATAGCTAGAAGTAGGACGACTATTAGGTATTTATCGACTAATAATTATTAAATTAATTTAAATACTCTTATCTAACTGGGAAATTACCTTTATGATTTTCTACTTTTTCCCATTAATCATTTTCATCATCATTATCCTCTTCAAATACTCCGTCTACATTTATATTATATTCATCATCATCTTCTACTTATATTTCTTAATCGTCTTCAATCTAAGCATCATTTAAATCAGGTTAAAAATCGTTCTCATATTCAGTCTCATTATATTGATCATACTGCTATTGTTCATATTATTTTTATTCATCATAATTTTCTTACTCTTCACCTTCATCTTCTTACTCAATCATTTTCATTTATAAGGGATCTGGATCTGAATGACTTCTTACAAGTCCACCCTTAATCAAATATTATTGAACTGATTTTTAAGGAGTCCCATCATTAAGTGCATCATAATCAGCTATTTTTTCTTCTTTAGTTTCTAAAAGAGCAATCATCTACTCTTATTTACTTCTTTATTGTTTATAATAGAAGAATCCTTTTTCAGCACTTTAAATTAATTTAAAATATTACTCTTTATTATCATAGTATTATTATAAATCTTCTACTGTTATATCATCTTCTGCTTTGACCTATTGTAATTACTTTAAATACTCAATAAAATAGTCTCCTTTTAAAGTGTTGAGATGTTTAGATTGTAAAATAATCTAATAAAGATATCATATTTTACTTTAGAAATAAGATAAGTCAATTCTAATTCTCTAATAGTTTTGCCTTATAATATTTTTGATATCTAATTAATAAATTCATTTTTTGTGTAGGTTTTCTTATTCATTTATTTTTAAAATTGAGAATAAGTTCCTGAGAATACTTTTGCTAAACTTGATTCTATTACTTTAGTTTCAACTTAATCATAACAAGCCCAATAACCTATAGTTTTAAAGAATAATCCTCGAATCAATCCATTATCTTAAGAAATCTACATATTTGATGTATAGGGATATTTCTATTGAGGTGATTCAATCAAAAATCTAGCCAAATTTTAAGCATCCATCCTTTCTAAGAAAAAGGGATCATTAATTAATTTTTCTGTTAATTAAGAAATAGTAGTTTATTATGAGGTTTCACTAAATAATAGATTGTCTATTTGATGTGAGCTTTTCTAAAGAGCAATTAATTTATATTTAATTTCTTAAATGAGATCTTAAATTTCTTCTTATTAAATTGGTTTTGTAATTTATAGAGAAGGCTTTGCACTTTATATACGTTTTTATTATTTATTATGTGTTTATAATGCAGAATTACCTTTTGAATGTTAGGTTATTTTTTTTTCTTTTTCAATTTAATCTTATATCCTTTTTAAATTATTTTTAAGTTCATTTATTATCTTATCTTTCGATTTTAATTTAGCTTACATACTCTAATCTAATTTAACATATTCTTAGTCCAAATCTTAAAATCCTATTATAAGTTACTACTATTAAGATTCTAAATTCTTATTTTAAATTTCTAATTATTCTATATCTTCTTGCATTTACTTAATAAGATTATCCCTTTATTATACCATTTCCTATAATTTTTATTAATCCTTCTCTTTTTATTGAGCATAGAGATTTTATTGAATTAGTTCTTCTATAATTTATTTCATCCTTAAGGTTTCATCCTAAAAGTGTTTGCGTTCTATTTCCATTTCAGTGAGTCTAGTATATTTAACAGATTTTTTAAGCTATAGCATATCTTATTCTCTTTGATCTAACATTTGCCTCAATTCTTTTACTTAGCTTTTTAAACTCAATATCATTTAATTATCAGTGCTTGGTTTTGCATAAAATCTTTTCATGTTACCAGTTGCTTCTACTTCTTCAATTATCTTTTAACATTTTTGAAGGTCTTTCTAAATGATTCATGGCAATAATACTTCTAAGTTTGTGTTGCGTGTTCTTAATTTAATATTTTCATCTTTGAATTAATTGAGCTATACCTTCAATTATTAGTTATCTTCTAACAATTTCTCACTCTCCTTCACTCTATATTATGAAACGTTCTATTGATTCACTTACTTATAAGGACTACTCATAATCTAACTTTATTACTTCTTTAAAAAGGAGGCATTCTTATCACTCATATGAGATACATTCTATTAAGCACTCGAAGGTCTAATCGGTCTTTGATTCATAATTAATATTTATTATGGATTTTAACGATTTAATATTTCCCTCTCCCAAACCTAGTTACGATTACACTCTCTCTGGTCTTTATTACATTGAAGAAGAAATTTAATATCATCGTAGTCGTTCCCTTATTCAATAAAATGAACTCAAAACATATGATGGTACTATCAAAGTAACACTCAATTAATCTGAATCATTAAGATAATTGAGTTAAAATAGATAAACCAAAAGAATAGTTACTCTCTTATAACTTGAAGAAAATCTTAGAAATGGTATTATTGTCTATTTTCATGCCAATGCCGAAGATATAGGAATGTGCAAATCTATTGCTTTTCTTCTTGCTGCAGAATTGGAAGTATCAAAATAATACTATTAAGATGGCCTCCATCTGTATGGAATATCCAGGTTATGGAATTTATCATGGTTAATCGTCTAGTGATACTATAATTAAAGATGCATATCAATTAATTGATCATCTCATAAATAACCTCAAAGTTCATGAATCTAAAATAATTATTATGGGTAGATCTATAGGAACCAGCATTGCTGTTGAAATGAGTATTAGATATAAAAGAATCAGAGCACTTGTTTTATTGAGTCCATTTACATCTCTTTGTGATGTTATTAAAGAAAATAGTTTTAATTGGGTATCAAAATTAGTTAAAGAACGATTCAGAAATCTTGAAAAAATGCATAAAGTGCATTCTCCTACATTATTTATTCATGGTATCAATGACAAATTTATATCTTATTAACATTCAATTTAATTGATGAGTAAATGTAGTGGATTTGTTCATTTACAATTATTTGAAGGAATGACACACAACTCTTTTTTAATTGATTTGCATATCATATCACCAATCAGATAGTTTTTAATGAAGATTTAATCATGAATAGTATATATATATAAATCATTAATCATTTTCACTTAATGCTCCTTCTTCTTCATCTATTTTTGTCAATAATCCACTTATTTAATAATCAAGCAATTCCTTTAATTTTTCTTACATAAATTCATCCAAATCTAATAATAATTATTATTATTACTATGTTCATTAGCAAATCGAGCTGCTAAATCAGATGATTAATCTCCTTCATAAACTACTATTCTTTCAGTTTTACTTGGTCCCAAATTCACATCTACAAATAATAATGGTATTCTTTCATCTTATTCTATTAATTTATATTTATATATTACAGCTACCAGTTCTAACAATACTCTATTCTTCTTTTGGTTATGATTCATCCATATGGAAATTTTAAGATTGAAAAGTATTCATTTATTAAGAATCCTATGATTACATACTCATTTATCTAGATGATTAAGATGTTTATTTAATTTAATTTTATGATTCACTTCTACTATCCTTTTTTTATGAAATAGATTAAACTTATTATTATTAATTTTAAGTTCCTTTATTACTTTTATATCCTCTCTCTAACATTCCTTATACTTCTTCTCTTCTTTATCTTGCTTATTTCATTCTTTAAACAGTTTTATCAACATCTTTATTTACATAATGATTATCTTATTTTTATTATTATTATTAGCTAGTCTTAGTTTATAAACCTGGTTAAAATGTACATTCTTCTAATTATTTTTCATATTCAATTTCTTCAGTTGTTCTATCTCTTTTCTAAGTAGCTGGTTTTGCCAATGAATATAATTATAAATATTTATCTTATTTTTTAGAATAACTCTTTCTCTCTTCATTATTTTAATTATTTAGTAATTATGGTTTAAATGGACATTAATCTAATTATTATTATAATATTTCTTATTTTTTTTGTTCCTTATGATAATCCACTGCTTTCTTTTATAAAACTAATAGATCAGCATGAGTAATCTAACCATTTTCAGGAATATTGACTTTAATTAATTAATTATCAATTAAGTTAGCAGTCTCTTCTAATAATTTCTCTCTATATTAATTAGCTAATTATTTTGATTAAGCCAATATTTATGGTTTATAAGGATTTTCATCTTTCCAATTTGATTTCTTCAATTCTTCACAACCTAATCTATTTCTATATAAAATATCAAATTATTTTTATATTTTCTTTGTTTCTTCAAATGTAAATATTATATTTCCATCTTTGTCTATAGTTCCTAATTTAGGTTTATCATTAGGTTGATGTGCTGTAACAATTTTATGTTATTGAGGTTAAATTGATTTTTAATAATTTGGTAATTCCTCATTCTAAGCTGATGGTAATTCTTTTATTTTGAAATCTGTAATTCCAATTAATGTTAATAAAAACAAACAAAGATTTCTTTTACTAATCCCTCCTAATTCATCACCTCTCAATACTGTCCATATTTCACACAATAATGCTCTTTCCTCTGATAACCTTAAATTTTCATATTCCACAGCTCTTTCATTGTTATCTTTAGCTTACAATTAATTAAGGAAATCTAATCTTTAAAGTATTTCACCTAATTTCAAATAATCAATTGAAAAAGAGACATTAGATGGTCTTTCTTATCCTGTTTGATCAAATATCCAATCAATAACAATCTCAAATTCTCTAATAAACTTTTATGCTACTATCTTTTCACTATTATTTGAAGTATATTTAACATTTACTGTTACAACTTTAGGAGCATTCTATTTATCTTATACTTCTTTCTATTTTTATTGTCTTCTTTGAGCATCTTAATATAGGATATCTTCAACTTTTTAATTTCTTACTATATTTGATGATTTCTATTAAATAACTGGTTTAAAATCAACAGTTGATTCTGATTGTTACATTTTTGGTTCATTTGGTTTTTTTTAATTTAAATTGTATAGTCTTTCATATGTAGGTATTGAATCATCTCTTGATTGAAAATGAAATTCATTAGTTTTTGGATGATAAGAATGTTATTAATCTCTTTCCATTTCATTTAATTTGATTTACTCTAATTTTTATTCTATTTTAAGAACATGATTCTGTTAATCAAATAAAAATTAATAAAGTGATCTTTTTTCTTAACCGTCATTTAAGGTTTAAGGAGCAAATGAACAAGGACGCAATTCTTCTTAATCATAATAATCTTTCAACATTTAATTATTCTATTTAAAAATTTCTGCTTCTTAATTCAATCTCTCATATAAGATTTCATTATTTGGTTAAACCATGATCTTTTTCTAAATTGGAAGTTTGGGTAAATTTGTATTTTGTGTTCGAAGAGGAAAGTCATCTGGCTATTCATCACCTTTCAGTAGTGCTGGACATACTGTCATATGTTATTGTTTTGAGTTCATTTAAAATTATCAGTTAAGAAATAAAATATATATTTATTGTCATTGATATATTTGATCATTTATCAAACTCTATTTTGATAGTCAACTTACTCAATACTTTTGCATATAAGTAATAAATGATAATAAGGATTAGAAAAGTTATTATTGTACCATTTAAAAATGGAATTATAGATTTCAACTTTTATTTTATTTTACTTTTTTATTATTCTACCTTTTTATCATTTGTATCACTCTTATCTTCACAATTATCATTATTATTTGATCCTTTTAAATAATTACTTAATTCTTATCTAATTGTAGGAAATATTTTTTCATTAGTTTTTTCTTATATTTCATCTTGACTTGCTTTTTCAATTACTAAAAATTATAACATTATAATAAACCTTTTCTAACCAAAACTGATTTTAAGAATTCATTACGAATTCTACAATCAAATTTAATACCTTTCTCTGTTTAAATACATTTATATCTAACATGAACTTGAAATGATTCAGCATAAGGTACCTTTTATTTATTATTATAAATTTTTACTTTATATGTTTTCACTATCAAATCTAAAATGAATAAATCCTAATCCACAAAATAAATCTTTTATTATTCTTTACAATCACATTTTGTGGGCATAAATGGAATTGAAGATTTTGGTAATGGTTAAATACAAGTAAATTCTCTTTCATGAAAATCAGGACCATCCAATAAATTTTGAGTCCCATAATCGGAATCAAAATCAATTGGAGGAATTGGAACCCATTAAGTTAAATTTAAACCATCACATCCCAATGGACCTTTTTTCATTTTCTCATAAAATGTCAAATTCTACCCAGGCATCTTATCTCCAAATATTAATCTATAAAATAATTTAACATTTATTTCAGGAAATTCAAATATAGTCTCAGAAATAAATATTTCAGGATCTGGACCCATTAAATTTATTATTCTTTATTTTCTATCCTCTAATTATCTATTATTGTATATATTATATACTTTAATTATTCTTAAGTATATGGTACATTTATAATCTTTATTGAATTTATAGGAGCTTGATTAGTTAATGATGCCATTAATTCAGGCTATTCTTTTGGAGAAAAAGTCTTTATTATTAAATCATAAGCTATATCTCTTTAAAAGAAAGTAGCAAAAAATAATTAACCTTTTGGTGTATATATTGAAATAGAATTATCAAATATATATGCATTTGTTCTCTTTTATATTGATAAGATATCTTATCTAGGAATATTCAATATTGTATCACCAAAAAATAAATTATTTGAATTGAAACTTGAATGAAAAAACAATCTTTTATTTGTTATATACAATCTTCCTTGTAATTAGATTTTCTCTGATAATGCACATGCAAATGATGCAATTAATATTTCATTAATTTCTATTTTTAACTTTGATTTAATAAATTATAATTATTCTATTTTATCTTTATCTTATTCTTTAGTTGATTATTCACTTATACTTTATTAATCATCGTCTGGTTCATTCTAACTTTAATCCAGAATCTATTTATGATTTAATATTTTTACAATATTTGGTTTAGGTAATGATTAAAGTTAATAAAAATCCTAATCAGATTAGTATTTATAATCATAAGTTTCTGTTTATAAATCTTCTATTAAAGCTTTAGCCTTATTTTTTACAAATATTTATTTATAAAATATTTTAAATGATTTTTAAGATTTCAAATATTAGATAACTTATTCCTATGATCTTTTTTTCAATTCTAATGCATCTTCTAATTGATATGTACTATATATTAATAATTATTATATACAATTTCAATAGATCTATTAAATTAACATTAAATGCCAAATATATTTATTCTGTAACTTCACTTATTGTCTTATATCTTTTACTTAATTTGTTATCTAATTCTAATACTAAATGTTTAATGGCATCATTACTCTTTTTTATCATTTATCTAAAATCTTATTCATTCTAATATTAATCAATTATATACTTTAGATTAATTATAAAAGTCTTTTTTATTGGAATCCATTTAACTTAAAGTAATAGTTCTATTATATCCTTATTATCTAAGATAATTTTGATGAACAATTTGTAAATCAAACATTTATTTATCTATACTTGAAAATACAATATTTTATTCATTTGTAATTTTCTCTTGAACTTATAAAATTGATTGCTATTCTTCTTATAAAAGATTTGAAAATTTATTAGTAAATAAATTAAACAAATCATTTATACTAGTGTAAGCATATAAATCATTGTATCCCTATTCTCCAAAGACTTGGTTAAATTATTCAAACCATTTCAATTATGAAAAATAGTTTTATTTAAAATCTGGTTGCTTTATGCATGCTTTTCCTTATTTTCTAAATTAAATCATTAATTCATCTATAAATTACAATAATTTAAATATGAGATTATTATTTATACTACAATTTTCCTTAACTACTTTAGTATATGTTAATATCCATTCATAATATTAAATTAATTATGAAGTAGGTACTAATTATATATCTTATTTTAAAAAGTTAGGTATCCATTAATCATTTTAATCATTTATTGTTTAATAACTTTAATTAACTGATGGTATATTTTTGATTGAACGAAAAGAGACATCTTCATTATTTTATGTTATAGTTTCAAAAGATTCATCTTAATTAAAATTAAAATTCTTTTGAACATAATATAATTATTAAAAATCCTATTGACTAACATAATCCATTTTATCAAAATTAAATTTGGATTAATCAGGTAAAATAGTAAATTAATATTTAATTTATTTTTAATGTTTTTTACTCATTTAATAAAATGATTCTATTTTTTATTTAAAACTAATGATATTAGAATAACATAATTTATGTGTTAATGCAATTATTGTTGAAAAAGCTTCTTCAATTATTTTCTAAAGTTATTATAATTCAATGCATAAGCATTTTCTACGATAATTAAGAACTTCTAAAGAAGTAAGAATTTGATTTTCATTTTCTTTGATTTTTCTTATTTTTTATTACAATTCATTGTATCTCTATTATTTGAGATTTTAATTGTATAACATAGAAGGATCATTTACAGTTTGTTTATATAGTTCTAATTATTCAGTATATTATTGTTTTCTGTTTTTCAAACCTTCCAAACTCTTCTTATATTATTATTCATCATTTTTATAATACTAATGAAAAAATAAAACTTCAAAATACTTTGATTGCAGTTTAGACATAGCCATTATGATGCTCTATAATTTTATCAATTTATTCTCGTACTAATGATTCATATTGATTTAAACCATCTTATTGTTCTAGATTGCCTTGTTTTACAAAGGTAAATAAATCCTATACAATCTTGAATTAGTTTGATTCTATATAAATACTTGACTCAATTTGACTAAACTTTTAGACAATGGCAATTAAGGTTATTGCATGTATTTAGTAATTTTTTCAGCATTTTTTATATTGGTTCCACATAAATCTAATTGCTTATTCAAAATATCATCAAAAAACCTAAGTGATTAGAATTAGTAATACTTTTTGAAATATGAAGTTACTTTATGAAAATCTTGAATATCTTTAGTCATCAAGACATATTATTATGCATCAAATAATTCTTCAATATATGAAAAATGTTATTTCATAAGTTAACTTATCAATAATAATAATTAAAATTTGATTATAAATTATTTCAAAATATCTCACAACCCTTACAACAAGCATGATTGGCAACGGGATCAACTTATGTCATCTCAATATTTTATCCTTGCACTTCTTCTGGTTAAATTATTTTAGTAGCAGATGCATTACTTATAACATTATTCTCTTCTTCATGCTAATTTTTATTATTCACATCAATTTCAACTTTTTAAGTTTATTCTTAATGATCTTATTCTTATTATTATTATTATTACTATTATTATTATTATTACTATTATTATTATTATTATTATTATTATTATTATTATTCTGATGATTTTAATACTTCTTATTCGGGTTCTTATTTAGAAATAATAGCATCTTTATGAACTTATTCTTATTCTTTTCTTTCTTCATGTTAATGATCAGTCTATTAGAAATTTAATTCATTATTATTATTTTAGTCAATCTCTTACTATTATTAGTTTTATTTTAGAGGAGATGATTGATGAATTTAATCATTTACTTTTTATTATTCTTGATCATTCAATTCCTATTTTTAATGTTATTCTTAATCCTTTTAATCAATTTAAGATGCATATCCAAATTCAGCTGATTTTTTTGGTTCTAAATTATACAATTATTTTTAAGTTTCGAAAAAATCATTAACATTATTTTCTACATTATCATAAGGATCTTCATTTTGTTATATCTATTTATCATCATTTCTATCATTAATAAATTATTATATTTATTATTTTTATTTAGGAACAGTATATCCATCAATTAAATCTAAATTATATGGAGGCCTATTATAAATAAAATATAATTACCAAAATGTAGTTTAATTAGATTATGTACCTCCATATTTCTATTCCAATTGATTTGGATCAATAATTTACTGTAATTTCATAAAATCTTTCTTCTATAAAAAATTAATCTTTTCTGCAGTTTCAGGATCTAAAAATCCAGATATAGTTTTCCATAAAAAATTTAAACCTGTTGATGGATTTAAAATGAACATCTTCTCCAAACAACCACCAAAATTTGTACTCATTGTATCAATAACTACTTATAATGCTTTTGTTGGTAAACCAAAAACTCCTAAACCATTACTTTCCAATAAGAATATCCAATTCTCAACTTTACCAGGTATGAACATATATTTTTTTATTATTCCCATTTGGAATGACAATGCCTAAATTATCGTTTCTTTATCATACTATATAAAATATATTTAAAGTCTTACTTTCTTTAAATCAATTAGATGAGCATTCAAGATAACTATAGGACGATATTGCTTATCTCTTCCAAATATATAACATATGCCATTCTTAAGAAATTTTTCAGTTGCTGGATTTATTTAATGATATATTGGATTTGCTCTCCAAGCCAGATGCAACTACAATTTCTAATGGAATTATGATGAAATTATTTACTTTGATAACTTCTTTCATTTTAAAACGACCTGAATAACCAATTTTTAAATAATCACTTTCTTTCCAACTGATTTATAAAACAAAATAGTTACTCTGATGGAAGCTATATATTTAATTTTTAGATTTCTTATTTAAGTTCTTTGATCTTTTCTTATTCAAAAGAATCGTAAGGAACACAATCATAAATTTTACGAGCTCCTTTTTCTCTTTCATGATGTTTAATATAATAATCTACGAATTGAATAGTAGTTTCTAAATACCTGTATGTTAAACTGAATGAGCTCCCAAAGGAGGATTTAAATAGGAATAGTCGATACTCATTATATAAATATATAATGCTTATAATTAAAATCTGTGATAATTTGAAATAAGAAAATTATAAAGAAAATTAATTATTTACAACATATACTCTATCTATCGACTTTATACTTATATCTATTTGTAAAATCTATATAAAACATTGATAATATACTTAATATCATATAATTATTAACATTTAAATGAAAGTAGATACTCTCCTATCATAAATAATATAAATATTTACAGGTCTATTAGATTATATTAAATTTCTATGATTTATTGTAGAAAGATTGATATCCAAAATATTGAAAACATCATATTTTCTATAAATAATTATCTAAAGTTAGCTATATGATTTATGAATATTAAATAAATCTATTCTAAATTCAACTATGAGAGAATGATATTATTATGGATATGAATCCAATTTGATATATAGATTTGTATAATAATATATTTTCACTAAGTTTCGTGATAATTTGTTATGATTATAAAAATATTTCAAATATTTATATTATGACTAATAAATTTGTTTCTCATTCCATTTTAACTTCAAAAGATGGACTAGAATTTTAAGAGGTTAAACGCAATTAGCCAATTCAAGTTTAAGAAAAAAAGTTATCGTTTATGACTCTTACAGAATAGATGGTCGAATAAGAAAAACTTGATTAATTACTTAGACCTGAGGTAACCAAAATGTAAAGGAAAAAATAAACTAAACCTAATATTTATGAAAAGACTAAACCATTAACAGATGAAGGTATGTAAAATTAGCATAATTAATAGATAATCTTGAGTATGTTGAAGAAAGTGGGTTTAAATAAGAAATATTTAATGAAGAAGATTTTGACTTTTTTTAATATTATGGCTAATTGAGAGAAATTGAGAATAGAAAAATAAAAATTGAAAGAGAACACATTAAGCAATTTAAATAAAGAAGATCTGAATTAACTATTGATAGCACACCTCAAATTGTTGTTTAAAAAGAATCTTAAGCATCTGATAAAATATATTCTGTAGGTTCTATCAAAGTAGTCAAATTAAAGATTAAACCTCCTTAATTTTTAGAAGATCTTAATCATGAAAATAATAAAGAAGAAACAAAAAATGTTGACAAAAATGAAAACTAATAAGAAATTAAAAATCCAAATATAAAGAGTTTTAAACCCCTAGTTAATGATGATGATGATGATATTATACCAGAACCTGCTGTATAAAAAAAGGTAAAACTTGTAGAATATGATTCTGAATGAACCAATATTTATATAATAATAATAAAACCAACCATTTAAATACGAAACATTAATATAAATATCGTTGTCGGCCATACTAAGCCTAAAGCACCGGATCCCATTCGAACTCCGAAGTTAAGCGGCTTAAGGCGAGGTTAGTACTAAGGTGGGGGACCGCTTGGGAAGTCCTCGTGTTGACAACCCTTTTTTTATTAATTTTATTATTAATTATTAATTAAATTCTTTTTTTAAACATTTTTCATTATCAACTACAAATTAAAAACAGGATGGATTACCAATATGTATATGAAAGAAATCATTTTCTTACTAATCTTTTAACTTTTTGTAAATTTTTCATATTGAAGAGAAGTTGAAAAATACCGATTTAAGATAGGTTAGTTAAGATTTATCATTCAATTTTCTATTGAATATTAAATATATTTACTATTTTATATTCAGGATGTCATTATAATTATAATTAATTCAATCGTAAAAAATTAAGATCGAGAATTCTATCAATATTTTATAAAATCTAAAAAATAATAAAATATTATTAAATTTAATGTAATATCAATTGAATTGATATTTAGATAGGAATAGTATATAAAAAGTTGTCAGTTAATGTTATATCATTATAATTTTATTGATTCATAAATATAACAATTCATATATGTTAAATATTATTTATTAAGATTGAATATATTAATTTGTTTTGCAAATACACACTAGTAACTTAATCAATCTTTTCCCCAAAAATTATTGAATATAGTTAAGTATGTAGATTTAATTGCTGCATCCTATATATATTTAAATATCAATATTACGTCATAATGATAGAAATAATTTATAATTCCCATAGCAAGACCGAATAGGAATAATTCCCAACCTTTAATATTTGATACATATCCCCTCTTTTTTAATAATCTCCATGCAGTTTCTAATGATTTTGGGAATATAAATAATGCTATTTCTTATCTTCTACCTTCAGATTCTAAGAAAAGTGCTGAACAAGCAACAGATGCTGCAAGTGCAGGATTCAAACCTAAAGATCCTTAATTATTATTTACCATCTACTTTTTATCTAATATTTTTAAGTTTGCATAAAGCATATTTACAAATAGCAACATAAAGAGAGACAAATAAAACTGATTTGGCATAATTATAAAAAGCCACNTATAAATATCGTTGTCGGCCATACTAAGCCTAAAGCACCGGATCCCATTCGAACTCCGAAGTTAAGCGGCTTAAGGCGAGGTTAGTACTAAGGTGGGGGACCGCTTGGGAAGTCCTCGTGTTGACAACCCTTTTTTTATTAATTTTATTATTAATTATTAATTAAATTCTTTTTTTAAACATTTTTCATTATCAACTACAAATTAAAAACAGGATGGATTACCAATATGTATATGAAAGAAATCATTTTCTTACTAATCTTTTAACTTTTTGTAAATTTTTCATATTGAAGAGAAGTTGAAAAATACCGATTTAAGATAGGTTAGTTAAGATTTATCATTCAATTTTCTATTGAATATTAAATATATTTACTATTTTATATTCAGGATGTCATTATAATTATAATTAATTCAATCGTAAAAAATTAAGATCGAGAATTCTATCAATATTTTATAAAATCTAAAAAATAATAAAATATTATTAAATTTAATGTAATATCAATTGAATTGATATTTAGATAGGAATAGTATATAAAAAGTTGTCAGTTAATGTTATATCATTATAATTTTATTGATTCATAAATATAACAATTCATATATGTTAAATATTATTTATTAAGATTGAATATATTAATTTGTTTTGCAAATACACACTAGTAACTTAATCAATCTTTTCCCCAAAAATTATTGAATATAGTTAAGTATGTAGATTTAATTGCTGCATCCTATATATATTTAAATATCAATATTACGTCATAATGATAGAAATAATTTATAATTCCCATAGCAAGACCGAATAGGAATAATTCCCAACCTTTAATATTTGATACATATCCCCTCTTTTTTAATAATCTCCATGCAGTTTCTAATGATTTTGGGAATATAAATAATGCTATTTCTTATCTTCTACCTTCAGATTCTAAGAAAAGTGCTGAACAAGCAACAGATGCTGCAAGTGCAGGATTCAAACCTAAAGATCCTTAATTATTATTTACCATCTACTTTTTATCTAATATTTTTAAGTTTGCATAAAGCATATTTACAAATAGCAACATAAAGAGAGACAAATAAAACTGATTTGGCATAATTATAAAAAGCCACAGAAATAGTTTTTAAGGGTCTTCATAAATTTAAAGATATCTACCTCTAAATCACTCTCTTTCTTTTGAAGATGAGAAATGGAATTAAATGGATAGGTATATAGTATTTGTATGATTTTGGAATTAATTAAAGCAGTCTTACAAAAGAGGCATACAAACATGTGCCATCATGAAAATCATTGCATTCTACTATGCCTAAATCATTAATAATCCTCTCTTAGAATTCTTTCGATAAACCTCTATTATTAATGGACATAGATTTTATTATAATTTTGAGCAAATAATTTAAATAAATTCTATAATAAAGACCTTTAAACTTATATAAGACTTTATTCAACATAAATTGATATTACGAAAACCTAGTTTACATAGTTTAATTTTATTTATAATTTAAGAATTCTTTTATTAATTTGTTTACTTTATTTATAATATGTTTGAGAATGATATTCAAAATGAAGAATCTCTCAAAAGGAAGGTATTATGTTTAAATTAAAAATAAGATCAATTTATAAAATAAAAATGATGATAAAGCGAATGAAAATATCTAAAATTCATAAGATCAATCAGAACTGATCAGATGATACTAATATATGCAATTTGAAAAATACATTAACTAATAGTATAAATTCATATTGAAAATAGTAATCTTATAACATAAGGGTACATTAAGAAAATGGCAATTAAATATATTGTTTTCCTATTTATGAATGATTTATCTTTCAAGAGTCTTTAAAAATTGGGAGAAGAGATAGATGGATAGTTAAAGAAGTTAAGAATTCAATTTTTAAGATATGTCAAAATAAGTTAAAGAAAAGGATTAGGAATCTTTTGAAAAAATGTTTAGGTTTTTACTACAAAAAACAATGATATAAAATAAAAAATGATTGTTATAATTTAAAATTAATATGTAAGATAGTTAAAACCTGAAGGATTTACAAGTTTAACTCAATAGATTTATAAGTAGACTTGAGGAATTAGAAAGAGAAAATAAATACTTGAAGGAATAAGTTCAAAATTAATAATGTTAATTGATGTAAAATGTAAAAATAATTGATGTAAAATATCAATAAATTCATCGTAAGTAAATTAAATAAATTAAACTAAGATATTTAAAGTGTCTATATAAATATGGTACATTTTAAAGTTGTCTAAATAGCATGATTATACAATACAATAAATTAATAGATAAATTTGGTATTGATGACACTATTAAAATGGATCTAAAAAGTTGTATAGAAAAATATGGTGTTATTTATGAAAAGAATAAAATAATTGATGAAGATGAAATGAAAAATATAATAAATGAAAGAATTTCAAAAGAGAGTGAAGAAATATATACACTATTTTTTCCAACTAAAGTTTATTAATACTTAACTGATAATGATTCATTGTAATTAATACATTATATTATATTTAGATAGAATACTTGTACATTTTAATCATTATAATCATAAAGGTTTAGAATGTAAAATTCTATGTAAAATACTTAAGAATTGATTACAGATAATTCTGATGATACTATTATTAATAATCTAACAACTTAAAGATATTTGGAAAAGTTATAATTTGATTATTAAAATGATCAAACATTACATTATCCAAAAACCTTTAAAGTGGAAAAACTATTATAATAAACTAATAGAGATTTAAGTTTATAAAATAATACAGACAGATCATAAAAATCTAAATTTGAAAGAAAAGGAGAAAGCAAATAAGAAATAAAATAAGAGTAATTCAAAGTATCCCCTCTTAAATCATTAAATTATTCAGGAGTTGAAGATAGACTGAAAAGATTTGATAATTAAGAAAATGAATAAGGGCATCCTAGGAGAAGATCAAGAGCAGATAGAATAAAATAGTAATAGTGATATATGAAATTAATTTTACTATATTTCTAAGTATTAATATATATATATATATAAATTGTATGGATTTGGATATATAAAATCCTTAGGTTTTGATTCAGAATAATTAAAAGAACTGATCTTAAGTGATGTATTATAAGGTTAAATTAAATTGAAATGAGGTCAACTAATTTTTAAAAATGTGGAGATGATGGACATATTTGAAATTTTGATAATGAAAATAGGTGAGATTTATATTTAATATGTATTAGATTAAATATTGATTTGAGAAGGTTCTTAAGTAAATGTTTGATTGGTATTTTTTGAATCACAAGGAAGAATAGAACATTCTATGATTTTCTAAGACATTCTAAATTTATTTATGCTTGAGAGAATCTTAATAAAATAAATATTATAAATTAATGTCGAAATCTCGTAGTCAATCATCTATACCAGCATTTTTATAGAAAACATATGATATTTTGGAAGTATTGTAGTCTATTTAATTACAAGAATCCTTAATTGTAAGATATTGTAGGTTGGAATGAAGATGGTTCAGGATTTCTTGTAAAAAACGTGATAGCCTTCTAAGATCAAGTTCTTCCTATGTACTTTAAGCATAGAAACTTTGCATCTTTTGTTCGCTAAGTAATTAATAAAAGTCAGCATCAAATAGATGAATATGTATGGGTTTCATAAGTCAAGAAGTGATTTAAAAGAGAACGAATTCATTCATCCTCATTTTAAGAAGGACTAAAAGTATAATTATTATATGTAGTTGAAGAAATCTTTTAAAAAAAATAAAAAGAAAATCAGGTGAACATAATGATGAATAATTTGCAATAATGGAACTAAAACCACATAGAAATACTAATATATAAGATGTTAATTATTAAGTTATATTATTAATTAGAAATAAATTTAAGAAATATTAACTAAATAACAAGAGTTAGAGAAAGTTTGTAAAATATTAATTGAATAAAATAATAAAATATTATAATGCAATCAGTAACTAAGGAATTAATTGGTTCAAGAAAGGTATATATATATAAAAAGTAAATTAGATTCAATGGTAATAAAAAGATATAGAAATTAAAAGATTACTTTTTAGGATAATAATAATAAATGTAAGGTCTTGAAGATGATCTATTATAAGTAATTAAATTAAATTTAGAATTAGAAAAGATAATCTACATCATTTTATTAAGCATTGGAATCTGATAATGAGGATTTGATTGTTGTAGGTAAAAAAAAAGTGAAGGAAGATGATTCTGATAGTACAATTCAAAGAATGGATAATCAATATTCGAATCCACCTTTAATGTTGACAAATGCAGAACATTAAAATATTTAAGAGTCAAATGATGATGGAATAATTCAATTGTTGGGAGATCAACAATTAGATGATATATACTTTGATTGATCTATAAAATAATTATGTATAGATATAATATAATTTAATGAATTAATAGTTAGGATCTTATGTTAAATTCTTTCATATCATAAGAGAATTAGGAGATAGTTTCTAAATTGATAGCAAATAGAAATAAATACTCAAAGTTAACTTTACTATAAAGGATAAAAAATTGATGACTATTTTAAATGATCTAAGTACAAAATTAATATAAATAAGATGATGAAGACTAAGAAGAAATTAAATTTAGTCTTTTAAATTATCTAAATGAATTACCTAAAGAAAAATAAGGAGTTTCAAGATAAATGAAGAGAACTAGATCAAGCATTACAGATGTTGATTTAATCAAAGGTATCTAATTTGATGAAACTAAATCACATGATTCTGTTAATGATATGGAAAAAGCATTTAAATTGATTAATGATTTCTATAATAAAAAAAAAGAAGGACAAACCATTAATCCTAAAATCAATTAAATATTTGAAAATATTCGTAATCTATTTATTTAGAATGAATCTTAATAAAATTAATCACCAATTTTATTAACTAAAGGTTCTTCATCTCCAACTATGGATATGAATTAATTGATTGAATCAGATTTGTTAGATTCATATAAAAATATAAAGTTTCAATTTGCTAATTATATGAAAAGTCATTTGTTATTAATGGATGAAAATGTTTCATACACTACTATATTTAATTTATTAAGAGAATTAACAAAAAATCTATTAAATTGTGATCATTTTAGTTTTTTCAATTTAAATTCAAATTCTGAACTTGAATTATATTAAACTAAGACTGATATTTTTGATTAAATTCCATTAGATCAATCAATTACTAATGAAATAGCCTCATTTCCATAAAATAAGATATTTAGATTTCCACTAAATTCTCAATTATGCTCTAAATTAGATTAAATGAATTATTTATCCTCTTATGGATTATATTCAAATAATATCATCTTTATTTATCATTCCAAATAAAATAAATAATTAGATTCAGGATCTATATTAAAGTAAAATTGATTCTGTATCCTTTATGTAGAATAGCAAATGATTATTAATTGATAGATGAATTGAAAAATATGTCTATGTTTTTAATTCATACAATATAGAATGCCAAAGTCTAGTTCTTTAGTCCATTATCAATTGCAGATATGATCTTAGATTTAGGAATCTCATTTGTTAGAGCATCCAAATTTATATTAATTGAATAAATGTACAATATACTATCTTAAATGTTTAAAATAGATAAGTAATCTTAATTTAATGATAGATTATAAACAGATTAATAAGAAATTTCAGTTTGGGATTCAGAAAGTGTATATATAGTATTTAAAGACTATTAAGTTACAGTGTGTTTTAGAATTTATTAGATGAATTTATAGAAATAAAGTGATTAAAGAATATATTCAGAAGTAAAACATTATTATGAAAAATATCTCAGATTTATTAGAGAATGTTTTGATAAAAGTGCATTTTATAAATTCTTTTTAAGATCTAATGATTCATTAGTCTTTGAATTTGATAAAAGTGGACATCTATTATTTTTATCAAGACCAATACCTAAATAAATTAAATCAAATTTTAATATCTAATTTAATTCACATATGATACATAATAATCAATTATCATATAATAAAATATTTGATTAAAATGTAGTTTCAAATATTGAAAATTATTTATAAGATCATAATTGGAAAACTATGAAAGATAATGAAAAATAATATGAAATATTCTTGAAAATAGAAGAAAAAACATATAAAGGATTTGCTTTGATTTTTACAGAAAATACTAAAGGATGGGTTAAAAAGTAATTTAAATAATTAGAATCTGGTAATTAATTAGATTCTAAAATTAAAGCTAAAATTAGAAAATAATTAATTTAACATGAAACTATCAATTTTGTTAATAAACTAGAAGAAAATAATCCAGAAGTTAAAAATTCAGTTGCTTCATTATATATGCCTTTACAATAATTGATATTAAAACGAACTAAATCAAATTAAACTAATTAGCAAGATTAACATAAAATACAAACATCTGAAATAGAATTCAAAAAATCTAAATTTGCAAATATTGAAGAATTAGATTTAAATGAATTCTAATTAGAAAATCAAGATGATTTAATAGATACATTTGATTTTAATATTATGGATTTAACAAATTAAAAAGAAAAACATAGAGTTGTATGGGTTATTCTAAAAAAGAATGCAATTTTTGATGATTTTCATTTACCTTATGAAAATTTATAAAATTTCATTAAAGAGATTGAATATCATTATAATATTAATAATAATCCATATCATAATTATGATCATGGTATTACAGTTATGCAAACAGCTCATTATTTTTGTAAAGAATTAGAATAAACATCAAAAAATACAATTATAGATAATTTTAATAAATTTATTTTAATGATAAGTAGTTTTGGACATGATGTAGGACATACTGGTAGAACTAATGTATTTGAAATAAATAGTTTAAGTGATTTAGCAATTAGATATCATGATAAAAGTGTATTAGAATAACATCATGCTGCATTAACAATATAAATTTTAAAATACCCTTAATGCAATATTCTAATCAATTTAAATTAAATTTAATTTAGAAATTTTAGAAAAGGATTAATATCAAATATATTAAGTACAGATATGACTGAACATTTCACACTATTAAAAGATTTTGAAAATAGACCTAAAAATTTTAATGATTCTAAAATTTTAAGTGGTTATATAATGCATGCTAGTGATTTTGGTGGTGCTGGAAAAAGAAGTAATATTTCAGTAAAGTGGTCATAGAGAGTAAATTAAGAATTTAGTATTTAATATAAGTTGGAAGGAGAACTTGGATATCCATAATAACCATATATGAAAGATTTACATATTGTAATATTCTAAATTTTATTAATTATAGCCTTAAGTAATGGCAAAATCTGAAGTTGGTTTTTTGAAAGTGATTGTTAGACCTTGTTATGTATTGTTAAGTGAATTTTTGGAAGGTAGATTAAAACATTGTATTGGATATATTGATGATACTATTCAACATTGGGAAAAGATAGGAAAAAAAAATGAAGAACAATAATAATAATGATAACTATATTAATTAATTTATATGTAGTAATTTGATAATTTAAAAATTTCGGATAATTTCATTGAGAAATATTCTAATTGAGTGTATATTAAATTATAGATTAGTGTTAGATCTAAGTTACAATTTAAAGATGGAATCAAAATAAAAAAATATTTAATGAGCAAATCTGATCATTTTTATCATTTCCTTTAAATAATTTGAGTAACACTTCACATTTAATAACAAGAAAGTTTATATCTATTTATTAATAATTCTGGTTTGATCAAAGAAGGTACATTACTAAAGAGTCAAGTGGATGAAGTTTATAATAAATATAATATTCAAATGGATACTTGAGAATTCAATTGACAGAATATCCCTCATTTGGATAATGATGTGATAACTTAATTAATTCGTACTTTTTTTATATTAAATAAATACTTCTAGTTATCCTTTTAAATTTTAGAATATAAAAGTTTATATTTATTTGTCTTTAAAATAAAAATTAATACTTAATAAAATGGGTCAATTTCAATGAGCTAGAACAAAGCCTCTAGTTTTTAATAGTGGATTTGCTTACTAAAAACATTTCTCTAAATCCATAACATGTTAATTCATTCTTTAATGGATATTAAAAATCTAAAAATTTATTTAATTCATTAGAAAAAATGATTTAAAACAAAAATTTAAACAATGCATATTTCACATTTAAGGTTTTATTTAAAATATCAACGTTATTCATCATTCAGTTGATACGATAAAAATATTTATTTTATGCAAATTTAACATGGAAATTGACCCTTATTATTATTTATATTATATAAATTTGTTAATTAATTATATAAAATACTTTAATTCTTATTAATTCAATATTGTTCTCCAGATTTCAATTAATTGGATATTGGAATTCAAAATAGTTTAATAAAATGATTTTATTTTGAAATTATCTCAATTATTCATTAGAATACTAATCAAATGAAATAAATTTTCATAATATTTATAAAATTAAATTAAGTAGTATTAAAATTAGATTGTATTAAATGTCAAATATCTGGATTATTATCTTAAGAATAATGACATTAGGAATAATAAATTCTGTACTTTTAGCCTTATATATTTGAATTAATTATTTTAATTGGTTTGCACTATTTGATGGATTAAAACAATTGTTAATATTTTTATTAATTATATTACTAATTAACAAAATGGATTGTTGCTATATTATATGTTCTTGTTGTTAGATTAATGTAGGATATCTCAAATGTTGTACCTGCCATAAGGATTTTGAATTTTATTTACAAAATAATCTACCTATAGATTGTCCTAGATGCGTGAATGTAAATATTAAATATAAAAATTATTTAGATTAGATTAGATACTTATTATCAAAGTGATGGAGATGTTCAATTACATAGAAGTTGTTATAAAAATGTATAAAGAATGTTTCATCATTGTAAGTGTTGTGATGGTTATTTCTGCTAGTGTGTGTAATAAATTTCTATTAAACTTTAAGTGAAAAAAAATGAAAAAATAAATTGTTTTTATAATGGAATTTCAAATTTTTTTTATAAATCCTCGTTTTATCCGAAAAAGCAAGGATAGAATGGTTATAAGGAAAAGTTAAAGCTTTTTCATCTTTACTTTTTTTTATCCATATATCATTTATTCATATGAAATTTTGATATCAATATATAAAATAAATAGGAATGGGTTTTTTAAATTGTTATTCACAAGAGAAACTTTGATCAATTAAATCAAATAATTGTTTTTTTGTTGACTTCAATAAATAAAGTAATGACCAGAATATTATGAATTAATTAGAGTTTCTTATTAATTTATAAGTGATGATGAATGATTAATTTCTTACTATTTCTAATAGAATTTTATTATAAAATTATTAGTTTATACTATATTTTATCAAGTTTTATATCTCACAATAACATTTTCTTTAGATAAATCTGCTTGTATTTATCTTACTTTTTATGCAGGTCCCTTAGGATTCACTGTTTGAACTATTAATGATTATAGATTAGAGAATACTTCTAGTTCTAGGAGATAATTATCTATCTGTTAATATTTATGTTGGAGTGACTGAATCTTCATTGGTTTAGATCTTAGACTTAAATATAAAAGCAATACAATTTTAGCCACACAATTGAATTGTTCAATGTTGTAAGTAATATCATCATTAGATTATCTACAAGATAAATTTTGTTAATCTATATTTCTGGTTGAATTAAGCATATCTGTTAGATTAAATTATATAGAATCAGCTTCACTTTTAAGAATAGATGATGGTAATAATTTAATTTTTCCAATATTTCCTTAACTTAAAGTATTCTTATATATATAAAAGATTTACTTTTTAATGTCCAGGTTAACGAGAAGAATTATAATCATTAGAATGATTATTTTTTTTATGCTTAATTTATTTAGGAGTAGCATTCTTTATTTCTTAAAGATTAACTTAATTAAGAGCATTTACATAAAATTTATTTTTACTTTTCTACCTTGTAAGTTGAGTTTAAATAGTTTTTAATTGCTATTCTTTTTTGAGAGAATCTTCTATTAAGAGAGACTATTTTCTTTAAAAGTCATTTTTCAATTTGAGAGCGACTACTTAACATTATTCTGCAATTTTTTTTTCATTATGCAACTTTTTTGTTAATTCTGTTTTTTATTCAACTAATTTAGTTTCTTTATCATGTAATTGCTGATTCAATATTTTAAGTTAAGAATCCAATTTATAATTAATCTCTCTATATTAGTTATAGATTAAAGTAATTACTTATATTCTAATAGTTACTTTTCCAAAATTAATTTCTCTTATTCATTCTGGGTAAGCCTTGCTGTTTAGATCTAATCTCTCTATTAATTATTCAATTAATATTGATTATTGTAAGTGATTGTTTCATTATGTGATCTGTTTAAATCAGCAATTTATTGCATTAAGTTTCTTTACTAATTTATAATTACAATTTACTGCTTAATCATGAGTTTTATTTAATTCTTCAATAGTATTTTACAATTTTTCTTTGTCTTTACACTCACAATCCAATTAGTAAGTAAGCTAATTGAGTTTTATTTTAAGACAATTCAAATCCTATTAAATAGTAAAAAGATAAATATATACATATTCAAAAATAGATTTCTGATTACTTAATGCATCTGCAAATTCATGTGCTAGTCCCTCTTTTTCAATTTCATTTTATTTTATCATCAAACTCAATTAATATTATAATTCAACACATCTTAAACATTTTCTAATTCATAATAATTATAATATATATACTCATCTTCCTATTCTTATAATAATTACTTATAATCATTTTACAATTATATAAACTCTTGACATTTCTTGCGATGCTGAAAATAATAATAATTAAATCTTACTTCATATTCAACAATTGTTATTTTTTCTTAAAGAGTACTTTTTAGATTCAATAATTCTTAATCATGCAGTTAATTTAATAAATGAATTTCTTTGCCTTTTTCTTAATTTGCTATTCCACTCATAGCTTACATTAAGGATTCATTAAGTTTTTTTAGATTTATCTCTCTATCAAGAGCCTCTCTGAGTTACATCTCTAATAAAACAGATTAATTCATTAACTGTTTATCTGTTTATATTATATATATATATATATATGAAATATAATACTATAGAAATTATAAATAATGAAGGAGATCAATAATTTATATATATTAGATTAATAGTATAAAATAGATGAAATATATTATTGATCTAAAAGAGATATGTAAAATGATTGAATACGTGCTTTACTTTAATTAAAAATTATATTAAAATGTAATTTAATGAAAACACAAAGAAGTTCATGACTCCAGAAATGATGAAATAGATGTCTTAAATGTGTGCAAACATGAGTGATGATCAATTAAGATAATATGCCTAAATGGCTGGAATGGGAAATGTAGATCCTTAATTTATGAGACAATAAATGGGTCAAGTTAAGAATATGAGAGATGAGGATCTATAAAGATAAGTTAATCAAGTAATATATTTATATATATATATTAGACTCGTCCAGAAGATATAGAAAGAGCAAAGTAAAGAATGTAAGGTTAATAATAATAATAATAATAATAAAAACCATAAAGTGAATAATTTCCAATAATTAACAAATTAAAAAATCAAGGAAATGATGCATTTAAATCATAAGATTATGAAAAAGCAGCATCCAAATATTATGAGGCAATCTCAGAAATTGAAGAATTATGGGAGAATAATTCTTATTTAAAAAATGATACAAACAAAAAAATAGAATTAAAATAATTAGAGCATTCTTGTAGATTAAATTATTGTAATGTGAAAGCTAAACAATTATAATTTGATGTTGTTTTAAGGTAAGCAAAGAAAGTCTTAGAAGATGATGATTAAAATGGAAAAGCTAATTTCAGAATGGGCTAAGCATTATTTGAAACAAAAAAATATTAAGAAGCTCTTGGATATTTAGAGATTGCCTCTTAAAAATTACCAAATGATGAAACTGTACAAATTATGTATAAACAAACAAAAGAATAATTGACCAATGTAAATTTAAATGTTAATTTAACATAAAATTAAAATAAAACTGATCCATAAGTATAAGAATAAAATATTGAATAAACTTAATTTGTAAAATAATAAGAAGATTAAGTAAATCAAAATTAATAATCTTAACAAATTTAAAATGATAAAATACAAAATTAAGATTTTTAAGAAGAAGCTTAAAAGAAACCAAAAATCAAATTATCCTCTGTTGACACTAATTCTGAAGAGTTCTAAAATTTAAAGTAAAAGGTACAATCTTCTAAAGAAGATGGTTTTATTGTTGAAGAAGAGATTCCTACTTCTAAAAGTCAACCTAATAAACCTGTTACTAAATAAACAGAAACTTAGAATGTAAATAAAATACCAGAAAATCCTTAATTTCAATAGTAATTCGATTAATTTAAAAATATGGTAATATTCATTACTATAATAGTCTCCTGAATAATTAAATTATATGACTAATACATTAAAATCAATGGACAAAGGATTCTTGAAATAAATGATGAAATAATAGAGTGGAGTAGAAATGTCAGATTAATAAATAGAGATGATGTAAACTATGATGACACCTGAAATGTTGGCATAAATGAAAAATATAGATCCAGCAGTATTATAATAATAAAAGTTATAATAATCATAATAATAATAATAATAATAATAATAATAATAATAATAATAACCTATTTAATCAACTTAATAATCAAATCATTAAAGTGCTCCTTAAGTTCCTACTTCATCTTAATAAATGCCATAAAATCTATAAGGATTAGCTTAGAATCCATAAATGCTTGAAATGGTTATAGATTAATTAAAAGCGAATCCTTAAATGTTAAAAATGATGGCTCCTGCATTTGGTGGTAATAATGCAATTACATCATATATTGATTCTGCAAGGTGAGTTATATAATTTAATTTTAATAGTCCAGAGTAATTATCTAAAGTTGTTGGTAGATTGGCCATATTTTTAAAGTTTTTATTAATGTTGTATAGAGCTTGGTTAATGGTTAAAAATCAATGGAAATTTATATTGGGGTTCCTCTTGGCGTACTTATATTTTAAATTATTTTGAATTCTAAAAGAATAAGTTATTAAATTATATTTATTAATGGACACACCTTTAGGCAAAGATCTCACTAATTCAGTCATAGGCAAAGTTTATAAGTTGACCAAGAGAATAGGGAGTGGAGCTTTTGGAGAAATATATCAAGTAGTAAAGGGAAAGGAGGAATATGCAATGAAATTAGAAAGAAGTGATACTAAGCATCCTTAATTGTTTTTTGAGGCTAAATTATATACTTATTTATAAGGCTCTGATCTAAGTGATAAAGGTATTTGAAATGTTAATTAAAAGTTAGGAATCCCTAGAATATATGCTTAAGGAACAGACGGTGATTATAATTACATCGTCATTGATTTTTTAGGTTAAAGTTTAGAAGACCTGTTCAACAAGCATAATAAAAGACTATCTTTAAAAACTGTATATAGCTCTAATTTACTCTTAGGTCTTGATGCTTGGAGACTAAATGATTTAACGAATTGAATATATTCATTTGAACAAATTTCTTCATCGCGATATTAAGCCTGATAATTTTCTTATTGGATTAGGTTAAAAGGCAGTCAGAATCTACCTTTTGGATTTTGGATTGGCTAAACGCTATTAAACAAAAGAAGGACACATACCATATAGGGAGGGAAAGAGTTTAACAGGAACTGCCAGATATGCATCTATAAATACTCATTTAGGAATTGAGTAATCAAGGAGGGATGATCTAGAGTCTCTTGGTTATGTCTTAATGTATTTATTAAGAGGATAACTTCCTTGGCAAAATATGAAAGGAAATAATCAAAAAGATAAATATCAAAGAATCATGGAGAGAAAATTAGAAACATCTTCTGATGTATTATGCAAAGGATTTCCTATCGAATTATGTTAATACTTGAATTATTGTAAACATTTAAAATTTGAAGAAAAACCTGATTATCTTTATCTAAGAGGATTATTTAAAGTATATTACTTATAAGATATATTAGGATGCCTTTAAAAAGATTGGTTTTGAACTTGATTATAAATATGATTGGATAAAGGATGATAATGTGATAAGAACTCAGCAGGATTTGATGAGTGGAGAAAAACAATAGTTATATTAATAGTTAATTATGACATAACCATTACACTAATAACCTCCAATATTACCAAAAGGAGTATACAATGGAATAGATTCAGAGAAGAAAATATCTAATATGAACACTTAACAGTTAAATTCATAATAATTGATAGCACAAAGAAAAACAATATAATAATAATAAATAAATAAAATTTAATCAGTGGAAAAGAGAAGAACTAGTTTTTAAAATAGATAACCTATTCCATCAAAAGAAATGGTAAAACCAGTAACTTAAGTGTTGGCACCAAAAATAGTAACTACTAAAGAACCTCACAGAAAATATTGATATTCTGCAATTATAATACATTTTAATATTTGATTCTCAATAAATATAAAATTACCCGCTCATTTAATTTTATTATGTAAAATAGGACTTTGAATTAGTTTAACAAAAATACATCTGCTATGCAAGTAGAAGAACCCATTGTTAAACCTATGTTGCCATGGGTTGAAAAATAGTATAAATACTTAATAATATAAAGTCGTCCTAACAAAATAGAAGATTTAGCATATTAAGAAGAAGTGGTTTAGAGTTTGTAAGGTGTTTTGAAAACTGGAAATTTACCTCATCTTTTACTTCATGGACCTCCAGGAACTGGGAAGACATCTACTATAATAGCATTAGCTAAGCAATTATTTGGACCTGATTTTTGGAGATAAAGAGTATTAGAATTGAATGCTTCTGATGATAGAGGAATTAATGTTGTTAGAAATAAAGTGAAAAAGTTTGCAGAATAAATAGTTGCCAAAAACCCAAACCCAGGATTTCTATGTCCTAGTTATAAAATCATTATTCTTGATGAAGCTGATTCAATGACTAATGATGCTTAAAGTGCTCTTAGAAGAATTATAGAAGATTATGCAACTACTACTAGATTTTGTATAATTTGTAACTATATTACAAAAGTATTTATGTATTTTAATTAGATCATTGAACCTTTAGTATCAAGATGTGTTAAATATAGATTTAAATCTATTCCTGAGAATGAATAAATAGAAAGACTTAAGTTTGTTGCTGATTCTGAATCTGTAACATATAATTTGGATGCATTAAAATAATTAGTGATTGTATCTGGTGGTGATCTTAGGAAGAGTGTAAATATGCTTTAAAGTTCATCAACCTTATATGAGAAGACTATAAATAAAAAAGCTATAAATGAAATATCAGGAGTAAAAGATAATAATAAATAATTTAGTTTATTCCAGATGAATAAATAGAAGATCTTGTATCTGTAATTTAAACTAAGAGTATAAGAAGTGTTTAAGAGGAATGCAATAGAGTTATTTAATAAGGATATAATATTGAATAGTTGGTTATTTATTATTTAATTATAATAGATTTTACAATTTTTAGATCTTGTTTTAGCAACAGATACAATTAAAGAAAAATAAAAAGCAAAGATGATGGAAATAGCAGCTTATACTGAAAAATGTTTAATTGAAGGATCAGCTGAAGACTTGCAAATATTTAACTTAATGGCTTAATGTTAGCGAATTATAAATGAAAATTGATTTAATTAATTTTATATATTAATAATGATAACAAATCACCCCGCTTATCCTATGAAAGAAATAGATAAATATTATTTACAAACCAAATTACCTGAGTAAATTATATATATATATATATATTAGATATTAAACAATTCCAATAAATAATCATTAGAAAAAGAATCATGATTATTATAATGATAACACCCATATTTGGAACAATCCTCATCAAGCTTAATCAAATACTAAAATATTCACATAACTAAAGGAACAATAAAAGCGGGGTGAAAAGAGAATAAAGAAAATGTTAGAACTCTAATAATAAGATAAATTGGAGTTGTAAAAGAATAAAATTATTTATTATAATCTTGCAAGAGATGAAGATTTGAATAGATTATAATAAAGAAAAATGGAAAGAGGAAGTCTCTAAAACTTAAGTTAATAATAAAATGATGTCTAAGTAGAAAATATTGTTTTAAAACCTATTTTCTCTAGAACTGCTCTTTTGGGTAGACCTGATCATTTATGGAATAGACTAAATCAATAATCTTAAAAACATATCAACATACTTATTAATCCTAGAATTCTTAAAATGGAGGAATAAGGAGTTAAATTCATAAGTGAAAAAATTAATAAAGATTTATAAATTGAATAAATCAAAGAAGATTTAAGACTTAAAAATATGGATTAAATCAAACAATAAAGTACTCGTAGAAGAATTCTCAATTTAGAATTAGAATAAAAAAGTGGAATCTCTCCTTCAAGATAAAGTCTATAAAGAGTAACTACAGCATTAACTAGACAATCTAAAGATGTTATTGAATCTACACTTCAATAAATTGAAAAATAGTAATAATCTTAGACTATATAATAATTTCATAATCAAATTCTTACATCATCATAATAGAATAATCACACCAGCAGACCATATACTGTTGGAAGTGTACTCAATTAGGAATTTAATTCTGTTTCATTTAATAATTGTTTAACAATCAAAAATGAATAAACTTAAATTCAATCTACCAATCAACCCTAGACTACTACTCCTGTCTTAATGTTAAGTAGGTATTTCATATCTTAAATCTTAGTTAAAAATCTAAATCTGCATATACTTTATCCCATAAACATCCTCTTGATAGAACTGAATATAAAGGTTTATTATTAGCTCAAGCTGTTGAATAAGCAGAAAGTACATTCAGTAAAACTTTATAAGCCAATAGTTCTTTATTAAAAGAAACATCAATATATTTAAATAAAAGTAAATAATAGATGATTCCTAAAAAGAGAAGATAGCTAAAATGTAGCAATCTAATAAATAATTAAAAATAGAATGATTCTAATGATTTAAAAAATGTTAATAATATGTTGGATAGTTTTGAAAGAAAACTATACAGATCTCGTAATTTTTATGAGGAAGAAATCTGAAAATTTAGTATATTATCTACATATTTTTTTTAATCGATTTCAATTTAAATTAATGATTATTTATTTTATTTGTAAAAAGAGAATATAAAATTCTAGAATTAAATGAGATTTAAAGAGATATTATTATTAAATTCTTAAAAGAAGTAATATATATATATATTTAGTTATTGATATATCTTAATCAATAAATCTAAAAATATTCTTAATATGTCAAATTTCATCAATAGATTAATTTTGACTAGATTTGTTTAGGTTCTTTTTTGATGATTGTTATTTTGTAGGCATAAAACTTGATGTAACTGTTAAAAATCTACCATCTCTAAAATTGTTAACTTCCAACATTTTTTAATTTAAATGTGTTATACCCAATCTTGTATTTGTATATTTCTTTATTAAAAGATATAATTACCTACATGAAGCTAGGTAACATTGAATGTTGATCACATTCCCTTTCTAACATAGTATTAAAATTAGGGGCTGTTGGAGAACTAAATAGTTGACTTTTAGGTTTTTTGGAATATTCATCATATTCAAAATAACTTTCAAAAGTGTATGGAGGTATCTTTGTCAAAATATCTTTTCTTTATTCTAATTTATAGAAAGGTGCTCCACAACTACCCAACTTTCTAAATTAATTAAATTAGTCTACTTTTTGCCAAATTCAAAATTAGGTTTATAATCTGGTGCAAATTCTTTCTTTTTATAAATTAACATCTAATCTCTGGATAATTACTTTTCCAATTTAATTTATGGTTATCTTGGTATCTTACTCCATTGGTTAGTTACATTTAAATATTGAAATCTATCTGGATGAGGATTGGGTCTTCCTGAAAATATGTCAGTTCTATTTTAAAAAGATAAATAAACCTTGGTATTTATCTTTACAAATCTACAAAACTTTCATTTTTAACTTTTGGTTTATCAATAATAGGAGTACTATAATAATAATACATGAATATACTCTATAGAGAAATCTTAATGATATTTAGGGGGGACTTCGATGGGAAGAGTATGTTTCAAAGTTTTATCATAATTTGGAACTGAATGTATTGCTCTGTCAAAAGTATAGGATATTGATGTTACTTGTCTAGTTCACTATATTTGATATGATATTATCCACAAGATGCTTTACAATTGTTTCTAATTTAAGTATAATGTCCAATTTATCTGGAGATCTATTTTGAAAAGGGTTATGATAATTTTAGAAGATGATTTAGATGATTTTATTCAGCTTCATTAAGTGATTCTTATTTAGAATGTACTTTCTTTTTAGTTAAATCAGGAGATTTGATTGATTGTGGTGTCTTAAATTTTTTAACAGGATGATCATCTCTATGTTAAAATACTATATATTTTTCAGAAGTTATTTTTCCTGCCTTACTAAACATATTTTATAAGTCATTTTAATTATGTATCAAAGCCATTTTTAATAAATAATAATATTACTAAGAGGATATTAAGTAATGACATTTTATTAAATAATATAATAAAAATGGAAAAAATGGAAATGGTTTCATCTCATTTGCCTCTTGTAAAAGATAGAGGAGAATGGAATCAATAAACATTTATAATAAGACCAAAATTCGAAAAGAAACAACGATAAAGTATTGACAATTAATTGGAAATACAGTTTCCATTGCATAGAGACTTTGACTTTGTAGCTAATCATGCTATGGGTTTCAAAGGAAAAGGAAATGTGGACTTATTTAAGTTTTACTATAGATTGTACATGAAGAATAAATTTGCAATACAGAAAATTAGAAAGGAAAAGAAAGCCAAAGATGGATAAAAAAAGAATGAAAAAACTAAAAAATAATAACTTAATTAAACTGAAGAACCAAATACAGAAGAGATACGTAATGCTTACAAAACAATATAGATTAAACCACCATCTTAACAGAAATAACTGAAATTTGTTAGAGAATGCATTAAAAATTTATAATAATAAGCTGCTATTGTCAATAAACATATAGAATTACCTAAATTAGTATCTCCATAAACTCAAATCAAAATAGTTAATATAGATACATATAAAATTCCTTAAGCTAAAACAAGAGATTAATAATTTGAACTGGAAGAATTAATGCTAAGTAGAGTAGTGTAAGCAATATAAGAATCTCAAATGGTTTCACATGAAGATGTAAGAAAGGTAAGAGAAATCATTATGTAACGACACAATTAATTGAGTAAGATGGAAAGAGAATTATAATTAAATCAAATTCTTGGAATCAAAAAATAAATCTATGAGAGAGAGATGGCATTAAAGAATGAACTTAATAAACCTCCAGGAATTGATAATCCTGATAATTTTAATGAATTAAGTTCCATTTAAGAAGTATCAATTATTAGATCTATGCAATTTAAATCATAGCCTAATGTGAGTGTTACTGAATATAAATTTAATAATTATGAAGATGAACCTGAATTAGAAGATATAACTAATAAAACTAAAATAGATTTAAAATAGAAATAAATAGAAGAAACACTTATTCAAGAATAATCAACTGAAATGCAATCTATTTTATAATAAATTAGATCCAGTTCACTTGTTACAAAAGGAAATGAAACTGAACATAGTAAAGAAAAGATCTAAGATAAAAATAAATTATTACCAACTTTAAAATTCTTAGAATAAGCAAAATAATAAATTGCTTAAAGATCTGACAATAATGATAGTCAATAACTCTAATAACCATACTTTTAACCTGATATTGAAGATACTAGTAAATCTAAGGTTTAATAAAGTTTATCTATGGTATCATAACTATAAAATAAAACAAGTAAAACCATTAAATCTAGTGTCAATAGATCTAATCAATTAGCATCTTCCTCATCTAATCATCATTCTAATTAGTTAAGTCTTGAAAAGAAATAAACAGAAACTATGAGAAAGAGTGCTTACAAATTAAATGAAGAATAGAAAGCTAGAACATCAGCAAAAGAACTTGATGTAAGTGATGATATGAAATTTGAGAGATAGAATTATTATGAAATGAAATTCAGTTAAATTTTGTAAAGAGTTATTGATTAAAAGAAAATTCATGGAGGAGAAGAATCTTAACATTCTTAAACACTCTCCTAAGTTGAATCTGAAACTGTTTAAAAAATAACATAAAATTTGGTATCCAATATCATTAATATGCATAAAAATCCAACTCCAATTATGGATCAACCTTCAACTTTCAATTACTTAGATGTTGACTCTGATGATTAAGAGAAAGCAACATAAAGTATTCCTGTTATGAAAAATGAAGATGTTCCTGAAGATGTACGCAGACATCTCTCTTACAATCGAGATATTTCTCATTTAGATCATACATTTAAAATTGAGAGCCAAGTATCTCTCTCTGACAAAAGATTGAATGAAGAATAAATTGCTAATATTATCTAATAGATTTCACAATAATTACAATAGGCTCAAATACCTCCTGATCAAATTGAAAAGTAATTAGATGAAGTCACAAATATGTTACTTAAACATCCTATTAATAAATTATCAACTAAATTACTCAAATAATCCACAACCATTCTATAAAATGAACCAAATAGGAAGATTTATTTAGAGGAAACTAGATATCCAGCTAAACCACCTAAGATTACTCATAATAAAGATTAAATTGATTATTTAAAATTTTATGAAGAAAATGCTCCATCAAAATAAGAAAAATCTAGGAAAAGTTATAAAATATAAGATAATTCTAAAAGATCCAAATAATCTGCTATGCTGAAAAATATGTCTGAAGATGAACGAAAACAATTTTTGGATTCTCATAAAATGAATTTATAAGAAAGAGCCAATTCTTAAGAAATGGATGAAGAGTTATAATTTTTATAATCTGTGATTGATGATTAGAAGAAATAAAGAGAATAAATATTCACAAAGAAATTATCTTAACCAATTTAATCAGGTAAGAACACATCAAGAGATTAAATTGATTTTGATGAGTCAAGTGAAAAATAATAAAATACATTTCGATCTCATAATCCACCAACTAATATAAATTATGAATCTGATTAAATTAAATAAGGATAAACTGAAACCAATTTTAATATAAGAAGACCCTAAATCAAATAAAAAACAGATTAAACTTTCAATAAGTCTGATAATGCTTAATAATTTTAAATCTCAAGTTAATAAGGTAATACTTAAAGATCAGATCCATATAAAAGTAAGTCTAAAAGATCAAATCAGGATGATTAATAAGCATATTAACATGAAGGATCATAATAATCTTATGGAACTTATAAAAGTCTAAAATAAGGGAATAGGGAGAGTAGTGATAATAATAATGAAAATAAAGAAATTTATTCTCCAAATTTATCAGTTGAAGAAGTACCTCATTAAGATGAATATGATGGATAAAGTGAAAAAGAAGAGGAATAGATTATAGAAGAGATTTAGCAATAAATAGATGAAAATGGAAATACAATTAATGTGATTACAAAGAGAACTATTAAATAGGTGACTGAAAGATCAAAGAAGTCAGATCCAAAACAAACTGAAAGATCAAAGAAATCAAAATAATAATCTGATTCATAAACATAATAACTTTAAGTTAATAAATAAAATCCAAGAGAAAAAACATAATAATCTTAGTATAAAGAATAAGAATAAAATTAGGATTAATAGTAATAAAATTAAGAATAAAATATTTTTTAATAATAATAATAATCTATTTAAAAATAAATATCAAATTAATAATAATAATAAAATTAATAAGAATAAATAAATATTAATAATAATGAAGATAAATTAATTAAATTAAATTTTCAACGTTAAGATAGTAATCAAAATATTGCTGAAAATTCTTAAACATAATAAATTTATTAATAATAATTAAGAAATAGAACAAATTTATAAGATATATAATTAAAGAGTTTTTAACCTTCTTAAAATTAATCATAGGTTAATAGTAGTGGAACTCCTTAATAAAATAATACTCCTCTTTAACCTCCTGGAAGAAAACAAGGAAGTAAGAAAACTAAGTTTGAAGATTAAAGTAGTAATAATAATAATAGTAATACACCTTAAGCAAAATTTTAAAGAGTAAAGACAAAACTATCAAGATTTTAGGAAGCAGCTAATAATAATGATGATGAAGATTATGATTATGATTGGGATGATGAGGATCCTAGTAATAAAAAGAAGAAAAATACTTCAAAATCAAGTAAATCTACTTTAAGAAATGATATTCAATCACCATCTATTTCTCCAATGACAAAATAATAAAATTAAGCTACAATAGCAAAAAAGAAAGTTTATGATTTAAAATAAGAATATGAATTGATAGCAAGATAAAATTTAAGTTTAGCAGATCTAAAGAAAGATATATAGAAAAAGATTTCACAATTATAAAATCCAGATGATGAGGCTAAATATAATATTTATTTATGTAAATTTATTTGATTAAAATTTTAGATGAATAACGTTAAAAGTAATTAAAGAATTTACCTTAAACAATTGAAGGATTAATTAATGATAAAAGGGAAAATGAGGATGCATGTGGTGATACTATAAGAAAATTTCATGAAAATAGAATGAGATATAAGGATGTAATTGAAAAGGATTAGGCACTTAAGTTTACTAATCAAATATAATTAGATGATGAATAGTAAACTTAAATCAATACACAATCTCATCTTGATGAATATATGAAAGAAGTATAAATGAATATATAAAGAATGATATAATAAGTTTAATTAGGTAAGCAATGAAATAAAATTTATTAGAATAAATGAGGGATCATCCAGAAGAAAGAAGAGAATGTTTTGATTATGATACGAGTATTATTATATAAAGGAAAATGGAATCATTGACAAGTGAGATTGTATAAACACAAGCATAAATGAAAATATATGAAGAACCTACTTAAGAGACTTAGAGGAAGACAGAAAAATTAGAATAAGATACTGTAATGTCAAATTAGATTGATAAAAAATTTGAAGTTTTGGCATAGAAATTAAGAGCTTTAAAATTCAAGAATCCAGATAAATTTAATTAAATTGTAAATACAGAAATTGTAAAAACAGATTTATTTTTATCAACTACCAAACATAAATATATATTAGAATGATTAAAATATTATTAATTAATAAATCTATAATATATTCTTATATATATTATTATAAGAAATAATCAAATATATAATTAATTTAAATAATATTTATTATAAAAGATCTGTCTTAATATTTATATGAAATCATTATTACAAATATTAATCATATATTATATTATATCAATATGTATCATAAAAAATTAAATATGCTTCACCTTATTATGGTTATTTTGTAAGAGTTACTCTAACGTCAGAAGTAATATACCATTCACATTTCTTGTATTATTTATTTCGACTCATTGATGATTCAAGATCTTAAGCAAATGTTCTTTTGAATGCAACATAATGACCTAGAATGATGATTAAGATACTCACCAGATTTTGAATTTCCTAAATGACAAACTAATGCAGATAAAGTATATTCTTTATCAGCTACTTTAAAATTAGAATCCAAATAAACTGGATCATCCAATTTAATCAAACCATGATAAGGATCTACAATGAGTCGATTAACAAAGAAACAAAAGGTTTTCTATAAATATAAATTAATTTAAATACTGGATATTTTGCAATATGAGTTTAACGTGTAACAGTTCTTTTAAGACATGCTTTCTAGGGATCTATTTTATATTAATTTCCTTCAACTGCATTCAATTATTCTATGATTTTCTTAAGGATAATTAAAGAATCCTCATCATAACTGTTAGCTGAGAGATATAAATCAATTATGTTCTATTACTCATTCAATGTGTATTTCTTTTTTAAAAATTATAAAGAACAATAGAGACAAATATATTCAGTGATTATTTCAGGTTTCTAAATATAATCTATTGCTTCTTAAATTGTTCTTGCATGATTGAGATGAAAATGGAATGCATAATTACTTTCTACTTTAAGTGAATTAAACTATATTTATTAAAAGATTATTACAGAATAATTACAAGTATTACACTTAATTTAAACCTTTGTATGATGAAGAAAAGGATTCTTGGATTTCATTTATTTTGATTTTAACATACTTAAATCAAATGAATTTACTTAATTATTGGCTTCTTCTATATGTTTCATTAACATATTAAATAATTCATGAGAATCCTATTATTAATAAAAAAAAGAGTAATCAGCATCTTCAGATAGAAGATCAATTAAATTAGATGCATTTATAACTTCCAAATCACTATTGAGGTACTTCATTATTTTAGCCAATTCTAAACAGATCTACTAATCTAAAGTAGTTTCACCATTAATATGCTATACTAATTCAAATAAATATTCAACGAAATTGGGTTATGAACTTAAGGCCACTAATTATGTTATTTATCTTACTTATAATACTGAATTCAAGAAACATGTATTCCCATTGTTTATTATACCTGCTGGCTTCTTAGTGTAATCAAGAATATTGGAAGATTAAAGTAAACTGAATTCTATTTAACCTGTTAACTTCTATTATTTGGATTTCATTGTATATTTGAATGCACCAAGCATTGCTAACATTAAAGCACCTCCATACAACCAATGACCTTTATTTTTAATCATATTTATATTTAAAATAATATATTAATATATTTAAGTAATTTATTTCCATAAATCACTTTTGTAATGTAAGCAAACACCAAAGTCCCTGTGGATATCCATAAGACTCTTGAAGATAATTTTAAAGCCATCAAAGAGCAGGGAATCAATGAAATTTGTAATTTCATGTTATCCAGTTTACGTGAATAGGTAACTTTAATTTTAAATAAATATCCCAAGGACTTGCCATAATACATAAGATTACAGTATTTGTATAATGTCCATTAGATCAATTAGAAAATGAGTTTGACTGAATTGTGCAACAATCAATTGGAATTGAACATAGTAAACAATATCAAATATGTATTCTCAATGCAGTATGATAGAGTATGGGTAAGATTTAGATTAATTACTGAATTAAATGGATACATCCCTCATTCCCTCATGTGAATATTTGAGACCCATCCCCTAAATATTAACACCATAATGGGAAGAGATTTCACCTCAATTTATACATCAACCAATTTGGGATTATAATATTAATCCATTCCTTTTTCGATTTCTTTTAGCATAAGCACAATCCTCCAAGTTACCCCCATAAGATTAATAGATGATCTTGACTCTATTCAAGTCTGAATATAAAATTGATATCACACAATTCAACAATCTTGTGGAACACAATCCTCAATTGGTTAGTGATATCATTACTAAACTACACTAATCTGGTGTTAATGTTCATGAGTAATTCTTAAATTATTATCATTTTCTAGATATTTAGATTTCCTCATTCAAATTAAGGTCACCATCTAAACTTTAGAATTAGTGAATCAACTCACTAAGAACATCACTCTTCCTGATTAATTTCTTAATATGTTCATTACCAGATGCATTGTAACTTGTGAAGAAGTCAAATAAGTAATATTTTAATTTCATAATCAACTTAGAATCAATAATAATTAGCCAGATAAGTCAGACTAGTATCAGTCTTCATTAAGACTCTGATCAAATAAAAGACTTTCAATCCTAAAAAGATTTATGTTGAACTCTAAGGATTTTGTTTAGAGTTTTCTTCTATTTAAGAAGCAACTCAATTATTTAAAGCTATCAAAAATGCTGTTCAGGAACAATGAGTTTAAATAACAATATAATATTTTATAATTATTTCTTATGAGACACTTCCATGTAGATCTATTGATCTAATATATATGAAAGAAATCAAAAAAAAGCATACTAAGAGTAGAGTGATAATGTCTTCCACGTTCAGATTACTTAAAGTACAACAAAATAACTTATTAAATCACAATAGGTTCAAAGAATGCATTATCTTTCAATCTAAATTTATTGTATTTAAACTATTCAAATTGATAATAAAAAAAACAATAACAAAACTTAAAATATTTAAGAAATCTTTATAAAAAATTTGTTACTTTGCAATATCCAAATATTTTATTTCAAGGAAAAAATTCATTTAATAATCATAACTGAATTGACTAATAATAATTAATAATTTAGATAGATTAATAATAATTTTTACTTAATCCATCCATTCAAGAAAAAGAACTAAAAAAATTTATCTATATATCCTTAAATCGAAACTTAAATTAAATAAATGTTTACATTTAGTATTATGAAAGAATCCTATATAATATGCAAAATATATAGAGAAACTAAATTAGTAAAAAGATGAGTTAAAACTTATCAATCATAAATTATAGATTTAACTTAATCAATAAACTNCAACCAATTTGGGATTATAATATTAATCCATTCCTTTTTCGATTTCTTTTAGCATAAGCACAATCCTCCAAGTTACCCCCATAAGATTAATAGATGATCTTGACTCTATTCAAGTCTGAATATAAAATTGATATCACACAATTCAACAATCTTGTGGAACACAATCCTCAATTGGTTAGTGATATCATTACTAAACTACACTAATCTGGTGTTAATGTTCATGAGTAATTCTTAAATTATTATCATTTTCTAGATATTTAGATTTCCTCATTCAAATTAAGGTCACCATCTAAACTTTAGAATTAGTGAATCAACTCACTAAGAACATCACTCTTCCTGATTAATTTCTTAATATGTTCATTACCAGATGCATTGTAACTTGTGAAGAAGTCAAATAAGTAATATTTTAATTTCATAATCAACTTAGAATCAATAATAATTAGCCAGATAAGTCAGACTAGTATCAGTCTTCATTAAGACTCTGATCAAATAAAAGACTTTCAATCCTAAAAAGATTTATGTTGAACTCTAAGGATTTTGTTTAGAGTTTTCTTCTATTTAAGAAGCAACTCAATTATTTAAAGCTATCAAAAATGCTGTTCAGGAACAATGAGTTTAAATAACAATATAATATTTTATAATTATTTCTTATGAGACACTTCCATGTAGATCTATTGATCTAATATATATGAAAGAAATCAAAAAAAAGCATACTAAGAGTAGAGTGATAATGTCTTCCACGTTCAGATTACTTAAAGTACAACAAAATAACTTATTAAATCACAATAGGTTCAAAGAATGCATTATCTTTCAATCTAAATTTATTGTATTTAAACTATTCAAATTGATAATAAAAAAAACAATAACAAAACTTAAAATATTTAAGAAATCTTTATAAAAAATTTGTTACTTTGCAATATCCAAATATTTTATTTCAAGGAAAAAATTCATTTAATAATCATAACTGAATTGACTAATAATAATTAATAATTTAGATAGATTAATAATAATTTTTACTTAATCCATCCATTCAAGAAAAAGAACTAAAAAAATTTATCTATATATCCTTAAATCGAAACTTAAATTAAATAAATGTTTACATTTAGTATTATGAAAGAATCCTATATAATATGCAAAATATATAGAGAAACTAAATTAGTAAAAAGATGAGTTAAAACTTATCAATCATAAATTATAGATTTAACTTAATCAATAAACTACTAAAATAAGAAATCTAGAAATAAACATGGATGTAGATTTAAGGAAAGAAAAAATTAAAGAATTTATAAATAAGTTGATTAATTTTTTCAATAAAATATCAATGCTTAAGAATTTAAAAGAAAGTATAGGAGGATTGGACTAGCAAGGAATTTGCTTTATAATTGATTGGCAAAAGAAAAGGCTTAAAATTTTATTCATTTATTTCATCTATTTTTGGATGCTAAACTGAAAATAGGAAAGATAACCTAATGGTATTTTGAAATCAAGGAAATTTGGATTCATTTATTTTATTTTTGAAATTATCTTAATTACAAAAATAATAAGATACCAGAATTATTTTTTTAATTAATTTATAATTTTGTATAAACTTTTTCTCATTTTTATACTAAAACTGCTTTTAGCAATTAGTCAATTTGTAATTTATTTTTTATAATTTATGCTTTAATGTTTTATATTTTAGATTTTTTCTCTTTAATAACCTCCTCAACTTCAGCTATCTTATCATATAATGGTTATTATGCCTAAATATTTATTTATTAAAAATACTTCTTCAGTAGCTCTATTCATATCTACCATCTTTTGTTTAGAAACATTATAGATTTTTCTCCATTATTGCAATTCCCTATTCATATTCTCAATATCATCTTAAATAAATTCAATTTATTTAGCCAAAGGATTTACATTTTGACTCATAGATTGGATTAGTTTTTACATCACAATAGTATCTGAAACTTGTGATGTACCTAAATTTTAAGCTATTTCTTCCTTAATTTTATCTACATTTATAATTAATATTAATTACCTTTTTGTACATTGACTTTTCCTATCCTCTTCATTTTAATTCCTTCTTATGGTTAATCTTTTTCTTTTTCTTCCTCCTTGGCCTTCTCTTAATTTTTCATATTATCCCTAACAAATTTACCATATTCTTGAGCATTAATATCAGTGTTTGGTTTCACATTACTTTAAACTACAATACCATCATCATCATCATTATTTCCTTTCCCTTCTATAATTACATTTGCTGTTCCTCCTTTCTTCTAATTTTAATCAACTGAAACTTGATTTGTAGGCAATTAAGGTGGTCTTTTTTTAGCAGTTGAAGGTCTTACATTTCCCTCTTGTGTTTATTATTATTATTATTGTTATTAAGGAGGAGGAGCTTATTGTTATTTTTAATTCTCTTTTGGTTATTAAGCAGGAGGTTATTGAGGTTATTATTTTGGCTTAGGATCTTCTTTAGGTTGAACTGCTTTTTTTTCCTCCTTTACTTATGGAGCAGCTTGCTCTTTTGGAGGAGGTTATTAAGCCTTTGGTTCTGGCTTTGGCTATTCCTTTTTTTAGGGTTCAGGTTCTTTGGCTCCTGCACCTCCTAAAATCTTAATTATTAATTATTAATTATATGTACTTTCTTAACAAAAGGATCACTATTTTTACCACTCACAGCTGCTCTGTAAATTGCTTATAATAATAAATTTGTATTCTCTGGTTCTAAACCTGCTGCTATTTTACCGGGTTTAGCTGCAATTTCTTCTTTCAACATCATTGATGTTAAATCTATAATTTTTTATAAGAATAAAAGTTTCTTGTCTTTATTATCATATGAATTTCCATCTAATTCATCATTTGTATATAGACCTTTTGCATAACCTAATGTAAATTTAAATTTGAAACCTGTTTATTTAGTTGTTTCCATAATAATATCAAAAATATATTTGAATGGAGGTTTTTCCAGTAATTTCTATGACATTTTTGGCTTTTCAAATAAAGCACTATATAATTCAGCTGTAGGTTTCCAAAAATCTCCCATTATTTTATTAAAAATAAAGAAATAATAATAATTGAATATTTATGTTTTTTATTTATATTGTGAAATCTCTAATATCACTAACATGAATATTTATCATTAACAAATATCTGAAGAGGCGTCTAAGAATCTAATAAATGGACAAAAAATAAAAAATAATTATGTATAAATAGAAATAATTAATTTTTGAATAAAAATGCTATTAGTTGGTATAATTTAATATTAATAATTAGATTTATTTTATATTTGATTTAGAACAGGTACCTATATTTTGAATTAAATAATACAAAAACTATAGTTAAATAAACTCAAACTATATTTACAGTTTTAATATCATAAACTAAATCGTTTATTCTGTTAGAAATGAATCGATTGCTATTTTCTATTTATTTGAACATTCCAAATCTATCTTCAAATTCAGTTAATTATTTCATTATTGAACTCTCCATTACTCGAGTATTCATTTTATAAGAGTCATTCAAAATTAGTTTAAATTAATTATAACTTTCTTTTTTACCTAATTTTGAAAATTATTGCATAACTTCAACTTCCTTATCTTAAAATTTATTATTAAAAAATACTTAGTAATTTTTATTTTTGATTTAATATAGTTTATTCTAACAAACGGTAAGAATCATCACATAATTTTTTAAAAAGATCATCTAATTTGTCCTAAAAATCATAAAGTACTTGTAAAAAGAATTAATCTGGCTTATTTTTTTTTTAAATTAATTTATTGTCATTATTGATAGTAAAATTTTGAAGTATTCTCAGAAAAATTGTATCCACAGATTACCAATCTTTTAGTTTAAAATTCTTGAAAATCCATTCTATTTCTTAAAATCTTATGTGAGACTTAATTAATTTATCAGCTGCAGAAAGAATTGCTTTTTCACTCTTATATTCATGTAATTAATTCATTTTTTGACTTATTTTATTTACTATTTAAAATAAATTGGTATCTTTGAAAGGAGTTTCTTTAATTTGATTAACTACTTCCATGTTTAAATTAATTAAGGAATTATTTCTAAATTGCATCTTTCTTGAGAAAAATTAAGGAGATTAAAATTTTGATAATTTTGGAGATTTTCGAGCTGTCGAGATTAATTATTTTGATTCAATTGCCTAATCTGAATTTTCTATTTTTAATTTTCTATATTATCCAGTTGAGTCTAAAAGTGGTTGAAAAGGAACTTATGGAAGTTCAGAGTGTTTAAAGATTTTTTTTAATTAGTTCTTTGACTTTGTACTTGAGACTGCTTCTATTGAAGGTAGACTGTCAACTCTTACTTTGATTTCTCTTTTTTAATTCAATTATTTTTACATCTTTTTAAAATAATAATAGCTATAAAAATTAATATTATCAAGTATCTATATTTATTTTTTATATAATTTTAAATTATCATATATTTTATTTGATTTGATTATTAAGGATCATAAAGGTATATTTTATTGATAAGTAATCTATAGTATTCTTCTTTAAAGGATGGATCTTGTTTTAATAAATTATTGATATCTTATTTAATATTTATAATAGCATAATAAGATAAATTTATATATATTATATTATCATTAAAAAGAGATTTAACTATTATTATTAATGATANTCTTTTTTACCTAATTTTGAAAATTATTGCATAACTTCAACTTCCTTATCTTAAAATTTATTATTAAAAAATACTTAGTAATTTTTATTTTTGATTTAATATAGTTTATTCTAACAAACGGTAAGAATCATCACATAATTTTTTAAAAAGATCATCTAATTTGTCCTAAAAATCATAAAGTACTTGTAAAAAGAATTAATCTGGCTTATTTTTTTTTTAAATTAATTTATTGTCATTATTGATAGTAAAATTTTGAAGTATTCTCAGAAAAATTGTATCCACAGATTACCAATCTTTTAGTTTAAAATTCTTGAAAATCCATTCTATTTCTTAAAATCTTATGTGAGACTTAATTAATTTATCAGCTGCAGAAAGAATTGCTTTTTCACTCTTATATTCATGTAATTAATTCATTTTTTGACTTATTTTATTTACTATTTAAAATAAATTGGTATCTTTGAAAGGAGTTTCTTTAATTTGATTAACTACTTCCATGTTTAAATTAATTAAGGAATTATTTCTAAATTGCATCTTTCTTGAGAAAAATTAAGGAGATTAAAATTTTGATAATTTTGGAGATTTTCGAGCTGTCGAGATTAATTATTTTGATTCAATTGCCTAATCTGAATTTTCTATTTTTAATTTTCTATATTATCCAGTTGAGTCTAAAAGTGGTTGAAAAGGAACTTATGGAAGTTCAGAGTGTTTAAAGATTTTTTTTAATTAGTTCTTTGACTTTGTACTTGAGACTGCTTCTATTGAAGGTAGACTGTCAACTCTTACTTTGATTTCTCTTTTTTAATTCAATTATTTTTACATCTTTTTAAAATAATAATAGCTATAAAAATTAATATTATCAAGTATCTATATTTATTTTTTATATAATTTTAAATTATCATATATTTTATTTGATTTGATTATTAAGGATCATAAAGGTATATTTTATTGATAAGTAATCTATAGTATTCTTCTTTAAAGGATGGATCTTGTTTTAATAAATTATTGATATCTTATTTAATATTTATAATAGCATAATAAGATAAATTTATATATATTATATTATCATTAAAAAGAGATTTAACTATTATTATTAATGATATAAAAATAGTAAAAATATATTCCACTATAGATTGATTACAAATTTTTATTACAATTATGTTAGTATTTTAAATATTTCTTGTTTGCAATTTAATTTGAAATGAAATATATTATTATTGGAATATTTTGAAAATAATTGATAAAAATATAGAATCTTCAATTTTATATATTTAATAAAAACTTAAGTATTTTATATATTTCATATTAAGTTTTGTTTAAATTCGTTTAACTTAATTTTCAAGCTTCTTTCGTAATTTATTTTAATTATGATTTTAATGCCTAAATTTATTATTCTAAATTAATAATTATTGCATCTTTCTATTTTATTTCATTTTCTAACCCATATATTAATTACTGTTATTATTCTATAATTGATTATGGTTATAAATTATTGATAGAATTTAACTATTCTGGTTTTTTATTATGTTCTTGAACTTAACCTATTTCTTTAGGACATGCTCCTATCTTTGCTAATACCTAAATCTTATATATAAGTTATACCTATTCTACATAAATTTTACTATTTTTACCACTCACAGCTGCTCTATAAATTGTTTATAATAAAAAATTTGTATTCTCTGGTTCTAAACCAATTACTATTAAAGTAGGTTTAGCTGCAATTTCTTCTTTCAACATCATTTATGTTAAATCTATAATTTTTTATAAAAATAAAAGTTTCTTGTCTTTATTATCATATGAATTTCCATCTAATTCATCATTTGTATATAGACCTTTTGCATAACCTAATGTAAATTTAAATTTGAAACCTGTTTATTTAGTTGTTTCCATAATAATATCAAAAATATATTTGAATGGAGGTTTTTCCAGTAATTTCTATGACATTTTTGGCTTTTCAAATAAAGCACTATATAATTCAGCTGTAGGTTTCCAAAAATCTCCCATTATTTTATTAAAAATAAAGAAATAATAATAATAAAATTATTGATATTTTCAATTTTGATTGATCACAAAAAATATTTTTGAAGATGCTATATTAAATTTATTTTTTGAAATATATATACTAAGTATGCTTACTTCATTTAATATATAATTTCATGTCTTTTTAACTATGTGATTGATTAATTATCTTAACCATTTACATTTTACTTATGATTCATAAACAAGATTATCTAGGAAATTCTTGGATAATTTATTTTCATTATTAAATGAGGATATAAATAAGAAGGATTATTAATAAATATATATACATAAAACCTAAAATTTTTAGATAATCATTTATACTAACTGATTTGGTTATTAAATGATCCTTGAGGTGTATTTTGTTGAGAAGAAGGAAATTGATTTTGGAATCCTTTTTCTGAAGATTAAATAGGTCTAGCTATATTCAATTTTTATTAAAAAGTATAGTTATGCAATTCATTTTCTAACAATCTAATACGATTATCTTATTGTATTATTTATTCCTAAAATAAAATATGATAAATTACTCTCATCTTTTTCATTTCATTTTCTTATTAGCCATTCCTCTCTGAGATGATCTGATTTTATTATTTTAGTTAATAATTTTCTTTAATTTATATGATTATTATTACCTGATAATATTTATTTTACTTATTTTTCATACAAAATAAGATCATTATGCATTTCTTTCATTTTTGCAAAATTATGATTAATTTCACTTTTGTTTTATGTATCAATATGTGATATTTATTCTAGTTATCCTTTTTAGGTTTACAGTTATTATTCCAAATTGAGTATAATTGTATCTTTCTTTTTGAGTTCATTTTCCATTGCTTATATTTATCCTTGATATTTTTCTAAGTTTGATTTCAATTCCATATATTTTAATTAGACAGAGTCTAGATTTCCTTATTTTTTAATTAATTCTTAATCTAATTATTAACATTATAATTCAAGTTAATTTTTAGATTTAGATTATTATAAAGATTATTCAGATAATCTCTTATTTTCTTATTCTAAATGCATTAATTTTTATTGTAAATTCAAATATTCTTATTTACCATTTTTTAAAGTCATAAGAAGTTTGTCAATTTCTTTAGTTTCTAAATATTAAGTTTAAAATGTTACATTTAATGGTTTATTGTGTTTAAGCTTAAAACTTTTCATCTAATTTTAGATATTGATTTTTAGTACTATATAATTCCTTTTCTTTAAGTTCTAGTTATTTAACCTATTATTTTTGTAATTCAATTTAATGAGCTTAGTTGGCTAAGTTTTTTTAGAATAAACTTAATTATCCTTATAAATCTGTATTTTAAATAGTAGCTCTATGTAGGGCTTCATTATAATTATCTTATGCTTTTTTGAATTCAAAATTAAGCATATCTAAAGTAGTTTTCATTTTTTTATTATCTGAATATAATTATTCTTATTATTCTCTTTATTGTTATATTTTAACATCTTTGTCTCTTAATTATTATTTATATGCTTCTATATATTCTTTAAGATTATGATTCTCAATTTCTGTATTTTGATATTAAGATAATTATCTACTTTGATCTTGAAGTTATTCTTTAAATTCTTAAATTAATAAAATTTATTCTTAATATTTTTTAGTTAAGCCTGAATATTCTTCTAATTTATTTTGTAATCTTTCTAGTTCATTTAATTTAAATTAATTTTCTTATATAAGATCTGCTTTTCTTCTGACTTCTGATTTAAGTTTGACAATCATTTCTTCTTAATAGTCTAATTTGGATATCATTTCTTGTTCCTATGATTTCTGAATCTTATAAGATGACCTAGAAGGTATAGATACATATATGTACAATTCCAACTAGAGTTACTCCACCAATTTTTTAAGTGAGTTGTTCTCGAACACTAATTTCTTATTTTGGGATCTGAATAAAAATAAATTATATGTTTACTTTAAATCCTCTCCTTGATCCATCAAATGTTACTATTATTCAAGTAACATTTATTCTTGAGGATTGATTTAGGTTTGGATATAATTATATGATTGTTCTTTTTGGGAGAGATTGGACCTTTATCTAAGAATGATTATATGTTTACGAATGTCGATCATTATCAAGTGGTTGGTGTTATAGACTATAGAAAGTAAGAAAATCAAGATTACAGATTGGATGGGAGTAATGTGTTAAAGGGGTGAGGCACAGGAGAAGTTAAGATATTGAGGCTATTTTGTTTTGGTTTATGTAAGGGATTTGTAACTGGAATATCCTTTTCCTTTTGATAATCACTTTGTGCTAAATTATGATAAGAAAGCATCGGAATAATAAAATAAATAATAAAATATATAGGTAAATAGGATATAAAGAAATAAGTTATTATTAATATTTATATATATGAAATATGATAACGAATATTAATGTATAGTTCATTATTAGAATCATTATAGTTGAAATTACTTATAAAAATGATTTTATTATATAGATATTGATATAGAAATTGAAGGATATTATTTATTAGAATGAAATAATGAATTGAAATTGTTAAAAAGTTATTAATAATTAGGAATACTTTAATTTAGAAGTATAATAACTCAAATTGATGGTTTTGATTTATGTTTTTATGGAATTATTATAAATAATATATAAATATGTAAAGATTCGAAAGTGATGTGAATGTGGAAGGAGAATCTTAAGCAGCTTACACTAGATTTGAATCATCACCATCTGTTGGATAATTATCTGGTACTCATTTGGAAAAATAAACAATTATCAAATCAACTATTATTGCATCTATTGGATCATTCATTTTTACTTATGGTATTTTAGCATCATCAGGCAATAACATGGCAATCTTAGTCATATTCTTCTTAAGTGTACTTATGACTGATCGTTTAACTGTATTCAATCCTGCTGTTAGCTTCATTGATTTACTTATGGCTAGAATTGGATTCTAAGAATTTATGTTTAATGTTATTGGTTAAGTTGGTGGTAGTCTATTAGGTGCAATGGTGTGTTTCTTTGTTTTATAAGATTTCACTAATGCACCATATTTAGATGCTAAAATTGGTGATAATTTAATTGGAGTATTAAAATATATTCATTAAGTAAATAGTCAGTTGAAGGAGAATTATTTGGATCCATGTTATTTATGATAGTATTGGTATTGTAACAAGATGATTACTTGAGATTCTCAGATGATAAATTAGAACATGCTCTTGTTGTGACATTAGGATTTGGAGCAGCTCGTGTTTTGGCATCAGAAGGACAATCACTTTTTAATCCAGCATTTGCTTTTAGGTATTCTTAGATAAAAAATATTATTAAGTTTGGAATTATTTGAATGTATTTAGGATGGTACTTGGGGTAGATTTGGATTCTTATGGGTATTCACATGTACTCCCTTTATGGCAGCAGTTGTAGCAATTATGTTCAATAGTCAAATATATAAGAGATTTTATGATAAGAAAATTTAATACGGATTTTGATTTATTAATTATGAATTAAGCATTTACAAAAGAGTAATAGTTATTAGTCGATGAAATCATAAACAAGGGTTATAATCAAGATGATTTTGAGGACTTTGTTTTACTCAAAGAACCCAATAAAGGTTCAAATCATTTTTTATTCTTTAGGTTAAGATTTAACTTAATGGACCTATGAAGAATTATTGAAAATCATCTAATTATATCAATAAGAGAGTAAGAAAATATAATTATTATATAGAAAAAGAACAATTATCAAATTCATATCAAATAGTTGAACTTGATTCTCCAGACATTTCTGATCAAATTCAAATTATTGATAGAGATACTTTTGTCAAAAAATAAACTTTGGAATCCATTAAAATAGTATATTATTTTATTAATTTATCTTTAGACTGATAAAATATCCTTGATTCAATTTGAAAAGACAATCAATTGTAAATAAATGTATTTTTTTATTGATGAAAACATTGAACTCTAATTTGATATCAGTCCGTATTTTATTCTAATAACAATCAAGTCCCATTCAAGAAGGAGGTGGTATTCTAGATTTCTTTTCAAAATCTATTGTATTTCCAATTCAAATATTCCCAATGGAATGGAAGGTAAAAAGAACACTTCAAGATTTTATTCAACTTAGAAACATACTATCAGCAGCTTTTCCAGAATATATTGTAAATTATTTTATTATTTAGATTCCTTCCTTTCCTTATAATGATATCAATGACTATGATATTATTATGAAAGAACAATAAAATATTATCAAAGTCTTAAATGTAATATCCATTTTATCATATTATAGGTATTCCTATAAATATATAACAAAAAACCTATTGTTAGAACATTGTTTTCAAGTTTACTATTTTTAAATGAAGATAATTCAAAACAATTTTAATTGAAATTTTACAAAGAACAAACTCTATAAAAATAATACAATTTAAATTAAAAACAAACTAAAACTGGTACTCTTACTTTTTAATTCAATCAAACTCAATATCAAAAATATAAAGATTATTAAGTATATTTAAATGGAGAATAAGCAAATTATGAAATCATATAAAAATATTTAGAATAATTTGCTGAATTCACTTATAAAGGTTAATAAAGTCTTGGTTACTCAATAGAAATGATTTAATCTTTGTGTAATTCACTTCCATCATATACAGAAGCTTAAGAATTTGGAAAAGCTTTATGTATGATTAAAACATATTTTGTAATTTGAATTCAATATTTAGATAGCAAACTTAAAAAGATTTTGTATTAAGATCAACAAAATAAATCATGGATGTCTTATTAATAACTTTAGTTAAATTCAAGAATTCAAGATAATAATTAACTGAATTGAGAACAAATCTTTTAGAAACTTTTTAAAATTTTTCAAATGAATTCAATCTTCTTGAAAAAAGAAAGGAAGAATTATTTTTAATAAGTAAATGTGAATTAAATATAAATTTAGAGGATTTATAAAAATGGGGATTGAATTAAGAATAATAACTTAAGGTTGATATAAATAAATGTTTTACTGATTTGAGATATGCCAAAGAGATTATGTTACCAAAAGATACATTCTATGTAGATGAAAAAAGAGATCAATATGTTTATATGTTAAATAAATTTAATGAATAATATGAATAACAATTCATTATAGAAACTGATAAACTACTTAATGAAATTTAATATTATTTAGATAATATGAGATGTTATACTAATAATTAAGTAATAAATTATTTTATTAATAGCTTCAAAATTGGGATTTCTTAATTTAAGAATATGAAGAATATAAAATATCTTATTAAAAATAGATATATGTAAAATGAGTTTATTAATTGATTTTTTTTAACTTTAGTATATTAAATATATATTATTTTAATATAATCAATATTATGTATTTGTGGATTCCTTTAGATCTTCAGTAATTGTAGCTAAATCTTTACTTAATTGAACTCTATTAGGTTTACCTGTAGCTGATCCATTACCTTTCCAATCTGAGTTATCACCATTCCAACTTATGATTAATAATAAATATACTTATCATCAGATTCAGCTTAACCAAATGTTCCTGAAACAACATTATAAACCATTTGAAGTGCAGAAGAATCCATAGATTCAGATGTTTTGATCAAAACTTCTTCAAATTAATTATCTTCATGTTATGGTGGTTAAGGTAACTTTTCTAAATTTTACACCTTTGTACTTTTTTTATTGATCTAAATTAAATATACTTAAATTTATATACACTTGCTTCATTTAAAGGAATAACTTCGAATCCTTATTCATTTTTCTTAACTTCTTCAAATCCATCCCCTCTAATAATTATTTCTTCTTCAAATCCACTTTAACTTTCTCCTTCCCAATCACATGAATCTTTCTCCTTTAATTAATGAATAGAATCATTAAGTGATGGATGATCACCAGATCTATATGAACTGATATCTTCATCTAAATGAACTAATGGATTTTCGAATTCTTCAAATTCAATTTATTCATCTATTTTTTAATATATTAAATCTTTAAATTAGGTAGTACCTTATATCTATTAAATAGTCCAAACTTCTAGAATAGATACCTTAGCTTATTTTAGAGGCATCAATTCTCCAGGTTCATAAGTTTTATCATGATTTTTACATGATACATTAAGTAGATCTTAATTTAGAAAGACTCTAAATTCTTTAGCTAATTCTCCACCAAATCCAATTCCTTATTTTAATTCAGAATGTTTTGAATTTAAGTAAGTACATTATGATCTAGTAAATTTATCATTTTTAGTTTTGTAAACTTTAAATTAGGGTAACATTTAAAATATACAATCTTCTTTACTACCATTAGGTTGAGCATCATCTTTCCATTCAAAATTTGTGTATGCTCCAAAAATATATTTACGATTTCCTTCTTCACATTAAATTAAGAATAATACACTTGTTTAACATTCTATAAGTAGATGAGATAATAATTCAAAGTTTCGTTCATGAACATTAGTAGAATATAGTAATTCTAATTTATTACTATCTTTATTCAGGAAACTCAAATACATAAATGCTATCCATTCTTAATTTAATATATGAGATGGATGTTATAATTAAGGATTACGAAATAATTTTTATTCTCCTAGAAATTTATTGTAATAATAATCTTCAACAATCTCTTCTAATTATGACATGTAATTATCAAAGAATTTAATTAACTACAAAATTGAAACATTACCATTAACTTTTTAGAAAATTGAATCTATAAATGCTTTTATAGGTTATTCATTAAGATTCTATTTTCTTAACATCATATTAATAAACACTTGCATACATTTTGTTGTCTATAAATAAGTAATTTCTAAAGATGCAAATTATTTTATAGCATCCTTAATATTCAAATTACCAAACAATGAAACTATTAATACAATTAACGAAACTCTATTTGGTAATCTTAATATTTCATTTTCTGATTTACCCAAAACAAATACCTCTGATATTTAGAGCATTGTTTCATATTCAATTCCCTTCTATTCATTATTTTGCAGACCTAACAAAAACCAATACATGCTTTATCCAAAAATAAGACTTTCATCAAACATCTCAATGAAATTGTCTTCAAATAACAATAGTTATTTACGAGATCTAACAATTTTCATAATAAACTATACTCTGGATTTGTAAGTGTTTATCTCATGAATGCTTAATGAATATACAACTTCTAAGGTTTCTCAAGATTAGTTTATATTTTTGTTCTGTTTGTCACACAATTACCCATTATTTTGATTAATTTTATGTATATATATATATATATATATAAATAAATAAATATACTTACAATAGAAAATATGATAACAATTGAAAAAAAATAATAATGAAAGAATAATTATAATGATTAGAATTCATCTTACTTTACATTTAATCAATTATATCTCATTTCCTCTTTTTTCTTAGATTCTAATCTTTTTATCCAAGTTCCTCAATCTTATTACGAGAACTTTAATAATTTAAATATAATAAATACCTTTGAGCTGTTTCATCATCACCTTTCAACATTAATTCTTTATCTTCTCTAAATATTGAATCACTTGGTAGTATATAGGTTGGTTCTTTCCATGGTTATATAGGATCATCTATTCTCCATAAAAGTTCTCCATCCATTTCAAAATGAGATAACCATGATCCTGATCCTTTTGATAAAGTGAATACTTAATCTTCATCATCATCATCAGTCTTTTTAATAATATTATTACATTAATTAATTTATTTATTTTCACATCAACCAAATCTGATAATGGTTTCTATTATTAAGACCAAAACATTAATTTATTTTTTATCTTTTATGCACTACCTTCATATACATAACTGAAATTAATTTAAGCTACTAATTTATCTTATACACATTTTATTGTGAAACTATCTAATTTATTTAATATTCTATCTCCTTTCATTAAACCATTAATAATCATTCCAGGTACTTTTATTTCATATAATTTTCCATCTGCAAATTTTATATATTTTGGTTTAAGATTTTTACCAATTATCTATGTAAAAGTTGGATGAATTTCTGCCAAAACTTCCTCTGAACCATAAATTTACCAACCATCACCATAAATTTAATATAATGTTGTTGGAGGATCAGCCTTAATAAATTCACAATAAAATGCTGTTCCATCCTCTTTTACTTTTTGACATGTCTCTCCAATCATAGGATCAATTGGTGCTAATGATCTTAAATAAGTATGTGTTCCATGTAAATAAGCAATTTCATTTGTTACTACCATTATCATTCTTTAAAGAGGATCTTTACATTTTGCAGCTTCCGTAAGATATAAATTAGCATAGTCGTGATCACTTATTGTTTATAAATGTATACAATGTCATGCATTCATTAGCAGTTTTAGGAGCTGTTAAACATATAGGTTTTGTAATAGTAGCTAAATTGAAATCTCCTTTAGCTATTTTCGAACCAATTTATTTTATCATTGCTCCTGCAATCTAAAAAAGCTTTGTATCATCTTCTTAATTCATATGAACACCACCTTTTAAATCTTAGAAAATAAACAAATACCATTTTTATGAGCCATGGGATGTCTTGGATACTAATTATCTTTCTCAAATTTTTATCTCCAACTTTAATTCATAAAAATAAATTTTCAAAAGTTTTCAAGAAGAAATTAATTCATTTGTAAGAATAATATATAGAAAAAAAATAAAAAATTATTCCGATACCGGGGATTGAACCCGGGTCCCCAGGGTGAGAACCTGATATCCTAACCACTAGACTATACCGGAACTGTTAACATGAACAATTAATTCTCCATTATATAAGGAATAAGTTTTATTTAATTTTTATAAATCATTTATGAGTACTTTTCTTTAATTTATGATAACTCTGATGAGTCTTTAATTATTTTTTCTACAACAAAGAATCCTAATCCAAATCTTTTTCTTCATATGTTGTTTATTAAATAGAAAATCAAATAATGAAATTATATTTTCTATTTAAATTAATCAATTATACATCACCTCTATTATTATTAGAATCAGAATTATGTACTTGTTGATGTGCATCATTTACTTCTTCTTCTGAGGATGTCTATGCATTAGATACTTCTTTTAATGATATAAAATCTATTACTCCATCTCTATTATTTTCTGTGTGTCCCTAACTTCGAATCAAAATTAAATATTTATCCAGATTATTCATTTTTACTATCCACATTATTACCTTTAGCATGTTCTTCAATAATAACACTCTAAGTATATTTCATCATCCCATCAAATAATTCAATTTCTTCTTATAATATTAATCTATGTTCATCAACCAATTTTTAATCGTATCTCAAATCTTCTTCAGCTACTAATAGAGTATATTCAATTTCCTTCAATCTAGATTAACATTTATCAACTCTATCATATACGCTAATCAATTAGTTTTAAAAATGCTAGAATTTAACAATTATCATACAGTGATGAGATCATCTTATAATTCAATTTGTCGATTGAATATATCATTTTCATTTTCAATCCTAAACTTGAATTCAGACAATGTAACTCCAATTTAGACTTAACCATTTAATCCATTAACAACATCCTCTTATATTTCCTTCTTCATCTAATTTAACAATTCTATCAATTATTCAATAGTTCCACTTAATTCAAAATCTTCTTATTTTATTTATAACATATTCATTTTTCTGTACTCCTTATAAGCATTTACAATCCATTATAATTCTGATATTCTGTTCTCATTTACTTAAGTCAATGATTTTGATAATTAATCTTACAATTTTGCTCTTTAATATGCAATTAATCTCAATAACACTCTTGCACTCTTGAACTCATACAAAAAATTATTATTTTTTTCACAAACATTATTTGAAAGTAGACTAATTCTATCATTATTGCTCTCCCAATTAAATATCATCCAATTTATGTAATCATTTGCTAAATCTATTTCTGTTTATTTGGCTTCTACCTATTTAATTTATATTATATTTTACATCTTATTCTCTCTTATAACATTCTCCTTTTTGATCAGAGATAGCTGATTATAATACAGCAATTTAATTTAACTTTGCTTATTTAATAGTTTGTAATCTTATATCTAATTATGATAATTGCTCAAAATTCTCTTTTATTTTTTCAGCTAATTATTGGATAAGAACCTCATCGTCTTATACTATAGTACTAATTGTTAAAGTTGCCAATATCAATATAGTTACTCTCATATTGGAATGAAAAATAGATTATAATGGATTATAAATTATAATCAAAATTCTATATCTGCATAGTTTTCACCTGATTAATACTCAAAAGCCCAAGGATTATTAAGTAGGAAATCTTGAGTTGCTTATTTGATATTATGATTTGGATAAAACTCTCCACTTATAGGTTATCTTGTACATGGATCAACAGGTCCATTTTTCTAGATTGCTTCTATTAACATATCTCTCTCATATGTATGACCTGCATCTGTAACTACTGGATTCTCCATAATTTCCTAATTTAATAATCATAATATATATTTACAAATGTTATTTTGCATATCAAATAACTTGGAATATCATAATTCTATTTTTAATCTGGATTTCCAATAGAATTAATAAATGCATCAATTTCTTTTTTTCTTTATTCTTCATTTAAATCAATTCTTTATTATAAATAATTTGAATAATTCTAAATTGCTTATCTCTTTTTCTAATCTTCTAACTCTTTATTTTTATACCATAATAACTTCTTTGCTCTATAGATGTACTTACTCAATTCATCCTCATAATATTATTTCTTCTATCCTGCACATAAAGTCCTAGCCTTTGTCAATCTATTTATAGCTGTTTCTATTTCATGAGTATTATCCTATGATTTCCCTCTCTCTGCCAATACTTAACCACACAATAAATGAGCTTTAATATTTCTATCATCCAACTCAATTGCCATTATTGCATCTTTATATGCCTATAAATATATATATTAATGCTTCTACCTATTCTAAATTTCCAATCTTTTTATAAGCTAAACCTCTTGATCTAAAAAAAGAACTTTCTGTACTATCAGTCAATTCTATAGCTCTGTCATAAAATTAAATAGCTTTAGTATAATCTCCTTTTTCAAATGACATGTCTCCTAAAATGCACCAATATTATCCTTATGTCTCTGAATAATCAGCAAGTGATTTTTTAACACTTTGCATTTTTTGTAAATTGGGTGGCTACAATATTATTCATTATATTATACTTTAGGAACTTGATCCCTAAATTATTGATTTGTGTAAGGAGGTCTTGGTACTCCTACTCTGATTCCTGGTCCTGGTACAAAGATATCATCAAAAATAAAAAGTGGGAGATCTGATCGAAATATATTACTAACAAATGGGAACATTAAATTAATTCTAATTGAATTTCCTATTGTGTTCTTAATTAACCATATTAAAGATCTAGATTTTTCTTGAATAATCTAGAATAATTTAGAAATATATATATAAAATATAATTTCAAATGGAATATTCCAAACTATCATTAAATGATATTTGTCAATTCTAAATTAATTAAAAATTTATTAAAATCATTTCTAATTCCTTATTTAAAGTATCTAATTGTATATGATTAAAACTGGATGAATCAACAAATTGAAATTTTATTAAATTTTTAAAAATAAATATTCAATAAATTAAATTACCATAATAAGATTATGATAAAGATATTATTTTATCCATTATTTATATTTTAGCATAATATAATAAATATATTTAATCATTCATAAATATAAATGTAACATTATTATTATATAAGTTTGAATAATTAAATTATACATCATCTTATTAAATATTGAAATATAAAGATAAATTAATTTTTTATAAGTATTTTCTATTTTTACGATTAATCTACTTATAAAAATACTTTAAATTTTCAAATTTCAATTCTCTTACCAAAAAGATATTAGTTTGTTTTGTTGTTTAAAAAATTATTTATTTATAAGTTTTAATAAACTAATAGACATGGGATTAGTAAAATAAATATATACAATTTTATTTATATTTCTTCAAACTTAATAATCAATACTTAAAATTATGATCTAAATATTAAACTGTTTAATTAAAGAGCTAAAATTAATTAAGAAATGGAGGAATGAATTTATTAATAAATGTAGAATATGATAATACTATTGTTTACTTGATTATTCATCCAATTTTCTTTGGTTATTAGACATGATTAATACTTTTGATAAGATTAAAATTAATTGATCAATTATATAGAAGTAATTTATAAATATTCTTATCTAAATAAAGTTTATTTATTATGTTATTCTTAATGGAGAGTTTGATTGGATTTTTTGATATATTATGAATTAAAGAGTAGATACGATCTCATAATTAATTAAATTTACTCTTGTATTAAATTACTTTAATAATCATTAAAAAAGTGAAACAAGAATGAAATAATAGTTAAGCTTATTAAACCTGACATGCAATTAACCTAAAACTAAGGCTAGTATTATACACAAAACTTAAGATTTAAAAAAGAAGACGAGTAGTTTTGATGTTATAGGAAAAAGCCCATACAAAAGCAATTTTAATAGATAAAATTCAAGACATCTTCTCAAAGAATATCAACCTATAACAAGTAGAGTTAATTAGAGATAAAGTATTAAATCACCTCCTGAATCAACAAAGACCAGCAAACCTATTAGTCTGAGCAATAACAGTACAAATTTAATCATATATATATCAAAGATGAATTAAAATATATAGACTCTTAAAAACGAGCAATTTAAAAGTCCTATCAATATTAATTGAAAGCCTTGTTAGGCAGTGAATAAGAAAAACCTACACTCTTCGATTAAACAAAAAGTATATAAGAAATATATATATTTTAGGAATAAATACATAAATAAATTCTAACATTTTGCCACAATCTCCAAAATAAAACATAAAAACAAGTCCAGATGTTAAATATAATAAAATTGAAAACTCAAAAAGCAAAGCTACTTTCTAAAATACAAATTTAAATGTTTCTGATAAAATACTTTAATTAGAGAAAAATAAATAGAAAATAATTTCTTTATAACTCAAACTTGCCAAGAATATCAAACAAAGACCTTAAAAATAGTCATTTCCTGTAATCTCTTTAATGGAAAAATCAGAATCTTATAATTTCTAATCAAACTCAAAACAATAATTACCTTAATCAGCTTTAATTGTTTTATAGAAGTATTCTGATCTTTTAAATGATTTTGAAAAAAAAGAAATTATTGATTATGAAACTATTTATTATTTAGCTCCAAAACAGATAACTTAGAGCCAAAAAGATACCATTGGATCTTAATAAAATAATGGATTTGATACATAAGAGTATGTTCTATTTAATTAATATTTTTAGTGGAGATTACATATTTATAAAATAAGATTAAATTGCCTATCGATATGAAATGTTAGAAAAATTGGGACATGGAAGTTTTGGATATGTTTTTAAAGTTATGGATCATAAACATAATTAATAAGTGGCTTTAAAGATTATTAAAAATAAAGAAAAATTTTATAAATAAGCTCTAATCGAAATAGATATTCTCAGAATAGTAAACAAAGCAGATGTTTCTTGTTGTTTAATTAAGATGTTGAATTATTTCGAATTTCGTGGTCATATCGTAAGTTCTATATATTAATATAGGAAGTGCATGGTTTTCGAGCTTTTAAGTTGTAATCTATATGAATTCATTGCAATTAATGATTTCATTGGCTTCGATCTCGATTTAATTAGAAGATTTGCTATATAAATCCTTCAAGGTCTTCTCTACTTAAAGGAATGCAACATTATTCATTGTGATCTGAAACCTGAAAACATACTCCTTAAAGATATCAATAGATCTGGTATACGTATTATAGATTTTGGATCCAGTTGTTTCACTAACCAAAAGATATACTCATATATATAAGTAAATTAATAAATCTATAGTTTATTAGAGTAGATTTTACAGAGCTCCTGAAGTAGTTTTGGGATTAGGTTATTCTACCTAAATTGATATGTGGAGTTTCGGTTGTATAATTGCAGAATTATTTACTGGAGAATCTTTATTTTAATCAAAATCAGAAAAAGAATTGTTATTCTTATAAATCAAAGTTATAGGCATGCCTCCAAAAGATTTGATTGAGTAAGGATCTCGAAAATCTAAATTTTTTGATGAAAAATGTTAACTCAATTATAAAATAAAGGATGCAGATTTATTATAATAAATTAAAACACTAAATTAACATTTGGAAAAAGCAGATCCTTAATATTAAGATGTAATTATAATATATTTAATTAAGTTTGTTATTAAATGTCTAAGGTGGAATCCAGATTAAAGAATGACACCTGAAGAAGCATTAATTCATCCATGGATAATAAATGGATTACCTGTGACTGTCAGAAAATAACATATTTAATAAATGAAAAATATTATGGTTATTCCTGAGGATTTAGATTTTAAATAAGGTCAAGGTGAATAATAAAATGAATTTTAATGAAAATTATTATATAATTTATTTTTTAATATGGGGAAGAAAAATAAGGCTAGAAATTTTTCAACAAAGAAAAACTAATTCAAATAGATTAGCAGAACAAAGACAGCAGCTGTTTTTGATGAAAAAGAAAGAAAGGAATATTTGACTGGAATGTTTGGAGCTAAATAAAAACGTAAAGAGGAATATATTAAATTGAGAAATGAGAAACATAAGAAATTTAATAAAGAATAGAAAGCATAAATTAGAGAAGTTATATTGATTAAAATATTTTTTAGGAAAAAAAGAAATAAATAGAGAGATTACAAAATTTAATTGACTTTAATAATTCTTTGAGCAAAACCTAAAAAACAGAAAATATCAAAACATCAAACAATAAAGAGGTTGAAGTAACAACTACTTTTTTTCATGAATAATGATAATATATATATTTTCATTTTATAAAGCATAATTTAAATGAACTATAATTTTGTTTAATCCTTTTCTAGTATAAAGTTTAGAAATATTAGATAAATTAAAAAAGAGTAAATTTTAATCTCATTTCTATAGACATAACCATATTAATTAATTTTAGAACTTTATTTTTATTAAGGTTTTCATTAACAAGACAGAGTTGCATAAGAGATTGCTTAATCCAAATAGTATTAAAATGATAAATTGTTGAATGTTTTTGGAATTCATTTAATTAATATATATTTATAATTGAAATGAGCGATTTCTTTGTATAAAATAGAAGTGAAATTTCTTAGCAAAACTAAAGTGGATTTGGTAGTTTTAATGATAAGTAATGTAATTGATCATAATACCCATTAGTTTAGGAGCAAGTTTTGGTAAATTGCATTAGGACAATTAAAGTTTTGGTGGAAATGGAGGTGGAAGTTTTGTATAGAATTCAGGATTTATAGTGTAAACTGAATAATATCGATCTTCTGTTGGTCTAGAAGATGTTGCTGTTCCAATTTAAATTTATGAATATTAAGAACCTTAAATATAAAAAGGAGTATTTTTTAGGAGTAGTGGAGATTTTGAGATGCAATTCGAAGAGATAGGAATTGATAGATTGAATATTCAACCAAAAATTTAAGAGGATTCAAAAGAACATAAAGCACCCTCTTTAGATAGTGGTATGAAAAGTAGCCAATAATCATCTCATGAATTTGAGATGAAAATAGGTAGTATAAATTTATATATTTTCATTAGAATCAGGTGAATAGATAAGTTCAAAATTTAAACCTGAAGTTAAATTACTTTAAAATTCTAACATTATTTAGGAGAATAAGAATTTGTTTAATGTGAATTAAGCCAAAAGCATATATACAAATAAGATTACTTAGTTAGTTGAATAGACCTAAAAAAAAGTTGAATTTGCTACTAAATCATCACCTAGATTATCGTAAAAAAAGAATATTATACATATAGGAAGAGTCAACAAAAACTTTAAAGAAAATCACCTATAATTTCAAGAGATAATTTTGATGTTTCTTCAAATGAATTATAGTCAAGTCAAATGAGTCCTGCTGGTAACATGGACCCTGTACAGTAAAAATTGGCTAAGAATAGAGAATCTGCAAAGAATTCAAGAGCAAGAAAGAAAATATATTATGAATTATTGGAAACAAAAGTCAAAGAGCTTTAGGATGAGTTGGATAAAGTAAAAGAATCAAATCGAAATTAAACAAAATATACTGAAATTTGTAATAAATTTTAAGAGAAAGTATTTTGAATAACAAAATCTAGTTTTAAACTTTTTTAGATTAATAATAATAATTATTTGATAAATTAGAAACTTGTTTAATTAAAAATAAGGATAATTTTGAAATTGCAATGGTTCTAGATGCCTTGAGATATAGAACTAATTCAAATAGTTAAGAAAGAAATGATGCTGCAAGACAATATTTTGACTCTATGGTTGAAGTATGTTTACCAATATAAACTAAATACCTTATTTATGCATTAGAAAAGGATAAAGACTTCTTTGCATTATAACCTGAGTATTAAAGATATTATATTAGTGATTATACTGATTGGATGAAGGATGTATTTAAAAAGACTGATATTAAACCAGAATAAATTATAAAAGTTAAGAAAATGAAATCTAAATTATAAAGTGTCAGAAATACAATATCTGAGTAATATTATTATTTTATACATTCTAGTTCTATTTAAAACATTAAAATTTAACTAAAAATTATATAAGGTGAAGCCAATAAGGTGGATTAGATGTGGGAATAACTTAAGGAATGTTTAACTCCTGTTTAATTGGCAACATGTCTTTTAGCTATGAAATAAGTAATAAAATTGATTACTCATTTATTAGAATGCTTTTCGTTAAGAGCTTTAAACATCTTCAATATTTTTATAGTTAAAGAATTCTTAAATGGTAAATATATTATTTATTAAACTAGTCAGAAGAAGATGACAACTTAATAAGATTAGATTAATCATCTATTCCAAACAATAGGAAACTTGTCAAAAAATCTATGTAAGGATGAGAAAATATTCAACTAAGTCTTTTATTTTATTATTTCTGCATTCTTTCATATTATGTCGTTTTCTTTGTTTTTAATTTATATAATATAATAATTATAAAAATGCTAATCTATTTATTTCCCTATTATTATTGATTTGTAAATTACTATAATTAACCTAAATATGGATGTAGAAATAATGTTTATGCAATTAAATGAAAATTCACTTTTTACATAACTATAAATCATTTTTCATCTGTGAAGAAAATTACTTTTTCTTTATTTTTGAGTATTGATTGAATAGATTGCTAGCTTTTTCTAGTTGGTGATGGTGAGAGATCTTTTTTGCCACTTTTAGGAAAATAACATAATTAATTTGTTCCACTAAATCGTATATGTTTGAGAGGTTTGGATGATGAGGATGGTGTTTCCTTTAAAACGGGACTCTACAAACTATCTTCTTAATCAGAATCTGGTATCACATTTTCTGAACTATCTCCTTAAGTTTTTAAAACCTTTTCACTTGTGATTGCCATTGGATATACTTAAATATTCATTTAAACTAAGTTTTCTTAAGTGATATTGATATAAATAAAAATATTTATCGTAATATTTATATGAATATCTGAGTTTAAAGTATAAAAATATAAAGTTTTATTCTTTAAATTTCTTTAAAATAAAGATTTTATATTTTACATACTATTATGTTTAAGAATAGTGAGCATGTAAATAAACAAAATATAATATTTGAGTGATTATGTAAACTCAATAATGCGTAACAAATATTTTATTTGTACAAAATTATTTATGATTATTTAATTTTGCATTTCTAAATCAAACAAATTTAATTGTTTTAGTTTTAAAAGTATAGATTAATTTGCAAAAGGGTTTTTATATCATAATTTTAGTTTCATTTGTTGTATGTAGTGTGTATATTAAATAATTTATTTATGATAAATAGATTCTTTAGGCTATATTTTTGTTCATCAATTAAAATAGAACCAGTTAACATTCATTATTAAGATGGACTATTCGATACAACATATGGTTTATTAAAAATGACAAGGAATCCATATCTAAATTAAAAACAATTAGAGAGCATTACTAATTCATATTTCTTAGTGGATGGAGTTGGATCAAATTTCATTAAGAGTCTTTTTAAAAAGGATATGAATTCATTGATTATATTCGATTGTGAAAAGATGCATTTAAGGAATGCAATTGAAATTTATTAGGCAACTAAAAAGTAGATAGATTTGTAATTTTTTGGTACACCCAAGAGACCTCGTAATCCATTCTCAAAATGCAAAGGTCCAAAGGACATATTTAATCTCTATAGACATATATAGAATCAATAAAAGCTTATGCTATCAAGGATGTGTTTAATTGTGAGCTATAATGGAGAAGTTAGAATACAAGGAACATTACCAGAATGTGGAGATTTGAAATATCATTTGGAAGAGCAACCAGAAAATATAAGTTAAATAGGATATCGCAAATACAATTACTTATTACCTTTTAGTGCTTATTAGGGTATTGTAACTGCTTACAATTATGAAAAAGAAGGATTGGCAATAGAATTTTTAAACTATAAAAAGATCTATGCTTTATATGGTGTTTTCCCTCCTACTTAAAGATAATATTAGGTCTTATTCCATTCCTATATGCAAAAATTAGTTAAAATACATGATGTGTAATTATTCATATCCATTATGTTTATAGCACTCATTCTTCCCTTTACAATGTGATTGATTTGGGTTGTGGAACAGGTGTACTTGGATTCATAGCAAATGATGTTTTATTAAGGAGTTTTAAAGATAAAGAAATAAATATATATTCATTAGACAATGTAGAAAATGCAGTTAAATCTGCAAAAATTAATTCTTAATGTTTGGAATATAAGAATTATACAGCAGAATTAGGAGATATTACAGATATTGATACATTATAATATCAATTAACAGTTTTTAAGTATGTTATAATAGTATTAATTTTTAGATATCCTGCAAAATTTAATTTGATTATTGCAAATCCACCTTGGATTTAAGCATCTAAAATACGTATTGATGATTCAATTGAAAATACAGTAACAGATCCAGATGGAATAATGTTAAAATCAATATTTGAATTTGCAAATAAATACTTGTAAATAGAATCATTAGATTCAACAAAGGGAAGATTGATTTTAATTTATAGTGATCTTTCTTAATTATTGGAATTATAAGAGAAAGAAAAGGTTCAAGATTTATGTAGAGAATATAAAATGGGTATTACATATTATTCTGAATTGCCATTCCATATTAAAGATCCTTAAAATGTTGATCCTCTCTTACAATACAAATAAAATAGTAAAGTATAGCTTTTTGAGATTCGCAAGATATGATCTATTATAAATATATATATATTAAGTTGATTGCTTAGCTATCAATAATTTATAATATTTATCTTATTAAAACTAATATTATTGAAATATATATATATATAATAGAAGATAAATTATATTTTAATATTAATTAGAATTATTATAATTATTGAAACAGTTTAAATCTATTATAATATATTGGTAGATTATGATGAATTAATTTTCAGAAGAATTTGTTATAATTAGAAATTATTATAATTATGATAAAAGAGTATTGGGATTTTTTTGTATAAATGAATAATAAAAATAATTTAATAAATGAATCAATTAAGTTTAAGCTAGTAATAAAACTTAGTTTAATTACTAACACAATATATTAGTAAGTATGAATAGATGAACAATTCAGACTAATAAAAAGAATAGATCTTTAAACAGTTTATTAAAATTTACTCTAATAGGTTTTAATAAAAGGAATTTCAGCATACTTTATTTAGTTCACAAATATTGATTATAAGTCAAGAAATAATATAGTAAGAGTAATTATTGTAGACACAGATTGTAAGTTTGGATTAAATCAAAGAATAAAGAGAGTAATTGCTTTAGAAACTAGATTAAAGAGAATCAGAGTTATCAAGGATAGAAAAGTTAATAGAGAGTAATAATAAAAGAGAATAAGATTAACATTAATTTGAAGATCTTTAGGATGGAATATTGATGTGCAAGGAGAAATGTGTAATGTTATAAGAAGAGAATCTTGAATTTAATAAGATGACAGGTTCTTTGAGATAGCAAAACGATTAATTAAAAATTCGATATTCATAAGTAAAAGGATTAATATTAGATTAATAGGCTCGATTGAATTATGATAACAATTTATCTACATTGAATGAGTTGCAATAATATGGCTTGAATCTAAACTATAGAATTATGAAATAAATAAAAATAATTAAAGATTTAGGATAATTAAATCATTGTGGAATAAATTAAAATAGAAAATAAAAATTAGAGAACTTTGTTAGTAATTATTCTTAATTAGAGGATACATGTATTACATAATTAAATTTATTTTGAGCACCTCGAAGAATTGTACAAGAATTTGGAATTGTAAGAACAAAATATTGATTCAGAAGTGGGAGAATGTATATAATAATTAATCTCTATCAAACGAGAATTAGCATAAATTAATATGAAGGATTCTAGTTTGAATTCACCTAGATAATAAGATCTACAAAAAGTAGATCCTATATTAACATCAGGAGCATTTAGATTTAAAACACATCATAATTTAGGAGAAAAATAAATTAGATAAAGATAGATCTCATAATAGGAAGATGATCTTAGGGCTTTTTCTGAATTAAATGAAGAAGATGAAGTTAAATAATCTTTTTCAGATGAAGATGATAAACATCCTGAATAAATATCTCATAAATAACCTTGGTATTTTAAATCAGCAGTTCCTATTATAAGTAGTAAGAATTCAGAGAAGAAATGGGAAAATTATAGTGAAAAAAAGAAACATCTTAAAAATAAATATTCATTTGCATCTGCTTCATCAGATTCAAGTTTCAATAGAATGGGTGTAATGACATTGAAAGATGAATTTCAAAGTCTATATCAATAATAATAAGTAGATGAAGATATCAAAGAAAAAGATACTGAAATGAATGATAGTGATGAAATACCTTAATTAATTTAATAATAATCAATACTTTAAGATTCTACTATTATTATTAATAGGAAATCATAATAATTAAGTAAATCAAAAGTATAAATTGAAACCATTGAACAACCTGTTAAATCTGACTCTTATAAAAATTTAAAAATAGCAGGTGTCTTATTGGCTACATGTGGAATTGCAGGATGGTTATATAAAAAGTATTTTTGATTTTATATATATGAATAATAATTAACACAAACATTCACTCATCCTTATTTCTATCTAAAAAGCTTTTATTATCATATGATATTTTAGCAAATATGGATTTTTTAGATGTAAATAAATGAGTCAAAAGTAAAATAGCAGCAGTCCTTAAAGTTATAGTCCCTATTTCCATTACTTTATGTCTAAGATATCTGGCAACAATCTAAATAATTATTATTAATTATTATACCAAATTAACTGTCTAGAGAACTGGAAAACTAATGAAATAGAATCCACCATAGATTCCAAGCATCAATATAAATTATTAAACTGCTCCATTACTCTTTTTATATGTATTAGATAATCCATTAATAAAGTATATGAATTCTCCAATAAATATAAATGATGCTAACCAACCAACCCATCCTTCATAAGAATGATCCTTATAATAAGCATCATAATCAATAAAACCAACTCCTACTATAGTCAATTGAAAGAATGCTATTAATAGTGATAAAGGTAAAAATATTTCAAAATTATCGAATTTATTAAAATTAATTTGCCAACCCCAAGATAACATTACTAATATCATTGTTAATGAGAATTGAGATGCAACCTGCCTTAATTATTAACATTTACTTATACAATAACTGATACCACATGTAAAACAAATACACCTTCCCCATTATAACTATATACCCATAAGTGTAATAAATTCACACCATAAGAAATAGTTTCAAGGAAAAGAGTTATTACTAATAGAAACAAAGCTAAACTGAATTCCTCATACTTTTCATGTCTTTATACTATATAATAGCCATTATAAGCTAACATTATAATGTCAACTAAAACTACCACAATCATGAAATATTAAATTCCAAATTATTCAACTGAAAATTCAGTCTTACCTACATTCTTAATATGAATATCCACTTCAAATTTAATCTTTTTATATTGATCTTCTTTGAATTCATCTCTTAATCTTCGATGACAATCAGATATAGCATAATACCACATATGAGCTCTTAATTTTGCTTTAATATTTCCAGTGTACACTTAAGAATACTCTCCATTTCCAGGTACTTATATCGTCTCTTTTCTTCTTGCTTAGGAAGCTCTCTAATTAATTAACAAATAATTGTATTTACCTCACATTCTTGCATTTCTAATGCTTATGGCCATTCCTCATCTAAATATAACTCAAAAAGAATAGGGAATTTTCTTTCTCTCATTTCCTCTGATTCCAATCCAATAATTCTAAATTTGATATGATAAGTGACATCTCCAACTTCAGCTCCAAATTTTGTCAAATATTCCCAATCAGAGAGTTATCTGATACGAAAACTCTTTTAAATTCTCTTTGTTTCACTAATCCAAAAAAGTACTTACAATAGTATTAGGAATTTATACATTTGAATAAATTATTTATATAAGTCATGCTAATCTGTTTAAAATTTACACCAATTAATCCTTATTTTCATATAATACTGAGTGTCCACCCTCAATGTATTATACTGTACGTTTATTCATTTGTATCTTCTTTGATAATGCTACATTATTCACATCCAAAGTCTCATCTTATAAAAATGTTTATAATAAATCAGCCTCAGAAATATTGACCAAACAATTCTTTAAAGAATGGTATACTTAAACACTAAGTATTAGTTTTTGGAATCTCTCCATAAATGAAGGACTTTACAATAAACCTAAAATTTTAATTTAATTTACCTTCTAAAATAACTTATCTACCTAATTGATTAATTGGATTCTATTGTAAAACACAAGAAAGTAAATCTTCAGAAATAGGCTGAGTATTCATTATTGTATTAGTATATTCAAAAGCAAGTTCTGGCATATCGGCAGGTTAAGATTCAAAAATTTTTATTGATTGAGTAAAGAAACTTCTTAATTGAGGATAAATTGATGTATAAGAATTTACAAAGGCAATCTAACTAAATTGAATAGTATTTTAGCATTGTACAACTAATTAAATTTATATAATTAATTACTGAATGCTTATGCATGAAAACCTCCAGAACCTACTCCCAAAATCTTTAATGTATCAGTTTATAAATCTATTTTACCCTTGGTAAATAATTCATATAGTATTTAATCTAAGATGCCTGCTATATAGATATTTGTATATGTTTGCTTCTTATTGAATAAAGTATATGCTTATCCAGGAGTGTTTAAGAGAAGTACCTTCTTATTTTAAGCTTCATTGATCAAATCTACTATGATTGGATAATATCTAAAATATAATTGATATTAATACTCAAAAAAGGATTCGAACATATCATGAAGTATAATTATTAAATCTATTCCTGATTGAGAACTCTTTTCTTTCTTCTTTGTTATGTTACTCTCAAATAAAGCATATGGAACTGCAGTCTGAGAATCAACTACCAAATACTCTAATTATGTAATATCAAAACAAGGAGGTGGATAATTCATCATCTCACATACTTCTTCTATTTATAATGATCTTAATTAATCATATTTCAAATCATATGATAATGCTTACATTGGAGTACTTAATTAGAATTGATATAATTTCCTTATGATATCAAAATTAACATGATAATAATAATGAGATGAAGTTGATAGTAAGATTTATTAAACATTTTCCTATATTTTCTCATTATAATATTCTTTCTATATAGCTCTACATTCCTATTCCTTTTTACTTGTTTTGACTAACATTTTCTTTATTTCTTCTGCTCTCCCTTATAATTCTTTATTCTCTTATTAATTTGTATCAATTCTTCTAACATTAGGTGCTTTTTATTCTGCAAGGAGGTATATTAAATTATAAGATTCATTTCTAAATTCTTAAGATTATTCCATTTAACTTGGTTTTTGGAATTATTCCAATTTTTAATAATTTAAATAACCCAAAGTTAATCTATTAATTTCAATTTATTTGCAAATATCTTTAAATTTTTAAGGTGATGCTGTTTTAGAGACTCTGCTTTCAGGTATAGAAGTAATAAGAAAATTTCTCTTTTATGTAGGTGCTCTAAATATTCTAAAAGATTTTGTTGATGTAGATGGTTTCATTTATAATTTCTCTTATCTTTTAAGAATATTCTCTTCTCTTTTTCTACGTCTTTCAGCTTCTTCATCTATTTATAATGAAGAAGTCTTTTTTTCATTAATAAATTAGACTCCATTTTTAATATCTTTTTTTAATTAAGATTCAAAATGTCTCTATATCATTGAATAAATTATAAAACAATTCTTACAAATTTTGACTGATTTATATAAATTTATTAATGCTTATACATCTGAATTTTCTTTACTAAATGGATGTTATTATTCATCTTTAATTTCTGGATGTTCTTCTGGATTATAATTTTCTAAATGAATTTTATATTTTTTAAAAAGTTCTATGACTTCTTTATGATCATCTCTTGTACGTACTATTAATTATAATGAAATTTCATAAGGTAAATTAGTACTCATATTACTAACTGTCTATTTTGACTCTTTAAACACATTCTTATATGTTTCCAATAAACCTTTCCTTAATTACAAAGGTCCTCTTTAAAATATAAATGATATAAATACTTGTTTTTTTCTATTAATTTATAATTACAAAAGTCTCCTTAACATCTTTCAAGTATTAAATGCTTATATAGAGTTTTGCTCAATTTCTTATCTTCTTCTACAATTTAATTTGGATACTTTTTGAATTCATTATTTGCATTTTTATCCAATCTAAATTATTTACATGCCATCATGAAATTATCAAATTAACCATTACTAGCAATTTCATCTCTCAAACCCTTTTGATATGGTGCTAAATATGAAACTTAAATTTACCTCCTTTTTAAATTTAGATAGTGATTTATTTTATACCAGCAAAATAGATCTAATCTCTATAATCAACAATGAATTTGGGAGTGAATTTACGTATTTTTACTTTAAATACTTTTTCAAGATAGAATGCTATCTTTTTTGTCTCCTTTAAAAGTAGATAATTACATATATACTTCTTAAAAGCGTTAATTTAGAGTAGAATTACAATATTTGAACATGGTTTGTACTTTCTAAACATCTTATTGTCTTACGGGAATTTAACCACTACTTTGGACTGGCATCAAGAGTGTTTAAAAAGGATTGCTGGATTTAGCAGTTGTACTTTTGTTCACTCTTTTGATTGTAAGAGTTTTCTTGAAAAACTTGAAAGTGATTGGAATGAAATCAACATCATAATGGTATTCAACATAATAGACTTCATCTGCAAACTATTAATCTAGCTACTACTTTGATTTTCAATGTACTATTGCATGTATGCCAAAGACGAGAGATCTTTGCCTTCAACAAAGAATTGCAATAACTCTTATCTATTCATAGGTATTCCCTCATTCCTTTTCATCTACAAAAATGCTATTGGATATTCCTACATTATTATAAAAAAAATTAGTACCTCTTTGAATTGAGGACATTACTTTGCTTGGTCAACCAATTGACTTAGAGTATCAATCTTGATGTCTTTTGGAAATTTAATACCAAGCAAAGCTTTTGCAATTTCGAGGTTTGAGAGTTTATCAGAATTCTTTTTCATGACCACTTGAGTATTTTTGGGATTGAATAACCAAACCTTTGGCATAAGTTTATCGAAGATGATTGTCTATGGTATTAGACATGGTAACTTATTGTTCTTTTTAGTACACATTTCATAGAAACCCCATTAAGAAGTTAGTTCTAATTGATCTTCCATAATTATATTAATAAATCAATATCCAAGCAACATAAGGACCAAGAATATTGAATAAATGATGGTCTCGTAATTAGATACTCCTGGATTTGAACCAATACCGATATTCTTTTGAACATAAACAGCCTAAGAAAATAATATTTAAAATATAATACTCCTGCATATGGTTGAACAGATTATAGACATCTTTTTTCAAAATTGTAAAATCCATATTTGCATATAGCACAACCATTTTAGGTAGTTGGATATTATTAATTAGTCAAAGTTGATGTAGTATATCCTTCTGCACAATTTGCACTACTCAAAGTAACACAACCTCCATTTTAAAGTACATATCCAGATATACAAGAATTACAAACTTAACCTGGAGCAGAACATGTTGCACATTCAAAAGGACATTTCAAACAATATGAAGTTGTTGCTGTACCTGTATTAATACTAGATAAGAAATATCCATCTAAACACACTTAACATGAACTAGGTGTTTGTGCATTACAAGTAGCACAATTAGCAACTCCACATTATGTACATCCCCCACCAGATACATAATATGTTATAGCACATTTAGTACATGTTGGACCAGCTGCACATTAAAGACAATTGACATCACAAGCAGTACATGTTGTAGTAGTACCAGTTGAGAAATAATAATTGACTGCACAAGCACTACAAGCTATTGAATTAGTTGGTGATCCAGTACAAGCAGTACAACCTTAAGGTAATGTATTAGTTAAGCCTGCATCACAAGCCAAACATTAAGAATTGGTATACAATTTAGTTTATATAGTACAAGTTGCACATGTATATTGAGTGGCACTAGTAGCTACAATGGTGACACATTGTTATGTTTGATTTGATGGTACACAAACTACTTATGCTTATGTAGTTCCTGAAGCAGGTAGAGTATATAAATAGTATCCATCTTAACATTAAGTTGGTACAACACCAGTAAGGGATGAATTTTCAACTGGACCTTAACATCTCAAGAATGAATCTGAAGCTTGTGTACATGGTTTACAAGTAACTATTCCATTTGTATCTTTAATACCATAATATCTAAGATTATATATTGATAAATTTATACGTATCCCAACAAGTAGTACATGAAGTTTATAAAGAAGCTGTTTATTATCCAGAAGGGATTGTGCAACTATCACAATTTCCACATTAATAACAAATTCCTGTTCCACTTGGATCTAAAGCATATCCAGCTATACAAGATGAACATTTTGGTGTTGTTGGAATAGTTGTTAATTATGTATTGATTGAAGCACATTTATTGAGAGGATAACATAAGTTATCAGTATATTTATAGAATGAAGCATAACAATCAGTACAAAAGGTTGATGAAGTACATGTTGAACATCCATTTGGACATAAATTACAAGATAATATAACAGTGTTAGTTGTATCTTTAGTAGGATAATAACCAGTTTTGCATTAAGTACAAGAAGAACCTTGACATGTAGAACAATTTCCACTTGTAAGACAACTTACACAAGAACCAGCAAATTATGCATTTGAAGATGTTAATTGAGTACTACTGATTGATTATTACCAATAATAACCATCATTACATTATGAACAAGTATAACTATAATATATTGATATATATAATTACGCTGAATTACAAGACTTACAATTAGCCATTGTTTATGAACATACACTACAAAATGATTCTCCAGGGAATTTATAATATGTTTACCAAGTATTAATCCAATCACTTTGATTGTTTAAATTAGCACTTATTGTTGCAAATTTCAAATCCCAATTTAAAAAGTATCCAGTTTAACAGGATGTACAAACTGCATTATCATCCCATGATGAACAATATCTATTATTGATACATACACCTGCTTTAAGTGTATAATCAGATGTGCATGCTGTACAAACATAAGCATCTGAATTCTGATTTAAACCATAAGCTGTACAACCAAGAGGTATTTGAACACATACACTTAATATATACATTTTTTATATTACCCATTTATCAATGTATAACCTGAAATACATGTCAATGAAGTTCCTTCATAATAAGCACTACAAGTGTAATAACCACCTACTACTTAGTCAGCATTTTTGCATGGCATACATGCTTGATTGTTCCAATAATAACCTTTATTGATGATAATATAGAATACCATTTCTGCACAATGAATTTGTTCTGGTTGTTTAAATAACTATATTGGCTCCATATGTAACACAACCATATCCATTTTTTGGGCATGTGACTATGATTGCCCCTTTTACAACTAAAAGCAATGCAATACAGAAGAGAACTCTCATTTTAATTTATTAATAATTTAAGATTTTTACATTCAGCCAAGTATAAATATCTGTTAATTATAATGAACTCAGCTTCTAGCAATTAGTTGCTTCAAAAACTTCAAAATTTGTATTCTACATAAAAGAAAGCTAGCCAACACTCACATTCTCCAATTAAGCCAATTGCCACTAAAGAAATCAACTAATTGCTGCAAAAGTCATCACCAGTCCCTTATCTTCAAGTCAAACAATATGATGTAGAATAATGGACTGATCGTATTGTTAGATAAATAGATAAGCATAATTCATTCACTTAAAATGAAATTCCACTTGATATACAACCTTAAAAATACTCTCATATTCATACACCTATTGAACAATCCTTTATTAAATCACTGGCAAATATTGAAAAATAGCTTAAATAACTTAGATATTCTAAAGACCATGATTAACAAACCTTTACAACTATTATAACCAAAATGAAACTCTTTTGTCTTGATAATTCTACAATTTGCTTTGATTTTTATAGATGTACAGATCTTATTCTACTCAAATTCATGATTTATCTTTTGATCTTAGAATTAAACCAATAATCTAATAATAATAAAAAAGAATAAGTACAAGATTAGACTTAGTAATTTCAAAATATGGTAAAGGATATAGTAACTATTGTTTATGAAATCATAGAAGAAATAAAATCTAAATAGCACATTAGTACTTAAATCGATAACCTTAATAATCAATTAACTAAAATTTAAAATTCCTTTAAACCTTAATAAAATTATAATAGTTCTTTAAAAACTATAAATAAATCATCTCTTCATCATAGATTTAATAGTTGCAATTTAGATAAAAATAATAATACATCAATACATTAAAATAAATTAGCTACTGAAATTAATCTAAGTAATAATCAATTTAAAAGCAATCCTTAATTAAATAATGGATCATAAAAGATTATTAAATATTAAATTGATGAATTAGAATAGAAATCTAAACTTATTACATCATTAAATGACTAAATTTTGAAATTATAAAATAATAATAAAAAATAAATTATTTCAATCACAGATTTAAATGCTTAAATTGAATCCTTCAAATCTTAATTAAAATCCAAAATTGACGAAGTATATTATTAAATTATTTATATTTTATAGATAGAACAATTAAAAAGATCAAATGAACTTTTAAAATCAAGTAACCAACTTTATTTGGAAGAAAAAGAACAATATTTTAATCTATATCATGATTTTGAATTAGAAAACAGCAAACTCAAATAAAATCTTGAAAAATATAAAGTAATTTATAAATATTTATATCATCTAGACTGCTCATGATTAAATTAAGACTCAATTTGATAAATATTAAAATGAAACCTACACATATTATTAAGAATAATGTAATCAACTTTAATAAACCAAAGATAATGAGATAAAATAATTGAAAATTGAATTAAATGAAAAATCATCAATCATAGTATAAATCTATATTACTCTTTCTAGACATAATTAGTAGGGGATACAATATTTTTTGGGAAATAATACAAAAATATTGTTGAAAGAATAGTTAATATTTCACAGGAAGACTTAGGTAAGGAGATGTTAGAATTATAGAAGGAGTTGTTTGTTTCTTAAAATACTTTGAATGCTAAGTTAAATGCTATATCTAGTTATTCAGATAATATCATGTATGATTCTGGCCAAGAATATCTATAATAGAGTTAATTATCTAATTTGATGGTAAACAGAACTGTATCATCCAAAAGTGGATATCAATAAAATATGAAATAAAGCAAAGTATATGAGTTGCTAAATGGATAAAAAAATTAATTTGAATTAATGCATATGCTTTTAATGTAGAGTTAAGTACTTGAATAATTTTTATCATGATTATAGATAATATATTAAATAAATTTGATTATTCTGTCTCAACCTATTTAAAGGCATTTTTTAACATAAAAAGAAATATGATATAATAAATACTTCTTTAATTAAATAAAAAATGAAATATTGCATATTATTGTTCTATCTCGTTTTTGTAGCATCATCATTTAAGGTGAATAGAAATGATTAATTCATTGTAGATTCAGATGGTTTAAGACGAGTATTTCATGGGTATACCTTATAATCATACATAGTGTAAATGTTGTATACAAACTGCCACCATATTATCCACCAGTATCAGAAGGATTTGATTCCAATGATTCACTATCTGATTTTGATTTAGATAATTTAGTATCTTGGGGATTGTCATTTATAAGATTACATGTTGCATGGGAAGGAGTTGAACCAGTTAGAGGATAATACAATTACACTTATTTAGAAGAGATAGACAAAATAGTAAAAAAATGTGAGGCTAAAGGAGTTACAGTATTATTAGATTCACATTAAGATGTATTGAATAGATTCTTTTGTGGAAATGGATTTCCTGATTGGACAATTGCTAGAACTAAATAAAAGGAATTTAGATTCCCATATCCTTATATATTCTCAAAAATTCATACTGATGATGAAGGAGTTCCTCTAATTGAGGATTGTTTAAAGAAAAAGTTTGTTCTTTATTATCTGACAGCAGAAGCTTCTAAAACATTCTAAAATCTTTTTGATAATAAAGAAGGAATTGCTGATGCATTTGCTGAGTATTGGGGTGTTGTTGCTAATTATTTTAAAGATCATAAGAATGTTATTGGATATGAAATTATTAATGAACCAATTCAAGGATCAATTTATCATAGTATTAGAGAATTCCTATTTCCTAATTATGGTAATAATCATAATTTGTTACCACTCTATAGAAAAGTGCATTAATAAATTAGAAAGTATGACAATGAGAAAATCATCTTCTTTGAACCTGGAACAACTGATCTTATAGGTGCTGGATTTAAAGATACTCCAGGAGGTGAAGAATATAGAGATAGAGAAGTTTACAGTTATCATATATATTGTTTTAATGTTGATGATTATAGTATTCCAAAGAATGAATAAGTATGTAATTATATGGATTCATTCTTTTTTGCAACCAAAGAAGGTGTTGCTAAGAATTTAGGAGTTGGTAAATTCATGACTGAATTTGGAGCTATTCTTGATACTCCAGAGGGAAATAAAGAACTTAATTACTTATTAGATTTAATGGAATCAAGATTTACTTCATGGGCTTATTGGGAATTTAAGTATTATGCTGATGTCACAACTCAAGCACATCCTGGATAAATAGAATCTTTTTATGATGAATTTGGATAATTATATACAAATAAAGTCAAGACTCTTAGTAGACCTTATGTAACTAAGATATGTGGTGTACCAAGCAGTTCCAATTTCAATAGAGTAGATGATGATTCTTATTTCTTATAATTGGATTGGAGAGCTAGTGATAAATGTAATGGAAAATAAACAGAAGTCTTTTTATCTAGAGAATTCTATTTTGATGAGGTTCATTATCACTTTACGTAATTCTTATTTTAATTAATAGAAAATGTTCTGGGTGTACTTTAAAAGCTATAAGTAAATCATATTATGTAGTTGAATTACCTGAAGATTTTAAAGAAGGAACAACAATTTCTTTGATTGTGACTAATCATGAATGATATAAATTAAATTATTTGATTCAATACATTTATACTTCTCTTTTGAATATTCTTTAAATTTTATCATTAAATTTTGGATTATCATTAATTATTTTTGTTAATAATTACATTCTGCATAGAGATGGAAACATATTAATATAAAAATCTAATATATCTTATTAGGACTTATATGAATAATTGTTATTGATAAAATAAATAAAATAATTATTTAAAACAAATGATAAATCACCAAGATTAAGCTTCTTTTGATGATAGTCGATTATAATAGGAGATGAAGTAAACAGCTTAATTTTTTAATCCATAATTAAACTCATTAGGATAATCCATTAAATTTTAATAAAAACAAATATAAAGAGTGCCCTTCAAATCACCAAAAGAATAAGCATTCAAGCTTAGTTCAGATGGTAAAAAGAATATATAACCTTAAATAAATGTTGAAAAGAGACCATCTCAAACTTTGAAAAAAGTCACCCTAGCTAAATCTACTAAATAGTTTGCATAAAATAATCATATCACTCCTGTCATGCATAAATTTGGGTATGAAATTATCTCTAATAAGCTCACCTCCTAAATTAATTAAAGTTCCTTCAGTTAAACCATTCTCACCACCTTAACCTAAAACAAACAATGAATAAATTAATATACTTCAGAATAATTCTGTTGCACCTGGCTTTCAAAGAAATCCAAATATCAAATTTGGTTAGCCTCTCAAAATTTCAGATAATGAATTCAATATAAGTATGGCTGATTTATAACCTGTTCGTAAACACATACCTACCAAATAAACTGAAGATTTCATTTAACCTGAATATCCATCTTATCAAAAATCATTATTAGATAGTAGACAATCTCAATATAATAGTGAATAAATGTAAAAATCTAATTCAACTGCATTTTTACCTAAAATAAATTAAACAAAGAAAATTTATAACAATCAATTAATTGGATATGGTTCAATTGGATAATAATCACAATAAGAAACAGCTCTAAGAACAAATTCCTCGAAATAGACTATCACTCCTGTCAATGAATTTATTAGTTTCAATCTACCAAATGATGATGTTGCAAGAAAATCAAGAACTGCATAAGAACATTTAAGAGATTCACTAGAATCTCAAAATCAAATGAAATAAACATATAAAATAATTAATATGGATAAGCCAGATTAATTTAATCAATTACCATAAATTTAATCACCTTAAGCAAGTACTAAATAATAATTTGCATTTTAATCAACTGGAGGTTCATAGAAACCAAAGAATTTTCTGTAAAGAACTCCATAAACTAAGATAATTAGTCGATTATTTTCATCAAAATCTGACAATAATTAAATAATTTGATAATTTTGCTATATTTAAATATAATAATTATTTATTACCTCGAAATCAACTGACTGAATATTTAATGATTTAATAATATATTTTTAAGCAAAACAACTAAAATTAATTTTTCATCATTAATTATATGATCTTTAGAAATCTAATTTCTTACTTAAAATAAGCTGACAATAATTTAAACATCAATACTCATATTTTATTAAACAAATAATATCTAATATTTACTATTCTTAAACATAACATAAGTAATAATATTTATAATTATTACTACATAAATTAAAATAATCAAAATAAGTTTTGGTATTAATACTCCAAAATAGTTTAGATGCAAGTAAAATTAATAAATTTAAGATATACTATCTACTTTGAATAATTAAATTAAGTTTTTTATCAAAACCAGTAAAGTTGAATTGATTAATGTTGTTTGATTGCATATTTCTATTAATGAAATACATTTATTATAAAATATATCAAATAGAAAATAAATTTCATTTAGACAAGATTAATTATGAAATTAAACATATATGACATATAAAGGAATTTGAATTCATCATTAAAATCATAATGAGTTCTAATTTATCATACATTGAGATTGATCACACTATATAAAGTGGATTAATTACACTTTAATAAGATGTGATGAACTCAGATAAGAATTACAATTAGTGTGAGAAGATTTAGAAAAAACGTTAAGAGCGAGATATAAAAGTAAAATAGTTGATAAGAGAAATGTGTTAAGTCTTAGACTTAATTAGAAAAACTGATTATACAATGTTTAATCTATTGAATAAGTGGATGTTTTAGATGTTGTTTGAGTTTTGAAATTATATTTTATATATTAAATGAACTCTAATAAAGCTTTTACAGAGACTCATTGTGATAGTCGGAGTCTAAAATTGAACACCTCAATTTCAAAACATGACCCGAATTGGTATGTTTTTTAAATAAGGTTAGTACTAATATGCCTGGATCAAGTAGTAAAGCATCTTCAAGTAAAATACAAAAGAAAAGTCATAGGTATTTGAACATTTTTATAGTAGTGACTTTTAACCAATGCAACAAACGCTGGGATAAGGCTCTTTTGGTTGGGTGACTTTAGTTAAGGAGATTAAGACTGGAAAACTATTTGCAATGAAAGCAGTATTATTGAATGTTGAATGTAATAGATGAAAAAGGAAGAACTATTTAAATATTGTACAGTCGATAATTTGAAGAGGGAGATAAAAATTTAACGTAAATTGCATCATCCTAATATTATTAAATTGGATAGTTATTTCGAAGACAAGGTATGATTATCATATAAATAAAAGACTAATGTCTATCTCATTCTGGAGTATGCAGAAGAAGGTTCTCTATTTAAAAAGATTAAAAAATAACGTCGACTTTCTGAGGATGAAGCATTTCATTATCTTTATTAGACTTGTTTAGGAATAGAATACTTACATAAGATGAAGATAATCCATAGGGATATAAAGGTTTGTGTTATGTTTATATATATAGCCAGAGAATCTTTTGTTGGATTCAAAGGGGAATATAAAGATATGTGATTTTGGATGGTCCACTGAAATGGATAATCTGAAAAAGGCTTTTTGTGGGACTATAGAATACATGGCACCAGAAATGATTAAATCTCAAAGCACAAATTATAAATTAGATATCTGGTGTTTAGGTGTTTTACTTTATGAGATGGTATAAGGTAAGCCTCCTTTTACAGGGAAAAATGATTAAGAAAAATGTGTAGCAATTCTATCAGGATAATAGTTAAAATATGAGGAATTTGTAAGTGAGGATTGTAAATCATTGATTGCCATGATTCTACAACCAAATCCATTTAATAGACCTTCTATTTAAGGTATTCTCAATCATAAATGGATGTTATCTAAATAAAAGTAATAATCTAACAATGATCAATTGAATTCCAGAAGCATCTCTATGTTGATGGATGAATTTGGTCATTATTCTCCTTTGAAATCTTGTCCAACTGTTGTTTCAGAAAGGAAAACAAACAATAAAGAATGGGAAGAGATGAAATAAAGATCTCAACATTTTGTGTTCCATCAACCTTAACCTGAGTAGCCAGAATAAACTTTCTTGAGAAGAGTTCTAATTTCTTTAGGTTGTATTAATCGTTGAAATTATATATGTTAATTCATCTAGATTCGATTAAAGAAAAAATATATTTATGCAATAGGATAGATTCTTCTTAGAACTAAATTAAAAGGGAGAAATTGAAGGCAGTCATGATAAGGCCATCTATGTACACCAACATTAGATAGTTAGAATCTTTGTTCGCAATCGCAAATAAGGTTATCATCCATACATGATCATGCAAAAAGGATATAAGCGTGTACATGAGATGGATAATTTAACTTTGAAATAGATTTAACAAAATCATGAAGTAAAAGGGTTTACTCTTGATTCTTCAGGTGATTGGAAGGTAGATGTTGAGTTTGCATTGACTGGTGCAGCTTATCTAAGATTATGTTGGTTTGTTGCTTAAGAAAAGCCTGTAGTATTGGGAGTGGAGAATCATATTATTGTTTAGCCTAATCATGTGGAGAAACTCTAGGAAATAACTATATAAACATTACTACCTTATTGTTTGGGTAAGTTTGAAGATTATGAAAAGTAAATTCGTTCTCAAGTCGATTTGGGTTATGAAGCATTTCATTTCCCGCCTATTTAATAATTGGGACAATCACCTAGTTTATATGCAATAGCTGATTAACAAAAATTGAATACTGATATTTTTGGCAATCACACCTATGATGATTTAAAATAACTTTTTGCTAAATTTCCTAACACTTACTTTTTTATAGATATCTTGTTGAATCATACAGCATTTGATTCAAATTGGTTAGTTTAACCAGAATTTGAAAATGCTACATATAATGTTAAGAATTCACCTCATTTAGAAGCAGCAATTAGATTAGATTGTGCAATAGCAGAATTTAGTAATAAATTAGGATCAGGTTTATTAACTCAATATCCAAGAAATACAATTTATAATGATGATGATCTTAATCAAGTTATGTCCATTTTAGAACATGAATATATAAGAAAATTGAATATTCATGGATATTTTTAATTCAATATAAATGCAGTTGTAAATGAAATACATACTAGATGTAATAAAATAGTACGAAACAAGAGTGAATAATTAGAGGAAAATTAAAATATATTTATAAAGAGTGCTAGTGAAGTTATGTTGTAATTAATAGGTAAGGAGACAATCTTAAAAGGATATAAGGAATATGGAGTATCTTTAAATTATGATGTGATAGTTGAATTTTTAAAGTATTATTTTAAATAATAATTATAGTAAAGATGAGAATTACAAGAAGGTTTCTTTAGAATATATTCAAGAATTGTTACAATATTATAATAATTAATATTGGAATGAAGCAGAGTCATATATTAGAGAAGCAGTAAATTCAACAAGAGGGTAAATCACATGGTGGAAATTAACATTGAAGAATCCCTTTGTGGAAGTAAATGATAAAGGAGATTCGTTGGTTCCAAGATATTTCACTAAATTAAGTAATGGTAAATATGTGGCTAATAATGGATGGATTTAAGGCTTTGATCCTTTAAATAATTTTGCAGAGAATCAAGAACATCATTATTTGAGAAGGACAATTGTTATATGGGGAGATTTAGTGAAATTAAGATATGGATAGAAGAAATAGGATAGTCCTGCATTGTGGAAATACATGAAGAAATATGTTTAATTGATGTCTAAGTTATTTGCAGGATTGAGATTAGATAATGCACATTCAACACCAATGATTGTAGGGTAATTAATTTAATATTATAATTTTTAGAGAATATATGATGAGATAAGCTAGAAAGGCTAATCCAAATATCTTAGTATTTGCTGAATTATTTACAGGATCTCCAGAAAAAGATTCAATTTTTACAAAAACAATGGGAATTAATTGTTTGGTTAGAGAAACTAATAGATGTCATGATGCTGGACATTTGAATAGAGAATTACATTATTATAGTGGAGATGGAAGAATGTCAATTGGATCTTTACCTAAATTATAAGAATAATTTGAATCAATTAATGAAACATTTACTATCTTATAACCTCAATATAGTCCTGCTTTGATTTATGAATAATCTCATGATAATGAGTCATTGCTGTCTACTCATGGTTATAAACATCAATTACCAATAGCTGCTTTAATTACATTTAGTAGTTGTATGGGTGGAACTGTAAGAGGATATGATTGTTTTTTACCAAATAGATTATCTGTTGTAGATGAAAGAAGAATATATAATATTGTTGCTCCAACTGAGAATGTTGTTATAGAAAGATAATCAATAATAGCATTTCGTTATGATTCATTACCAAATTAATTTGTTGAAGTGTTTGGATCATGGGATAATTGGTAAAATGGTTTAGTTTTAAATGGTCATCATAATATTTATACTTTAAATTTTAAGTTAAATGAAGGATAATATGAATATAAATATAAAGTCAACTCTAATTGGGTTGATTAAATAAATAGGAAATTAATTGTAGAACCTAATCCAACTAAATTACATACAACAATGGAATTGGTTAGACTTAAATTACATTAGATAAAAAAAGAACTTAATTAATAATTCCCATTCATCTTTTGTTAAAATCAAGGTGAAACTATTCAAATGATCACTAGAGAAACTAAAGATAAATGTAGATCTAAAGTTTTAATCACTGTTCCTTCATTTGGTATTCCAAATACATTTAGTTCAATCAAATTACCAGGATAAATTATAAAAGTAGATGCTATATTCTTTCATGAAGATTTTATACAACATCCTCAATAAAATAATTAAATTTTAGAAGCATCTTAAGTTAGAATCATTTAACATCAAAATATTAGAGAATTTGCTGAAGTCTAAGATAATGAATTAAAATTTATTAAATTACCTTCTTCATTTACTGCTATTATTGAATGTTAAATTGCACCTTAATAATAGAAGAATTTACAATCACTTGATATTATTTTAAATGATGTTTCCTAATAATAAATTTTTAAAACTTTGAATTCATCATAATTAAATTACTTACTTTTTATGTCTGAACCTGAAGAAAGAGATAAAAATAATACAGGATTATATTTTATTCCTAATTTTAGATAACTTATTTATGCTGGTTTTGCTGGTCCTCGTTCTGCAACTAGAGAAGCATAAACTATTAATAATTTAGCACATCCTATATGTGAAAATTTGAGAAATGGAAATTGGTTATTAGATTATTTAAATGATAGAGTTTAAAATTAACTTGGATAATTGGAAATATCTAAATTAATTAATACAATCACATAATAAATTAAAGATATTCCTCGTTATCATATTCCATCCTATTTCTGTAAATTTGTTGATTATATATACAATAATTGTATGTTATCCATTACAAACCTTTAAACTTCATAATTTAAAAGAGAATTGAAATTAGCTTCATATTAATTCATTGCAGAATTACCATCCTCAAAATAAATGTCAGCTGGATTACCACATTTTACAACTGGTTGGGCAAGATCATGGGGCAGAGATACATTCATATCTTTTAAAGGAATCTATTTAGAAAATGGATTATTGGCTGAAGCAAAAGATGCTTTAATCACTTTTGGCTCTTGTTTAAGACATGGATTAATTCCTAACTTATTGGATTCTGGTCATAATCCAAGATATAATTGCAGAGATGCATGTTGGTGGTATATTAAAGCAGTTAAAGATTATATACAATATTCTGGAAAGACTGATATTCTTAATGAAGAAGTATAAATGATATTTCTTGATGATGATATGGATAAACATTATTAATTAAAATCATAAGGAATTATAATAAAGAAAACTATTGCAGAAATTATTCAAAAGATTTTTTAGAGTCATGCTACTGGTATCAAATATAGAGAATGGAGAGCAGGAAATTAAATAGATAATTGTATGTAATCAGAAGGATTTAATATTTAATTGTGTTTGGATGAATAAACTGGTTTTATTGTTGGTGGAAATTGGTTAAATTGTTTGACATGGATGGATAAAATGGGTTCATCAGATGTTAATAGAGGTATTCCTGCTACAAGTAGAGATGGAGCACCTATTGAATTGACAGCTTTACTCAAAGTTTGTTTAGATTTTGTGAGTCATGCTCAAAATCATTATCCTTATGATGGTGTTATTTGTCCTAATGGTAAGAAATTACTCTTTAAAGAATGGTCCCATTTCTTACTTGTTAATTTTGAAAAGTATTACTATATTCCCAAATAACATGATCCAAATTATTAAGATTATCATATTGTTGAAAAACATGTTAGACATAGATAAATTTATAAGGATCTTGTTAAATCTTCAAAACCTAGAAATGAATATTAATTAAGATGCAATGCTAGTATTGCTATTGGATTAGCCCCTGAATTATTTAATAAAGAAAAGGCAATGTTCCATTTAGCTACTGTTGAAGCATGTTTATTAAGAGAAAATTCTATTGGTATCAAAACTCTTGATCCTGCTGCTTCAGAATATGTTCATTTTTATGATAACAATGATTAATCTCACATCTTTAATGTATCTCATGGATTTTCATATCATAATGGACCAGAATGGGTGTGGGTTTATGGATATTTTATTAAAGCCTTAATAGCTATTCATGGTAAAGAACATATCAATAGACAATTATTTTATTCCTATTTATCAAATCATAAAATAACTTTGCATTAGAATGAATGGTACTCTTATTATAAATTATATCTAGGTATTCCTTGCCTGAGATGACCAATGGAAATGGAGAATACAATATTTTTTCATGTAGAGCTCAAGCTTGGTCAATTGCATGCATTTTAGAAGCTATAAGTGAATATGAATGAATGTAAAAATTTCCAATATTATTATAAAACAATATTAATCAATTTAGAATATACTAGAAATCCTTTATTTTAAGCATAAAAACTATTAATTGTAACAAAAATGAATAAATCAGAAATTTTCTCAAACTATTTCTTAAGGCTATTATACTTATTATATCATATAATAGTTATATTCTTATTCATTAATCCTTCAAATAACCTCTATAGAAGTTTAAATAAACATATTTCCATATGTATAAATTTCAAAAGAATAAATTTAATATACTAAAATCATTTAACTCAACTGTTCATGAACTTGGATATCAGTAAGTTCCAAAATCTTAAACAGATTTTACACTCTGTCCAAAATGTTAAAATGTTTGAGATTATCTACACTTCAATAAACGTGTTAATGAAGAATTCATTGGAAGATTGCTACCACTCCAAAATTATTCTAATTTCTTATTGCTTTCAAGCCTTTTTGAATTCCAATATTATTATTCCTTTTAACCTGGATCAGTTTTAGTCTAAATTCCCATTCCATGCAAATATTTCACAATCCTTATTTCAATTATACTAATCTTTTAGTCCATATATAAATCAATCGAATCATTCAATTCATCTTTTGGACATTCACTCTCTTATGTACTTTAAACATTTAACATCATTAAACATGTGTTAACAATATCCATATATTTTATTATTGAATTTTTAATTCTTTACAATAAGCTATATATATGAATTATTTTAAAACTAATTTTATTTGATTATTCAAATATTCCAAACTATTTTTCCTTCATTTTTGTATATATATATATAAGTTAAAATACATTGTATATGTATTATATTTACAAAATATATAGATAAGTTCAGTTATTATATAAGAACAGTGTTATGCTGAACTTAAGTAATAACACATTTTCTAAGAATTATATATTTATTCTAATCATTCTTGTAGATATTTATTTATTTTTAGAAATAAATTCTGTTAATATAACTCCCTCATTACTAATTATTATAATATAATTTTTTAGATTTATTAAAATAATTTTTATTATTTATATATATAGATTATTTCAATAATTATATCAAATAATTTGAAATATTTTATATTTATATTATTTAAGATATTCAGTAATCTTATATATAACATATTGCTTATAAATGATTTCAAAAACTCAACATAAAAAATATATCAAAAATTCTATCTTTAATTAAATTAATTAAAATTATTTGATTACTTCTAGCCTATGTACGAGATTGAATTCTAATTATCTGAGTATTTAGAACTTGGTAAATATTGAGGAGGTTAAGAATTCATTTAAGGATTAGAAACGGTAGAATATATTTACTCTTGAAATATTTTCTAATGTATTTAATTAGTCTATTTCATCATATCAACTTATAGAATGGATTTTTCAATTTAAGCCATTGTTTAATTAATTTGATCTTAAATCTAATTAATCTTATTAGGATTGAGTTAGGATTCATTTGGAGCACTTTCTAGAGAAAAAGAGTTGTTCTCCAAAGGAGCTATTCTATATGACTGAGATGGATAAATTGGAACAGTATCAATTTTCTAATATTATATTTGACTGACTTATTCTTTCTATGGTATTTTAAATTATGATTATCTTGTAACTTCTTATACATTTTGAATATCATTATTATATAAATTAATATTTTTGTTTCTATCGGGAAATTGTTGATTTAATTCTTTAATTTAAGATTGATTGACATCTTTTTTTTGTAAATTTTCTAACATATTTTGTAAAGCATTAATTTAATTTTGATATAAAATTAATTAATTTTATGTGTCTTATTTATATTAATTAAATGCTTTTCTTTCTTATTCTCTAATTCTAGATTCTTCTGCAGCAATTAATTCTCTATGTAATTATTTTTCATTTATTAATTCTTATTACAATTAAGAAAACTAGAATTTTAATTGATTTATTTCATCTTATTTCTTCTAAAGTTTTTGAGTATTAACATAATTCAAATCTTCATCATCTACTTTTCTAATATTACTTTGATAAATCCTTTTTGATTAAATATCCTTAGAAGATTATTCAATATCATTTGTATTGATGTATTATTAAGTATTATTATTTTATAGTAATCTAATAATTTGTTCTTATTCAATATTCTTTTATTCTAATTATTAAGTTTATTATTGTAATTTTTTATATTTATCTGCCCATTTTTCAATTTCCTTAGTTTATTCTTCAACTGTCTAATAATTAATTATAGATATATACAGTAATCAAGTCTTCAATTTCTTTAGGATTTGCACATGATTTTTAAAGATCAAGTTATTTTGTCAACATCTCAACTTCATCATTCTTCATATTTAATACTTAAGTAAGTCTTTCTATCTAAGATGTAAGTTTGATCAAATTCTTAAATTAATTGTTATATGTATTACTTAAGTATTTTGATTATCCAAATCATCACATTTAGAAGCATTTAGTTTTGATCTAAAGGAGCTAGTCTTCATTTCAAAAATATCAGTAATTTTTATAAATTTAATGAAATTAATTAATAATCAAATTTATAAGTAAGGATGTTACAACAATTCTTGTATAGTAGCCCTTTGATTAGGATCCTTCTTCAAACATTTTTGAATAAAATCTATAAGATCCTAATCTTAACCCTCTTAGAATTATATATTTTCTCTACAAATCCTATCTTACTATCTATTACGATCAGTATCACGAAAAGGAACTGTGTCATTACACAATTCAAATAATAAGATTCCTATAGCCCAAATGTCAACTCTTTCATCATAACCATTATAATAATTCTTATTTGTTTAAGATAGCACAATTTCTGGAGGCATATATTCAGGAGTACCACAAAAAGTCTTTCTTCTGCCTCTATAATTAGAGAAACCAAAGTCACCTATCTTAATTATATCATTCGAAGTTAAGTAGATGTTCTCTGGCTTAACATCTCTATGCATTATACCCATAGAATGAAGATATTGAATTCCAAGGAGAACCTGTTTAATTATTTTTTTAATTTCTTCTTTAGAGAATTATTTTTAGTATAAATTTCCTTTTTCACAATATTCTGTTATTAGATAAACATAATCATTGTCTTAAAAATTGCCAAACATTTTAACTATGTTTTAGTGTTGTATTGATGATTAGATGTCTATTTCTCTTTAAACTTATTATCCTATATTACACTTTTAGATTAGTTTTTTGTCAATCATTTTTAAAGCATAAAAAATATTTGCATTTCTAATTGTATATATTATTAATAATTACTTAACAAGCATAACTTTACTAAATTATCCCTTTCCAATCTAATGGCACAACTGAAAATTATATTTCTATTACCGAGGTCTTTGTTAGTAACTTGTATTCCTTCGATGCTCTTTTGTGACATCTTCTTAAGTTTTGCAAATTACAAGATTTTCATCATATTTAGGAGTAATCAGTAATTAAGGAGGTAATCTTGATCTCTATTTATTCAACATGAAAATAAATAAAATTTAATTTATTATATTGACTTTATATAATTTTATTCATTCGTATATTTTAAAATAAAGAATTCTTTCAATTAATCATAATTATTAATTGATATAAATATGTAAAACTATATTAACAATAAACTAAATATTCATCCAATATTTAATAAATTATATAAATATTTATTCTAAATTATCATATTAAAATAAAAAGATGTTCAACTTCAAAGAAAACTTAATTTAATAAAAAAGGAAAAGAAAATTTGTTTAAAACAACTAAAACTCTCTTATATTTCATTTTTACATATAACATGTATTATCATCTTAGAAAACTTATAAAAATCTCATATAATTCTAATTTAAAAGAAGAATATGAAATTTATGATAAATATGAGAGAAATCTTATTTTGTTGATTTTAGAATTTTAAATTAGTCTATATATATAAGGGATTTGAATGATTAAAAACATCGTATATTTAATTAATTTACACTGAGGTTTATTTATATAAGAGATAGTTTTTGATCCCATAATTAATTCCAATTAATATTACTTATAGAATGATGTTTAAGAATAATAGTATCAGGCATAATAAAAGGAAATAATCTTTAAAACATTAAAACTTATATTTTGTATTGTATAATTCTAATAAATTATGTGTTAATTTTAATATATTCAATGACATTTATAGTAAATGTAAACTTTAAATATTACTAATGGCAATCTTGAATAAGATATAAAAAAAAAATAAAATTATCATAATTTCAGAATATTTATAATCTAAAAGCATAATTGTCTAAAATTGACAAAGGGATACATAAGTTGAGTATATTTTAGTTAAAGCCATCACATCTCCAGATCATTCTTAATATTAAATAAAATTATCAGCTAAATTAAAAAAAATGTAATACTTTTTATTTTCATATTATTCTTGTCATTTTAAGAAAAAACATATAATATTTTCACACATTTTAATATATTTTAAAATTTCTCTTGAGTTCAAAACAATTTAAATGAGTTACTAATATAGAGAATAAGAATCACAGAACACTTTAAGCCAAAATTCGAATAATCTTTAAGACACAGACTTAGAAGATCGAATTCATTGCCTACCAGAAAATGAATTCTGTTGCAAAAAAATGGTTAATCATACCTTCGTTATTGGAATATCTAAACCAGGAGAATAAAGAATTGGTTTATAAACTATATAGAAGAATAAAATCACTATAAAAGGAAGACTTGGAATTGATGAAAAATAATGAATATTTTTTTCTTATAATATCTAATCTAATATACTAATTTGAATATTTTTAAACCATTAAAATCTCAAGAACTCATAAAAAAGTCTTCAATCAAAATATTTTGACTATTATTTACATAATAATAGAATTATATAGATTGAATAATCCTTATTAAAATTAGGAGACAATATAGTTATTTTTCACTATATTCATCTATTCATTAGTTTTAATCATCAAAATTATTAAAGTTTTTTTATTGATTTTGAGACCATCAATACTTAAGAAAAAGAGATTTAACAAAAGTTTTATTTTATGTTTTAAAATCACCCATTTTAAACTTATGATTTTGTATTAAATTTTATTAACATTATAATAATATATTTTAAAAAGAAAATCAATCCAATACATTGAGTCTTGAAGTTATAAAGTCTAAAAGTTTCTAGTTTAAAAATATTATTATTTAACGTTGTAATCTTGATAACTCAATTAAAAATGTTGTTAATTTATTTTACTAATATTAAAATGTTGAATAAATTTATTATCTCTTAATATATGAAAATAAGTATACTGTTTGAATTATAATAACTCTAACTAGATTATAAATAAATTGAATTAAATATATGATTAATTTTAGATATAATTTTTGATAAAGTACTAATTTGGTTAAAATGATGCTTTTGAAAAAAAATTAATTTAATCTACTTTTCTATCTATCTATATATACATTCTTTTATATCAATTCTGATAAAATTTATTGTAAAAGTTTTCTGTATAATTTGGTTATTTTTTATGAATTTTTATATCAAGATTCTCCTTTTTTATTTTGTTTAACCCATTGTTAATTCTTTCAAAGTAATTAAATTTCATTTCTATTTTAATCTGTATAATTAAGTGAACTTTATATTACATTATTATCTTTTAGAGAGAAACTAAATTGAGTTTGTTTTTATTATCCTATTTATATCTATTTTTAGATGAATTTAAATTTCTTATAATAAAATTATAAAATTTTTATAAATCAACCATCAAATACTTCTCCAACATCAATTGTCAAAGTATTCAACAACAGATTTGTTTACTCCTCTTAATTAGTCTTTATGTTTTTTCTTAATCCATCAATTGCTGGTATACAATTACCTTTTCTATCATATGCAGTAGCTTTGGCCTTTGTCAATCTTCCATTAACAAAAGGTACATTAAAAATTAAAAATGGAAAACTTAACATTCCATAACATATTTCAGTAAAGTATATCTATTTTTATCATATTTTAAATTACAAAATCTCCAGAATTATCAAAATTAGGTCTAGAATCTTATGTCAAATAAACTAACCAAAATAATCCTATGCTTGCTCCTAAGGCAAAGAAATCCCATATCATAAAGTACTTTAAACGACCTCCTCTTTCAAAACATCCTTCCTACAATTAAGGAGTATCATCATATTAAAAAATAGGTTTTCCTTTTTATTTAGAACATCCCAAAAGAAAAAAGGCAACCCATATAAGAACTACTTCAGCACCCTATCCAATGACTTCTGAAAAAACTTCTATACTAGCTCCTGGCCCTTTTCTTGTGCAATCTTCTTTGTAAGTATTATCAATATAATTCATAGTTGTGCATGTATAAAGCATAAAATAACCTATTAATGCTTTCATTACTCCTTAAGTAATGAAGAACATCCTATATTTAATTTTTTAAATTACGTTTTAAAACTTAAAATAAAATTAACCAATTAATATTCATCTTCTTTATCAATCATTATGAAATCCAAAACATAAAAATATTATGAAATACCATAAAATGGTATTGCTGATACTAAGTACCAAAACCAATAAGATCTAAATGATTAATATAAATTAATACATTGTTTTATACTATTTCCAAACACTTCTATCATATGGATAATTTGAATATAGATACCAATTCCGAATCCAAACAAATGGATATAAACAAACAATAGTTTATTTTTTTTCCTCTATCTCTGTATAAGGATCAGCCATTTATAACATTAATTGATATTTCACTTCATCTACTATTTCAGGCCAAGTTGCATCAACAGTATCATCTACCTATTAAATTATCTCTCTAAAATACTAAATTCTTCACACACTAACACATATCAGGATCTTTGAGACCTTCTTTGATTGTTGGTCTAAACTTCTCAATCACTATGATTACTGATGATTAAACCTTTGATCTTGCCCAGACATTGATTTAATGAGTATATTATTTCAACATCAGCTTTAATCTATTCTATTATTAATTTAAATTACCTATCATCCAATTAAGTAAAACCTTATTTTACATCAGCCTTTGCATTATCCACTGATTATATTAACTTTTAAAGTCCTTTATTAGCTACGACCTATAATTCATCAGCCATACTACATAATCCAAATATAACTACCTAACCAAAGGACGTTTAATAGATAATGGTTCTTTATCCTTTTCTTCCAAAGGAATAACTTTTCCATTTTTATTATTATTTTGATCTCTATTTGCAAAGGAATTGGCAAAGTTCTTTATTGTATCCATAATTATGTTATATTTTAGTAATTAATATATATTATAATGATTTATTATGATATGTAAATTTTTATTAATGTAAGTCTTTGGTCGTTTTGCTATATTGGTATGCTTGTAATCAATAATTAAATCTAAATTGATAATGTAATTCTATAATTTTATATATAATAATTTTAAATTGAATTGAATACTTAAAATAATAAGTTTATTTACTATTTGTTCAATTTCAAAGAATGAAAAAGTGATGAATTATATTAATAAATAAATTACAATTTTATTTTGAATTTTAAAGCTTTTCATATAAAAAAAGAAGAATTAATAATAAATTTTATTTAAAATTATATTTTATTTGTATCATGTTTTCCTTTTAGCAATTTCATTAATCTGATATTAATGGCTATCTTTCGTTTGAATTATTAAAGTATGCAGAATTTCTTCCAAAATTTTTTTAAGGAGATTATTCATCAATTTATTACTATACTTATTAATTGTCTGGATTACTAAACATATTTTGTTATATATTTGACGATTATCTAAAAGAAATTTAATTATTTAAATTTTATTAAGAATTATTTGATTCTGGTAGTTCTAATTCAGGTATAACTACCTAACTTTTTTATTCTATTTAAGGATCCTACTTTTAGTTAGATTTGTCATTCTCAACCAAATCGAAATAAATTTGGTTAACTTCTTCTAACTTTTTATAAAATTCATCACCATTTTAATTATTATTTTTTAATTAATTCATCATTGCATTTAAATATTTTTCTCTTTAATTCAAATCAATAGGTATGCAATTTTAGTTGTTTTTTTATTCATATAAATTTCTAATTACTTCTATTTAATTTTAATATTTAAGTTTTGCTTTAATGACTGCTGTTTATTTTAGACGATATATTGCTTTAGATTATTTATTTAAAGTCATATTTTTCTTAATTTAATCGTAATTCTCTAAAATAATCATTTAAACTAATGTTTTTTTTTAAACTTCTCCAGTCTAATCAATTAATTAGTGATTTTAAACAGTACATTCCTTTTAAGGGTCATGTTTTTTACATTTTTTACATACAAAATTTCTATTAGTATTTTTCACAAACATTCTACATATATTATTATCTGACATTTCATTAATGTTTTTAAAACGGCAGTTTTCATGACATTGAATATTACATGTTCCACAATAAAGTAGTTTAGATCCTTTTTTTATTTTAAATTTTTCTTTTTCGTTTAAGTTTTTCATCTCATATGCTAAATAAGTAGTCTAAAATTGTTCTATCTTCAATCCCTCTAATATCAATCCTTATGTACTTAATCTATAAATTTTCAATAATTCTATTATATTTTTTTCAAAACTTAATTGTTATTTAAAATATTATTTATTAAATTCATTATCAATATTATTATTTGCTATTTATATTTTTGAAATTATTTCTGATATAACACTTGTCATTTAATTATACTAAAATTTTCCTAATTATGTTTCTTCTATTTCAACTTCAGCCCTTTCATCTTGTTCATTAGATTCCTATTATCCTAAAAATTTTCCATCATTCACATTTTATTCTGGTTCTAAAAATTAATCATCTTTAAAATTTCTTAATAATTTATCAAGCTATAGATTTTTATCATTTTATTCATTATAATTTATTTCTTGTTCTTATAAAGGTTAATTATTTATTTAATTTTATTCATCAGAATTCATTACTGGTTCATATAAAGGTTTATTATTTATACCATACCAAAACTTTTCTCTTTCTGATATCATTTCTTTTTTTAGAAGGTTTTTCAAATCTTCAGGAGTAGAATTAGATTATTCATAAATAGTCATTTTTGGTGTATTATCAGTGCAATAAGTAAGTATTAAGAAAAATTTATGTTAATTGATAATCTTATTTGGAATTAATTCAAAAAATCGTTATAAACAATAAGATTCATCTTCAGACAATCGATTAATCGATGAAGAATTTACATAAAATATAGCTGCTATAGATGCATTTTTTTAAAGATATTCTAATATTTCTACATATATATTTGAGTTTCCACTTTAATCCAATCCTAAAAAATCTAATTTTAAATCTCCAATTCCTCTAAAATCCACAAAGACATAGTTCTTCTTTTCTATTCGAATGTGATATTCATCATAATATCCTCTTATTTAATCGTATCTTTTTTTAACTCTATACATGCTATTATATTACACATTGAAGATCTTATTTATTATATTAAAAATAAAAGTTGTTTTTCCTCTATTTGGTGGACCAAGAATTAATATATAACTATAATTTTACTCTCCTTCAAAAGCAATATCTTAATATTCAAGTTTTAAAATATTTGTTTCCTTATCAAATTCCAACCTTTAAATTTCTTCATCATTTGGTCTTGCTTAATGTCTACCTCTTGTCAATATCAAAGCTTCTTTAATTGAAAAGCCTTATTTCTCAACAAAGAACTTTGGTTCAATGGAAGGTAATAATTCTACATAAAATCCTAATTTATTTAGTCTATCTAAATATTAATCTAATTGTTATTATCTATTCTCATCCTTTCGATAATTTAATTATTCTAGTATTCTCTACTTGTGTTCCTGTATTATAAAAGTAAAGCTAAGTTAAATTTTATTTTAAGTACCTCATTATCTATCTGAATTTTGAAATATATAATTAATAATAATATTAATAATAATATACCAATATTTCATGTATTATGTAAAACATAGTAATACCTTTCACAGACTTTAATTTTTTAGCATACTAATAAATTTTAGTTTATATAATGAATAATTGAATAAATGATAAAATAAGTATCATCATTCTATTGATTTAAGAAGATAAAATTCATATAAAATAGCAAAAGAAATTATTTTCAAGATAATTTTAAGAATAATAGTAAATTTTTTTATAAAATCATTTTTATCTCATATTAACAATTCATAATACATGTCTGATTTTATTATATAAATAATAATATAAATGAAAAAGTTGAATGCTAAATTGATTATTGTACTAAGACTTATCAATTATTATTTAATAAAGAATAAACTTAGTGTTAAATTAATTTCATGATTAAAGCTTATATTGAATTTTATTTGCCTTTATTTTTTAATAAAATTTAACAATACTTGAATTGATATTATATTAAATTAATGATCTCTGTTTGAAAAGATAAAACATTTGAGTCTAAGTAATACTATTAAAAATCATGTGAAATAATTAAAAATATAAAAAATATTTATGCAATCACCTTAATTCTAGAAATCAAATGAAGGGTCAACAAAAGGCGAATAATTTACTTAAGGTTGGCTTCCAATTACAAATGATGTTGAACAATCAATTGTGTCATATTTGGATTAACTAGGGATTAATTAATTGATCTAAGTCGATAAGCATTCTAATTAAAGAAATTCATTGTATTCCTTAGACTCAGCTATAACTCCTCCAAAATCTTAAAGAAGAATTTCTTTAACAATGGATTCAGAGTTATTTACAAGAAGAAGTTGTAGGATGTGCTCTGACTAGATATGAACATAAAAAAAAAGAAAATACAGAGACTAATTAGATTTATATATTATTTATATAATTTTTCTCTGCATGTTCATATTTTTGCTCTTTTTGCCACATTTCTACATTTTTTTTGATTTTTATGAAGAGACAATTTTATTGCTTCACCAATAAAAATCAAAAAACCATCTATTTTAAATGGAATTATTTGTGATATTTGTACATACTTGTTAAATATATGAGTTTAAAGTTAAATTATTCTTGAATTGAAATAAGTAATTTTGGCAATTTGATAATTTGATGTAAATTTCTAGTATTAATATTTTCTGCTTAATTTTCATTGGACGATTCTTATTTTATCATATAATTTAGAATCTAGATAAATGAATTAAGGGATTATTATAATAATTATGTATATATATATATATTAGATTAGAGAATATTAAGATAAAATTTCTTATAAAAGGGGCTGTTAAATGAGTTAGATTAATGTCATATAAATGTATTAATTAGATGTAGAATAATAATTCTAAGAATATTAAGAGTAAAAAAAAACAGTGAGATTAAATAAAATAAAATTAATTAGATTTATTTATAAAAAGTAGTTTAATATAGAAATAAATAAAGAAATATTAATTTATATTAAAATTTGAAAATATTACAAATATTCTTTTATTATAATATTTTTTGAAAATTAACAGATCAAATTTGATAACATAATTGAACTATAAGAATTATATCAATAAATATAAGATTATTTTTGAATAATTTAATAATTTGAATAAAATAAAAATAGAAGATTTTTCATTTTCATTTACATTGTATTGTTTCTAAATTGTCTAAATTAGTACTTCTATTTTAATCATCAATAAAGAAAGTTATTTTACCTGATTCTTTCTTCCAAAATTATTAATATTTTTATTTCTTACTTTATTTATTTGAATTCTCCTCTTTATCTAATTCATTTAATGTTTTTGTTATTATTTTATCAAGTTTTTCTATTTCACTTTCTAATTCTTTTGATGATTGTAAAATCAAGAAAAATCCTTATGTGCAACCGATTGTTTTTTATTCAAAGATAATATGTGATTCTTGAGCATTACTTTATATCAATTCTTATATCCTATTAAGTATATTTTATTAATTTTAATTTAAATTAGAAAATTAATAATAGTTTATAAGTAGATGCCATTTATCTTTTGCTTTTATTTGATATTAAATTTCTTTATTTTTAATACTATAAATCTATAATTGTAATTGTTTTAATTTTGATTTAAAATTTAGAGTTTTATGGAGCATCTAATTTAATTTAATAGCTTAATCCTTATCAATGTTTCCTGTAAGTTTCATTTTATAATTTTATCCTATAGCTCCAAATTATGGTTTTTTATAATTGACTATAAGGTATGATTCAATTTTGAAATTCATTAATTTTAAATGTTCTGGTAACATATCAAATTTATATTATAATTAACTTCTTAATTCTTCATTAGGTTTCTCCTTGATTATTTCCATGATTCCTTTGAATATATTTGTATAATGATCTGACCAACCTTATAATTATATTTAAAAAAATTAATTTTAATTGACATCAACTCCATATCCTACATTTATGGCATCTTAATATTCCATAATAATTCTTTCATATAAATATTCTGCATATATGTATTATCCATATGTGAAAATAGTTATATCAGCATAGATTTTTGGTAATTTTTTAGAGACATCCACAATCACTTCAACTTGATCATCGATTTTAAATGGTTAAATTTATTCAACTAAATCTAAATTTTAAGGAATATAATTATTAACTGAAGGAAAAACAAAAACAATATCATCTTCAGTTTTTTCAATAAATTATTTAGTTTAATCAGTAATTTCTTTTAAAGAATATGAAATACCATTTTAATTGATATCTAATTCATCTTAAGTAAGAAATAGTAAATCCTATGTTGCTGAACCCTTTGAAATTTATAAAAAACTATATTCAGTATGATATTAAGAATCACTTACAACAATGATTAAATTTTTAGTAGATTATAAATTATCTAATGTTTTCTTTAAGGATTCTGGTACTATTTATATCATAAATTTATAATGAAGTACTTCTTCTATTAAATCTTATTTGAGATTTTTAGCAATTTCCATATAATTTAATTCTGTATTATCATAGTCAAATTATAAATTATTAATTTATTATAATTAATCTATCATTTTTATACAGTATTCTGATAATTCATTATCATTATTTAATAGTTATGATTCCAAAGAGTTAGCAAAATTAATAATGATTTTACTTATTCTATATGCTAATTCTCTTTAATCATAATCCATTTAATCTTAGAAAGGTAATGCTATTTAAATTTGATATAATTATCTATTATTTTAATCTAATATTACACTTGATTAGACATCTAAACCTAATTTATTATTAATGATATAATTTTAAAGCGAAGTCTGTATAAAATAATCAATAAAATTTAATTCTTTACTATTTTCTAATTCATAAATTATTTTAACAGAATTTAAATCTTTTTAATTGTTCCATTTAATAATACTTCCAGGTTTATTAATAATTTCAATATTTTCTATTTCTTATAAATCTTTATCTCTTAAAAGAACAATATCACTTTGTACAATTCCATCCATTAATTCATCTGAATTAAATTTTCCTTTTACAATCAATACTAATTGATTTGGAGATAATTCAAATGTAGATGTCTTAGAATATTTAGAGGAAAGTGGATGTTTTTCATTAGATATTTAAGATATTAATTCTTCCCAAGGAGTTTTCTAATGATTAATTTATTTTAATTATGGAGTTTCTGATGCAAAAGCTTAACTTAATTCATTAAATGTAGATAAAATTTAATCAGATTTTGTTTAAATAAAATATTATGTTTGTTATTCTTAAACAGTTATGATACATTAATCACATTTAACAAAATAATTAGTTTACCAATATCCTTTAAAATCATTTAAATATATTTATGCATTCTCATCATCATCTTAAATCAATAGAATTTTCATTTTATTAGGTAATTCAACATAATTATATTTTGAATTATCTATTTTAGGTGTTATTATACTTGATCCTGATTATAATAGAGAATATTATTCAAGTTATTATTCATCATTAAGTATTTAAACTTAATCATCAACTTATGATTAATCACCAATTTCTAAAGTAGCACTCTAAAATGTTTGAATATCAGTATTTTAATTTTCAATAGAGGGTTCCTCTATTTAATTAATTTCATCTTAATTTGAAAAATTCTCATCAATAAATTCTTCATTTAATACTTCTTGATTTTATTTATTGTTATTAGCATCATCCCATAATAAATTATCTAATTAGGATGTATAATCCATAGTATCAATTTATGATTAGTCTTCATTTTTTTAGATTGGTATTTAATCAGTTATATTTTATTATTTAGTGGTTGATTTAAATGAAAGATGTATGATTTCATAACCAGTTATATCTATTACAATATATGACATAAGTGCAAGTATTATTAATGCTAAAATTGCAATCAAATAATTGATGTAGGTTGATTTAGTGTATTTGACCTTACGAACTTATTTGATAGGTTTGGTAAGTATTGTATTTGGAATAAGACCTTACTATTCTTCAAGATCCATAAAAATAAGGATTAAAACGAATAAAACTTTAATTTATATTCATAATAATTAATTAATGCTATTTTCTGAATTGTCTCCATTTGCTTCATCATTTTCTTCTATTATAGTGTCAGAAATAGGCGATAAGGTATATAAAATAAATAAGTTAGACATTTTTCATTACAGCAATTTTGGGAATGACTTATTCAATGAGTTTAGTATTTTTAGGATCTTACACAGCCATGGTTTTAATGACTTTATTATCATGTTTCTTTGGATTTTTGTTACCTTAAATATTAAATCCTACATACACACATGCTTTAGCTTGTATAATGTTTTTTTACTTTGGATAAAAATTGTTGAGAGAATTCTGGAGTACAGAAACTAATGAAAATGATGATGAAGAATAGGAAGCAGTCTTAGAAGTCAATAAGGTTAAGTCTAAACTAAGTAAATAATCAGATTCAAAGAATATATCAAACTTAGAAGTTTTGAGAGCTGCAATAGCATTAACATTTTTAGCAGAATGGGGAGATAGAAGTTAGATTACAACTATAGCATTGGCTACAGAAGAGACATTTGTTGTTCTAGTTGGAGCACTACTTGGTCATTTTATTTGTACAAGTACAGCAGTACTTGGAGGAAAAATGATCTCATCAAAAATTTCTGAAAAATACGTATTATATTAAAAAAGATTATATTTTTAGATTCATCTCTGTGGTGGTATTCTATTCGTCTTATTCGGACTGCATAACATAAAAATGCTTTTATGATTTATAATGAGTTTTTATTTGAATCTTTTACAATTAATTAAAATATTCCGTTTTTAGCAATATATATATTATATTGTTTCAATTATATATGAAATTAGAATATGAAATTGATAATAAAGGATGATAAAAATGTATATTAAATTTTTTATATATATGAACTTGATATATGATGTTGAACAAAGAAATTCTAGAACTCATTTTCTTTGTTTATATATAATTAATTATTTTAAGTTTATAATTTTTTAGTATTGTAAAATCAATTTTATTAATTCTTATTATGCTATTCAAAGGAATAAGATACGCTAAGAGTTATTTTCATGGTGCTTCAAACATTCCATTAACTTATAAAACTGTAGGGTAGTAGTTACATGATATTACTGAAAAATACCCTGATAATTTAGCAGTAACTAAGCTTTATATGGATTTCAGGTAGTTTCTTAATTGCAAGATGTTCAAATGACTTACAGTGAATTCTATAAGAGATCAAAAGAATTAGCTGCTGCCTTCATTGCTTTAGGATTAGAGAAAGGTGATCGTATAGGCATTTTCTCACCAAATAATGTAGAGTGGGCGTTAACTTAATTTGCAGCAGCTATGGCTGATTTAATTTTAGTGAATATTAATCCTGCTTATTAAACTAATGAATTAGAATATACACTTAATAAAGTTGGATGTAAAGCCTTGATATTAAGATCTACTTTCAAGCATTCTAATTATGTTTCCATGATCAAAGAACTAGCACCAGAATTAGATTAACCAGGTAATTTAAATTCAAAAAGAATTCCAGCTTTAAAAAGTATTAATATAAATAGATTTAGGTACAATATTAATTGATGATATTCATAAGAAAGGTTTCTTTAATTTTAAAGAACTCTTTTCTATTTATGGATCTTCTCATTTAAATGAAGTTGATTAAAGAATGTCAAAATAAGATCCAGATGATATTACTAATATTTAATTTACATCTGGAACAACAGGTGCACCAAAAGGAGCCTGTTTAAGTCATTTAAATATATTAAATAATGGTAAATATGTTGGAGAAAGAGTTCATTATACATCAAATGATAGAATAGCTATAGCTGTACCATTATATCATTGTTTTGGCATGGTAATGGGTAATTTAGCATGTATCAATTATGGATCTACTATGGTATATCCAAGTGATGGTTTTAGTGCAGGAGCTACCTTAGAAGCAGTCACTAATTATAAATGTACTTCTATATATGGAGTACCAACAATGGTATTATTATATATTAATAAATTTAGTTTATTGAATATTTGAATGAATATGAGAAACATAAAACAAAATATGATGTATCTACATTGAGAACTGGTTTAATAGCTGGATCTTTGGCATCTGAAGCATTAATGAAATAAATTATTAATGTTTTAGGAGTAAGAGATATTTCAAATTGTTATGGATAAACAGAAACAAGTCCAGTTACATCTTAGACTAAAACTATAGATTCTTTTGAAATAAAAACTAGTAAAGTTGGATAACCTATGAATATGGAAGTTAAAATTGTTGATTCTAATGGAAAGATTGTACCTTATGATACACCAGGAGAATATTGTTCTAGAGGATATGCAGTTATGAAAGGATATTGGGGTGATGAAAAAGCTACTAAAAATACTATTGATGAAAATGGATTTCTTCATAGTGGAGATTTAGCAACAATGGATAAAAATGGTTATGTAGCTATTGTTGGTAGAATCAAAGATATGATTATAAGAGGTGGTGAAAATATATATCCTAAAGAGATTGAAGATTACTTATCTCATTTAAAAGGAGTTGAATAAGTTTAAGTAGTTGGTTGTTTTGATGAAAAATATGGAGAAGAAGTTGTTGCATTAATTAAAATGAAAAAAGGAGCTGAAGAACTTTCTGGATTAGATGTCTATTAATTTTGTCATAAAAAGATTGCTCATTATAAAATACCAAAATATGTTAAATTTGTTAATGATTTTCCATATACTGTAACAGGTAAACCATAAAAGTTTAAAATGAGAGATGAAATAAATAAAGAACTTGAAGATCCAAAACTTAGAGAATTATATTAAATCAAATGACATTATAAAATATTTTATAAAATTATGGGAAATAATATCCCAAAAGATGCTAGTTTTGAATATCAAATCATTAATAAACTAGGCACCATTTCCATCACCTATGAAGATCTCAAAGGTAATTTCACATTTCCTAAAATGCCTAATAAAAAAACTGTTGTTTTAGAAGAATTTCGTAAATTTTTAGATGAAATCATCTTACTTCCATCAGATAAACACATTATTGAATAATTACCATTGAAAATCAAGTGGAGATTAGTTCATAGACATAATATTGAAAAAGAAAAGTTAGGTGATTTAATTCCGCATTTAGAAGAATCTGAGAAATCAGAGATACAACATTTAGTTGATGAATGTGTTGCTAAACCATCTACTATAGCTCTACAAAATTTATAAAGAAGATTAGAAAATCCAGAAGAGGATGAATGGAATTAATTTCTTGTATATCGAGGGTAATTTCATTATAATTATATAGATTATTTAAATTATTAGAAGTCTTGGAACAATGTGAAATTAATGCAAGATCAACTAAAAATTATAAATTATGTGTTGCTTTTCTTAGATTTATCTATTTTATTAATCAATAAGAATAAGCAAGTGATGATTTGGCTTCTATTCCAGGATCTTTTAGAATTATATTTGCTAATTTTCATCCTGTTCATATAGAAATGAGTTGTTTAGTTTTAGAAATCTTTGCTGGAGAAAATGGTTTAATTTATAAGGATAATGTTGAAGATATTTTAGAATCCTTTGCATTTTATCGTAAAGATCATTCATTAAAATATCGACTTGAAATCTTTGTTAGAACTATATTTTAATCAGATAATATTATGATGGTTGTCAATATTTTAGGATTCTTAAGAAATATCTAACCTCATATTAGAAATGAATTAGAATCCTCTATCATTTCTCCTTATAATTTTACTGCTATCCTTAAACTTATTGAATAAAGAATCAATGAATATAATATTGATGCTTGTACATATGAATCTATCTAAAATAAATTGATTAAATATCAAAATATTGATCATTTCTTTAAACAAAAGTCGCCCTTCCTTAAAAATCCTGTTTTGTTAAATGAATCTCGTGAAGATCAATCAAAAACTGAAAACATTTAAATTACCCAATTACCTCAAGAAGGAGAAGCACAATTTTACTTAGAAAAACATGATGAAGCATCATTTTAATTATAATAATAAAGTAAATACTTAATTTTATTAAAGATCTTTTGTAAATCATAAAAGAAATTCGTAACTTTGAATTTGATTCAGAAAGAAAACCTTCCAAAATCATTGAATTTTCAGATCAAAAACTTTTTGACATTGTTAAATAATAATCACTTTAACTTGATTCCTATGGTAAATTCTTATCTATTTTAAATTTCATGTCTAATCTTAAGGTAAGAGATATGTGGGAGCTGAGTGAATAAGCTCTCTAAAGATTACTTATTGATGAGGAAGATGATGAAATTATTGAAATGCCTAAACATGATCAAATATATGAAGATTATGAAAAAGCATAATAATCAATAAGAGACTTAGAAAAATAAATTAAATCAATTATTTAGGGATAAAAATAAGCTTAAATGTAACTCACTTAAAGAGAGTAAGAAATTATTAAATTAAATGAAAAAATTACTTAAACTAACTCACTATAATAAGAATATCTAAATTAGATTGATAAATTAACTAAAGAATTAGAAAATATTAAAGCTTAAACAGTCTTAAAAGAAGCTCAAAATATTGAATAATCGAAAGAAATGGAAAATCTTAAAAATTAAATTAAGAACCTTGAAAAACTAAATTAAACTATTTAAGCAGCTGTGCCATCAAATAATACTTAATAAATACCTATACAACCTTCCAATACTCCTTCACTTCCTCCACCTCCTCCTCCTCCCCCTCCACCTCCAGTTAAATCTGCTCCTTTACCTCCACCACCTCCTCCTCCAAAAATTGCAGCACCTCCTCCTCCTCCACCTCCTCCTATGAAAGCTGGGCCTCCACCTCCACCACCTCCTCCAGGTGCTCCTCGTCCTCCAGGAGGTCCACCTCCACCACCACCTCCTCCTGGTAACAAAGCAGGTGGTCCTCCTCCACCTCCTCCTCCAGGAGCACCATAACCACCTGGAGGACCAGCACCTCCTCCTCCTTTTGGAGCTCCTCCATAACCACAAAATTAAGGTTTAAAATAAAAATAAAATCCCAATGTTCCTATGAAACCTGTTCAATGGGCAATAATAAGTCAAAAAGCATAAATAAAGGACACTATATTTGAAAATATCAAAGATTTAGATGTGAAATTAGATATTGAATTTTTAGAAAAAGAATTTTCTAAAAAACAATAAACACAACAAGCGGATACAAATTCTAAAACTTAAGCAGCTTAACCTTAAAAAATCTCGCTTTTACAACCAGAGAGATAAAAGAATATGGAATTAGTCTTAATGAAATTGAAAATAGCTCCAAATTTAATATATGAAGCTTTGATTAAATGTGATGAGAAAATCCTGACATTACCAACACTAGAAAGTTTAGATGTGATCACACCAACTGAAGATGAAATAGGAACTGTTCAGAGCTTCGATGGAGATAAAGAATTGCTTGGAAATCCTGAGAAATACATACTAAAGATATCCTAATTAAAGGGATTTTCAATTAGAATTAAGGCTCTTAAATTCTCCTGCCAATATGTTGAATATGTTACAGATTTAGATGCTCAAATTACTTCACTTGATGTATTTAATGATTTGCTAAGTATGGGATGGGTTACTTAATTAATTGAGTACTCATTAGCTGTGGGTAATTATCTTAATGGTTAATCTGCCAAAGGTGGAGCTTGGGGATTCAAATTAGAATAAATAGAAAAATTAACAGATGTTAAAGGATAAGATAATAAATCTAATGTTTTATAATATGTAATTAAGTAGATTAAATTCAATGAAGAGATAGATTTAGAGAGATTTGACATTATTACAAAATTACCAATATCTCAACTTAATACAAATTTAAATGAAATTAAGAAAGGTCTAAATATGGTATCAAAAGCTATTGAATGTAAATCAAATGATGAAAATGATAAGATAGTTGATACATTGAAGGATGTTTAATCAAAATTATAAGAAATGACAAAGGATTTGGAATTAAAAATTCAAAAATTAGACACAGATTATAAAAAGACAGCTAAATATTTATGTGAGAATCCTGCTGATGCAAGTGATAAATTTGGAGAAAAGTTAATGAAATTTTTAAGATGCATAAAATAGTAAAAGGATAAGATAAGAGAGGAGGAAATTAAACTATAGAAATAGTAATAATAATAATAATAATAATAAAATACAAAAAAATAATAAGAATAATAATAATAATAAAAGAATGATATTATACCTTCTTCTATGAAAAGTTCATAAACTAAGGCTTAAACCAATAAAATGGTTATTCGATCCAGTATTTTGTAAGCATAAAGACCAAGTATGATGGTAAATAATTTAAGAAAAAAGAGTTAATTTTAAAAATTAATTGGTTGAATGCTATTTTTATTAAAAATATATAAATAAATATTGATCATTTTTTCTTTTTAATCTACTATTATTTCTTTTCCTTTTACAATTATAGTAATTAATCTACTTTCTATGAATATGATTTAATAAATTTAGATTCTTTTAAAAAACTTAAAATGTCTTCCAATTTCAATAATCCTGGATAATCTATTGCTCGATAATCATTTGAATCACAAGTTAGACTTTTTTCTATATTTTCAAGCATATCATTAATATAATTATTAATAGAAGTCTAGTTCATACCTTATCTTAATTAATAATAAGGTGATCCTATTTCAGATTCTTGAATATTCTTTTCTAAGAATTCTAAAAGAGCAATAAATATTTCAAGATTTTCTAAATCTACATATTCACTTTTAAGTGCAATTAAATCATCTGTTAAACTATTTAAACTTTCCTCCCAATTTTTCTTCTTTAAATCAAGTCTTGAAAATTATTCAAAACAAAAAAATCCTTCTGTTTCTATATATGAATCAACATTATGATAAGTCAAACCAGAATTTTAATACATAATGAATAATAATATTTATTTTAAATATGATAAGAATTGCTATTTGTTATAAATTGAAATTTATAATCTAAAAGGATTATTTTAGAAAAGAAAATTCTATACTAAGAATTAAAACAATTATAGATAATTAACCATAAAATTTACATAATAACATCCTAATTAATATAAATGTATATGATGATGGATTACTTTTGATATATTTTAACATTTTGATATAAATTTTCAACTTATTTTATAATTAGCTTTTATAAATTATTTATAATCATTAACATTTTATTTTCTCATAAGAGTTATGCCACATCAAATACTTTTATTTATCAAGATATTCTGAAAAAGCTTATATTTTATATGTATTTAGTTTTGTAACTAAGTTTCGAAATAATTTTAATAAAAACATTATTACTATTATCTAAAGAGAGAATATCTAATTTATATTTTTACTATTATTCAAAAGAGATATTTTATAACATCTACTTATATTTAAATTTAAATTATGGATAAAAATAATCTCAATAGTAGTTTGATTGGATTAAATTTATTCATATATAGTATTAATAAATATATATATATAAAGCAAACTAAATGGAAAATAAAACAAAATAGAAAATGAAAGTTGAAGAATTATGGAGAATATGTCAATCTGAAATAATAGTAAACTCTTTTGTTTGGATCAATAAAAACCTATTTAAAAAATATTGCCAATCTTAGAATTATTATTATACAAGAGATGTCAATGAAATCCTCAGAGATGCTTCTTCAAAGGCAGTTGTACAATATAAAGATTGGATTGGATATGATGATGATGTAAGTATGTAGTTTCATTTAAGGATGAATATTTGAAGAGGTACTACTATTATGAAGATGAATATCCATAGAAAATCCAGCTATTGTCTGAATACTATAAAGTAAAATCAACCATTTAACAGAGTTTCATACTGATATACCACGAATCTTTATGGAACCTATAATATTATTGTTGAATAAATATTATGATAAGAAGCGCAGATATGAATATTATAGAATAGCTCGTTTGATTGAAGAAGAGAACAAGAAAAATCCTAATGGACCACCAAAATGTATAATAGGAGAAGGACCATCACTTGCAAATTCTTAAGAGAGTTATAAAAATTAAGAATCTCAGACTTAAGTTAAAAGAATTCGGAATACTTAGATTTTAAAAGATTTAAGTTGGCTAAATAAATCATAATCTTAAATCCAAAAAAATGGAATAGAAAATTCTTATACTTTATAGGAAATTTGTAAATAATTGGGAAAGGTTACTTTGGAATAATCTTCTCTTTTAATTTCTTCTGGAAAAGGAGATGAGATGTAATTGGATAAATTTTTGTCATACCTTAATTTATAAACCTAAAAGACCTAAAGAGATAAGGTGTAATTGATATAAAAATATTCCAAAAAATTAAGTTAACCTCATGAATAATTAGTTTAGACATTTACTCAAAAGTAACATCATGATGATGTGAGTAAATAAAGATTGGGTTCATAGCATTTTATATAAAAAACAGAACTCATATAATAAAAAAATAAAATATCAAGTGATATCAATATAAATTGTATAAATAATTAAGTTGATACACTATAAAAATAGAGTAATCATACAAGAATGGATTAAAATGATTTAATAAAATAATCAATTACTTTTAAATCAAAAACAATTGTGTAACCTAAAATATCAAATTAATAATTTTTAAAAGAGATCAGATAAAATGTTTAATCAATTCCTCAACTACTCAATTATCAAAATTAGAATCCAATTTTATCTCCAATATAAAGTAATGCTTATTTATAAACATAAACAATCAATCAAATATCTATAGGTATTTCTTATTATAAATTCTAATATTTAGGTAAGTTGAATCTCAAATAGATTTCTAAAATATTTATCGAAGATGATCCATATTAATAAGAATTAAAATGGAAAAATGGAGCATAAACACATAGACCTAATTCTGGCACTAAAAACTTCTTCTCTAATAGAAATAGTCCAATTGTATAAAGAGGAACTTAAAATGAATAAAGAACAAATGTGTTGAAGTAGACTTCAAGTTAAATTACAGCAGCATATTCATAAATATAATAAAAATAAAGTTAAAAAAATATCAAGGCAATTGGTTCTTCAACTAATAGAAAATCAATATAACCAAATATTCACTTTCGATATAGATCAAATTAAGATAATAATAATAATAATATTCACTAAAATTTATAATGTAATTATACTTTATATATTATTAAAGTAAAATAAGCACAACACCAAAAGAATCGATCTGATGGAAAACTATTAAATTAACCTTTATTGAATACTCAACATTAATTTATATGTTTAACAGATAGGGCAGGTGAATATATATTTAAGAATAGTTTAGTGGCATCATATTAAAATTCACCAAAAACAAATATATAAAAAAGAGTTGGAAATGGGATAGGAACTTTTAAAAATTCAGAAAGCCCTAAAAATTCTTTGATTAAATAAATGCTTCTTACTTAAGTATAAAAATAATAATAGAGATAAGAATGCTTTTCTTTGTAATTAAGAAAACCTAATTGAAAATTAACATTTTATAATAAAATTAATATGTAAAATAATGCAATCTCGAATTCCCTTTACTTTACCAAGCACACTCATTTTAAATAAAATATTTATCGTGGATATTTTGTGTTTAAAAATGCAAATTTTAGCATATTAGAAACTAGAAACAAATTGAGATATGATAGCAAGCATTCTGAACCTGAAGAGTAAGTCTTTGTTTCAAGTTCTGTCTAATAAATACCAAGTTAGAGAAGAATTACATGTGATAACTCTAATATTGAAGATTCATAAATATAACATATTGATAAAAAAGGAATTAATAAGAGATATATGACTAATCTAAAACTTATGCAAAAAGAATAACAAATTTTGCCATAATTGTCATCAACATAATAAGTAGTTAGAATGAAATTGTAAAGTCGATAATTAAAAGCTAAACCAATTATCAAGAAACAAAAAAGTTTAGAACATGCTATCTAATTACGTTATTTAAATAAATAATATGAAGAATTACAAAAAGGTATTATGATTAAATGTCTCTTTATAAATATCAATAATAGAGAGGAATACTTAGATAAAGTTATTATTTTGAATTTTGAAAGTATAGTACAATTTTGATTGATTAGATTTATTATTATAATCAAAAAGGAACTTTTGGGATCATAAAACTGATCTGAAAATCTGCCATTCATTTTTAATAGGTAGCGTAATTGAACAATGCGATAGTCCTTATTGTCCATGTACATTAAGAAATGATCTCAAAAATACTCTAAGAATGTATAATATCTTTTTATTTTTATATATATTTCTTAGACTTTCCAAAGCTTATCTAATAGTTTTCCTATTTACAAGTTAGACATTTGCTTAAGTATGGTAAAAATATTTATAAGATAATGGATATATATTTGATGCAATCTATATATCTAAATAATAATCTCAATAAATAGAATGTGGAGGTATTAAATTAAATAGATTACTAAGAGATTTTAATAAATTTAAAATAACTAAAATACTTATATTTGATTCTATTGATATTACTAATACTTATCCTAAAATACCTGCTGATCAATTTTAGTATAAATTACCTATATATGGAACAGATATAGAAACATTATTATTCATATTTTAGTAAATTTAGAATCCTAAATAATTTGATTCTAAAGTTATTTTTGATATTTGCACTTCTCTTTATAATGATTAAAATGTAATCATTAGTAGAAAACCTATTACTATTTTATCTATAGACCTTACTTATGCCTATACTTATTTCAATTAGAAAGAGGAATCATATTAAGATAAATTATAAATTTTATCTAAACTATCTACAATATAAGAAGAATTCAATAAAAACATCATTCAATTTGATTGCAGTTTATTATAAGAACAAGAGGATTAAGTATATAAATGGGTTGATACTACTCGTAATAGAGTTTTAGATTAAATTAAATCAAAATTTTAAGAAAAAATACCATTATTACATTTTACAGTAGGAGATTTAATTGTTAGAAATCATAAATTCAAAAAATTATACTTTAATTATCCTTAATCATAATTAATTTAAAAAGAATACTAATTAAATAAAAAAATTGTTAAAATAGACACAGAAACTTCAGGAAATCAAAATAAATAAAAAAATTAATTATTAATTAACTGCTTTCTATGTATAGAATGATATTTATAATGCTTCTTCGAATACTTTTATCATATATACTGACATTTATAATTATCTCTATATGAATCTTATGTATAATTCTTATCATTTAACATAATAATAAGTTTATATAAATAATTAATTTAATTATTGATGTATTTGCCTACATTTTATAAACTTGGATATGAGGCTTGGACTGCAAAAAGCAAAAGATTCTTAGGAATATTACCTGCAGTAGGATGTTGGGGTAAACAAAATAAATGATCTTTTTTAGCTGTTTGGGCTCTATATCCTAATTTGTATAATACACTCTACACTGATTTTATCCCTCCTCCTAAAGGTTTTAATATTTATTATCTTAGGTGTCTAAAGAAGAGTATAAGAATGAATATTATGAGAAAGAATATTAAATTAATTATATTTAATTCTTCTTCTTAAATTAATATCATTTCTAATATCGTTAATAATTTAACTTTTATATAAATTCAATTCAATATACATATTTATCAATTATAATCTATTATAAAAATAATATTCAATTAATCTTGATTGAATCTTCATTTATGATTAATAATAAACATACTTCTAAAAGTTTTTATTTGAATTAACAAAATCCTAAATGAATTATATTTACTATTACTAATTGCTTTATCTAAATAAAAATTTGGAGGTGCAATTCTTTTTGCCTATTTTAATAATTCAGATGCACTTTCAAAATCATTTTGAGCCATTAGACAAATAGCTAAATTTACTATTGTTTTATACCTTTTCCATATAGTAGACTTGGTTAACTATTTTATATGAATAATGCTTAATTATAAACTTCTAAAGCATATTAGTATAGATTAAGCATCCTTAAGCAATCACCTAAATTTTATACTTCTTCTTACCTTTTCCACTTAATGATACATAATGATTGGGATAAAGCATTAAAACTTTTTCATAATAAGTTAAAGCATTATTAAAATCCATTAACATTCTTAAACATTCCCCTATTATAATCTTTAGAAGTTGAACCTTTCCCCCATAATGCATCCGTTGAGTATTAATTAATATTTAAAGCCTTATCATATTATTCCATAGCCTATTCAAATTTATTCTAGAGTCCTAAACAAAATCCTAAAATTTATATTATTTTTACCATATCCTATCAATGAATTAATATGATTTGGATCAATTTTTAAAACATCTACATAAATTAACATAGCTCCATCATAATCATTTAACATTCTTAGACATTCAGCTAATTAATTGATAAGAATAGAAACCTTTTCCAAAAATAGAATTTACACTTTTAGGATTAATAACAAGTTCTTTTTCATGTTATTTTAAAGTTGATATTATTTATTCAAGTTAAGCTATTAAGATGACCTATAAATTTAATAATACTTTTAAAAAATAATGCCCTATGTTATCCAGGGTTAAAATATAAAACCATTTTATAATATTTTAATGCCTCTTCCCATTTACCCTACAATCTTAAGCATTCAGCTATTATTATATAGAAATATATGACCTTTCCCCTTCAAAGAAAATTCATTATTTGGTTTAATTTCAAGTGCTTTTTCAAAAAAGACAATTGATTCATCACATTTAAATAAATAACGTAAGCTTAAACCTATAAAATTAATTAATATAATTAACCCATTCCTTTTAAAGCTTCATATGATGTAGGGTCGTATTTCAAAGCTCTTTCATAACAATCAACTGCTTATTCATTATCATTTAATTATCTTAAACAAGTAGCTAAATTTTAATGATTTATTATTATTAACCTTTTCCTTCCCATAATTCAGAAAGATGAGGTTTAATTTGCAAAGCTTAATCAAAATATGTAATAGCTTCCTAATATTAATGATTTATTTTTAAGGAATCCGCTTATATAATAAAATTATTTTTACCTAAACTGAATAATGATTCAAAATGATTTTAATTTAACATTAAAGCTTTCTTAAACATTTTCTAGGAATTCTCAAAATCATTCAAACTCTTTAAACATTCCCCTATTTAAATATAATATACTTTTTGTATACCATTTCCATAAAACGCTTAAAAATTCTAAGGATTAACATTTATCGCTTTTTCATAATTATAATTGGCTAAAATAAATTAATTCTGTATTCTTAAAGTATCAGCTTCAAATATAGATCAACATTACCAAAACCTAATAGAGCCTCATAATTATTTTAGTTTATACATAGGCATTTTGCAAAATACTCTTTTGCCTCATCATATTTAGTGCAATTAAGTAGGTAATTACCTTAAATATCAAATACTATTTACCTATTCTGCATAAAGCTAATTCATGTTTTGGATCTAAGAATATTATTTCTTTAAATTTAAGATATGCTTCATATTCTTAATTCTATTTCATTAATTAGATAATTTAATCATTGAAGTTTAAACACTCCCCTATTTTATTTATATATATATTATATATTACCTTTTTCAAACATTATCTTTATATTATATGGACTTATTTCAAGAATTCTATCAAATTAAGTAATTGCCTCATTATAAAGACCTTATTCTTTTAAATGCAAACCTAATAATATATTATTCTTTTAACCAAAATTTTAGTATTTTTATTATTATAATGCTAATTATTAGGGCATCCTATAAGCTATATCTTATAATGGTAACTTTTAAAATATTTAATTCAAAATATCTAAGACTTTAAGTAATTTGTTCTCTACTTAATTTCTATATAATTAATTTATCTCATCAAAAGTGATTAATTGATCAAGAAACTAAATAATTTGATTTTAATCTAAATCTAATAAATCATTTGAGAATCCACCAAATATATATCGTAATCCTTTTATTGTGACATTAAAATGTTCTTAAAGACTTTTAAATTAATTGAAATATTATTATAAGAATTTTTCTGCTTGTTAAGACTTTTCATCAAGTAATAGGAACAATTATGATATTTGATTTATTTAATCAGGATGTTGTTAATGAAAATGATTTATACATTGCTAACAAAATATTCTATGTTATTGACATTAAGGTAATTTACAAAAATATTTGGCTTAGATATTCTAGTGATTTAAGCATTTTAAAGTGAAATTATTTTAGAGTAAACTATTTTAATTCATATTATAATTATAATTAAATTAAAAATAATAATTTAAAGAATTATTTGATAATCATTAGAAGTATCAAGTTATTTCTTTATTTTATTAAAATAATACTATATTAAAAATAATAAAATATTTTATTCTATTTCAAATAATTTGTTATGATGAACGAGGTGTTAGTATTTTTAGATTAAATTATTTTTATAATCTAATTGATTTTAATTTTTCATGAAATAATCTTTTTTTTCTAAAACTTAAATTTCTTATTCTACATTTATTATAAGTTTCTATAACTTTGAATATATTAAATTCTGGATAAAAATTATTATTTTCTTGCATCATTAAATCCATATCATCAAAATTTTCAGGTATTTTTTAATTTGAATATAATTTTAATGTGTCTTTATTGGTATCAACTTCATTTACTTGTGTTTCTAATTTTAACATAGGTTTAATATTTTAAATAGATGATTTTTTTTTATAAAATTATGGAAATAATTTAATATTAGGAATAGAATTTTAATTATTTGTATCTTCAAGTGATTATTAACCAAAAGAATTCATTTTCTATAAAATAGGTTTTATTAAGTTATTTTTATTACTATCTTTCATATTTAGAGTTGTTCTAAGTCTATCAAATTTATTATCATTTTTATCATTTTAAGATTATAAAGATGTTCTTTTATTTTTCATTTATACATTTTTATGATTATCAATAACCAAAGATTGTGATTCATTACTACTTGATGTTTTAGAGGATTCTGAACTAATTTCATGTATCTCTCTTTAACTAATTCTATGGTTGTTTTTGAATCCTAATCTTTTTAATGTTTTACTACACAACAAACTTATAATTAATATAATAAGTTTACTCTTCTTAAATAAAATTATGAAGAATCATAAAATCGAGAATTGTGGCTATTGTCATTTAAGAATTTGAAATTGCTTTGTATCTTTGACGAGATTTACGTTCAAAAGATAATCGTTTTATATTAACAGATGCAGATGCTTATCTAACTATTTTCCAAATATTTGGCTAATAGAATGTAAATGGACAACTAAAATTTAAATAAAATAAAACATTTTATAATTACTTCTAATATAAGTGAGTCCATTTACAAATTTCACAAGTTCTTCCTAATTTCTAAGAGTAAGTTAAAGAATCAATTAATGTTTAGAATTTATACAAATGTTCTTTATCTTTAGTTATAATCTCTAATAAATCTTATCTATTAATGAAAGCAACTTAAGTAAACTTAAAAGCCCTATATTAAACAGAATAATCATTATTAGTAATGAATTCAAATTCACCTATAATATCACCTTTTTTATAAGTGCGAGAGAATTTACCTTGAGTAATAGAATGTAATGTTTCTTTTTGAGTTCTTTATATATGAAAATAACTATCAACTTATCCATTTAATACAAAAATCAATTTTTTTTCACTTTTATTTTTAATATCAATAATTTCATCTCCAGGTCCAAAGTTTTCTTATTAAACTTTCTAACATAGTTGATTAATCAAAATTTCATTAAATGTATCATTTATAAATTTAGATTAAATAAGAATCTTTTTATATAAATCTATCATAATCTCTTATTTTAATTATTCATTTAGATTATTAATTAAAGTTTAATAAGATCTTTTTTGTGATTGTTATGTTTGATAATAAAATTCAAAATATTTTCTAACTTTTAAAGATAATTATAAATTTAATTCTTTTTCTTTAATATAAGAATTAACCTCTTTCATTAATTATTTAAATTGACCCTTTTTCTCTTCCAAATTCTTAAGAATCTCTCCAATAGTTGATATAGAATAACCAAATACACCACAAATAATCATAGCAATAATAACTACAAATAATTATTCAATAGAAGTCTAAGGAACAATATCACCATAACCAACTGTTAATGTTGTTATTACACTCCAATAGATACTTACTATATATCTAGTTTACCATGGTTTATCATAATAACCATAATGAATCAACCATGAATTATTATCTCCATAAACATCAACTTCTATTTTACCCAATAAATGCCAAGCACAACTACACATATGTGCAACAAATATAATAAAATATATTAATTTTGATAATTCTACTACTGCCTAAACAGATTCCTTAGCATTTAATAAATCTTCAACATTTTATACCATAGATTTTACTCTTGTAATTCTTAATAGTAATACAAATTGTATATAAGGTATGTCCAATTAAGATAATACATAAGGTATAGATATCATTAAATCCCACCAAAAATTTTCAGAAACATAATGATGAAATATTTCTTTTCTGGTTGAATGAATTACACCATGACCATAATATGCAGTATTAAAATTAAGTAATATTTCAGCTATGAAAATGTAACTAGGTATTGTTTCAAAGAATAACCAAACTAAAGTACTTGATTTATCCAATTCAAAACTCAAAGACATTGGTATAAAGAATATATTGATTACTATAAAACATACTACTATAGAATCCCATATAATTTTAAATGTACTTTCTGGATATATAACTCCTATTCTATTAAATAAGTATTCTAAAATAGCCTTAATGACTGAAAATGCTCCTTCCATCTTCTTTAAATTTCTACACATTATATTTTTAAAAGAATGATCATCTATTGTCTTTTCAGATTTGAATTCATTAAAATCACTTGCTTTATCATCTATGTATTTAAATATATGATGATTCATCAATTTTAATTTCAAAGTTTCTGCTTTTGTTTTCAGTTAATATAAAAATCTAGCAACTAATCTGATGATCTTCAAACTTCCATGTTTCCAAACTGGATTAAATCTATTCAATTTGTATCAACTCATACCCTGGCTCTTTTTAATCTTAATTCAGATTCTCAAAAATATAAGTTTCTCTTTAATCTGTAATGATATTTTGAATATTTATAGTTGGAGGCTTATAGTTGCTGTTTGCCTTACTCAAACTAAACAATGAAGGTCTATTATTATTATGTGAACAGTACTTAGCACTTTTGTCTTAATCATCTATCATTTCATCCATCCCTTCTATTGAAGGACTTCTTTCAAAATATTGTCTCATCTTAATATCTGAATCTCTACCAAATATTTGTCTCTTGGTATTTATCAATTAAAAGGGTTCACTATCGTAATTTGTAATTATTTACATATTAGTTATTAATAATTTAGACCAAATTAATTTATTACACAATTTATAACGATATTAAAGACAAATTATTACTAAGAACTTCTTATTAATATTATATATCAATAGATTCAATCATCAAATTATACATAAAATATAATATTTTAATCAAAATATTCAATAAAAATAGAAGAAAGTTCTAAATTTAAACATACATATTATATTTTAGAGTATTTATTAAAAATGAAAATAACATAGAGAATTTAGAATATGTTAAATTTATTAATATATATTTATTAGAATCTAAAAGAAATTAATATAAATTAATTAATATAATATAAATTTTTCATCTAGAATAACTAATATTTTTAGTATCTATATGTGTAATTTATATTATACTTACTTATTTATATCATAAATAACTAATAATAAATTTAATTAAATATATGATTACTTAATCAACAATGTAATATTAAATTACTACAGAATAATCACTAATTTAATTCTTTTATTGATTTTTAAATATATTTAAATGAGTAATCAAATACCATATTTTGATAAATGATATGTTGTTTTCGAGATGAGATCAGAAGTATCAATTTTCTTTTTTTTCACTTTTTTAGTCATCTATTGATGAATATCATAAGGATAATGATTAATATCATAAGGATCAGGTGATTTATTGTTTTTTACATAACCATTAAGTTGTCTGCGAGCTACTAAACTAGAACTTAAATAAACTCTTTTTAGAGGACTATTTGATCTTGATGATTTAGGAGTAGCGTGTTATGTTATGATTTGAGAATGAATAGTTAGTTTATTATGATTGTAATCAAACTTTTATTGGACCTTAAAATTAGGACTTTAAATATTGAAGTTAATCATTAGGCTGTCGGATATTATATTTTATTCTGTAGAAATTCTTAGCTAATTAAATTTATTTGATTGATGAGCATATTTCATTTTAAAGTAATTCAATTTAGACTAGCTATCTAATAGAGGTTAGTTTAAGATTTCAAGAAATGAAATAGGTTGTTCCATAAAATAATAAAATTAAATGGCCTAATCAATCATAATTATATTATTATAAATTCAATTTTATATTAATGATAATCTATCATTTATGTGTATCAACATATTAATATACAATTTTGAATATATAGAGTATATTAAATTATAAATCAACAAATTGTTATAGTAAATTATGAATTTATTGTAAATGAATATATTACAGAATTCAAATAATATATTTAAACATAATTTCTATTCAATAATTTATAAATAATTTAGATTAATTGTTTGTATTATTAAATTTAGAAAATTGAATTTGAAATTCTGTCAAAGAAAATGTCAATCTAGATGTAATAACTATTCAAATAACATTAAACTCAATAGTTTTTGACTCAATAATTTTCTATCAAATAAGAAAAGATTAAACCTTCAAACCTAATAGCTGAATAATAAAATGAAAAATGTACTAATAAATTAAACAATGAAAAAAATAAAGAAGAATCACCATCTCAAAGATTTAATAATTATATATTAAAACCATCCTAAAAACCTTAATAGCAAAATCATACTTAAAAATGTAATATTAAGTAATTGTAAAATAAGAGTAATAACATTACAGAATAAATCCAAGAAAAATATAATAATTTTAATAAAAAAAGAAGTTAATCTCCTAACTAATTCATTAATCAATCATAAATTAATGATGAATAACCTTAAAGAAGACCTGCTTCTTTTGCAAATGATTAATCTCATAAATAAAAAGTAATACCTAAATCTCCTAATCCACATGAATTATAAGAGAGTATTGTAACAATTGCATTAGATAAATAAGGTAGAAGATATCCATTTACTATTTAGCAATCCCCTAGACCTAGACCAAAAATTCAACTGAATAAAAATTAAAGATTAATTATCAATAAATGGGATCCTATTGTTCAACATAACAATTTCAATAAAGATGTCCACTCAAATTACAAAGTCATTCCTCAACCAATTCATTATCTAGCAATAGTAAATCTAATTTCATAAGAAAATTAGAATAGAATACTAATCATACTCCTACTAAATTAACTACTACTACTCTAAATACAGAATATAGCAAATGTAAATCTATTAACAAAGAATAATGCATTAAAGCTATAATATATGATTAAGATAGAGAAAATGATATGAAAATTTTGAATATTGGTACTCCAAGCACTTACCTTCATTCTAAAATTTCTATTGAGTAGCAGAGTGTAATAAGATTGAATAGACATTTAGGTTGATGAAAGTTTAGGAAATAAATTCTAATAAGGAAAATTACTAAGTTAATATTCACCCTTAATTGGATCAAATGATAATTTAGAAAATGTATTACCAACAAAGACATGTACAAATCATAGAAATAAGAGAGCCAAATATAAGGTAGATGAATGTTCTAAATTTACATATTATTGTTCTTAATGTGCTATTGAAGCTGCAAGTTAAGGAAAAGTAGTTTAAGAAATTAATTAATTGAAAATTAAATCTTAAGAATCTTAATAGATACCAACTTTTTAATAAAAATTAATAGAATTAAATGGAAATTAAACAGAAATGTAATTCAAAGAGAAATAATTAAGTGGGTTTTTGAAAAAATTAGATGTATCTTAAACTCTAAGATAAGATATTCTAGGATAAATGCAACTTTAAATTGAATTAATAACAGAATGGTATGAGAATTAGATAAGAAAATGTGAAGAATCTAGATTAGAATTATAAAATTTATTAAATGAAACAAGTAATTATTGTATATCTACACTATAAATGTAATAATAAGAATCATTAAAATAAATATCAATATTATTGTATGTTTTATAATAGCATTAATAAGAAACAAATAATATTAAATAAGATATAGAAAATAATTGGAATGCTGTATTAAAAACAATAAAAATGGAACCATTTTAAAAGATAATGGATAATCATTAAATAGAATTAGTTAAAATGAATGAATTTACATAATCTATGTTATCAATTACAATTGGATTGAAATAATTAATAAATCCAGATATAAAACCTATAATTACTTAAATTACTTAAAAGTAATATATATTATTTTTATATTATAGCTATTAATTATAAGATGAAAAAAGATTGTTGATTTAAATTAATAATTAAAATGTTAATTAAATGACATCTGCTTACAAAAAAACAGAAAATATTGAGATGCCATTTTAATAATCAATGTCTCAATAAAGAATTCGTACAAATTTTAGTAATGGAATAGAATCATAATTAAATTAATAGGATAAATAATTCAATTCTAATTAAAAATTAATTGATGATAATATTAATTAAATTACTCATTCAAAATTATAATAACCTAAAAATAATAATCTTTATGTATCTTTTGAAAATAAAGATTTATTTATGAATATTGCTGAATAAGAATATAAAAATAAAAAAAGTTTACATGAAGAGAAATAATAATTATAATTAATAGAATCTTAACATTATTAAGAGAATTAAATGAGTGAATAAAATTCACCCAAATCTACTCCTCATAGTCCTGCTAGTGGATAAATGAAATAATCAATATAAAGAACAGTGACTAAAACAGAGGATAATACATCATTAATATGTTAGGATGCTATTTAAAAATAGAAAAGTACTTTTAGAAAGTTATTTGAAAATATTGATGATCCATAAAATATTGATAAATTAAATTAAGAATTTTTATTATGTTCTGAGTAGAATGATAAGGTTTTACCAAAATAAAAATAAATCACAAATAATTCATCAAAAACATAATAGTATAAAATATTTAAATTATCAATCTAGGTTTTTTTAATAGTCTATTGAATCTAATTAAACAATGGTTTTAGAAACTCCTGATTTAAAGAAGAATGAATTAGAAAATTTATAATATCTATAATATTTATAAGATACAGAAACTTGCAAAAAAGCTTTAGATAAGCGATCTTAAATAATGGAGTCAGTGAAATAAGTTAATTTATGGGATGATCAATAAAATATTAATCTATGTGGTAAGAGTGATCTTAAGGAAACTGGTTAAATATTGAATTTTAGAGAAATGATGCACTTCAGTGATTTAAAATCAAAGACTTATCCTTTGGAATTAATTCAAAATAATAAAAATTTAGAATTTATTTAAGAAGAAAAGAGTTTGTTTTGTTCACCTCAATTCAAAGATCAAGATTTAATAAATATTTCAGAAAGCAGTTGTATATCCAATTGATTTTTTAATTAAAGTATAATTCAAATAAATATCTGATCTAAAAATAAATATGAACTATTCTCACTGGATCTAAAAGGCCATATAAAACAAGAATAAATTGTTAAAGGAGTCTAGAGAGAGTTCTACAATCACTAAGAAGCAAATCTCAAAACATTCTATGATTAGTATTAGAGAATTGTATAAGGCCTAAAAATGGGATCACCTTATCAAATTAGCTAAACAAACTAAAGGTTTATTTGAGGAATACGATTGTATTAAGGTTCATAAGAAAGTTATTAAGTTGGAAGAGAGTGTGTTAATTAATAGTGGAGATGCTCATGATGAAGATTATATAGGAACCATAAAATAAATTATATCAATAAAAGAACCAACAACACTTAAATTGATTTGTTTATGTCGTGTATAATGGTATATGAGAAAAAGTGAAATAATAAAATCACATCCAAAAAGCAATGAATGGATCTCTGAATAGGAATTGTTTGAAACTAAACATGAAGATTACATTTTGGCAGAGACTGTGATACATTCATGTTAGATTTTCACATGTAAAGAATATGTGAATCTTGATGAAATTGAATCCACTATTTATTTTAACAGATTAAGTTGGGATATGGAAAAAAAATAATTTTAAGGTTTAGAAAAACTTTAAAAATTCTGTTTATGTCAATAACCGGTTAATCCCGATAGAAAATATATATAAGTATATAAATATATCTAAAATAGTGTGATTCTTGTCATTAATGGTATCATCTAGAGTGTGTAGGTTTAAAAGAGGAAGAATTAAATGATTCTGAATTCTTTTGTAAACTTTGTTTATGAGACATACTATTTAATTTATCGATATTTTTATTATTAAGAAAATACAATTTAAAATTCAATATGTAACCATTATTCAAACAAAGGAAACCAGCTAATTTAATCATATAATCTTCTGATGAAGACAAAATAGTCTAATAATAAGTATACTATTGATCTATTATATAGATCTAAGAATTAGACACTTTTGAAGAATTTTGTAGCAACATACCAGATGTTGAAAATTAAGAACTTAATTTTACTAAAGAATCCAAATCTTTCAGTTCTCAACCTATTGATTTATAAGATTCACAAGAATTCCAATACAATCTCAAATTTAGTGATCAAAAATAAGAAGAAATTTAAGAGTCACTTCCTATATAATATATTGAATTTGTTGAGTTTAATCCTTAAAGTATCAATTCTGGATAATCTGAATCTAATATATAGAGAATTGATTCTCAATAAAGTCCTAAAGACATTATGTAAGAACCTCCAGCTCCTTAAAATAAGAACTTGACTAAATTTAGCTTTCCTCAAAAAGGTGGTTGTTTTAGTAGTTGTAACAAATTCAAAATTAAATTGTTTAGTGAAAAAGTAACTTTGTGTGGATTAACCTTTAATCAGTAATCATGGAAATTAGAGTGAATAATTTGAAGAAACACTTGTTAAGTAACATAATACATAAAACATTCCCAAAAGTGTGTAAGATGATTTACTTAAACAAATTAAACAATTAACTGATTAAAATAATGATATTCAAACTACTTTATAAAATTAGATATAATAACTATAAACTCAAAATCAAAAATTAGAATAAGAATTAGTTCAATAGAAATAATAGAATACTATTCTTATCTAAGAAAATATTATGTTGCAATCTAAAATTTAAATTTTAGAATAAAAAAAAAGTGCTGATTTAAATAATATTACTGATTTTTCTCATGATTTATTACCAAATAAATTGTCTATGAATGAAAAATTAATATATTTGTTGTCAAAAATTAATATTAAAGCATAAGAAAATGCAAAACTTTAATATGAAATTTTGAAATTGCAAAATAACGTATGTATCTATGACATCTATTCTATTAATAGATTGAAATCTTAGAAACTTAAAAGTATTTACAAATCAATACAAATTTATTATTGGAAACTCATAAATTGTAGTAAAGTCATTCTCCCCAACTCTAACCATAGTCTTAAAATAGAGGATAATCTCTTAGTAAAGATAGCAGAACCAGTCTCTTAAATTCATAAAAATATCCTCTCAATTTATCCCTTAATTATGTATACTAAGGAGAAAGAAGACAAGAGGTCTTTATCAATAAAAAGAATAGAATTATATCCCCTTTGGCTCATTATAGTTCAGTGGGTGAATAATAATAACTTTAGTTAACAAACCTTTAAAAGAATAAGATTTACAAAGAGGATACGAATTATAATAATAAAATGCAGTAAGAATTTCTTCATTGAAATAGTACTAAAAATAGCACATCTGTTGGAGAATTAATATCATTTAAACAAGACTTAACTAACTGTTCAAATATGATCAATAAAGCTTTAAGAAAAGAGTCCTATTCTACATAATCTCCAAATAGCAAAGTTACACAAAAATTTAAATAAACTTTAAATGCAAAAATTGGGACTTAATAAGAAAACTCAAAGTCCTATGCTAGTCTCTTATTTTCTCTTGGAGAAAGGCAAAAAGATGTAAGATAAATGTCTCCAAAAGGAGGCAATAAGAAATCAAAATAGTAATCTTTATATTTATATATACAATATTAGGTTATTTGGATTCATAATGCAACCTCATCCCAATTCAAGAAAATAATCAGAAATTTTGAAATCAGAGGAATCCAATAAGATGAGTTAGGAATAGCTTAAAATGTCAGATAAGTATTGATTTTTGTAAAATAGAAAAAATACATTACAAACTAGTATTGACATATTTTAAATAATGAAGGAAATGAGAAATAAAAAAAATAGGAGTAAATATTTAAATTCAATATAGTCTCGACTAAATAAAGTTAAAAAAAAGGGTAAGCTACAACAAGTAGATAATTGATTACTGAAATCAAAAGTAGCAGAACTAATAAACCAAGTTTTGATTGATAACAAATATATATATATATATATATGAATAAATTTTGTAATTCAACATTAACACATAAAAAAGAATTATGATAAGAATCATTTTATTTTAAATTAAGGTTATTTTTTGGCCTAACTCAACTTCATAAAATTGCCATTTTAATTTTCAATAAAAAAAGACTACTTTGATAAACTAGGAGTTTTGTTGGGACTTGAATTCTATTAAGAATATGCTCTTATTCTTTCTTTCTAAGGAGTAAAAATGGATCTGCCTCTCATTAATTAAATATTGTTTATTTGCGAATTTAAGTAAGTATCCATAATTTATTTAGTGTTCTAAATTATTCTTTATCTCTCTGGAGTAAAATGTTATGGTCTTTTTGGTCTGGTCTTATGCTAGGACATTATACCTTCTAGGAAATCCTTCTTTTTCCCTTTATTCTCAAAACTAAAACTATTAATTTTAGGTGTTTATAATTTTTTTGTGATTAACAAATTTTACAAAATGAAATCCTCAAAACTTTATTTTGAATTATCATTTACTGAAATAGATCTTAATTATTTGTCCTTTTTTAAAAGTTTAAAAGAACCTTTTAAAATAGATTTCAATTCTTTTGGGTGCTATTTTTCTTCTTTAATTTCAATGGTTTAGATTTATTGAATTAAGTTAATAGACCAAGCTACATTTTATTTTGTTCCATTTGGAATTGAAAAACTTCCCATTGTTTTTTAAATCATTGGAGGTTACTATAACGAATTCAGATAAGTATTTTAAATAACTTAAATTTCTTGATTATCTGCAATGTTATCCCAATTCCTACTTAAATCTTTATCTTTTAAATATTCAGTCTCAAAATTCATTAATTATTTTAAGAATGTTGCTCTAATTTCAAAGTCCTTCCTTCTTGTATTCAAGAATTAAAGTGTTTTATATAAACTCCAACTAAATCTATTAAATTCAGTAATAAAGTTACTTGTACATTAAATAGGCTGTTAAGGCTGTTAAAGCTCTACTCTATCCTCTAAGCGAGAAAAACAAAACACCCTCCCCATTATTAATGGCTGTTTCAATAAACTCATTTATTTTTTCAATATTTTCAATTGTAACAATAATCTAAATCTAATAGATAATTTACTTATTCATCCGAATCTCTCCAATTAAAACAAAGACAGTTTCCAATTCCATTATATGTAAGTTCGGATGCAGCACAATTTATTATGTTATTGATTTTGTTCATTAACAAAAAGTCCCTTTCCTCATCATATATAAAAATATAGTTTATACTAATGGAGCACGACTATTTCCAACAAAGAGGCCATCTATTATTTTAAACGCATAGTAAACAATCGTTCTTTACATTATTGGTAAAAAAATTAATTTATTATTATTCAATTTCTTTAAATATTCTTTTTTTTAGAATATTAAAGTCTTAATTAATGTAAAAAGTAATAGTAAAATTGAATAAAATTAATATTATAAAACTTAGTTATACAATTTATCAATCCTTTTCTTCTTCCTCTTCTTCTTCTTCAATATCAAAACACTCTTATTCAATTTTATTGTCTCGAAACAAACTAAGCATGTTTTTCTTTTCTATTAATTCATCAAAAATAAGTTCGAATTTATTATTTTCAATTACATTATCAGGAATAAATAGTTTTTTATTTTAAGGCCATTCTTCAAAAAATGGAGGAGGGAAAATTGGATCAACAGCGATCCTAAATAAATTTTCTACCATTGTTGGTATTATTCTACTAAGAAGAGGACAGGATTATTCAAGACATGGATTAGTATTGGCTTCTATTAACCACAATTTGAAATTCTCATCTATCATAAAATCTAAACCATATAACTAATATAATATATAAGAAATTATTACTTCGAAACTATTAATTCTTCTATGTGGATCAATTTTACCATAGGTAGCTTTCATCATATCCAAAGCTGCAGATCTCATTTTAGGATAAATGTCAATAAAAAAATTGAATTTAGAATTAGGATAATTACATTCAACATATCTTTAAAAATCTAAATAAGATATCTTATTGCCTGGTTCATGCTTACCATAATCCTAATCTTTTGATTGAACAGCATCATTAGTTAAATGTACAAATCTATCTAAGCATTTAGTAGTAAATTCTTTTGATGATGTTCGTATATATCCTTCTTAATACCAATAACCTTTAAATATTCCATTTTAAGAAGTCAGTAGCATATAACATCTGATATCAAATTTTCGTTTATTATACAAAAAAGGATTATCAATATATTATTGAACAATATATGTTCTTTATCTACCTCCTTATATTTCTTCACATATTATTTTATTTATTTCATTTAAATCGTTACAAACAGTAATCCCATTTCCTCTATTAGTCAATTCTCCTGGTTTAATTATCCATAAATTAAGAGGCAATTTCTTTTTATCTTTTCTATCTCTATTCTTTTCAAGATCACGTACTTCTTCATTTCTTTTGTTATAATAATCCAAAAATTTTTAATATTCAATATCACTTAATCCTTTTTGAACATGAAATGTTACAGGAAGTAATTTATTATAATCTTCCTTTATGATTTAAAAGTAATGTTTCATATTATAAAACAGAGCCTTTTTGTTACCTAAGTGCCAATTATCTTCCATATGATTATGCATCTTTTGGCTTCTACTGTCTAGTCTTTAAATAGTGTTATATTATTTAATATCCTTTAGTAATTTTTCAGAGCAATCACTAAAAATCAATTAACTATCAAAGCAGTTAATTTCCTCCATATAATTCAACAATTTTTATAAATCTTACCCATTTAATATTCTTTTAATTGAATAATAATTTGGAGGCTTCTTTTATTAATGCTAAGAAGAACTCTACTGTTTTTGTATACCTCCAGTTAAACTCAATTATTTTGGTCTTATATCTATGTCTGAATCACTTGTATCCCCAATCGTTTCCTCATGACTCAAAATAAATGATTCTGAGCTCTAAGCTCCAGCGTCCATACAATAGGGATGTAATTATTCAATACAAATATTCTATCTCAATTATGTCCATGACATATTGACTTTTGTAGTATCTAAGGTTTCTACTTCTGACCACCACCATCTTTATCGGAAAATATTTTTGACTAAACTGCCATTGTTTCCTAAACCTACATAATAATAATAGGCAGGAACTTCCATCTTATTTGGAGTGCAGATGCATTAATTATTTGAAAAATTAATTTTATTCAAAAAACAGCGATAAGATGTGTGACGTAGAGTGAGTTTCTCTTTTTAGAGATTCTACTATTAGATTACATTATTTTAAATTTATTTTTTTTTTTTTCTTGGCATTAATTTTTTATCTATTAAGATAGGTTATTATTAATATTGTTATTATTATTATTAATATTATTATTATTATTATTATTATTATTGTTATTGTTATTATTGTTATTATTATTATGGTTATGATAAATGCAAAGCACTATGTAATTTCTTTTCTTTTACCACTTTGTATTAAGGAGTATAAATGCTTAGTTGCTTTGTCAAACTCTTTTAAGGATTCTTTATTGGACTAATATTTTAGGTTTCCTTTTATGGAGTTCCAGATCTACTTGTTACTTGTTCTTCTTTATCCTCTTTTGATTTCTGCATCAATGGAGTAGATGAAGTTCTTCCCATTTTATGGACATTTTGTTCATTTTCATAAATTGACTTATTTTCCCCTTGCATGAATCCTCGACTTTTTCTTGTTACCGTCTTCTATAATGTTGGACTTAGAATACTATTTAATATTTACGTTTCAATAAGAGTATTTTTACAGGTTTCTTGTTTTTCTTTTGATTAGTTCTATCTTTCCTTTAGTTTTAATTTATCTGCATATAAACTTAATGGTGGAAGAATTTTCTTACCTAAATTATTAATTATCATAGATTACTTTTTTCTAGATCTTCTATGGTTGACAGAGCCTATTATGACAGTAAATGTTCTCTCGTTACTTTTTCCTCATAACTCTACTTGATTAAAATACTTGATGAATTTTCATAATGTTTTGATGACGATACTTTTTATTAAGTTTACAATAGTCCTTTATTTATAAAAGCAGTTAAGATTTCAGAATTAGCTCTGTCTTTAATTGATTAAATTTTAGTTCTTTGGGAAATAGACCAATGTTCCAAACGTTGTGCTTATGGTTTATGAACTGTGAATTATTTTTGATGAAATGAATAAAAGTCCTTACTATTAGAGAAGGTGTCAGCCATCTTTTGTGAGTATCTAGGTTGTATTATCATATTGTAACAAAAAATACAATATAAGTTTAAAATAAATTTATATGATGTAAAGTGTGAAATAGGAGTAGAATACCAGATTACACTAAAAATCCATTTTAATACAAAATATCTCCCAAAAAATATTATTAATTTATGGATAAGGCAAAAATCAACTATCTTTTAGAAGGGGAAATCCTAGTCAAAGGCAAGACTTTTGGTCTTTGGCAACCTAAAAAATACATCATAGATCAAGAACTGAGAATTTTTTCAATAAAAAGTTCAAAATAAAATAAAAATTACCATCTTGCAAATTATTAAGTATATTATATTCTCATTATTAATAGATAGCAAATGTCGAAAGAAAGAATAATAGATTTTAATTTGAATTAATTTCTACTATTGGTGAAAAGAATATATTAATGGGATCAGATAATGAGAAATTTGCTAATGAGCTTATGTTGTTCTTAAAAAAAATGTGCGGATAATAATTACGAACTTAAAGTTTATTCGAACCTAGTTTATCTTCTAAATCAAATTGTATTATAAATTTTATTAAACTGCAGCATCTCTTCGAGATTACGATTATGAAATTCCATAATTTTTTGAAATGCCAGAAATTCGAGATGGGTATATTTTTATAATTTAATTTAGTATTCAAAATATCAGATCTAAATCCTATTAATTGGAATAGTATGAACTTATCTAAAATCAAGTTGTAAAGATTTATAGAAATAAAAATAATTAACTTAATTTCAAAGTATTTCTTACTCTACCTGGAAATTGTAATATTCTTTTTATTTATTTATTTAGGCTTAACAAAATGTATATCATAATTATTTAATACTTAATATGATTGGAATATGCATAATCTAAAAGAATACACTTAAATTAAGGAATTCAAATCTGATAAATCCCAAATGATAACTGAAATAAGATTAATCAAAAATTGGTTTTAATTCAAAAGAGAATTCACTTATTTAAGACATTTAGTTGAATTAAAAAAGAAAGAAAATATTTAGATTGTTATTGAAAAAAAAGCAGATCATAAGATACACTAGGGTACTGTTTCAGGACTATTAAAATTTGCTGTTTGGGGTCTCTTCTTAGAAAATAATCAAACTAATATTGTATTATTTACTGAATAGAGTTATAATGGTTTATCTTTTATTGAAGAAGATTCAATTCTCTCATAACAATATTTTTTGTAACTTGAAAATATTATAAAACCACAAAAAATAGATTTTGATAAATAATTAATGTAAGGTTAAAGTTAAGGTATTAATCCAAATAACAGTCCTCAAAATGAATTCTCAACTTAAAAGTCTAAAGTAAAAATTATAAAAGAAGCATAGACTGGTGATATTCCTAAATAAATAATTCAAAATCAAAATATTCAATAACCTATCATTGTATAATCCCCACAATAGGGTCCAAATTAATAAATATAAGCATATTCACCAGCATAAATGGCACTTTCTTCTAAAGATAAAAGTATTCCATAAATTGGAAATTTGAAAGAGGACGATTAATAAATTTAGTTATTGTAAGTAAATATGAAAAAATCAGCTAAATCTTCTGAGTCGAATTATGTTTAAGGAAAAGTAGATTAAAATAATCTTTCTTAAGGTACTTTCGAATAATTGAAACTAAAGAAAACATCTAGTTCTTAAGAATCTTCTCAAGTTGTTGCAAATAACATTTCATAAAATATTTTATTTCAGTAACCAAAAATAGAAGATGATTGTGAAAATGATGAAATCTTACCTGAAAATGAAGGATCTGATGGAAACATTACATAATATTATGATTGTGAAGATGATATAGATGCAATGAATGATAAATTATTTATTGGATAATAAGATCAATAATCTAATAATGCTGATTAAAGTGTGATGGATGTTAGAAATTCAATAACTTAAAGACAGCCTAAGAATAAAAATAATTAAATTTAAAGTTAAAGTGACACTATTGAAAATATTGAGGATTGGGTTGAAAAGAAAATGTAGGCATATTTTAGTGGAAAATTCTGTTAAATTGCTATTGATATTAAACATATTTTGAATCCATTAGAATTAGATATTAATGTACATTTATATACAATTAAAATAAGAACAGAAAGTATATGAGAGAATAAGAAGGAGGACATTATATATTTAGAAAAGATTTTATGAGAGATGAAAAGAATGGTGGATTGAAATGTATTAATGAGATAAAAGTAAATGCATAAAAGAGTGTAGTCAAATTTTTATTAGCTAGAATAGGTAAGAAGTGATATTAATTAAAGGAACTTCACTCTTAATGGGAAGATCTCTTACTAGTATATCAATGCCAGTAACTATATTTGAATCCAGATCTAATACAGAGAGAGCTTGTAGTTCATTGGCATTTGCTCCAATATTTTTAGATGACGCTGCTAATTCGAAAGATAAATTCTATAGAATTAAATAGTGTGCAGCATTTTCTTTTGGATTTATATTTTCATATTTATCTATGGAAAAAGTAAGATCTATTTTTAATAATTTAAAAGCCCTTCAATCCTATTTTAGGTGAAACATTTTAAGGTTATTTCGATAATTGTCCCATATATTGTGAATAAATAAGTCATCATCCTCCAATATGCATCATATAATATTATGGTCGAAAATATAAGTATAAAAAAGCAAAATATTAATAGAATTGATGCTCGTCTTGAATTGGTTGCAAATTTCCATTCAAATTCTGTGGTTGGGAGAAATGTTGGTGAAGTAAAAGTGATATTTGAAAATCCTCCTTAAGAAATTATTATTCTATTAGCACCTGGTTGTATTTATGGTACAACATTTGGTGATAAATCAATGGATTTTTTAGAAAAATAATTTCTATTTGATTTAAATAATAGATGGGTGATGGAATGTGCATTCAAACCTGACAAAAAATATTGCTAATATTTTAATATTGAACATCTTTCTTACTCAGATTATGTAGCTGGAGGTGTTTGTGAGGTTACAGATGCAGCCATTGGAAGATATTTAAGGGAAGGTTATAGAAAATATAAGGGTTTAGATTTCAAAACAGAGGTTAAATAAGTTAAAAGTATAATTAAGGGAGTTTGGAATTAAGAACTAAAAGTAATAATCATTTTTTATCTAAGTTTGATAATCAAAAATTGATATCGATAATGACTGACTTCCCAATCAAATTAGAATTAGCATAATATCCATTACCATCAGATGCCAATTTTAGAATGGATGTTCTAATGTGGAAATTGAGAGATTTTGATTAAGCATAATAATGGAAAGAAAAACTAGAAATATTTCAAAGGCAAGATAGAAAATTGAGAGAAGCAATTGGACCAAAAAAAAAGAAGAAATGAATTTATAAGTAAAATTATTTTTACTTTCTATAATTTTTATTAATAATATCAGAGTTACATTCTAGATTGCACTTAAATAATAAAGTGTCTTAATTTTATGATTGGAGTTTTACATCTGAAAGAAATGTCTTTTTAGATAGAGTAATTTTTCTAATTTCTACATCAATTAAATTTATATTTCAAAAAATAAAATAGATAAATTAATAATAATTTTTCATTGAAAATAAGTTTAGATAAAACACAAGAAATTGATGAAAATGTATAAGAAGTGTAAGATGATACAAAAGTTAAAAACTTATAAAACTAAAAGTAAGAATTAGAAAAAAAGATTTCTGATGATGAAGAATTTATACAACAATAAAGATAAAAGTTGGAAGAATTATAATAAGAATATGAAATTACAATAACAGAAAAAATTTCATATGCATCAAATGAAGTAGAGACGTGGATCAAAAAATACTCAAATCTAGAAAAAAACTATAATGATAGTTAATAAAAAATATAAAATCTTAAAAAATAATTAGCATAAGTGGAAGCAGCTGATAAAGCTATATAGGATTAAAAGAGAATGGAAACTAAATAAGAAGTCAGAAAAAGTTCTAAAATGTATTGAATAATAATACATAATAAGAAATATTTAAAAACCCAAAAAATTATGTGAAGAAATTGTTATAAAAGTGAATTTCAATTTCACTCTTCTATTGGTTAATCTCCTCTTTTTATCCACCTTACTATTTTACCATCTTACCATTCTCCTTCTTTTTCCACCTTTGATGAACCTATATAGATTCCTTTGCCATGTTACTTTCCATTTGACCATTCTCCCTTATAAACCTGAAAATATTAATAAAATTCATACTCTTCCATCAGGCCATTTAAATTCACCATAACCATGCTTTTTATCATCTTTATATTAACCTTCATATCGTCTTCCATCCAACCAAGTAAAAACCTATGTTTATATAAATAACTATACTCCTTTTCCATCCATTTTATTATTTTTCCATTCGCCAACATATTTTCTACCATCTTCCCAACTATATTCTCCTTATCCTTAAATATTGTTTTAGTAGAAGTCTCCCACATAAATAGAACCATCAGCCCATTTGAATGTACCTCTACCATCTTTTATTCCATTTTTATATTGTCCTTAATAACTCGTCCCATCAGGCCAAATTTCTTATCCTTCCCCATTCTATCTATCATCTTCCCATTAACCAATATATTGAGCCCCGTCCATATGAACATATTTTCCCTAAGAATAAAATAAAAATCTTACTTAACCATGAGCTTTATCATTTCTCCACTCTCCTTCATAAATATCTCCATCAGAATAAATTATTCTACCTTTTCCACATGCCACATTTTAGTACCAATAACCTTCATATAATGATCCATACTACCAAATTTATTTTCCTCTACCATGTCTCTATCTAGATATATAAATCAAATAAATGTTACCCATTCTTCCATTAACCTATATAAACGCTTCCATTTTCAAATTCATATGGACCCAAATGTGGTAAATCTTTGTATTCCTCTTAATCTTAATCATAAACAAACTCATCCAATTTTTCAAAAACCTTTGTATAATTTCAATATACCTGTTTGGCTTGATCTGTCAAAAAATCAGGTACCTTCTCAATTTTTCTTACTTTGTCATTTGGAGCATGCTAATTGGCTCCAGCACTTTATTCTGGATCCTTTGTATCAATAGTTTCTTTAGCTGTTGCAGATGCTTTATCTTCCTATAATTAATGGTTTTCCATTCTTTTAGGTTCAAGACTTTATTTAATAGCCTAATTAAGATGAATAACCATAAACAAAAGAGGGTTAAAGACATCCTTAACATCATGATAATTTCAGTTTTGAATCTTTTTTAGCACATTTAAGAGGTCATAAGTCAAGAGAAGAGCTTAAGAAAATAAAATAAATTCAAAAAATTTCAGAACAAATTTCAAATAAGTGTATTACACTTTTTTTAAATATTTTCTTTGGGTTGTTCATTTTTTTATTTATTCACTGAAGTATTATTGTTCTTTTAATTTTCATAAATTTTTAGTTATTCATGTTATTTCGATTAAAGTCATACATCTTCTGATTTTATTTATTTTGATTGGATAGGTTATTCATATTGTTAAATTACTTATAGAACTTATAATTAAATAGGTTCTTTTTAAATTACTTTTTATTTACGTTTTGTTACTTGATGTTAATCCTAAGTTTAAATTTCAAACTAAATTTACAATCCTTTCCATGGTTATTCTGTTTCGGCTGATTATCCAACTATTTAAGATTACTCTTAGGAAAAATTTTAAAGAATTATAATGTAAGCTTCAATAGTGATTATAGATCCTTATTGTTCGACTTTTTTCTTAGCATTGATCCAATCCAAGAATTGGCTTTCTAATTCTTTTATTCTTTCATTAATTTTTTGTATCTTCTCGATCTATTCTTGCTTCAATTCTTTAGTTTTTTGTAATTCTTCAAGATTTGCTATATATCCTTGAGTTTCTTCTAGAGATTTCTGACTTTTTTAGCCGAAAAAGTTAAAATAAAAGTCTTTTTCTTCGTTTTTGAATTATTCCCAGATTGATTTTTTCTTTTATTATTTACATTCTTTCACTGTGTTTTATTTTCGAAAATTAAAAAAATATCAATAATGAAGACTAATGTTATCGATTTATAGAGCATTCTACCTCAAATTTCAATTAAACATAATAAAATATTAAGATGATCTCAGTTAAAAGTTTAAGGCAGCTTGAATTAATTGGAATAAATCATTAGCATATTATAATAAATTATTCATTATCTTATTAGTTTGAATATTATTTTAACATATCTAATAAGCTGATGAGAAGAGGACTGGGGAGTATTTTTAAGGCATGTTCTCTTATCCCTATGCTTACTTATAATGGCCAAACAATTAAGGATACAAGTCATAGAAAGACGAATATATTCCTATGATTATTATTAATAATAATTAGTTCTTCTTTAGATGTCAATGACTTATCAGATTTAGCATAAAAAAATATGCCCTATTCAGATTTTTTTTAATAGACTCGAATTCAGAGTATTTTATTTAAGTTTAATGAATGTATATCCTAACTCTTATTCTCATTACTATAATATGCATAAATATAATTTAATAAGGCATCATTTAGATTTTCATAATATTCTAATTGCGTCATGCCTTTGTTTTAAGTGAAGTAGATTGAACCGCTGAATCCATTCTTTACTAATTGCTAAATGGCTTAAAATTAGGGTTCCGCATATTGCTTTGCTCTCAGAACTTTATCAGCTATGCAAACGAACAAAGCAATCTTGGCTAGTTTATTTTTTTTGAGTTCTTTTTAGAAGAGCCAAAAAATGTGAGAGCTGATTTAAATGTGATTTGCACAAAAAATAAAACAAATTCACTTTGATCATCACAATATCAGTTTAGTAATTTGTATAGGTTTAAAATTAAAATACATCTTAGATTTCTTACCCCATTATTATGTTTTAAAAACTAGTGTCTAATTCAAATAAATATAAAGGATTAATTCGGGAAAGAAAAAAAATGAAATTTCAGAATTTTATATTTGGTTGAATAAGAAATTCAAATAGTTTGAAGATAAATAAAAAAAATGATATCATTTTTAATTTATACAAATTATTAATTAATATTATTTTTTAATTAAAATCATAGATGATCTCTGGATTTTTTATTTTTTTTTCTTTTCTTTTTTTAATTCTTTTTCCATTTCTCTCTTTTTTTATTTTTCCTATTCCAAAATTTCTTATTTCTTCATCTAAATCTGACAATCTAGATTATTAATTCGCTTCTTTTCTTTTTAAAAATATCTCTTCACAGTTTTTCTATAATTTAAATAAAGTTTACACTGATATTACTAGATTATCCCTTATATTATTTGCCAATAAATTTACTAATAGCATCATAATTGAATCTTCCAATTAATTTAGAATAACTAAAGTTATAAAAATATTTCATCTTTTAGTTTCTAGAACAAGCTACGAAATTGGGTAATACCTCATTAGAAAAATATCAAATTTTAATAATAATTCATCATGACAAGAAGTATCTATGAAAAGAAAAGATGCTTATTTTACTCAATGAGTATTTTTAATTTTATCTAGTATTACCAATTAATATTCCCATTTTGTTAAAATATCATCATGTTTCACATGTTTATGATCTCCCATTCAATAATGCTATATAACATAATGTTTATTTCTTTTCACAATTTTCTTCTATCACTACAATTATTTGAGGTAAAACGTTTATGAACCTTTGTAATAATTTCACCTGAATTCTTTAATTAAGAATTATGACAGTGAAATAAATAATAGCTAGTGGAGAAATTTAATTTGGCTTGTCACATTCTTATAAAAAAAAATATATGAGGATCATATTTTTTAACTAATTTTTAGCTTTTATTATTTAATGGATGACACATTCCATGAAACGATCTTGATTTAACATTCTGTGTTAAGCTTGAGACACTATTGTTCATATTGCCAAGTTAAAAAGAAAGTGTCTAGCTTTTATACTCGGTGGGGCTTAGCTAAAACCGCACTCATCCATGTCTTTATAAAATTTAACTTTATAAATTATGTGAACTATTTTCTGGGATTTTATTTTTATGTTGTTTTTTCATATGTATTTTACAATCCTACAAGTTAAAAAATTAAATCTCACAAGAAGTGAACTTTTCACCGCATTAATAAATAATCTCTTCATCACTATTAGTATTTTCAATTTCAAATTAGAAATTAGTATTCGCTTAAATTTAATTACTTCTTTTAGGTGTAGAAAAGGATACTTTCTTGAAAGAATTATGTATCTATTCTATTAATTTATCTTAAATTTCATGCATTTGATTTACTTTTTCTTTATGTATTGATTTCTACACTGAGACTCTAATTTTTGGTAGACTTTGTTAAAATATGCTTTTATAATTAGATTTATTTTCTGATTATTTTAATTTAAAACCTTTTGAAAATATTGTCTTAGGCATTTATCTTGATGAATCTTTGGATTGATCAATTATTATTATTTATTAGAGTTTTTTTTATGAATAACATTGAATATTTAGGAATTTTTTTGATACAGAAAAAATTTTTTAGTATAAGTATTGAATCCATATCTAGAGTATTTCTTTTTCTATGGATGGTCTATAATAAATTAATCTAAAGTTTTTCTGCTAAATATATCAACATTTTTGGNAAATAAATAATAGCTAGTGGAGAAATTTAATTTGGCTTGTCACATTCTTATAAAAAAAAATATATGAGGATCATATTTTTTAACTAATTTTTAGCTTTTATTATTTAATGGATGACACATTCCATGAAACGATCTTGATTTAACATTCTGTGTTAAGCTTGAGACACTATTGTTCATATTGCCAAGTTAAAAAGAAAGTGTCTAGCTTTTATACTCGGTGGGGCTTAGCTAAAACCGCACTCATCCATGTCTTTATAAAATTTAACTTTATAAATTATGTGAACTATTTTCTGGGATTTTATTTTTATGTTGTTTTTTCATATGTATTTTACAATCCTACAAGTTAAAAAATTAAATCTCACAAGAAGTGAACTTTTCACCGCATTAATAAATAATCTCTTCATCACTATTAGTATTTTCAATTTCAAATTAGAAATTAGTATTCGCTTAAATTTAATTACTTCTTTTAGGTGTAGAAAAGGATACTTTCTTGAAAGAATTATGTATCTATTCTATTAATTTATCTTAAATTTCATGCATTTGATTTACTTTTTCTTTATGTATTGATTTCTACACTGAGACTCTAATTTTTGGTAGACTTTGTTAAAATATGCTTTTATAATTAGATTTATTTTCTGATTATTTTAATTTAAAACCTTTTGAAAATATTGTCTTAGGCATTTATCTTGATGAATCTTTGGATTGATCAATTATTATTATTTATTAGAGTTTTTTTTATGAATAACATTGAATATTTAGGAATTTTTTTGATACAGAAAAAATTTTTTAGTATAAGTATTGAATCCATATCTAGAGTATTTCTTTTTCTATGGATGGTCTATAATAAATTAATCTAAAGTTTTTCTGCTAAATATATCAACATTTTTGGATAGAAAAAGCCTTATTCCATCAATTGGATGCATTAATTATCATTATTATCATTAACAGCTTATTTAATATAAAAACCTCTAAATAAAACTAATATTTTTATAAACCTTCTAATGTATTTTCTTAATTTTCTTTTTCAGGATATTCCACCATTGAATCATTGTTCTATTACATCGATAAAAAATATAAAATAATAAAAATTTACTGAATCATATTGTCTCTTGATTTTGTTGTAAAGCATCCATGCTTTTTTCATTTTGTAAATTATATTTCTTAAAGTAGTGGTTTAAATATCCTGCTACACAATTCTTCAATCAATTGATCATTGATTTAGCTAACGATTCGGTGGATCTAATATATACTTATAGAAGTTAAAGAATGTTATGATTTTACCAATTCCATCCAAACATATGTTCAATAGCATTTAATTTAGCCGATAGGCTGGAGTGAAAATGCATGGAATTCTGCTATATATGTATTTCATTTCAAGTGATTTATACACAGAACAATTAACCATGGCTAAAACAAATTAATCTTATTAATAATAACCTTGAGCTTTATTTATAATTGAAGTTATAAAGTCTTAAAAAATATATGCTTTACAAGTTCCTTCAAAAATCTAAGAAAACAGGAAATTGTTAAAACCAAAATTATACAGCAAAAATTTGAAAATTGAAATTCTATGCGAGGTTTTTTTAAAAAGAACCTAGTATATGCCATAATTTATGATTTGATTTTGAGATATTTCCCTATGAACATTCATCTATGAATATCAATTTAAAATTTTGTTGAATAGAAATAAACTTTTTTGATTCCTCATTTTTACCATTTTTTTCAAAAATTACAAAGGTTTCAACGAGAATTCAATATCTTATATCTTTCGAAATTATTAGATACTTAATTAACTATTTGGATATTTGGCAATAAAGGCATTTCTAAATGATAATGAATTAAGTAAATAGGAGTTTGATTCTTTTTGAGCTTGTTATTTTATCCAATTATTTTCATTTATTGACAATTAAATTTACATTTTTGAAGCAATTCTCTCATTTATCATTTTATTTGTTCTGTCATCTCTAAAATCCCTTTAAAATCTTCTAATTTCTTGGCATGTTTAATAAGATAAGAATTCTCAGATAAGCATACACTAAATGAAAACAGAATAGCTAAGAATCATTAGAAATTCTAGAATAAATAATTTATGTGTTTTGTATTTTATAAGATAATTTTATAAATTATTTGATGACTCTTCAAAAATTAAATATAAACATACTATGACAACTTTTATTAAATAACAATTGAAATTTTAGATTCTCAATCACCTAAACTATTTTAAATGATTTGAAATAAGTAAATAGTATTTTGTTTAATAAAAATATTATTTAATGTTTTCAACTGATCCTAGATTCCAATAACAATTCGGTCAATAAACTAATCAAATTTAGATTTCACCTAGATAAAATCAATTTGTAATATAATCAATTTATTATAATAGGTTCAATCTCCGAGATAATTTTAATAATCTCCTAGATAATTTTAATAATCTCCAAGGTATAACAATGCCTAGATGATTTCTCCTTAGCAAAAATAATTAATAGTTATCATTATTATAAATTGTTTAGGGATCACCTCAATCGCAACAATTGAAATAGCTTCAATTACAATAAAGTCCAATAATGCCAACTAGTATGAAATAATAAAATCCTATAAACATATAAAATCCTAAAAACATTAGATCAACAAATTAACCTTAAAATATTGCTTAAACTCAAAGTCCAAAAGTAAATTGATTAATTAATGTATGATTAGACAGCGTAACCTTAAAAATAAGTTTAAGAATTTAGACATGTAGAAAGACCTTTGCAAGTAATAACTGCTGATGGTAAGAGTTCTAATCAATTTTAAAAGAAATTGAAGCTCCCTGGAGATTAAAATGCTCAGCCTTAGAAAGATAAATTTTAGAATTGCAAATACAAATTAGAAAAGACAATGGAAAAATTATTGAGGAAAATGTATAAGAAGTGTAAGATGATACAAAAGTTAAAAACTTATAAAACTAAAAGTAAGAATTAGAAAAAAAGATTTCTGATGATGAAGAATTTATACAACAATAAAGATAAAAGTTGGAAGAATTATAATAAGAATATGAAATTACAATAACAGAAAAAATTTCATATGCATCAAATGAAGTAGAAACGTGGATCAAAAAATACTCAAATCTAGAAAAAAACTATAATGATAGTTAATAAAAAATATAAAATCTTAAAAAATAATTAGCATAAGTGGAAGCAGCTGATAAAGCTATATAGGATTAAAAGAGAATGGAAACTAAATAAGAAGTCAGAAAAAGTTCTAAAATGTATTGAATAATAATACATAATAAGAAATATTTAAAAACCCAAAAAATTATGTGAAGAAATTGTTATAAAAGTGAATTTCAATTTCCCTCTTCTATTGGTTAACCTCCTCTTTTTATCCACCTTACTCTTTTACCATCTTACCATTCTCCTTCTTTTTCCACCTTTGATGAACCTATATAGATTCCTTTGCCATGTTACTTTCCATTTGACCATTCTCCCTTATAAACCTGAAAATATTAATAAAATTCATACTCTTCCATCAGGCCATTTAAATTCACCATAACCATGCTTTTTATCATCTTTATATTAACCTTCATATCGTCTTCCATCCAACCAAGTAAAAACCTATGTTTATATAAATAACTATACTCCTTTTCCATCCATTTTATTATTTTTCCATTCGCCAACATATTTTCTACCATCTTCCCAACTATATTCTCCTTATCCTTAAATATTGTTTTAGTAGAAGTCTCCCACATAAATAGAACCATCAGCCCATTTGAATGTACCTCTACCATCTTTCTTTCCGTTTTTATATTGTCCTTAATAACTAGCCCCATCAGGCCAAATTTCTTATCCTTCCCCATTCTATCTATCATCTTCCCATTAACCAATATATTGAGCCCCGTCCATATGAACATATTTTCCCTAAAAATAAAATAAAAATCTTACTTAACCATGAGCTTTATCATTTCTCCACTCTCCTTCATAAATATCACCATCAGAATGAATTAATCTACCTTTTCCACATGCCACATTTTAGTACCAATAACCTTCGTATAATGATCCATCCTACCAAATTTATTTTCCTCTACCATGTCTCTATCTAGATATATAAATCAAATAAATGTTACCCATTCTTCCATTAACCTATATAAACGCTTCCATTTTCAAATTCATATGGACCCAAATGTGGTAAATCTTTGTATTCCTCTTAATCTTAATCATAAACAAACTCATCCAATTTCTCCAAAACCTTTGTATAATTACAATATACCTGTCTGGTTCGATCTGTCAAAAAATCAGGTACCTTCTCAATTTTTCTTACTCTGTCATTTGGAGCATGTTAATTGGCTCCAGCACTTTATTCTGGACCCTTTGTATAGATGGCTTCTTTAGCTGTCACAGATGCTTTATCTTCCTATAATTGATGGTTTTCCATTCTTTTAGGTTCAAGACTTTATTTAATACACTTATCTGAAACTTGTTCTGAACTCTTTTGAGTTTCTTTTATTTTCTTAACCTCTTCTCTTGCCTTATGACCTCTTATATGTGCTAAACAAGATTCCAAACTGAAATTACCTTATATTTTTGTAGCCTTTTCCTTAACTAAATTTTCATCCAGTTATTCCTCCCCTTTTTTATCAGGATCTTACTATTGACCTGCCCCTAAATTTATCTGTGTTTTTTGTTCACCACACCAAGCTTGTTATCCAGTACAACAACTTCCCATAATCTGTTATTCTGTAATTTATATAAAAATTATATTAAATTATATAAATTTTGCATCTAAATCATTCTTACTTCATGATTACTTAACCAAGTGATTAAATAAATTTATAATTGATTTAGAATTAATCAAATCTCCTTATAAATTATTAACTTAAAATCCAAAAGAAAAATTATCAATCAAGATTCAATAATCGTAAACTCTCCTCCTTTCCTTATCCATCTAACTCTCTTCCCATCAATCCATTCTCCTTCCTTCTCAACCTTTGATTTCCCTATATAGATCCCTATCCCATGCTGTTTTCCATTCTACCAATATCCTTTGAAAATCTTGTATTTATTCGATAGATACCCTTCCGTCTGGATAAAATAACACGCCATATCCTTATTTAACACCATTAACATAATCGCCTTCATACTTCTTGCCATCTTTCCAATAAAAAGTCTATAAATATAAGAATACCAAACTCACCCCTTTTCCATGCATCTTATTGTTTTTATACTATCCAACATATCTCTTTCCACCCACAATCATATAATCTCCATGACCTTCAAATCTATTCTCTTAAAACTCTCCTTCATAAACTGATCCATCAGCCTCTCTTAAGATTCCAAATCCATTCTTTTATCCATTCTTGTAGTCTCCTTCAAAAGTTGCTCCATCCGGCCAGAATTCCTTTCCTTTTCCATGCTATTTATCATTTTCCCAATATCCTTAATACTTAGCTCCATTCTAATGAATGTAAGTACCCTACTATTAATAATTAATGATATTACAAAACCATGAACTTTATCATTTTTCCAATCTCCTTCATAAATATCTCCTTGAGCCAATAACAATCTGCCTTTACCATGTTAACAATTATTGAACCAATATCCTTCATAATATGATCCATCAATCCAAAATTATCTTCCTCTCCCATGTTTTTAACTTCATAAATTAAATCAAATACCAATTATTCCATTAACCTTCATATATAACATCACCAATCAACAATGGTTTCGAAAAAGGATACTCAACGAACTAACCATCTTAATCGAAATTAAATGGATCCAACTTATCAAGAACCTTTGATAGAAGGATCATTTATTACAATTTTTATTTTATCGGAGTACTTTGAGCTGATATTAACTTCTTTTACATTAAACACAGGAATATGCTATTAACCATCAATGTTAAATTTTAAAACATTTTATTTGTTATTAACATTTTCCTTTTGATTTGATCTATATTGATAAATGAAACTTTCATCAGATGTCTATGCTAATTACTTTGTCTGTTATTTTTTCATTTTTTTTCTTACTTCATAACCTCTAAAAAATTCTTAGATTCATTATTTTAGAAACATACTCTATATCTATAAAGCCTTTTTATTTAAAAGTGCAAAATCAAATTTGGATGGATCTTAGTAGATCAAATCGTAACTCGCTATCTAAAAATTCGCATTTGTTAGATTATGACCTCCACAACAATTTCCCATTAATAATATTTTTGGAATAAATAATAGTAAATTAATTAAGATAATAATATTCAATAGGCGCATCCTTTAATTGAAAGCCACTTTATTTCTTTGGCACATTAATAAAATAGAAAGTAAAAAGGAAAGACGAGGATTACTATTAACAAGATTAATAATTCTGCTAATAGAAAATATATGCATTTCAAAAGACTAATATAATTGAGTAATTTAATACCATAATTTGGGTTATTATGATTTGCACATTTTCTTATTGAGTTATACGAAAGGTTTTACTATTGATTTACAGGCTGCTTTCAAAGTCAATTTAACAATTAGTAGTGGACCTCTAAAAATATAAAGTATCACTCTTGGAACAAAGTATATTTTCCTCATTTTATCAGGATTTTTAATTACTTCTGTCGTTTTAAAACGACCATTTGACCAAACTTCTATCAATAGAATAAATTACTTGCACATCCTCTGTATGACCAATATCTATAATGATATTAATGATATGGTTATAAACAAACCCAACAAAATTAAAATAAACAATTAGTACAAGTCATATGGTTACATCCAGCATTTTTTTAAATGTGTGATTTACATTTAGGACAATACTTTATTAAATATTTTGCCAAAGCTAATTTAAAGTCACCTTAAATAGCATCCTAAATGAAACATAGGGTATACTTCACATAACATTCCTTAATGTGCAATTTGGCCACAATTAAAGCAGATCAATTAACCACATTGACATTATATTAAATTAGTTCTTGGATCTTTTTCAATAAAACGATCACAGCCTTTTGCTGGACACCATTTTTTATTAGGATCATTTTCAATTTCATATTTTCTCTTAAAAATTAAATATTATTGAAATTTCTATTCACTAACAAGTGATTTTATAATATTTTCTGAGAAAATGGTAGAACAACCTTCTTATAAACATGGAATATTATTTATTTTTGCAATTTTGATTCTATCTTCTAAATATTCTTTATAACAACTCCTATTGATATATAATAAATAATTACTCACAAAACATATGTTCACATTCTAAAAGTTTAACAATTTTTTCAAAATTTGCTCTACAAATAGGACAATTTTCATTTTAATCATCTTATTGAATATTTAAATCTTCTTATGGATTATTTTCTTCAAAATTCTATTTTCTTTAATAAGCTGGAATTAAAATATAATGTGCTATTGGTTTTTATTCTTTTTATTAACTTTTATATTTACCTATTCTAGCACTTATCCTAGCATCTGAATTATCATCAAATTTAATAAGTGAAATGGATTTTTGACTATTACTCTATTTAATAATGTTTTGTGGAATATCTATTTAAATATGAATATCATCCTTTTGTACAACCTCTTAAGAATCTAATCTTTTTGTATTGTAATCATTCTTTTCATCAGCTATTTATAAGTGAGAATAGCTAGCTGAATCTAAATCATTTTTTTAGTTCTCGAATTAATTTTCATTTACACCTTCTTTAAGCTATGTTTCTACTTAATGAGAATGCTATTATATAGTCTGATCCTCATAATCAAATTTGCAGATTTAAATGATATCATTATCATTAAAATTAATAATATTATCATTGCAATTAAGATTAGAGGATACTTGATTATCTTAATCTTCAATATTGTTTTATTTTTAATTTTATAATTGTGATTCTCTTTGAGATATTGCCAGCATAGTTTCTTCTTAATTAATTTTATTTGTTGGTAGCATCAAAGAACTATATATATACACTTTTAATAATTAAATATTTATTTAATATAAAATTATCACTTAATTTAAATATTTATTTTTTCTGATCTTTCCTTAACTTATACTATTCTTATATATCTATCTATCTATATTTCTAATTATCTAAATTCAATAATACTTTATTATATTATTAAATAATTATACTATATTAGAATTCTTTATATAATTGTTATTAAATTAATATTTTATAAAATATGAATTACAAAATTAATAAATAAATAACAATATTTTAATTTTCATTAGAGTATTTATTATTTGAATGCAACCTGAATAAATTGTAGATTAAGAGATCTCTCATAGAGTATTCGAAAATTCATCATAATATCTCTTTTAAGAAAAAACTGTAATTTAATAAACTCCATCAGGAAATAATTTATTTATTGAAATTTCAGACAATAAACAAACAAAAATTGATTTAATTAAAGTTATTGAACCTGATCATAAGCAGGAAATTATGTTAAGATAAACTAAATAAAATTAGAATCGATCAACACCACCATCAATTCATGTATTCGAACCTCAACTTACATTATAAAATTAAAGTGCTAATTAACTTATTGATTCAACAGGTAAAACTTATCTTCAGCAGAGATTATATCAATAAGCAGTCTATAATGGAGAGTTTCATAGTTCAGATAGATCTTAAACTAATTTTTAGTAAGCTATATCAAGATTATAGGAATAACTTACTCAATTAATACAAATCTAACTAATTTTACAAAAGAGATATCTAATGGGTTTATTTCTTGATTCTGATAAGTGTTTTCTAAACTATCTTATACTTTATATATATTCTGAATAATTAAGGATATTAATATTTGGGAAGATGGAATAAAGGGATTGATTTGGATGGTAAGATATTTTGAATCTAAATTAGGCATATTTTGTGGTTATGACAAAGCAGAAAAGTATCCCTTTATATATTTAAATAATCCAATCAAAGAATATTTATATTAAAGAGTTTGTGTATCACAATGTCCAGATGATGATCAGAAATAAGTGGATTGTTTAACTAATCATTTAATTAAATCATGTAATTCTTAGATTAGTATATCAAATCCAAATTAAGATTTCATTATATATTCGACATTTAGATGTAGATATATATATATATAAATATAATTTAGATTAATACAGTATTTGTATTCCAAAGACTATGAATTATTTTTATTAAACATAAGAAGTCTATGATTTTGAGTTGGTATAATCATGTATATCTGATTTATGGGTGATGAGATATCCAATATTTACAACATATTTTGTAATAATATTTCTAAAAATAATATTGGATAAATTGATAAAAATAAGAATGCAAAAAATATATATTTCATGTATTTTACTCATTTTATTGATTGGAATTGCAGGAGTCTATTTTTTTCATTAATTTATCAAATTGATTAATATAGATTCTTTTGATAAGTAAATTTATAATTTATTTCTATATAGTTAAATAGCTACAATGAAAATTGATTATGCCTATGTTTTAGAACATACATCAAAACCAAATCCCACTTTAGCCTTATTAATATCAATAATTCTTGTAATGGTTTTTTACATTATGGCTTATTTATTTTATAAGTTGAATAATCAAATTAAATTATTGTTTATTGGATTGAAATTAATGAGGAAATTTCAAAAATCATAGAAAATGCTTTCAATTTTAATTTTTACAAATTTAATAAAATTTATGATCTTCATAATATACTTTTATACATTGATGGCTACATTATCTCCACCAAATATTTAAACCAATAATGTAATATTTAAGAATGGTTTATCATTTACATAATATTGCTTAGGTGTATATTTAATTATCTCACTAAGATATTGTTATTTTTTTATAGATAATTTATTGAATTTCTTTACAAGTTCTTTATTTTTGGAATGGTATGGATTAGCATTAATTTAATAGAATGAATTAGATTAAACCTAAAATTTTAAAATTCCTTAAAAGAAAACATTAATTTATAATTTGGGTAGTGTAATAGCATAAAGTTCAATTATATTCTTTACAGATTATATTGTTAATGTTTGGAATCTTTTTAGTATGATAAGCAAGAAATTAAGATTAAAATTATTTTTATAAGATTATAATCATTACTCATCATTGAATTAATTTTCAACTATTGTAATTAATTAATTTTTATTAATTAGCTTTCATTAAAGAATTGTACTTTTCAAAATGCAATAGAAATAGTTGAATAATTAAATGGAATGATATTGCCTATTCATCAAAAAAAGATGATTTAAATGTCTCAAGTATATGGATAACTAAATCAATATTTTGTAAGTTTACTTGCTACTATGATAATTTATATTATTTAAAGATTACTATATTCTGATTAGTTATTTTCAATATATCCAGGATTAGCTATGGGATTTTTGATTGGTTTATTTGTATCTCAAACTCATTATGTTGAAATGTAATCAGGGATTTAGAGTTTATTTCACATCTATTTTCTAGATTAAGAGTAATCATTATTATTGGGAATCTTGACATTCTTTAGAAGGAAAGATAAAAAGAAAATGATTTCACATATTGAATAATAAATTAAGGATTTCAAATAATAGATTGAAAAATGAATAGTATATTTATTACTTATATATTTGATAATTCAATAATCTTCTTGAATGACTTCTTGTATAAGACTTTATAAATTTTAAAAAATATATCAAAGATTTTATTTTAATTTATGGGCAAAAAGGAAAAGGGAAAGCAAAATCCATTAGGTGAAGTGAGCAGAGATTATACTATTAATCTTCATAAAGCTGTTCATAAAGAAACATTCAAGAGAAAGGCTCCTCGTGCTGTTAGTCATATTATTAGATTTGGTAGCTTAGTGAAAATTAATAAAATAGCATAAAAAAATATGTTGACAGAAGATGTTAGAGTTGATCCATAATTGAATGAAGCAGTTTGGAAGACAGGTATCCGCAATTTGCCAAGAAGAATTAGAGTCAGGTATAAACATTTGATTTATCATATGCAGACTTTAAAGAAAGAAGAAGGAAGAAGATGATGGAAAAGGAAAATACTATACTCTTGCATAGTATGTTCCAGTTGATACATTCGCAAACCTTAAAACAGAAATCACAAAAGTTTAATGATTTACATAATTGTACAATATAAAATATATAAATAAGTATATTATTTCTTTTATTATATACAAATTAATAAAAATTTTGCAATCACTACATAATTATTCATGTTGTATAAATAAATTAATCAAAAACAGACTCTTATATTTTTAATTAATTAAAAAATATAAGAGTTTTTATACATATTATTATATTAAATATATTATAAAAATATAATATATAAAAATCGAAAATAATAACAAATCATACATTAAATTGATTATTGTTCATTATTTAAAAGAATAAAGTAAAGTGTATTTTTTTATTTTGAATTATAAAAACTAAAAAAGGTAAATATTATTTATGATGAAAACAAGTTTTCTTTATGATAGTCAATAATAAATGTATCAATTTAATTTTTTTATTCTTAAATTAGTTACATTTTTTCTAAACTATAAGTAAAAAATCCATATATAATAATTATTAACTAATTATATGTATCCACTTAAAGAATCATAAATTATTTGAATATAACTCTTAACTAAATGTCAGTAACTGAAGAAGAATTAAGAAAGCATAGCTGAATAATAATTAAATGTTTTTATATACATAATAGAGTAGAATAATTAATAAAAAATTGATCAAACTATTATTAGATCTTATATCATAGTTTGTATCAATTTAAATTGAATCTTCAGATTGATAAAGCTTAGAAATTATGTATGATATTTTTACAAAGAATTTAAAGTAATTAGATTAACTCATGAAAATGAAAAATCAAATTACTCTATTGAAACACTAAAGGACTTAATTGATATGATTAAAATTTAATAAATCAATAATATATTACATTTATATGATTTTTTATAATTAATATGTTCAGAAATCTAAGATAATAGTACTAAAAAGATCTTGATTACCATTTTTTGAAAGAATTTAATAAATCCTCTATGAATTTAAGATGCAACAATCAGAAATCTCCTTTTGCAATAAAAAAATAGTTATCAAAAGTTAATATAGCATTGTAATCTCAATTAAATAAGTTATTTGATTATAACGAAAAGATATCGAAATTCTAAAAGTATTCATGAAGTTATAGATAGAATAAAATATTATGTTAGATCTAGAAGTTCCTAAAATTCTTAAGAAGGTCATCTAAATAAAAGAATTTCACATATTCTTTTATCTTTACCTTTTCATTCCATTAAAATGCATTAAAGAGTAGGTATAAGATAATTATGGAGAAAATATATATTTATCATAATTTTTTTATTGAGATACTAAAAACAACGATAAGAAAAATTAAAATTAAATCTATAGAATAGACATATTTAATTAGGAACTCCTAAGATTCATCTTGATGCAACAAAAAAAAGAAGAAGAAATGCTGATAGTTAATTTAAATTATCTACATTTGCAGAATATATTGATGCTTAAGATAAATAAGAATCTAAAACAAAAAGATCAGAAGATGAAAAATTTAAGAAAAGTCCAGTTTATTAATCATTTAAATATAATGATGTTAGGATCTGCAGATTATTGAGATTTCGTAATAATAGTGTTCTTACATCAAATGCAGAATCCCCATTAAAAATTAATTAATAAGTTATCAAAAATAATAAATTACCTCCTTTATTATAAATAGACAGAAGGATGTAAAGAGTGTATTCAAATTTAGGTAAATGATCCTATAAAATTTGTATATTTTTTATATAAATCTTTCAATAGAATAATAGTAATTAAATAAAATCAATAATATTTTAATTTTTGATTATCACAAAAAATAATCTATTATTCTAAATGATAAGTCATCAATATATGATTATAACTAATATAAAAATAGTCTAAAACATTTCTATTATAAGTTTAGTTTTTAAAGTTGATTATATATATAATTTTCAGAATCTTTAAATTCTTGATTGTGATTATACTAGAAATATTAAGAATATAAATGCATTCATTTGACCCAAATTGTAGTCTAAACAACTTTAAATGTTTAAAAAGAAGAGTATTTCTATATTTATGTATTTTATTATAATTCATCTTCACTATGAAAGAACTTCTTTTAAAATCTTAGAAATATTATTCTTTTATTCAGATTCTTCAGCCATACTCTCAAAGTTCATACCATCTTTACCAGTTTGCATTCTCAAGATCATTCTCTCTGGTTTTATTGGTTTTAATGGTTATTGTGGTTATGGTTGATCATTGTTTTAATTTCTTTGATCATTTTTGTTGTTTTATTATCCATTTTTATTATCTTTAGATTCATTTTATTGAATCAATTTGTCCATGATGATTTAAAAAATTATATTAAAAATAATGATATTATCATATTTTGCTACTGCTTTTGAATCACAGTTTAATAACAATAATTCCATTTAAATTTCATAATTTTTATATATAAGATAATTTAAACAACTTTTTCTATTATAAAAATAATATAAATAGTATTATTCATACAAAATTTAGTTTATATATATGTAAAAGATGTAAAATATTTATAAACTTATATTATTTTGAAATAAATTTAATATTCATATATGATTCTTTATGATAACAATTTAAGAAAATCTCTTATTAATAAGGTTGTGGATTAACTTCATAATGCATAAATAGAGGCTGAAAAGGTACATTTAATGAAAGAACTATTTAGTTAGCAGAAATGAAAATAGATTTCAATTAATTAAATAAGAGATTAATAGAATTTTCATAAGAAGTAATTGAATTATGGAGAAAGGGATATTCTCAGCGAGAGTATTCATTATATAAGGAGCGATTACAATAATTGATAGGAATGCATAAAAATTCATTATCAAAAATAAGTGATTAATCAAGATCAAAAAATACAATTAAGAAATTAAGTAAATAGTCTAGTGAGAATGAATGTAGTATTTAAACTAAAGTTAAATTTCAACATGATTAGGCTTTAATTCCTTAATAAATATAAATATTAAAAGAGGATGATTTTTCAGATATTTCATTTGCCTCTTTGACAAGTAGTAATTCTGAAACAATATAAGAAATTATTGAACATTCAGAAAAAAATACTTAAGGATTTTGTTAAGTTCATAATTGTAGAGAATTAAAAATCATTCGTGAAATATATAGATAAAAAATAGATATAAATGAATTATAGTTAGCATTAGAAGAGATTATTTCATTAAAATCATAAATTAGAATGAAATTATAGAAGGAGAATTAAAAGATTTAAGTTATGCATGAAAGACTTATTGAAGGATAAAATAAACTAAAAAGAATGGAAGAATTTGAAAAAGAATAATTAGAAATGATTAAATAAAAAAGAATGTCATTAAATCTAGAATGATATATTTTTATTTTGTTATAGTTTACTTTTTATTATATATTATTATTTATTTATTCAAATGGGTAAATATAAAAGTAGAAGTAGATCAAGATCACATAAAAAAAAGAAACATAAAAATGAAAAATAAAAAACAAAAGATATTGAAAATGAATCTAAAGATTGGAGAAATGATAAAATTTATGTAGGATAAAAATCTGTATAAGCAGGATTAGATGTTTTAGAAATTATTAAAAAAGAAAGAAAAGAAGATGAAGAAAAATTAGAACAATGGAAAAAGAAAGTTGGATATACTGGATTAAAAGTCAAAGCACCTTTGAATATTTATGAAGAAGTATAAAATTCAATTAATAATTCTTAGATTATGAAAAAAAATATTGTAACTCCTGTTAAACCAGTAAATCCTTCTTTACTCAATAATCCTTAAGCACCTAGAATGATTGAAATTTTAGTCAATGATAGATTAGGTAAAAAGGAAAGAATCAAATGTTGTCCATAAGATAAGATAGGAGATCTTAAAAAATTAATTGCTGTTAAAATTGGTGTTAGACCAGAAAAAATAAGATTGCAAAAATAACATAGTGTTTTTAAGGATCATATAACTTTAGAGGATTATGAAATAAAACATGAAATGTGCTTGGAAATGTATTATAATTGAATTTTGTTTTCATTCAATTTATATCTCTTAATAGATAATTAAGTTCTTCAACTGATTGATCTTACTTATTCAATAGAGGATGAGAACTGGATCTTTATAGGATACCTTTTTCATTAACAATCAATTCTTCAATGGTTTTATTTCTAAAAATAATATTATAAAAATATAAACACTCTTTCAGCATAACAAATTGAACCATGTATTGTTGACATTTATGGTAATCCTTAATTTTTTTATTCTAATGAATCTGAAAGAATTTAAATAGTTTAAGGATTACTAATTAGTTTTCTTTATTGTTATTATTATAAACTTTTGCTTTTTTACTTTAATTTAATGTCTTCTTATTTAATCATTAAATAAAACGAGTAGCTTATAATTAAAACTAGAATGAGTCCAACTAATTCTTGATTAAGTAGGATAACTTAACAATATTCATAAATCTCTTAAAGTTGGTTAACAAATGCTTATTTTGCTAGTTCCCAATCAGTGATCTAATCGATTAATATAATATCATTCTATTTTTAAGTAATTTTGTTCTAATAATATATCAAATTGTTAACATCAATTAAGTTTTCATTTGAATTTGATTCATCAATCTACATAAATTTCTTAGGAATGGCTGTTACGATTCCAAGAATGCTAATGAATAAAAAGAGTTAATTCATATAAGAAATAAATGTTATTTCATATTTTTAATAAACAAATATATAAATATCATAATTACAATCCAAAATTCTTTTGAAAATTATCTACTATAAAACTTTATCATAAGATAATATACCCATATAATCAAAAGTAATTATACTTATAATTTATTTGAAATTTATGAAATCAATCAAAAATATATGTTAAATTTATTTGATCTTAATAAAGACATACAGAAAATTTATCATTTTTATTGATATTAATAATTTTAAAGAGTTACTATTTTTTCAATTTGAGAATATATGAAAAAATATTTATATTTTATTCATATTAAAAATAAATAATAAGTTTTATTGAAGATTGGATATATATAATCCATTCTAAGTTTTGAATTTACTAAATTAAATGTACATGTTTTTATAATATGTGTTTTCAATATCCTAACTTCTCCAATTCTTAATTGATTGTAGTAAGTTCTTTAGCTCCGATGGCTTTTCTTCTAAGATTTTCTCTGGCAATCTTTCTCTTATAATAGGCAGCACCTCTAATGGAAGTGTTAAAATGGACGATACCTTTGCTTTCTCTTTTCTTCAAGTCTGTTAACAACAGATTATGAATTCCATCCAACTGATGCACATAAGTCACCTAAAGTGCAAAATGGTCTATGATTCTTAAGTCTAATCAATTTGAGAGCATCTGGAATGACTTATCTCTTTCTTGTATCATATGGAGGTGGTACTCCTTCAAATAATTTTAATCTTTCTAAAGCAGCTGCTCCTCTCTTTGATTTATATTGAAGCATGCCTCTAACAACTTTCCAAAAACATCTTGAAGGTGTTCTATAATGTTTATATCCTCTTCTTGGATTGAATGCCATTCTTTTATTAAGGTATTCTTCAAAGATAACTCTGTTTCTGAAAAGAGAACCTAGAATATTGTGAGATGGATACCAGATTGTTAAATCAATTCAGTTCTAACGACAACGATTCTTTAACCTCTTTACAACTCTTTAGCAATGTAAGAGGCTAGACGACCTTGCAAATGTCCTTTGCCATCGATTACAATTTCTTTTTCGAACATTAAATTTTAAATAAATTTTCAAATCATTTCATCCATACATTACTTTATTAGCTAAGTACACCAATCATAATGTGGTTTGATCATTTTCTCTTGGTCATAATGTGGATTGTCCATCATCAAATACAGGATTCTAATATTATCAATCATTCCATTAATCAAATCAATTAAATAAAGAACATCTTAAGTATTATTAACTATTAGAATAGATTTCTAATTGTCAACTACATAACAAATTTGAGGTAACTTAAGTAATAATTATTCTACAGGTAGACGTTTCAATTTATATGAATTATCTAATTATTCAAATCTTATTTCTTTAGCTAATTTCTATTTTGATTTAATAATAAAAAAAATACTTTAGTTTAAATTTATTAACAATATGGAATCAAAAATGCTAAATCTTAAGCACTTAATTAATTATTAATTTTGATTTTATTCCACCATTCATATGCCATAAAATTTTTATGTGCTCTTTTCAAAGTTTCCAAAAGACTCCCTTCAAATGTTTATAAGAATTATTAAATATTTGGACTATTAATTAATAGATTAGCAACCAAAGATAATTATTTTGATCCTTATTATTATTCATCCAATTCTAATTCAATAATATTTGTATAATCAAGTAATTCATTAGATCCTAATAAATTTAAATATAGAGAAACTTAAAGTTATTCTGATTTCTATATTATATGTTAATTATCATAAACATAAAATCCATGTAATTTATTCAAATAATATATTCTACTATTTGATAATATAAATTTAATAAATCCATCTATCTTAATCCAATCCAATACAAAACCAACTGATATTCTATATAAAAATCTATCTATCTTTGGATATTAATGATTAAATTTCTAATATATCTTTGAATATCCATTTATAAGCATATATAAATCTATCTATAATTCATTCTTCTTCCATTCTTATTCTATTAATTCTGAATGAAACTTTTCTAATTTCTAACATGTAAAATTCTCTGTACCCTTTTCTTCTTATGGTAATTCTTCTCCAGGTAAACAATATGTCTTTTCAAATATAAATGGAAATTTAAATGATAATAGAGCAACCATCTTTATTATTGATGGATTATCTTTCTTTCTTAAATAATTTACTCTTCTAATAAAATCTGAACTTTAAACATTAAAATTCATATGTTTTAACATATTTTCATTATAATATAAATGTAAATCAACTTAAGACATAAGACTCTTTGCATCTTCTTCATTTAATAATTAATTATTCTTTTTTAATTCATCATCTATAATTTAATCATCCATATCATCCATTTTAATATCATCTCCTAAAATTATTTCATAATTTGATTATTTCAATACTTTCTTATAACCTTAATTAATTAAATATAAATATTCTTTCTCTAAATCTAAACTTCCTTTCAATTCTGATTTCTCCTTCATTCTAAATATATATAATGGATTTGATTATAAACGACTCTTACTTTAATTTAATATCTTTTCTAAAATTGGTTTAGATTATGCAATTTATACATCTCCTGATACTTTCATCTTTTTAACATATTTAATCAATTATGTTTATATATAATTTTTATAAAAATCCTTTATTAATTCTAAAAATGCTTTACCTTCCCTTTATAAAAAATCACCTTATTAATTTTAATCAATATTTAATTTCTTAGGTTTAACAACACTGAAATTTAATTTAAAGAATTTCTCTAAATGTTTTACAAAATCAAATAATTAAATATCTTAAGGTGGGAATTCCTACATAATAATAGTTTCAATTGCTTTAGAAACTGTAGAAAATTAATCAGGTTAATCTTCTTTCTTAACTTTTTTATTTGCTTAATCTTAACTTCTTAATCTAAGTAAATCATTAACAATTGAATGTTCATATATATTATGTTTAGTCATAAATATTTCTTCATAAAGTGGTGATAATCTAACATTATAACAACCACATAAATCATTTTTTATCTTTTAAGCTACTAAATTTCTTATTATTGACCATCTTGATAATATTCCAAATTAATGATTTAAATTAGCAGCTATATCACAATTTAAATTGTATAAAAACACTTCTAAAGTTTGATTTGATAAATGTACATAAACTAATAAACTTCTATGATATAAATCAATAGGATCATTTTTCTTTTATTTTTGTGAAGCAAAATGTTTAACACCATCTAATAAAATAGCTTATTCATAATCTTAACCATCATTAATAATATAAACCATAGAACTATGATCTAATTAAACACTAGGTTAAATTGAAAATTGCTATTCAAATTATTAAGAGAGTTATGGATTTATTCCTTTCTTATCAAATTCTACTATTATCTTATTTTTTAATTAACCCATTACATTATTCCATAAAATTTCATCATAATATAATGGATATACAAAATGATGCATTTTAAAACTATAATGTTTCAATTATTTAAATGTTTATTATATTTCTTAAAGTTAATCTTTACTTTTTCCTCTTAATTATATTATCTCAATTTAATATTCCAATTCTACCTATCTAACTAATGCTGCAAAATATTCTTTAAAAGCATTCCATTCTAATTATCCCCTTGAAATTACATCAATTATCAAGAATTTCTCATGATAATTTTTACTAATATCATAACAAACTTCACTTCTGGAAGTTCTAGGTCCTTAATAAAATTGAAGAGGAGGTAATGAAGCAGGAATATATAATAAATCTTCTTATTGAATACATTTAGGTTATTTTGGAAATTAGTAGGAAGTTATAATTTCACCATCAACTTAATATAAAAAATTTAATAAACACAATCCTTAACCAAAAAAATTAGACATATTTACATTAGGAGAATAGACTACTTTATATTTAGAGAAAATGAAAGAATTTTCATGTTGATCAACAATATATCTTAAATCATCTCTTTGTGCATCAAATTTAACCTTTTCCTATTATTGAACTTCATATTTACAAAAAGTTTTCTCTAAATTATGTCTCATAAATGTAGAAAATGCTAACATATCTTTAATATTATTATTTAATAAAATCTCTATATGATTATGTTCACCTTTTTAAATTAAATAGAATTCTTATTCTTTCAATCTAGGATTTCTAATAACACCTTAAGATAATGCATTAATAGTATCTTCATCCATATTTCTTTTGATATGTTCATAATAATAATCAATATCTTAAATAATCTTCTTTTGATTTTTATTAGTAGAATAAACATTCATTATTATTGATAATTAACCAGGTATAATATCAGAACATAATTCAGGATATCTTTCAGCATAATTACTTATATTTTTTACATTCTAAAAACTGAATAAATAATATTATTTATCTAATTATCCATAATATTAATTAGAATCTATTTAATGATTCATTAAAATAGTATTATTGATTAAATATTAAATGAATGGTTTTTTAGGTTGATAAGGATGAAACACTTTCCAACCAACAAATGGTATTTTATACTCTTTACTTTCTTGTACTTTAGTTTCAACTATAGTTTTAGTTTTCCACATATTTCTAGTATGTACATTTTTCTATTAAGTAGGAGGAGGTATTGGATTTTGACTTTATTTAATTTATTCTAAGGCTGGAGTTTCTTCATCTATTTCAAAATAAGGACTTAATATTAATTTAACTTTATTTGTAGATTCAGTTGCTTTTCTTATAATTAAATATAATAATGTTCTTTCAATAGTTTCTAATATTAATTCTCTTAATTCTTCTGCTGTTTTCTTTAAAGATTCAAATTAATATTCAGAATACCATACAATAGAAAATTGTTATTCTTAAACTCTAATTATAAACCAGAATGGAATCACTTATTATTCATCTGCTAAAAATTCTTTTTCTAATTCAAATTCTTCAAATTAAGGCATATTACAATTTTCTGTTGTTAATATAAATACATAATATTCATCTGATAAATTTATATATTTCAATAATTAATTTAATTCTGAAGTATTTTTAATTTCTTCAGAAAATTATGATGCAAAATGTTTATCAAATTTTTTATCTGATTATTTATATTCTACAAATTTATTATCCATTCCTTCAATCATTATATATATTAATTTTATATTATCTTCATTCATAGGTAATAATCTTTATATTTCTAATTAAAATTTCTTCATAAATTCATTATTATATTTTCTAAAAGGATCAGACCATCTTTAAATCTTTCTTTTTATTGATGTTAATTCATCAGTAGAACTAACTTAAAGGAAATCTAAACCTTCATTCAATATCTTAATTAAACTTCTTTTATCATAATAATAAATAAGATAAGAAATTGTTAATTTTAATCTTTTTTATTTTAATCTAAAATTTTCAATTAATTGTTATATACTTTAATATTCTGCTTCTCCATCCCTAAATTTAACACTTAAAAATAAAATATTTTCATTTTTCTCTTATTTATTATCATAAAAATACCATTACTAAGAATCTTCTATTTATTTCATACTAATTTTATGATCATTCATTAATTTTTATAATCTCTCATCCCATTTTTAACATTATTTCTATACAAATGATTATTTAATATCATTTAATCTTTATTAATAATTTTATCTTCTAAATTATTTATTTGGACTTGGAGTTTCTTCTGCTATTGATGATTTCTTTTACATTTTTCTTGCTTATTAATCAAATAATAATCTAACATCTTATTAAGCTTAATTCAAATCAACATCAAGTATTTCTATTTAACATCCTTCTATTGCTTCTTATATTTAAGATGTAAATATATTATTCATAAATTATTAATGAACCTCTTTTGCAAATACAGAATTATACTCTTATTATACAAAATTAATTAAAGCATCTACTTTTTTCTCTTAATTAGCATTCAAAAATGGATGAGATGTATGATTTCTCTCTATTTATTCTAATGAAATCAAATAAAATGTTGTATTCTCTAATGTAAATGCAATCATTAACAATCTTTATGGACCAACTACAATAAACAATAAATCTTAATTTATTTAACTCTATTATTTTAAAACTATATGATTTGCTATTTATTGTAATACTTACAAATAACCTATATTCAATCTATTCTTAGATTCTTCATCAATTTATTTTTATTTTATTTCATAATACAAATACCCTTTTTAAAATAAAGAATTATAATCTAATTAATTAGTAGGAGTTGGATAATAAGTTGCTTATGATTAAGCATATTCAATAAATTATTTACTTACTTATTCTTTTGTTTAAAATAGCTTTCCTTATCTTGTTATGAATTACAATGTAAAGAAGTCTACTTAAGAACTATTCTATTTCTTTATTAATGATTATCTATACATACTATGAGCAGTATGAAGTGTTATAACTATTTACTTTTCAAATTCTTTTATCTTATCAAAATATTCTATCAATACATTTCTCTCTTCTGATATAATATTCTCTGTAAATATATTACATATGATTCTATCTTCCTGTAATATTAAATTCTAAACTATTACAATCTTTTATCCCAATTCTAATTATGCAACAAAAAATTTATTAGTTCTATCATTTAAAGATGGTACTCTCCAATAATTTGATTTAATTCTTACACTTGTCAATATTCTATACATCTATTATAAATCCCAAATTAACTCTTTCTTCCATTCCCAACATCTCTCTAAAACATATAAATCTGGATTCTTTTTCAAAAAATGAGTTTCACTCTTTATTAATAAATTCTTTAAAGAATGATCAAATTCTATAAGAGAATTTCTCAAAATTTAATTACTTTTAAAAACTTCCTTTATCCTATTTTATAAGATAGGAAGCATTTTAGAATCATTATATATACATATTAATCTAATTATAGTATGAGAATGCCAAAGAATTCTAATCATTACAAAATCTTACCCTTATTAATATAATAAACAATTCTATAATTGCTTTGTTGAAACCTCTTATAATTTTTAACGAATATAATGATAAAATTAATTTTTGTTGAATTCTTCACCTTCCTCTTAAAATTACCTAAAATCTATAGGTCTTATTAAATAAACTAATGAGATTTATTTAAAATTTCTATTTATAAATTTCTAACTTTCAAAAGCTTTCTTCTTCACCAATATACCCATTCCTTCCTCAATTGATATCTTCTATAATTACATATCCAAAACAATCTCTTACAATTAATCTCTTTCTTTATACATTTCAAACAACATTTTACAATTTATATTTATTTCATTATCCTATTCTGTTTACTTCTTTTAAGGACTCTAAGGTCTATCCATTAATTAATTTCTTTCTAAATAGATAATTACATTATCTTCTCCAATCTAATATAATAATCTCATTTAATCATTGACTCGAATACTTAATGTTTGTTAATTTTCTTCTTTGAAACCTTCTTTCTTTCTCATTTCATACATCTCTTTTGGATATTTATTAATATATTCTCCTACCTATTATCTTGTATTATACACTTATTTATTAATATTATTGATTGATACTACAATCTAATCTATTTCAATCAAAATTCCATTTTTATTTCTTAAATTGATATCATACAATTCACCATTAAGATTTTCCATATAATCTGAAATCACTTATGGATCAATAACTAATTTAAATGATTCATAACCATTCAATTTCTATGATCCTATTAAAACTCCATTAAATGAAAATGTATAACCTTATGTATCCCATAAATCAAAGGCCAAGAAACCTCCATAACTGAAATTAGTAAAATCACTAAATATTATGTATTTTTTGTTGTTATATGGTTATTAATAAGATCTCAATTAAGATATAGTCATATCAATAGCTTATTGTATAGTTTTCTTAATATATATATTTTGATTCGAATAATGATTGCGAATATATTCAGCTATAAGTTCAATTAAAAGTGGTAAATTAGTTGTAGGGTGATTTCTAAGAAATGTAATAACACTTTCCTCTTTGATTATAAATATACTCAATAATTAATTAGTAAGCATCTTAATGAGAGATGTTAATGATTCAATAAGAAATTCATATTTGAAATCTAATGATGTAAACATTTCAAATTTGGCTAAGGAAGGTGACAAGTCTAATAATAAAGTCACATGAGTGCAATTATTATTCATTTTATATTGATTAATTAATTTAATATTATCTAAAATGAATAATACTTATTTGAGTTCTAATAATGATATAACTTAGATTGATTATGAAGATTAAGAATAAGATAAAATCTAAAACCCTAATGATTCTTAGAGAGTAAATATTTCACTTTCTGAAAAAAATCAAGAGAGAATAGAAAATCCAAGTTTCTTTTTTAGAAATAAATAAATAGAATTAGAAAAATAATCAATAAAATCTCAGATTGATCAAATGATTCATCATTTAAATTAGATGAAAACAATGTGTTAAAGAAAAATTGAAAAATGTCTTCAACCATAAAAATCATTATATCGAAATATGGTGTATATAATTAATTTTAATTTAGTTATATAAAAAAGTTTACTTTTATTAGTATACAAGATTTGATAAATCAATTAAATACTTTTAAAAATGAAACATTTCCAAATAATCTATTAGATTGTATATTTTTTTATTATTCTACATTAGTATATCAATTATTTGAAGTTAAAATGGAATAGTTTTATTAAAATTACAATAATATATATTTTGATATCAAGATGTTTATTGAAAGAAGCAAATTTTATTTAAATGAAGATAATGAAAGAGACATTAAATTAATATCACAGATTATTAATAATTGATATAAATATTCATATTATCATAATGGATAAATCATTTGCAAATAGTTCTCCATTAAATACTAGTAAGAGTAAATAGATGTATACCTTTTCTAAAGCAAAACGTTGGATTGATGTAAAAGATAATCTGTAATACAATCAATCTATATTAATTTATTAAGATGTCCTCCTATATATTAATTACCAACTACTCTAAGTAAAAGAGCAGCAGGAATTGGTTATGGCAAAAAAATAAATCTTACTCATGAAACAATTACTCCTGCTCCTAATTTCTATTCACTCCATAAAAATTAAGAACATGGATGGACTATGGGATTAGGAAGAGAAGTAAATTAATACTATTTATATATTTTATAGGATGCAAATAAATATGAGAGTATATTCTTAGGATTAGTATAAAATACTCCTGGACCTGGAACTTACAAATTCAAAGATTCTATTTCTCCTGTTCGTTACACTATGAGATAGAGATTAACAAGTCGAAAAGATCAAGATCCAAAACCTGGACCGTATGGGTAATCATTTATTTTAGAGGTCATTATAATTTACCAAGCAGTATTAATAGCAAAGGGATATATCCTCTTAGTCAATATAGAAAGTATTATGTCAATTATTCATTATTTAAAGTTCCGGAGCTATTGTATTGGTACCTCCAAGAACTCATTCAGAGAGAAAAGTGAAGGATAATACACCTGGTCCTGGTTCTTATAAATAGATTGGTAACATTAATCCTTTAGGAACATACTTTTGCTCAAAGTTTGGTGCAAGTAAATGCAACAAATTTCCAAGAGCATAACGTTCTATGTCTGATCATCATAATAGTTCTCCAGGACCTGGAACATATAAATTACCTTCTGATTTTGGGTTTTGATTTATTTATTATGGAAATTGATTTTATACCTTTCGCACATGATTATTACATTATGAATCTACCTGCTCCAGGGACTAAAATGAGTTAACCAAACTAAGAGACCTTATTTGAAACTCTTAAATACTCAAACACAGATTACTTAAATCGTCCAATTCAATATGCTCCAGTTATACGTCTCTTTGGATATGAGCCTAAAACAAAAGAAAGGATGTGTGTACATGTTCATGGATATTTTCCATACTTTTACATAAAAGTTGAAGAATTGAGACATTTATTTATAGATCTTGATTTTGTTAAGGATTTTATAAATAAAGTACATTAAGTGTATGCTTCAACATTCCTTGCTCATTTCCCTAAACAATCATAAGAAAAGTTCAAAATCATATATCAATATGAATTATGTCAGAAATTAGATTTTTATGGTTTTCATATGTAAAAGCAACTCTTTTTAAAATTGTATATGTATGATAAATAGTATATGGCATAATTGGTTATGCTATTAGCAAGTGGTGCTGTAATGAATTACAAGTTTTAGTCATATGAAGTAAGAGTATATTTATATAATTTAAGTCTCATTTAACATATTTTATGCATTTTTATAGTGATGCAAATTTATTCGGAATGAGTTAAATCAAAATACTCAAATTGAAATATAGAAAAAGATTTGATAAAGATTTAGAATCATTATTGACAAAACCAATTCTATTTAGAGATTTACATATAAACTAATATTCTCATCTATATAAAGTTACAACTTGTCCCTTTGAAATTGATTGTCATTATTCCTCTATTATTAATGAACGTTATAAAGATGAGAAGGATAGAATAGAAATCTCTCGTGCATTTAATTAAAATAAAGAATTTGAAGTAGAATTAACTCCATCTTTAAATAAACTTTGGTCAGATGAAGAAATCAATAGAGCAAGATTTAAATTCAATTAACCTGTCTCATTTGTTGTAGATACATCAAAAAATAAAGAAGGATAATTATGGGATCATTATCCTTCTGTTAATGTTTTGAATAAACAATTTATGAAATAATATTTTCAATTATATTATGATGCTAAAAAGAATCAGAGTAAATTTAATATAACCTCATGTTTTATAAATCAAAATATTGCATAAATGTTTTTTAATGGTTAATAAGATGAAATGGAATTATGTAAAAAATCTATTATCTAAAGATTTTAAGAGTATAAAACAAGGAAAAAGGATTTATTTGAACTTATTAAAGAAGAAGGTAATATAGATTATGAATATGATTTTGATGATAAATTTATTGATTAGTAAGATCTTTAATAAGATAATGAAGATGAAGATCTTGAAGATGCAGAAAGTATTATTAAATCATAAGATGAAAAAAATGTATTTGATATTATGAAAGAAAATTAAAAACTTTAAGATAAAAACAAATTTAGAAAGAAATATCATGCAAACAAAAATAATATAAAATTAGGTTATATATTTTCTATTTGTGAATACTGTAACAATAATTTTCTAATGTGCAATTGCATTGAAAAAAAATAGAAAAAATATACTATACTTAAACCAACAACTCGTAAACCTTAAATCTATCAATATAAAATAAAACCACCATCTCCTAATGAAGTATACTTATAGTTATATAATTAAATGAAATTAGTTGAACATTAATATGCTTATTTTGGAGACATTAAGGATTTGTACAAGCATTATAATATTAAACATAAACAAATACCTTAAAATCATATTTATGCTTTACTTTTAGATTAATAATGTATTAAAATACCTGAAAATAGATTTTATGCAATAAGTATTTAAAATTCAACTAAATTACCATAATCCTATAAACTTGATTTATTTAGAGAATAATAATATAATTGTAATTTAAGATAATATTAATATTAACATGAACCTCCTACAATTTAAGAAGTTCTTATAGATATTGAATAAAGATAAGTAATGAGAAATGATCCATTAAATTCAATTATTGAAAAATCACAATATTTTTATCCTACACCATTATCAATATAAAGTGAAGATGATATAACATTTTAAGAAGATTTAGTATTAATGATATTTGAAATATTTTCTTATAAAGATTAAAAATTATTACCAGATCCAGAAAAGGATGAAATTTCTTTTATTATTCTTCACTCTTACAATGTTAAGAGTTCAAAAATCATGAATAAAATGCTTATAATTTAAAATGAAGAGAAATATTTGAAGGCAATTGATGGTAATTTTGAAAGAATGAATGCTCCTGTTGAATATACAATAGTTCTCACATAGAATGAGATTAATTTAATGAAAGCTTTTACTTTAATTGTACATCTAATTGATCCAGATTTCATATCAGGTTATGATTTAGAAACTAGAAGTCTTTATTATGTTGCAAATAGAGCAGAATTTATTGGTTATGATTTTTTAACAGAAATTAGTAGAGGATAACCAACATATGATAAATTGATTGAAATATTTGATTTTGATGAAATATTGTTTAATTTTGGATCACCATAACCAATCAATGATAAATTATAAAAATATATGGATTATAGATTATTAAGACCTACAATTAATAAAAAATAAAGTTTTAATTAAGATCCAAAAACAAAATCATATAATTCTAAAGGAAAATTAAATTAAATTAATAGTAGAAGAAAGAAATTAAGATATATAACATTTGTAGTTGGAAGAGTTTTAATTAATGTTTGGAGAAATGTAGCAACAGACATTAAAATTATAGATTATTCAATAGAAAATGTATATTATTAGATGTTTAAAGAAAAGAATGCTTTAATACATAATTAAATTCTATCATAATGGTTTAAATCAGAGACATTTCTTGTTTTCTAATATTACACTAAAAGAATAGATATGACATTTGATATTTTAGAAATGATTGGTTTAATACCTAGAACTATTGAAATAGCTAAACTTTTTGGTTGTGAATATGAATCAGTTGGTTTTAGAGGTAGTTAATTTAAAATTGAGTCTATTCTTAATAGAGTGACAAAATTAAATGATTATTTATTATTATCAGCAACACGAGTATAGGTTTCTACTTAGAAAATTTTAGAATGTATGCCTCTAGTTGTTGAACCTCCTAAAATATTTACTGTAGAGTATATTAATATTTTTTATTTAAAAGTCCTTTAATAGTCCTTGATTTCTAATCATTATATCCTTCAATTATGATTGCCTATAACTTATGTTTTAGTACTTGTTTAGGTAGTATAAAAGAAGAATTTTAGGAAGGAGGTAAAAAGAGATTTGGAGTAGTTACAACTGACATTGACTTTGAATCCTTGTTATAAAAGTATTAAAATCAAGAAGAATTGATGAAACATATATTAATTACACCTAATAATGTTGGATTTCTTACTAAAGATGTTAGAGTAGGTATAATACCATAAATTTTAAATGAATTTCTAATGACAAGAATTATGATTAAGAAATCTACTTAACTTTATGATAAACATCCAAAAATATAAAAGTAACATGGATTTAGATAATTGGCTATTAAATTATTTATGAATGTTATGTATGGATATTGTGGAGCATCTTTTTCTGGTAGAATGCCATCTGGTGATATAGCTGATTCAGTAGTAGAATTAGGAAGAACAATTTTAAATTAATGTATAGAATGTATTAATTCAAATCCAATATGGTAAGCCAAAGTTTTATATGGTGATACAGATAGTTTATTTGTAATGCTACCTGGTAGAAATGTTAATGAAGCTTTATAAATTGGAAATTAAATAGCATAACATTGTACTAGTTTATATCCACATCCAATTGAATTAAAATTTGAAAAAGTATATGCAGAATCCTTATTGGTAGCTAAAAAGAGATATGTTGGTAATAAATTTGAAAAAGGAGAATTTTAATTGGATGGTAAAGGACTTGAAATTATAAGAAGAGATGGATTTCCTGCTCTTTAAAAAATATAAAGAAAAGCTATTAATATTTTATTTAAGACTAAAGATTTATCTCAATTAAAATTATATATGTAAAAATAATGGGCTAAAATTCTACAAGATCATGTAGATATTTAAGATTATATTATGGCAAAAGAAGTTAAATTAGGAACTTATAAAGAAGGAAGACTTCCAGCACATGCAGTAGTAGCTACTAAAATAATGAATTCAGATCCTATGAGAAGACCAAAAGGAGGAGAGAGAGTTCCATATGTAGTCATATAAGCTTAAGGAACATCTAAACTTGCTGATTTAGTAGTCAATATATATGATTTTTAAAGCACTATGAAATTGAATCCACATTACTATATTAAATAAATTAATGCAGCAGTAGGTAGATTATTTGCTTGTTTTGATATTGATATAGCTGATTGGTATAGTAATCTTCCAAAAATGCTTGCAAAAAGAGATCATTTTAAATAACATCTTACTTATAGTAATGCTCATTAAACAAAAGCTACTTAATATACACTTGTTAAATATCTTAATATATAATAATGTTTACTTTGTGGAGAAGAATCCAAATTTGAAGTATATAATTAATAATTATAATTAGATATGTAAATCATGTAGCTAAGATGGTAGAACAGCCTTGTTTTTATTATAATATAAATAAAATCTATTAGAAATAGATAAAGCAAACATGATATCATGTTGTAAAAGTTGTTCTATTGGATATTAGAATTGTAAATTATGGTCATGTAGTTTACTTTTTAAAAGAGAAAAACTTAATAATTATTTGAATAAAGTAAAATAAATGAATCAAAAATACTAATAGTTAATTGAATTTATGAGTGATTATTGATAAAATTATGTATATAAATATATATATATATATATATATATATATATAAATATATTAGCAATAAAACAAAATTTGAATTTGAGTTGTTTAATAATTAATTTCAAAATGCAATTCTAGACTATTAAAAAGGAATCTTAAGGAGGCTCAAAACCATCTCCAAAACATGAAAGTTATATAGCTAAAATATTTAATTACAATACATATCAAAAATAAGGAATTCTGAAGAAGGAATTACCATTATAAGACCATTAATTATGTAATTAGGTATTTATAAGTTAGTTATTTTATGATTACAAAATCCCTTTAGTCAGTGAAATTACAAGAATCTCCCATTCAAAAATGCAAGGTTGATCAAACAAAAAAAAAGAAAGTCAATAGAGTTGTTTTCAAAACAGAAATTGATGAAAATAAAAATATTTAATTAGGATTTCAAACATAGAGAAAGAGTTATGATTGTGTTGCAGTAGATAATAAAATAAATAGTTTTAATCTTATTTCTAGTATGTTTGAATTAGAATCTAAAAATTTAGATCTTTATATGGATCTTTAAGATAAAACTACATAGATTTAATAAATGTAAACATAAATTGAATAATAACAAATAAAACATTAATAATAAATTAGATAATATAGTTAAGATAAAAAAGAGCTTCTATTAAAGTATTTATTGTTGAAATTAAATAGAATTTAAAACCTTGAAAAATAATCAGAAATATAAAGAAAATATATTGAATAGTTACCTTAATTTGAAGTTGAAGCTCAAGAGTGGAAAATTAGATTCCTAAAATTGAATAAATAATTTCATTTATAGTAAGAAACATTAGTCAGATTAGAAGCTGAGTAATAAAGTACTTAAAGAAGAAGAACAGATGGATTCAATTTTTTTAAATAATAAATATGAAAGAATTTTGTCAGAATTTATCAATATCCTCACAATATTTAATTGTGAAAATAATCTCCTATTATTATTTATTTTTCTAAGAAAATTTTTATCATTTTTCTTTTTTCACTTATTGTATGAGATGTCACAACCAACAAATTAACTTGATGATCTTTATATAACAACTCAAAGACCCTTTTTGTTGAGGTAGGATTCCATAATTTAAAATTATGATCATATTTAAAATTATGATCAAATTTAAAATTATGATCAAGAATATGATCTTATGGATCTTCAATAGAATTAGGGACATTTTTAAGAACTTTATCAGGAAATTGAAAATATAATCTCTCCTAATGAAGATGCCAAAAAATAGATTTATTTTTAAATTTCTGATAACGAAAACAATGTGAATTTTGATATAGAATCAAGCATTTAAATTTCTAATCATCCTGTGGAAATAATACCTAATTAAAAAATCCCTGAAAAAATTCCCAAAAAGAAATTTAATGAAAAAAGTTACTGTAGATATATATTATTATATTTGTTTCGAACTATTGAAAATAAATAATATGCTGAAATCATAAAGAATATTTGCAGCATATATTAAATCAATTACTCTAATTTTGTCGAATACTATAGAAAATAAAGAATTTTAATTATGGGTTATTAATCTTTAAAAAAAGAACTAATCTATGATAAAGATTCTATTCCTGATTAGAACCGTAAGAAAGCATTCAAAGAGGTTCTTATTTGGTACTTAGATAAACTAGCTACTAAGCATATTCTATTAAGCAAAAAACAAAACTTTGAAGGATATCTTAGATTTAAAAATTATGTAATGTCCTATTATATACACACTCCAAAAAGTTGGGCTGGTAATACACCATAATGGATATGAATATTCAATTATAGTATAGAATATTTATAAATTTGTTTCATATCAATCGCATTCTAGTAAAGTCTTTATTTTCAATTTATCTTAATCACTCAAAGCACTCACATAATCAGATTATTTTCTTAACGAATTACATGTCTACTAATGATTTAATAAGTTTATTTCTGTAAATTAATTCTATACTTTTAGTTTTAAATTTTAATTCTCCTACAATATAGTTTAGTAATCTTTTTCTAAATTTTGATATTTTCTCTAAATGATCAATAACATAATACATTTTCTTATTTCAGTTATTTTAACTCTTTCTCTAATTTTTAGATTTCTAGGTTTTTACAATGCAAAACATTATTATAAACAATGAAAGAGTCTAAATTCCCATTTAATACTTTACCTTGGTTGAATACCTTATCATTCTCTTAACTTTCTCCAGTAGTTGTTTTTGTATAAATTGATTACTCATTAACTTTTTCATATATAAAAGAAGAATATTTTAGTGTGTTCTATTATTAATCAGAAGGATGTTTTGAGGAAAACAGTTTTAGAGCATTAGAAATTTATATTGTTGATCCCTTAATAGACTTTACATTAGCTTCAGTTGGAAATCTTTTCATTTATTCAACTGATTAAATTATCTAGGGATATTAAGTGGAGGTCTTTAATTTAGTTGATGGAGAATTTGACTACTCTTTCATTTGCTAGCTTACCCTTGGATGACGAGTAACGATTAAATGGGTAATTGGAGAGTGTTTTCTTGATTTTAGAAAAGCTGAATTTGTTTAACGGTGTTGGGTATTCTGATTTTAGATATTTTTCAATATTTGTACAGGAATCATGATTATAAGTTAGAGGGAGGTAAAACTTAAAATTAATTTTAAATTAATAAAATATTTTGTAATCATAGCTCTTTTTTAATTATTTCATATAAAAATTAGTTTGAATCTCCTATTTCTGGATGAATGCAATATAGAGATAGAAGTTTACTAAAAACAATATGCCAGTAAAAAATGAAATAATTATTCTCTAAAAATATTTAGGACTTCTCTTAACCACTAAGGACATAATAGATTAATAGTATTTCTTAATTATGAATAACCAGATTTTATTAAAATATAATCCTATTAGATAACAATATCTTCATTATAAATCATTTTATTTGTTATTATAATTAATAATGTTCCAATTTATGTATTGGAAACTAAATGTTAGAGCTCTTTACAAAATTTACTCATTTACTCCTCCATACTTATTAATTTAATTCATTTATTTCTAGAATTTACTAAAGAATTTCCTATAAAAAAAATATGTTAGAAGGACACTAAATTAGAATGGAAAACTTCTCTGTTATCCTTTTAATATTCTGCTTCCATCATTGGAGAAGATATTAACTATTTAATGAGAAAGGATCCAAATTAATACTATAATATGCTAGCTCTTTATGCTACAAAAAGAAACAAAGATGGAATCTTAGAAAACTAAATTGCCTTCCTGATGATTAGAAATATCGGTTGGGAATATGGAAAGGTATAAAATTTCTGTCAGTTCTTTTGAACTTTCTGATCATAGACTAATTGAATCTTTTATTAGATATCTTTAGATGATTGATTTTAAATCCCTATGATCAACAAAAACCTGAATAACATAAAGTAAAAACTATAAAATATTTTCTAATATATGTAAACGTGTAATAATCTAAAATTTAATGATATGAAATATATAGACTATTAAATCTAAATGAATAAGTAAAATTGCAAACTAAATTATATTTGGTAGCAAACCTTACTAAAATGAATTTGTTCCTAAATGTAAGACTAAACCTGAGATTAAGTTTATTAGTATAAAGGGAAAATTTCTAGCTGATCTTGATGTAAATTATTATATCAAATTAAATTAATAAACTATTTTATTCTATCCAATTTATTTGAAAAGGTGTTTAAATAGATATTAAATATCATTTTTACTATTTGTATTAATTAATTATAATATTTTAAATAGATTCCTAATAATTTTAATCTTAAAAAAAACCTATATACAATTACTGTACATTTAGAAAACAATAATTATATAAATTAATCCATTAAATATAATTTTTTTCTCCTAAACTAACATATATAGCATTAAATCATTCTGAAAAAGTTGGTACAAGAGGATCAAATCCTAATTCCTCAACGGGTATCACAAATTCTGCTAATTTTCCATCATACGCTTTAACCATATGAGAATGTGCTTTTCTTATTTATGTAAGCTAATTTTATAATTCAGCAATCACAACCTGTTTTTAGACATCTATATCTTAATATTGCTTAGTATTGATATCTAATTTATTAATAAAATATACTTATTGTGTTTTAATCAATATTAGCCCCCTATAAGACTTAATTAAATTAAATCTCTTTAATTTCAAGTTCATCATTAATAGCAGCAGTCTTTTTCTCTAAAATTAAATTCTATTTTAATTTATATTAAATTTTACTTGCAATCCAGTTTTTTGTTAAATTTATTAAATAGTGTTATTAAATTTATTTTCTAAAGATACTTTTTCTCTTTCCAAGAATTAATAATGTTATAACTTTACTTCATATTCATATTCTAAATCTCTAAATTTTTTTTCATGATCATCTATTTTAAATTTCAATTATTCCTTTTATTATACTATTTTTCCTTATTCTTCTTTTTCTTTTATTAAAAATTTTATCTCTTCTTTTATTGCTTTAAGAGGTTCATTTAAATTTTTGGATTCATTTTCTATAGATTGCAAAAGCTTTTTGTCTTTTTCTTCTTTTTTCTAATGATCAGTAATTTCATTTTTTAAACTTTTTATCATATCTAAGTTTGTAGCTGTAATGTCAGAATAATAATTTTTTATCTCTGTATACTTTTTAGAGTGTTCTTTTGTTAATTATTATATTCTTAAGTCTTTCTTTTCTTGAAGAATTTTAATCAAATTATTTCTTAATTCTTCCATCTCTCTTCTTAACTTTTCCATTCTCAAATGATATTTTTCTTTCAAATCATTCGCTTACCTTTCAAAATTTTATCTTAATTAAGTAGCTAATCGATCATATTCTGTTTTTAAAGCAAACATATAATCATTCTAGGCCAAATCTGCTTCTTTTTGTTGTGCTTTTAATGATCTTACATCAGTCTTTAGTTCTCTATCATTCATTCTATGTTCATCCTCCAATTATTTTAGTGTAACGTCAACATCTTTTCTTAAATCACTCTATTGATCTTAGTTTTAAAATAACAAATGTTTAATTCTAGACTAATATTTAAACTTTTACTTTTATTTATACATATTTAATTGCATAAAATGATTCTCTTTTAAATCTTAAATCTCTCTCTCTTTGTTTATAATATCACTTTTTTTGTCATCTAACTCCTTTTTAGCAATAATCCAATTATAATTAATTTTCTCTCTTTCTTATTAATATTATGATAGTAATTTATCTTCTGATTCTATATCTACTTTTAATATTCTCACTTCTTCTCTCATTTATTTCTAGTTTATTTAAAATTTTAAGTACTTTAAAACCATCACTTTCAATATCTGTAACTTGTTTTGCTTTATTTTATGCTTCTTGTTCTTACTCTAAATATTCAAAATGATCATAGTCTACTTGATAATTATGGCTTGTTATCTGCTGGTTTGTTAGGCTTTTTGCTCATAGATAAGAATATAAAAAAATATAATTATTATTTATTACTAAGTGATTATATTTAATTTCTTTTGAGCTTATAAATCATAAAGCCAAATAGAATATGGTTACCACCCACATTCCTAATTAATATCCATATTATGATACGTCTTTATCTCCTTCTGATGCATTTTCCACTTGTTTTGCTTATTCAATTTCTGGAGGTAGGGCCAATTAAGCAAAATCATCATCATCATCATCGTCTTTTTCTTTTTCTTTTTCATCATCAGTAGGTTTCTAATCTTCATCAGATTTATCAGCAGCATCATCTTTATCTTCATCTTTTTCTTCATCTGCTTTCTATTCATTGTCTGAATCTTTGTCTTCTTCATCATCCGAAGCTGGCTCACTTTCAACTTCAGCTTCTGTAGCTGGCTCACTTTCCTATTCTGGCTCAGAAGCAGGTTCACTTTATTAATCTTCTTAGTTCTCCTCTTCATCTTTTTTTTCTTCTTCAGGTTTAGATTCCTCTTCTGGTTTCTCTTCCTCATCTGGTTTTGTTTCTTCTTCAGGCTTTGCTTCCTCTTCTGGTTTTGTTTCCTCTTCAGGTTTAACCTCCTCTTCTGGTTTAGCTTCCTCTTCTGGTTTTGTTTCCTCTTCAGGTTTAGCTTCTTCTTCTTCTGGTTTTGTTTCCTCTTCAGGTTTAACCTCCTCTTCTGGTTTAGCTTCTTCTTCAGGCTTTGCTTCTTCTTCTGGTTTTGTTTCTTCTTCAGGCTTTGCTTCCTCTTCAGGTTTTGTTTCTTCTTCTTCTGGTTTTGTTTCCTCTTCTTCAGGTTTTGTCTCTTCCTCGGGTTTTGTTTCTTCTTCTTCAGGTTTGGTTTCCTCTTCTTCAGGTTTTGTCTCTTCCTCGGGTTTTGTTTCTTCTTCTTCAGGTTTTGTTTCCTCTTCTTCAGGTTTAGTTTCTTCTTCTTCTGGTTTAGTTTCTTCTTCCTCAGGCTTTGTTTCTTCTTCAGGTTTTGTTTCTTCCTCTTCAGGTTTTGTTTCCTCTTCTTCTGGTTTTGTTTCCTCTTCTTCAGGTTTAGTTTCTTCTTCAGGATTTGTTTCTTCCTCAGGTTTAGTTTCTTCTTCTTCAGGCTTTGTTTCTTCCTCAGGTTTAGCCTCCTCTTCAGGTTTTGCTTCCTCTTCAGGTTTAGTTTCTTCCTCAGGTTTAGCCTCTTCCTCAGGTTTAGATTCCTCTTCAGGCTTTGCTTCTTCTTCTGGTTTTGTTTCTTCTTCAGGTTTTGTTTCCTCTTCAGGTTTAGCCTCCTCTTCAGGTTTTGCTTCCTCTTCAGGTTTAGTTTCTTCCTCAGGTTTAGCCTCTTCCTCAGGTTTAGCTTCCTCTTCAGGCTTTGCTTCTTCTTCTGGTTTTGTTTCTTCTTCAGGCTTTGCTTCCTCTTCTGGTTTTGTTTCCTCTTCAGGTTTAGCTTCCTCTTCAGGTTTTGTTTCCTCTTCTGGTTTAGCTTCTTCTTCTGGTTTTGTTTCTTCTTCAGGCTTTGCTTCCTCTTCTGGTTTTGTTTCCTCTTCAGGTTTAGCTTCCTCTTCAGGTTTTGTTTCCTCTTCTGGTTTAGCTTCTTCTTCTGGTTTTGTTTCTTCTTCAGGTTTAGCCTCCTCTTCCGGCTTTGTTTCTTCTTCAGGTTTAGCTTCTTCTTCTGGTTTTGTTTCTTCTTCAGGTTTAGCTTCTTCTTCTGGTTTTGTTTCTTCTTCAGGTTTAGCCTCTTCCTCAGGTTTAGCTTCCTCTTCAGGCTTTGCTTCTTCTTCTGGTTTTGTTTCTTCTTCAGGTTTAGCTTCCTCTTCAGGCTTTGTTTCTTCTTCTGGTTTTGTTTCTTCTTCAGGTTTAGCCTCCTCTTCCGGCTTTGTTTCTTCTTCAGGTTTAGCTTCTTCTTCTGGTTTTGTTTCTTCTTCAGGTTTAGCTTCTTCTTCTGGTTTTGTTTCTTCTTCAGGTTTAGCCTCTTCCTCAGGTTTAGCTTCCTCTTCAGGCTTTGCTTCTTCTTCTGGTTTTGTTTCTTCTTCAGGCTTTGCTTCCTCTTCTGGTTTTGTTTCCTCTTCAGGTTTAGCTTCCTCTTCAGGTTTTGTTTCCTCTTCTGGTTTAGCTTCTTCTTCTGGTTTTGTTTCTTCTTCAGGTTTAGCCTCCTCTTCCGGCTTTGTTTCTTCTTCAGGTTTAGCTTCTTCTTCTGGTTTTGTTTCTTCTTCAGGTTTAGCTTCTTCTTCTGGTTTTGTTTCTTCTTCAGGTTTAGCCTCTTCCTCAGGTTTAGCTTCCTCTTCAGGCTTTGCTTCTTCTTCTGGTTTTGTTTCTTCTTCAGGTTTAGCCTCCTCTTCCGGCTTTGTTTCTTCTTCTGGTTTAGCTTCTTCTTCTGGTTTTGTTTCTTCTTCAGGTTTAGCCTCCTCTTCCGGCTTTGCTTCTTCTTCTGGTTTTGTTTCTTCTTCAGGTTTAGCCTCCTCTTCCGGCTTTGTTTCTTCTTCAGGATTTGGTTCTTCTTCAGCAGGAGGTTCCTCTTTAGTCTCTTCAGCAGGAGGTTCTTCTTTTGTTTCTTCAGCAGGTGGCTCCTCTTTAGTTTCTTCAGCAGGAGGTTCTTCTTTAGTTTCTTCAGCAGGTGGCTCCTCTTTAGTTTCTTCAGCTGGAGGTTCTTCTTTAGTTTCTTCAGCAGGTGGCTCTTCTTTAGTTTCTTCAGCTGGAGGTTCTTCTTTAGTTTCTTCTGCAGGTGGCTCTTCTTTAGTTTCTTCTGCAGGAGGTTCTTCTTTTGTTTCTTCTGCAGGTGGCTCTTCTTTAGTTTCTTCTGCAGGAGGTTCTTCTTTTGTTTCTTCTGCAGGTGGCTCCTCTTTAGTCTCTTCAGCAGGTGGTTCTTCTTTTGTTTCTTCAGCAGGTGGCTCCTCTTTAGTCTCTTCAGCAGGTGGTTCTTCTTTTGTTTCTTCCGCTGGGGGTTCTTCTTTTGTTTCTTCTGCAGGTGGTTCTTCTTTTGTTTCATCAGCTGGGGGTTCCTCTTTAGTCTCTTCTGCAGGAGGTTCTTCTTTAGTTTCTTCAGCAGGTGGCTCCTCTTTAGTTTCTTCAGCTGGAGGTTCTTCTTTAGTTTCTTCTGCAGGTGGCTCTTCTTTAGTTTCTTCAGCTGGAGGTTCTTCTTTAGTTTCTTCTGCAGGTGGCTCTTCTTTAGTTTCTTCTGCAGGAGGTTCTTCTTTTGTTTCTTCTGCAGGTGGCTCTTCTTTAGTTTCTTCAGCAGGAGGTTCTTCTTTTGTTTCTTCTGCAGGTGGCTCCTCTTTAGTCTCTTCAGCAGGAGGTTCTTCTTTTGTTTCTTCTGCAGGTGGCTCCTCTTTAGTCTCTTCAGCAGGAGGTTCTTCTTTTGTTTCTTCAGCAGGTGGCTCCTCTTTAGTCTCTTCAGCAGGAGGTTCTTCTTTTGTTTCTTCAGCAGGTGGCTCCTCTTTAGTTTCTTCAGCAGGAGGTTCTTCTTTTGTTTCTTCAGCAGGTGGCTCCTCTTTAGTTTCTTCAGCTGGAGGTTCTTCTTTAGTTTCTTCAGCAGGTGGCTCCTCTTTAGTTTCTTCAGCTGGAGGTTCTTCTTTAGTTTCTTCTGCAGGTGGCTCTTCTTTAGTTTCTTCAGCTGGAGGTTCTTCTTTAGTTTCTTCTGCAGGTGGCTCTTCTTTAGTTTCTTCTGCAGGAGGTTCTTCTTTGTTCTCCTCAGCAGGTGGCTCTTCTTTAGTTTCTTCTGCAGGAGGTTCTTCTTTGTTCTCCTCAGCAGGTGGCTCTTCTCTTGTTTCTTCTGCTTGGTTTTACTCTTCCTGATTATTATCTTATTCCCCATCTTACTAATCTTACATCGCATAGTTATTATTTATTCTTTTAATATCATGTTCGCTATCTTGTTATCTAATATCTAAAGTTTAGTCTTAAATGTTTTCTTATTTTTAAGCTTGATTTTCCTACTGTAAGTATTATTATTATTATTTTGATTAATCAATTTTACTATTATTATTTAATGACTATGTTTATTCCACCTAATTGTCGATTTCATTATCAACCTAATATTATCTATCTTCGTTATTTTCTCCTGTGTTTTCTAATTTTTTAATAGCTTCTTAGTTAGCAAATAATTTTTCTTTTGTGATTTATACCTATTTTTCATTCACACTAAGGACGTTCTCAGAAATTAGAAAGCTTCGTTAATATTAATCAAACTGCAAAAAATTCTCCTTATTGGTATTTGATCTCAAATTGCTAAAATAATACAATTATCACAACTTTTTTCTTCTATCCTTATGTTGTTGAGGATTATCAACCAAATCTTTTAGGCTGCAATGGCTCGTCAAAATTAATAAGCATAAAAATATTGTAACTGAGTTCTTTGCCATCACTTTATTGATGACTTGATAATATATAAAATATTCGTTTTTAATTGTTTAGAAATTTTTAGAAATGATCATTCAAAAGGGGATTGTTTGATGCATCACTTTGAAAATTCATAAATGAAATGTTTTAATTATATAAGCTTATCTTCATGATTGTAAAATGTATTCTGAATTGTATCAAAAAATAACATTTTCCATTAAAATGCAAAATAAATGTATTTTATACTTGTTAAATTGTAACATATATACATTATATTATTATGTAAGTATTTAACACAAAAGATTACATCCCCTAAAGGGTTGGATTACAATTAAATCCTCCTACTATAGTAATTGAATATTTGATTCCAAGCTAATAGAAAATTTATCGTCATAAGATAAAGTTGATGCGTCTAACTAACAAATCTAACACAGCTGATTTTGTTCAATATATTAAAAAAAGGCATAACTTATATGTTTCTAATTCAAAACTTTTAGATGAGCAACTTGAAAGTAAAATACATCTAAACAAATTAGCGCTAATAACAAGGCTTAAGGATAAAATAACGGATTAATCTCATAGAAAGACAACTGATAGTAAGCAATAATCTGAAATTGGAAGAAAATATGCAAATTCTAAAACACCAAACATCAATCCATTTACCAAAACATAATAGTTATAGCCTAATTAAAGCAGTTCTACCAGCAAAATTAGAGAAAATTAATTCGAACCTATAAAAGCACATGTCTTCGAAGATATTAATATTAATTCTGATGACGATGATAAAAATTAATAAGAAGAAGAGTCTGTAAATTACTAAGATGATTTTGAATCTCAACCAGAATCAGACTTAGAAAATTTGAATTTAAATAAATTAAGTGTAGAAGAAGTATAAAAATTTAAAGAGAAGATGGAAGTAAAATATGTTAAAAATCTTCTTAAACCAGGAGATGCAGGATTTGTTTATGATAGATAAGTAGAATTTAAACCCAAAAAAAATAGTGATTGGGATGATGATTGAAAAATGAGAATAATAATTATTAATTGTAAATTACTATTTTGATATAAATACTAAAACAATTCATCTAATTTAATATAGTTCTACACATTTAGGGTCTTCTAATTCCTTATTTATATCTTATCTCATCTTAAATTTTTATGGCTTACCTGTTATTGTTTATGGAAATTCATTTACAAATTTAACAAATTTTGGAATTTTGTAATAAGCTATTTTCTTATGACAATATTAATAAACATCTAATCCAGTTATTTCTTCAGCATCTTTCTTCATTTTTATTAATGCAAAAACTTCTTCACCATATTTTTCATCATTACATCCAATTACTTAAACTTATTCTACACCATTCATATGAGATAAATATTCTTCTATTTCTTTTGGATATATGTTTTCTCCACCTCTTATTATCATATCTTTGCTTCTACCTACAATAGCTATATATCCATCCTTATCCATTGTAGCAATATCTCCACTATGTAAAAATCCATTTTTATCTATTGTTTCCCTTGTAGCTTTTTCATCATCCCAATATTTCTTCATAACACTATAACCTCTAGCACAATACTCTCCTGGTGTATCATAAGGTACTACATTTCCATTTGAATCAATTATTTTCACTTCTGCATTTAATGGACATCCTACTTTAGTAGTTTTAATTTCAAATGAATCAGATGGTTTATTCTAACATGTTATAGGACTACATTCTGTTTATCCATAACAATTTGAAATATCTTTAACTCCTAAAACATTAATAATTTATTTCATGAGTGCTTCAGATGCCAAAGATCCAGCAATTAATCCAGTTCTTAAACTTGATACATCATATTTAAGATTATGTTTCTCATATTCATTTATGTATTCAATAAACTAAAAATAATAAATGTTTTAAAATACCATAGTTGGAACTCCATAAATTGATGTGCATTTATAATTTGTAACAGCTTCTAAAGTAGCTGCAGCACTAAATCCATCACTAGGATATACCATGGTTGAACCATAATTTATACAGGCTAAATTTCCAAGAACCATTCCAAAACAATGATATAAAGGAACTGCTATAGCTACAATATCTTTCTCAGTATAATTTATTCTTCCTCCAACATATTTACCATTATTAAGAATGTTAATGTGGCTTAAAGATGCTCCTTTTGGTAAACCTGTTGTACCAGATGTAAATTAAATATTTGTAATATCATCTGGATCTTATTTCTCCATTCGACTGTCTACTTCATGAAGATGATCGGCATTGCTTAGAGAAAATATATCTTTAAAATTGTAAAATCCATGTTTATGAATATTATCAATAATTATAGCAGCTAATTTTTATAATAATTTTAGATACATTTTAAATAGGGTAGTCTCTTTGATTATAAATGTCCAGGAGTATCTAATTCAGGTGCCAATTCCCTTATCATTGCAACATAGTTTGAGTGCTTGAATGATGATTTCATTATTAATGCTTTACAACCTACTTTATTAAGTGTATATTCTAATTCTAAACTTTAGTATGCAGGATTAATATTGACTAAAATTAGATCAGCCATAGCAGCAGCAAATTAGGTTAATGCCCATTCTACATTATTAGGTGACCATATTCCAATTCTATCTCCTTTTTCTAATCCTAATGCAATGAAGGCAGCTGCAAGTTCTTTACTTCTTGTATATAATTCAGAATATTTCATGTCTATTCCTTATAATTAAGAAATGATCTATGATAAAATTATTATGTACTGCTATGTTGTCTGGATATTTCTCAGTAATATCTTAAAGTTATTATCCAATTGTCTTATAAGTTAATGGAATACTCGAAACACCATGATAATAGGATTTATAATATCTTATGAGTTTTTATAACATAAATTTAAATTAATATGTATTTCATAAATAATGACGCTCGATTTAAGGTATCTAATATGGTGAATTAATTTAAACTGGGATTTAATTAATTATTCTAAAATTTGTTTAAGTTTATTATAATTTTAATTTTTCTTCTAAAATTCTCATTTCTTCTTCATGTTTTTCTTCTACAAATTCAAATTATCTTCTTAAATCTATAATTTATGATTTTAAAATAACTATTTCAGCATTTAATTATTCATTTTCTTCTTTCATACCATTTGTATATTTAATCATTTAATGTAAATTTATCTATTTCAATTCTAATTCATAATTTTTATCCTTTATTTATTATTCCTTTAAACTAATTTACACTATTTATTATTCAATATGATCTAAATCACTTAGATTTTTTCTCTTAAGTCTTTCATTTTCTGTTTCTAATAGCATAAGTTCTCCTTACAATTTATCATTTTTTTATTTTACAGAATCTATAGTCTTAAGTTTTTCAATAAGAATTCCATTTTAAGTTTTCAATTCACTAATATCATATTATAATTAAGATATCTATTGTTGTTATTGTAAATTTCGATTTCTTAAATTTTAGATTTCAATTATGTATTTTGTGTCTTAATTTTTGTCTCTCTCTTCAGATGGAACACATTTAAATAATTCTAATTAATCTTTTAATGATTAATTTTCACTTGTCAATTAACCACCTTAATAATAATTAATAAATTATATACATAATGCTGAAGCATCTCTTAATTATTCAGTAAGTTATTCATTTTATTCATAATATGTTTCATAGCCATATTTATAATCTTTTAATTCTTACTCTAATTATTCAATTCTATTTTTGAATTGTTTTTTCATTTATCTTTTTTTCTCTTATACTTTTAGAACTGCAGATGTTTTATAAAGTAATTATTTTTCAAGTTCTTAAACTCTAATAGGTTTTTCTTATTCTTATTATACAGTTAAAGATTTAACTGGTTATTTAATTTGATATGTTATTTATTTATTTTGTTTTTCATAACAAACATCTTTCTAAAGTTAATCAATTTTTTTATTCAATTATTCAATTTCATGTTCTTGGTTTTATATTGTAATTTCCTTATTCTGAATTCTTTCATTTAATGTTCTTTCATTGCTTTATGCTAACCTAAATCTTTAGATAGTGCTCTCTTATTTTTAAATTTATTCATTCAAAGTTTTTATTTATTCTTATAATTTTGGAATCTATTGTAATTCCTACATCAATTCAGTTATTCGTTATTCTAATTTTTTCTCTTTCTTTAAAAATGTTAGTTCTTTATCATCAAATTTTACCTTTTATGCTCTTATTTAATTAAGATTAGAGGGTGCTGGTTTGAATTACATTTTAACAATAAAATTGTTAGTTATAATTACTATTAATTGATTTTAAAGTTTTTTTTATTCTAATCATATCTCTTAAAAATAACAGATCAAATCTGTTTTATAGTATATCCCTTATTTGTTTGACATCCTTTTATATTTTCTAAACTCATCCTAATAGTATATTGAGATCATGTGTGGGTTGTATATTGTTTATATAAAGTTTCTAGAGCCCAATAATCTATAATGTTTTGGTTTATACATTTACAATTTGAATGTTTTAAAATCTATTTAAAGAAAGTAAGATTTTAATCAGAATACATTTTTACTAAAAGTATTGTATTTTTATTAAAACTCTTGCACTATAATTTTTGTCAGTAAATATGTATCGATCATGTAAATTTATATCAGAAAGATGTCTTAAAATCATTGATATTAAGTACTAAACAGTAAGTTAAATAATAAATACAACTTTTACAGTGGAAATTAAAGGGACAAAAACTGCAAGATTTTTATTGTTGACTAAAAATTTTCAATATGATATTTTAATCTAGAGACTATGAAAATGTTTCATTTTCTTAATCATGAGATAAAACCTTCTAAGAAAGGTCTATAATACTAAATTAATAAGATTACTTAATAATTTAAGAATGTAAAGTTTATTCCACAAAAATAGAAATAGAAATAAATTTTTCAGATAAATAATACTACTTTTATATTAATATTCTAATTTATGAGATTAAATTTTGTAACAATTTTATATTTAAGTCATTTTTTTTCTATTTAGAAATGAAAGTTAAATATAATTAGAATAGAAATATAATGTTTATATGTAAGTAATATTAAGAGAGAAATTAGAATTAATAACTTATTAAAATGAAATCTGAACAATAATCTAATATTTAATACTATGCATTTTAAGTTGATAATCTTTAATTATATATTCTAAAAATATTTACAGAGATATATTATTTTCAATAATATATCCAGAGTCTTAACAAAAGAAAAGGATTAATCATAGAACTATTTTATTATCGTTAAGTAAATATATTGCTTAATTTATATTAAATAGAATGATAGATAAAAAATAGTTTAATTGAAAATTTTTGATTCCTTCAAATTTCTTCTAGTTATGCGATTACTTAATTTATATTGAGCCTATCTTTTTCAGTTTTGGCAAGCATTTTTGTAATTAATATTTTTATTTTTTCTGATACTTCTACATCATTTGGAAACTAAACATTTTCATTTTAGATCATTTATTATAATATTGAAAGATCATCGTGATACCAAGGAGTCTTTCCATAAAGCATTTCATAAAATATACATCCAAGTGACCAAACATCAGATTTTATAGAATAATTTTGTTAACCTATGACCTGAATATAATTTGAGAAACTACCTGAGGACTCATATACAAAGGAGTCCCAATCTAAGGAGTATTATCATTTGCTATTTCTTTAATTTTTTCTTCTAGTGCTTTAGATAAACCAAAATCAGCAATTTTAATTTAATTATCTTGAAGCAAAACATTAGAAGGTTTTAAGTCTCTATGGACAATATTTTTTTCATAAAGATATCCACAACCTAATAATTAAAAAAAAAATATTATCTATAGCCAATTATTTAAAGTAAGGTAAGGCATCTGGTAAACTTAATCTTTTTTTATTTCGAATTAATTTATCTAAGGTTCCTCCAGTACATAATTCCATAAAAATGTAAATATTTTTTTTACTTTCAGCTGAATCTTCGAATTTGACAATATAAGGATGTACTAAATGAAATGAAAAATTATGTTACCAAGAGTTTATGAATTTAGTAGTTCATTTTATAATCTCTCTGCAATTCTTTGAAATCTATATTCTGCAATTTATCTGCTTTCAATTTAATTAAGTTGAGAAACAATAGATTCTTTAGAAATAACCTAATCTTAAAAAAACTTCAAACTTTGCAAGCGAAATATTTTTAAGTCAATTTATTTCTAGCCAAATAAGTCATAGCATATTGGCCTTAACCCAACACTTTTACAAGAATTTCATAATTATTTCCCACAAGTTTAAGGACTTAATAATTTTGATTCTGCATTTTTATTAAATATATATGTATAATTTTTATCATTTTCGATATTATTATAAACTATGAAGATTAATTTTAAATAATCTAAGAGCATTTACAATATAAAACATATTTTTAAATAAATCATTTTTAAACTTTCAATCACAGGGAGTTCTGCATATTGGGCAAATATTTTAGGTTTGAGTCCATTTTTAAATACAAAGAAGATGAAAAATATGAGTTTCATGACAAGTTAATTTTTGTCTAATTTATCCTACTTTCAAATCTTCAAGACAAATTCCACATTGTAATTAAGATTTATCAATAATTTTTTATTTCTTTTCAACTTTGGATGAATCTTCATTAGAAAACTAATTATTCTAAAATTTTTTATACTTTGATATTAAATAAAAATGGATCTTCATCATCCTATATCTGATGAAACTTCTTAGCCATCTATAAAATGATTTATGTTACTATTAGACCTTATAGTAAAAAAGTATCAAAGTACATAAAGGAGGTTTAAGTATATAGTTATTATTAAGTAATTTGTATTAGTTTGAAAAATGGAAATTATATCAATCCATATATACATTATATGCACCAAAAAAAATAAGTAATCCTTCTCAAACATTTCATTTTATCACTAAAATATATTGATTTAATCAAAATGAACCAATTCTAATAGCATTTTTAATTAGGGTTCATTAAATGTGGATCTTCATTTACAGGTATTTGTTTTAAAATAGTAATCAATTAACAAGTCATAAATGAACTGAAAATGATTAAAAAAAGAGATTATATTATTATCATTATAGTGAATATTTTAGTATTTAAATCATCGAAATTATTATAGATTGTAAATACAAACAATGATTTTAAAAAGTAATAAAGTGATGTCATAATTAAAAATACTATTCCTAAAAAAATCACTTATTTTTTTGATTGTTAATCTTGGATTAATGTAAAATATTGATTTTTTTCTTTTCCTGTAAATATTAAGAAAATTTGTTAAATAAGAACAAAAATCAATGCTATTCCTTTAAAAAAACAGAAAACTGGAACTAGCATAGCCAATGCTAACACTAAATAATTTATAATAATAATTTACTTTCTCCAGTGAATCTTTTAATGTCATCACTATTAAGTAAACATATTGTCATTGTAAATTGTAAAAGTGATAGGATTGCAGCAACATATCTCGAGAATTAATAATCTGGTAACATTAATACTTCTTTAACAGAACAAACAACACCTAAATGAATTAAATTATTACCAACTGAAAGTTTCTTGTATATTATGCTAACAATCAACCAAATCCACCAGAATTCAGTAATTGTACACATGATAGTGTATATTTTTTCTTGTGTTCCTTCCAACATTATTGTTAAAACTAAAGACACTATTCCTAGGGATCCATCAAAAACACCCAAAGCTACCAAACCATCAGAAATTGAATCACAATACATAAGTCTTATTTTATAATAATTTATTTAAAAACCTAATTTTAGATTAGATAATATATATATATTTTTATAATAATTATTCAAAGAATTTCTAAATTTCTTTTAATAATATTAATTATTTAAATAATGCGTATTATTATTTGTATATTGATAAACCATTTTAAAATTCTTATCTATTTGAATTTTTATAATACTAGTTGTTATATTTAATCAAATAAAATCTTTGTTAATTCGAGAAAAATATTTCTTGGTTATATAAATATTCTAATTAAAATATGAGTGAAAATCCTTTTGAAGTATTTAAAGAAGATATGGAAAATGAAGAAGTATATCTAAGAGTGAATGCCATACATAGAGTTAGGATTATTTGCACATTAATTGGAGTAGATCAAATTAAATCTTAATTGATACCTTATTTAGATTGTAACTAATTATAAATAGACTTAAGCTTTATTGAACAAAGATGAAGATGAAGTCTTATTCGCCATGGCTGAAGAACTAGGAAATATAGCGTAGAAATGAAAATTAAAAACTAGGGAAATAATTCCTAATTAGTCTTCTTGTTTGCTCAATTTATTGGAAAAATTAACAACCTTTGATGAAACACTAGTAAGAGAACAAGCAGTTAAATCTATATCTATTATTTGTCAATTTTTGAGTGACCTTGAGATTGTAAATGTAATTGTACCTATGGTATAAATAATTTCTTTTATAAAATTCTTAGTGGTTAAGATTAGCATAAAATGATACTTATTTTACTTGTAGAATATCTGCTATTAATTTAATGTCTCCTATATATGCAAGAGCAGGAACATAAAAAGATATTATGAGATTGTAAGGCTAGTTTTGAAATAACTAGACAATTCGTTGAATTATGTAAAGAAGAGGCTTTAATGGTAAGAAGAGCGGTTGCCAGTAAAATAGGAGAAATAGCATAATATATGGATAAATCTCATGTTATTGGAGAACTTCTTTAAGCTGTCAAAGAGCTTTGTCATGATTAATAAGATTCAGTTAGATTATCATGCTCTGAAAGTTTGATGAGAATTACATAAATTTTAAATTATAATGAAATCAAAGCTTTTATACTGCCTTTGATTATTCTATAAGCTGAAGATAAATCATGGAAAGTTAGAATGGCTTTAGCATAAATTTTTGCAGATGTAGATTATAATATATTATTTTAGTTAGCAATTGCAGTAGGGAAGGACATTGCTGATTATTAATTACTACCTATATGTTTAAATTTATTAAAAGATACTCAAAGTGATGTTAGAGTTATGGGAGTGAAAAGTTTATTAAAATTTATTAAATTTATATCACCAGAGAAATTAAATTTAATTGTTCCAAACTTACAAATTTTATCTGAAGATTCATTCTCATAAGTTAAATGTAATATAAATATGTAAATATAGAAAATGTTTGTGAAGTAATAGGATTGATAGCTAATTTATTACCAAAAGAATATTGTTAGAATAAATTGCAAAAATGTTTATTTGACTTAATGAGTGATGAAAATACTGAAGTTAGAAGAAATGCAATTAAATGTGTTGGGATATTTGTTATGGCAATTGGATTTGAATAACTAAATTAATTTATACCATATCTTAAGAAATCTATGAATGATCCTAAATGGAGAGTTAGAAAGGAAACAATCTAAACTATCATTTAATTAGCATTGTATAAATCTCATTTAAATTGTATATAGATAAATTAAACAATTGGATACTTTTACATAGTAATTGGAAGAGGTATTTTTATTTTTTTTGAGAGATCGAGCAGCTGAAGTAAGATCGACTGGTTTAAGTTAATTGTCTGAATTGATTTCAGTATATAAATAGGAATGGGCTTTGAGTAATTTCCTTTAAAAATGTGTGGAAATTTTAGAAAAAGATAATGGATTTTTCTTTCGGATAAATGCACTTTATGCAATTCAACAAATTTCATTTGCTGTTGAGAACTATTAGGTTGAAAAAAGATTATGGCCAATAGTATAGAAATACTTAAAGGACCCAATTCCAAATATAAGATTTGTAAGTTTAAAGGTTGCTAAATCATTACTGAAGAAGATTGAAAATTAAGACGTGTTGATTTAAATTAAATAGTAATAATTAATTTAGAATAGATTTATAAATGAAATGTTAGATGATCCAGATAGAGATGTCAAGTTTTATGTTTAAGAGGCATTGCAATATTGAAGCAAGATATATATGTATTTTATTTAAAGAATAATAAGGATTATTTAATAAGTAATTGTATTAAACAAAAATTTAATAATATAATATAATATAATATAATATAATATAATATAATATAATATAATATAATATAATATAATATAATATAATATAATATAATATAATATAATATAATATAATATAATATAATATAATATAATATAATATAATATAATATAATATAATATAATATAATATAATATAATATAATATAATATAATATAATATAATATAATATAATATAATATAATATAATATAATATAATATAATATAATATAATATAATATAATATAATATAATATAATATAATATAATATAATATAATATAATATAATATAATATAATATAATATAATATAATATAATATAATATAATATAATATAATATAATATAATATAATATAATATAATATAATATAATATAATATAATATAATATAATATAATATAATATAATATAATATAATATAATATAATATAATATAATATAATATAATATAATATAATATAATATAATATAATATAATATAATATAATATAATATAATATAATATAATATAATATAATATAATATAATATAATATAATATAATATAATATAATATAATATAATATAATATAATATAATATAATATAATATAATATAATATAATATAAATAATTGATGTTTTTTTTACACATTCTGTTAATTCAGATAGCTATAAGTTATCATTCAATGATCAATCCATATTATGATTGAATCTATATTTCTGTATTATTATCATCAATTTATTTCCAATTGTATCCTTCATGATTTAAGACTTTATTAATTTTGTAATTCAATTTAATTGTTCTATTCTATAACATTGAAATTAAACTCTTACTTAATTAGTGAGATTTAACAAAAATATATATTTAGATCTCTTAACTTCGATGACAAAATCAATTACATTAATTTCTGCAAATTCAGTTTCTAACCATCCAATCTAGGATTCTATCAACATCAAGTTATTATCTTTTCCATCTGAAATCACTCCCTAGATATATTTTTATTATTATTTACTTATCCAAATAATAAAGCATTTAGTTATTGTACTTATATTTAATCCCCAGTGATTTCGAAAAGTGTGTTTGGTAAATATTACTTTGTTTGAGATTAGGAAAGTTTGAAATCAAAACCTAATCCACCTTCCTTAATAGTTCTACATAAGGCAGGATATTCAAAACTATTTATGATATTAATTCCATTTGGCAATAAATCATGTATCAAATCATTAGCCAACATTAAATAGACTGCAATATCAATATCATCAGTAAGATCTATATTTGAAAACTTGAATCCATCTATCTAATATTCTGTGATCCAAAAAGAAAGATTTGAGAGTAATAATCTCAATACTTCCCATTTTCCATAATCTAATTAATCTGTTCCTTCACGAACATATTAAAATTCACTTCCATCCCAACTTTTTAAATATTATCCAATGATTTAATGATCTATATCCATCAAAATTAATAGTCCTTATTGATGAAGATTATCAATGGTCTTTTTTAAATCATCAGGATTTATTTAATTTATATCTAAAGCCATCAAAACTTATTAGGTTATTAATATTGCATTATATCCAGGTATATTTTATAGTTAATTAATACTTTATTTATTTATTTTTAATCCTTTACTTAATTATTTTTATTATAATTATTATTATTAGAATTCATATTTGTTTTCAGGATTCCAAAATATTGCTTATTCTCCATTTTTAACCTAACTCCAAACTGATACTCTCTATAAATCATTGCAATATGTTGTTAATGTGCTTCCATGCACTATTTAATGATTGTCATCATCATCCTTTGGTATAAATACTTCCCAATTACCACCATTGTCAGTTGTACAACTGTACTCATTCAATTTTAACTCTTAAGCATTTGGAGCCCATTCTCTATATGTAATTCCATTATCTGACACTATAAATCCAAACTTTTGATATCTATGTAAACCTATTCCTTTACCCTTTTGCAAAGTCCTTTATTGATGATTCAACCTTTATGATTTATTCTAAAAGTTAAAAGAATTTCTCATTTCTACTCTATATGACTTCTTTCAATTCAGGCTCTTCTATTACTGTCTACAATTGATCAACATTCTTTTCATACTTTTATAGAAACTCTTCATTCTCTAATACTGATTACTAATTTTGTAAAATTCTATATTCATACCTAATAAAATAAAGAATTCTTTTTTGATAATTTTCTATTTGGAACTTTTCTAGACAGTGCTGAACCTTAATCAATATAATTCATAATAATATATTAAATAATTTATTGCTATAAAATCTTATTTGATATTGAAATCAAAACTAGATATATTTAGAATCTTATTCAAGGAATCCTATATAATTAGACTGATGAATTGAGTTTAATGATAAATATCTAATGATAATTTTAACAAATAATTATTATAATTAGTAATTCATATAAATTAAAAATATCAAATCTTGTATTCAATCGAAGTATTTAGTTTTTTTTTTCGATTTCTTTTGAAATACTCTATAATTATCCTATTTAGTTTTTTTTATTTTCCAAAATTATTCAGTTTCTGAATTTTACTGTTTTTCCTCTAATTCATCATAAATGCCTTAATCCGTTGGCCAATCTGATTCCATATCATTTATTTTATTGTGATTTTGATACTTCTACTTGTTAAGTTTTAATGGATTTTCATTCTTTAAATTTAGATCATTAATAATGTAAATATCTTAATCCTCGATCTCATCAATGTTATAACTAATCTAATCATCAGGACATATCCCTAGATTGTCAAGACTTGAATCCAAAACATCATCATTAACCAAATCATTTATGAAATTTGGGTTTTTAGGTTATCCTTTTTTGTATTCAGATATCATTATATAAATAAATAATGGCTGACGATTATCCTTAAAATGTTTTCGAATGAAACTAGATAAATCACTCTCACTAAAATATCATATCAAAAGATATCTGCTTCTGTAAAAAAATGATAAGTTAAATAATTATAGCCATTTTCTTTATATAAATAATATGATTTTTGATTACTTTATTCTATTCGGTATTATTATAAAAACATTCTGAATATAATCAAAAAATACACTATATGTTAGTAGATATATATAAATATTATATCACATGAAATAAGGTTAACTTTGAATAAACTGCAAGTCAACCGCTTTTCTGCTTTTATTATACTTACCAAAATATTCAAGTATTAAAAATGAGAATCTAATGATATTACCATGTTTTGCAGTTCTTAAGAAATCCTTACTCATTCCTGCTTTAGTTAGATCATCGCAATGAACAAATAAATCACTACCATCTAAATCCATTATAATAAATCCATATGATCTGGCTTCGTCATAAAACTTAAGAGTACCAAAATATCTAATCTAATATTTGCATCTCATAGACTTACATTTGAGAGAATATTGGTGCCTTCTTATAAATTTAGATTCAAAGATTGCAAAAGATCATTTTATGGTGTTGTGGAATTAAATAGTGAATTGCATTCTTTCATAAGCAAATCTCCATCTTAATTAATTTCATCTAATAGTTGCATTTATAAACTTGTTCTTGATATATTGGATGGAGAAAGTGGTACATTCTTAACATTAAGCTTATTAATTCTATTGTCTTTTTAATCAGATAAGTATTTGAAAGGATCTGAATATGACCGTTTGTGTCTTCTTATAGGTAAACCTATAATGTCATTAATTACATCAATAAGAATGTCTTTGATTAATTTATGCTTTTCCTCACTACCCTTTTTGCCAACAACATAAAAATAATTGAGATATCGTGCTAGATAAATGCGTTTTTTATAACCATAATTAATTATTTGACACCTAAGATCTCTGTCCTCACATATATCATAAATCACAATTTTCCTCTGAAATTACTAACTTATAGTGTTTAGGTCATCCTCTCTGCATTTGTCGCTTAAAGATTTCCAATACACTATAGTACCATAGAGAGCATATGATATGGCTTTCATTAAGTCCTAGGATCATAAATATTAAAATTACCAAGGCTTGAGTCAAAATTTCTTTATCATCTTCAAATAGAAGTTTTCTGAATGATTCCATTAATTTGGCACTCTCTAAATCACAATTTAGTTTATTCAAAGAAGGTGTCAATTGTAAATCATACAATTTACTTGGAAACATAAATTATTTGGGTATAATATTTTTATTTAATTCTTAACCAAAAATAAAATTTTTAGAACAAACTTAATCTTGGTAGTCTTGAATGATTTGATATCAAAATTAGATAAGAAAATGCAATTTAATTTAATACAATCAAGTTTGTATTTATAATTTGAATTCAATTATTTAGATAAAAACTGAAATTATATATATAACATATAACTTATTTAATTAATTTATTATGTCAAAGTGGGCAGAAAGCAAATATGAGGGAGAGTAATTAGAAGGTTGGTTTCATGGAAAAGGCAAATATTATTTTAGTAATGGGGTCATCTATGAAGGTGATTTTTTTAAAGGAGAATTTCATGGAGATGGAACTCTGATATTTCCAAATGGGGTATTTATTATATTTAAGTAGGGATAATACAAAGCTAAATGGGAGAGAGGGAAGATGCTTGATGGTACTTATTTTTTTGAAGACCATTTGAAATATGAACCTATGGATTGGAAATATTGCATTGGAGATGATAGAAGATTTCATTAGGAAATAAAATAGAGTATAAAACCAGCAGGGATTACTCAAATGACTAAGGATGATATTCTTATTGAAATTCCTGAAGGCACTTATGGTATGAGTTTTTGAAATTGAATTTCAGATGTTGGTGAAGGTTATTATGAGCCTGTGAAATCAATTATTTATAGATATGATGGTTCAATTTTAAGAACACCAAGTGAACCTGAAGTTGAGAACATTTTAAAGAAGTGTAGATACAATCCTAAAAAAGATTTTATCATTGATGGCAAAGATGATAAAGTAATTTAGAAAATGACTCAGAAGTCTTAGTGATTACATATATATATATATTTTAATTATCATAAATTCAAAATGAAATGTGATTTTTGTGAAGAGAGTACTCCAATCATAGGTAGATTTTAATATGTTATTAGAAGACATTATGCGTCATTCATTATTCTTGAAATACTCTCAATCTTAAAATTATCATTACACTAAAGGTATAAGTGAGATATTACACAATTATCGAACATATAATAATATTCTTTATAAAGATGTATTACTCTACGATACACCAGAAGAACTGCTTTGTAAAGTGTTCAACTTTAATATTTTATATGAAAAATTGCAAATGTTGGGTGAGTATTACAAAGTACCAATCAATTCTACTCATAGTTTCATAATGATATTCCTCGTTTGTTTATGATGCCAGCCATTATTCCACTCAATTATTACCATGATAAAAAGAGAAGATTAGAGTATTATCGAATAGCCAAACTTATTTAAAATGAGAACAAGAACAATCCTGATAAACCTCCAAAGGGAATCGTGGGTGACTCGCCATTGCCTTATTCTAGCCAATAAATGACGGCATAAGAAGCAAACTCTTCTGATGAAGTAAAACAGCTCCTCAATCTAGCCGATATCTAAATGTGACAAGATCCTTGAAGGCATAAGTTTCATTGAGACCAAACCCTAATTTGTCAATTTCAAATAGTAACTCTAACAATACCAAATATTGTAATAAGCAATACCAAATTTCAAATATGAAAGTTACAAACCTCAAATAAAATAGTAAGCTATTTAGTTTCAAAAACCAAATAATAAAGATAAATAACAACGTAAATCTAGTATTACTAATATACTCAATATGCTAAAGAACAAAGTTCCAAAAAAAGCTATTAAAAAGAAAAATTTATCAATAAAATCAGATCAATTGCATATAGTATATATTATAGTTATATATTATCATTTAGACACCAAGAGATATAGATATTAAATCTCCTACTAATCGCACTCTATTACCAAATTAATAAAGAATTGCAACTCTCTTGAAATCACCTAAATGTGTAACTCCAAGAGCACCCTAATAGAGTCCTCATCTTCCTAAAAAAGTTCAATAATTAGAAATCAAAGTTATGTCTGATCTATAAACTCTGCTTGCCAAAAAACATTCCAGAAATTCCAAATAATATTGCACTGTCCATTTCGATAGTATAATATTGGGATAGGATCCTAGAAGTCTTACATAAAGGTTTGAATCTGGGAATAATACCAAAGGACAATTTGCAAAGAAAAAACTCAGCATTAAAGACATTAATTAATTTAGAAGAGTAAAAATCTAAGAACCATTATCTAATCGTGATTCTCCTCGTAAATTGAATTTAAAATCTAAGTCTAATGATAAACCTATAAGCATAAATATTAGCACTGATCATAAATTTAATTTCTATTAGCAAATTTAATCAGCCAGATAAGATAAGAATTTTTAATAAACAACAATTATATAAAAATAGCTGAATGGTTAATCTTTATCTTAACAAATTCATCATCAAAAATCAGCCACTGCCAAATCTTTAGGAAAATCTATGAAATTATCTAATATTTTAGATTCTTAAATTTGTAAAGTAGCACTTAATTTAGCTGTGAAGAATATTAGAAGTAGAAAAACTTGAATTATTTTATAAATGTGTTACTTAGATTAATTTAAATCTTAGATATTTAATTAATGGAATCACGATCCTACAATTTCTCAACTGCCAAGAAGAGATCAACACAAATGGAAAGCAAAGTCATTTTGTATCAATATTGAATATTTTTAAGCTTCCCAAGAGAAGATGAAAGTGCACCAAGAACTATTATATTAAAAAAAGAATGTCCAGGAGAATTATCTGCTTTTAAGGAAGTAAACGTTCATCCATAATATCATTTAGTGTGTTATTAGAACTAAGGATGAATCAAAATGTATGTCATTTAAAGATGGTATCCAATTTTACTAAATTAAATAGCTTTGTTGGAATGTGGCAAGCCTGCTTTTAGAAAGGCCAATACTACTCCTGATTATTAATTCTGAGAGTTTTAAAGAGCATAAAAAATTATTAATTATCATAGAATAAATTTTTTTAATTAAAACAATCTCATCAAAAAATATTATTTTATGTCTTTTTTTGTTTTTATTCAAGCAATTCTTTTATTCCAACTAAAGGTGGAATTAATTATTAGCAATTAGGAATATGACTATTAAATGCAGTTTTTAGAGTTTAAATGAAATTAACATCCTATTTTACTAAATATTTTATTTTCACTTTATTCTTTTCATTAATATTATTTTATTTTTTTTAAATTAAATCAAATATTTTTTTAGTTAAGTATTAAAGTTGCCCTTCAAAATCAATATTACTTTCTAAATCAATCTTCTCATTCTAGTAGTTAAGATAATTTTTGATTGATTCTACAAACACTTCAATCTTAAAGAAATCTTTTTATTAATTATTTAAAATATTAAAACAATTTTGTATTTTATTAAGAGATTCTATGCTATTTTATAGTTCAGTTTCTTTTATTTATTGTCTTTTACCCCAACCCTAACCATTTTTATTTGTTTTCTATTATTCTAAATTGATTTTCTCTCTTCCAGTTAGGCAATATAGTTGAAAAAGAGCTTCAAGACAGTTAAGCATTTAATTCTGTTATGTATAAAAGTTATGAGTTTAAAAATACGATTGATTTTATTATTTCTTAAATTTTAATTCTTCTATTTTTTTTCGATATTATTATGCTAATTAATAGTATTCATTTAATTTAGACTGATTTTTTGATTGCCCTATTTCACTAATTTGATTTTTTAAATTTTAATTTTCAATAAAAGAACTAACTTCTTTATATTCTTTGATGAATTTAATTATAAATTATTCCCTTTTTTAATTTTCTTATTTTTCAACTTGATTTTGAATTTCTAACATTCTCTATTTTTATTCTTCAATCCAAGTAATATAAATTTCTTTTTTTTTATTTAAACTAGTTTATTACTACTTTTTGATTTCATTCAATTATTAAATATTTATTTATTAGATCGAGTAAAATTGAGTTATTAAATCAATATTTTATTTGATTTAATTTTCACATTAATTTAAAGAATTGTTAATATTATTTTAAACTTCCTATTTTGAATCATATAATGTGTTATAAATTTGTTCATCTCTTTCATTTAATTTAATATCAAATAATTCAAGTTTAAGATCTTCAAATTAATTCAACAAATATTTAAGATCATTATCCCATTCTATATCGTTTGGTTCTGCTATTTATTTTTTGATTTCAATCAGACTATTAAAAATAGGATCAAGATTCTGAGATAAAAGATTAATTTAAATAGTAATTTTACTTTCTTCTAGTTTTATTTCATTTATGGTTTTAAAATTAGTTTTCTAAAAATCAATAATACTCTTGTTGATATCTTGAGCTATTTTTTAATAGTTATCAAATATATTTATAATTAACGATAATTATTTGGATAGATGCTGATACATAATTTAGTTATTGCATAAAATTGATAAGTTTTAAAATTCATTTTATAAATTATTGATTCTTTTAAAAATAGATTCAAACAGTTATTTTAAATTAGAATTAATTTTTTGTTATTCCTCTTAAACATAAATTAATTCTTTTGTTTTATATTATGAATTTATCTATTCTTTTTGATAATTCTTTTCAAATAATTCTAATTTAAAAATTGAAATTACAAATTATTATTAAATTTCAGAAAATTATTTAAAAAAGTCCTATTTCTAATTCATTTATATTTCATTTAGTAATTAGATTATTCTATTTTTTATTTCCAATAAAACCTCAAATTCCTTATTTAACTACTCAAATTGTTCTTTTAATTCTTCAGAGACATATGGTTATTATGACTAATTAAGATGATCTATTTTTTATTCCCAATCATCCATAGTCTCAATTAAATTTTATAATTGATTTGAAATCATTTATTTTTCCCTTTCTTTTTAATCTAAGATTTTAGATTTAAAATATAATATATTTGATTATAACTTATTTACATTATCGACCAGATTAGACATTTGTAAATTTTATTTTTAAAGTATTTCCACTTTCAAATCTTCTTCTCTAATTAACTTTATTGAATTAACTATAATTTAGAATTCCATATGGAATTTATTATACTACTAATTTAAAATTTCATATTATTTTATTGAATCCATATCTTTTTAATCTAAACTATCTATTATTGTATAAACTTCCTTTATTTATTCATTTTATTTTTAAAATAGTTTTTGTAATTAAGATATTTCTTTTTCAGACTCAACTAATTAGTCTTTCAAAAATGATTTTTCATGTTAAATCATTAATTAATTTTATTCTTCTTTAATTTCTTCAAGAAGTTAATTTGAATTTTGAATAAAACTTTCAATTAAATTAGGGCATATTAATTCTTAAGAACTATTTTTAATTTATTCTAAACTTTTAATATTTACATCAATCACGCTGTTGTATTAGTTTTATTAAGAATTTGAATTTAAAATTAATTGAGAGAGTTGTTAATGAATTGATTCTATTTAATTAAATTTATCTTTTAATTATTTCTCATAGTCAAAAATAAATTTTAAAAATTTTTATGATTAATTCAGTTTAGATTAATAATTCAAATCTTTTAATTAATTATTAATTAACATTTAACTTTTATTTAAATTCTATTAAACACTCATCAATTAATTTTAAAATAAGGTTAAATTTCTAGATCTCTTTTCAAACTCTTCTTAATAATATTTCTAAAATTATTCTTTAAGTAAAATTTTATTCATCTATTCTTTATTTTTTAATTCAGTTTGAATCTAATTATCCATCTCTTTTTGAAGATCAAGTTCTTTATTTTTTAATTCTTATTAAAAAATTAATTAATATTTTTAGTCCATTTATTTTATAATCTTCTACTTTTCCTCTTCATATTGATATTTTAATTGTTCTATTTATTACTAATTACAATTAAGTATATTTTTATTGTATTCTTCTTTTAAAATATTAAGTTCTCTTTATTATAAAGCTTTAAGATTCTCTTCAGTTTCTCTTTGAACTTGTATTTTCTATTTCATTAATTCTTATTGATAATATTCAATAATATCATTTTTACTTTGTTCTATTTCTAATTTGTGTTATTCATTTAATTTCTCATATTCTTGCTAATATTTTTATTCAAACTCTCTTTAAAATTCTAACCTAAGTTGTTCCTTAATTTCAGGTTTCAGTATAGAATTATATTTATAATAATTATTATTATTATGTTCTTATGGCTTAATATTTAATATTCTTGACAATTCTGTTAAAACAAACTCTGCATTTACTCTTTTTGAACTTTCTCTTATTATCATCATTTTTAATAGGTTTTTAATTTCATTCGAATATTTTTAGTCATCAATGTATAACCTATCAATCTGAGTATTAATATTGTTTTAATTTAGATCTAAAATATTTCTCAATATTTCTGCAATGGAATTTCCTTCATAATTTATTAAATTTAATACCTTTCACCATTACTTATTTAGCCAACATTTCATAAAGTATCATTCCCAAAGCCCAAATATCAATTTTCTCATCATAAATTGATTAATTTATTTATTCAGGTGACATATAATATGGTGTTCCTACACTGATTGTTTTCCTCCCATTCTATTGTCTAATCAATCCAGTATCACATAACTTTAAGTGCTTTTAATTATTTCTTTCCTAATAAACAACGTTTTCCAATTTTAAATCTCGATGTATTAACGATAATTAATGTAATTCACTTGTTCCTTTAACTATCTTTAAGTATATATTTGATAACTACTTAAATGAAATAACAAAGTATTTCTTATATATCATCAATTTTTGATTTCTTCCAAAAATCATGAAATGACCCATCAGCCAAGTCCATAACAATTATTGCTTAATTATTGTATTAATCTAAGTCTAAGATATTAATATTATGATTCAAATTTTATTGGCTAAGTATTTCTAAAGTTTATAATTCTGAATTTTCTATGTAAGGTTAAATCTTTAATGCCACATATTATTTTTAATTATTGCACACTTTATAAGCTCTATAGACAGATCCTCCAGACCCTTTTCCTAATACTTCTTCCAACACATATAGGAGTCTATTTGATGTAAAAATTGTGAATTTCTATTAATTCATTACTTAAAATTATTTAAACAGCATACAAGCACAAAAATAACTAAAAACATTTGTAATAAAAATAAAAACTAAATATATTATCATATCAAATACTACAACTTAAATGCAATAATTACTTAAGAATACAGATTTTCTAATTTATATAAAGATTCATAATTTAACTAATTAGACAATAAAAATTCTTTAATATTGCTTAATTCTTTATTTATACTTCATTATAGTATCACAGTCAATAATTGCATTAACTGAAAACTTTTTTATTTTAATTATACTGACATCTTTCTTCCATATAATTTTTGTAATTTTGCCTTATCCTCCATAATGTGAATTTTGAGTATTTTTATTCATTCTTTTATACAATTCAATGTTTATTTATGTATTTTGCATATAGATAGATTATCATCTCCTTAACATTTTAATTCTTTATAGAATTTGTTTTTTGATTTGAATTTCTGATTCTTAAATTACCAACTTGAAACTCTCAGTGATTAAATATGCCTATTGGCTTAAATTTTTATTTCTTGAATCTGATCATTGGTTTTGTTTTGAAAGTATTGAAAGATGAGATTTCTTTTTAAGGAAACTAGAAATTCTTAAGGGTTAGTATATTATATAATATATATAATAATTCATTTAGGAGTTGGTTTCTTATCAAGTATAGCTATGGACTAATCAGCATAGTGAACAACTGGCATCTCAAAGAGATTTTTTGGAACTATAACTTTCACCAGTTATTATTATTCATTCTATGTAGATAAAGTATAAATTGATGCAGGATAAGTTTGAATGTTAATTCCTCTAAAGGCTGCTGTTAATAATCTTGCAGACATCTTAATTCCGATTTAAAATTTATTTATTAAACAAACAATATTCTACATTTTCTTTAAAATTCAACATCATAACGTCATAATTGAGTTCATTAAATTTTTATTTTTTATATTTTGTCGAACATAAATAATACAATTGTTAAATTTTTATAAAATTTTTATAATGCTTTTCATTTTTATTAAAATTTTACCAAAAAGAACTTAAGTTACTAAATCAATGAATAAAAAATAAATTTCATAGGTTTAAATAATATTTGAAATTTTGAATGAAGAACAATAAAATGAAACAAAATAGATATATAATTTTTGTATTATTTTTAATTAAATTCGTTTTAATAATATAAAATAAAATGAATAATGATTATAGAGAAGTGAATCAAAATGAACAAGAGGAATAATAAATTTATTTAGAAACTCCTATTTATAAAGAAGCAGTGAGTCATTTTAGGACCACTTAATATTATTTTATTTCATTTAACTCTTTGAAAATTGGATGTGGATTTGCATTATTGTATATGAATCACGAATAAACCTATTTAAATTATTGGATTCTTGCAATTATGTTTCATGCATTTATTATGATCATTATACATAAGAATCACTTAAAATATTTAACTATGAATAAAAGAGTATTGGCATATAAATTAGATTAAATTGTTGCTGCTCCAATTGTAGATTAAGTAATTGAATCAAGAAAATTAAATATATTATCACGACAAATAAAACTAGAAATAGTCAAAATGACAATCTTTGGCAAATGGTGTTGCAGAATAATTACTATAATTTATTAACTTATTTTTGGTTATGGAGTATACTTATTTTGTATATATTACAGTATGAAATCAGCAGAATTAATGAATTAATATTACTTTTTATGTGCAATCCTTATAATCTCTCTCTATCAATACATTGATCTTTATTTGATATTAGTCTTTGCAATACTAGGTTCACCATTTTTACTTATCTTTGGTTGTTATTACTGCGCAAACCTGTAATGAAATTTACTTAAATGAATAGATTTGGAAAGGAACAACAAAGAAATGAGATTAGAACTAGATTATAAGGAATCAAATATAAACCAAATTTAATAGAAGGAGAGTAAGAATGTTGCATTTGTAGATGTCCTTATGAATTAAATGAAGAAGTTGTTGTTCTGAAATGCTCGAAATTGCATCATTATCATGAAACCTGTATTATGGTATTTTAATTATTTTCTATTTTTAGTCTTGGGTTAATATCAATAATACGTGTCCATTCTGTCGGAAATCTATTTGATTAAATCATTTAAATTGAAAAATATTTTACTAACCAATTAATTAATTAATTTTAATTATTTCATGGATTTTAAGGAGGTTAATGCCAATAAACAATACAGAAAAAATCACTTTGAAAAAGAGATTAGAGATAAGGCAAGGAGATAATTAGAATAGGAGGAGGTGGAATAAACCAAAAATAATTTAAGAAAAAAAATTAAATCACTTGAAGATGTACATAGAAGAGACAGATCTGGCAATAAAAATTTGAGTAATTTTCAAGGGAATGGTGGAAAATTCAATAATTGGGGTAATGATAGAGCAATCAATAAAGTATTAAAGAGAAAAGATAGACAATAAATAAATGATTAAATCTGAATTTTCTATATTATTTAAATTAGAAAATTGTACTCTTTTCTACAATAATCTTTAATTAAAAAATAAAAAAAAAATTGATTATGAATTATTTTCATTTTTTTAAATGTGTTTAATAATCTATTTGTATCCAATTTCCTCCTCCTCCAACATTCCATTAAATCCCATGGTTACCAAAATATTTTTTATTCATTGATTTTAAATAATTTTGTAAAGGTATAGACTTTCCATAATCTAATATTAATAAAATTCCTAATCGGATTCCTTTATACCAAATTAAGTAAAGTATAAAATAACTATATAGAGTCATTATGATTGGATCTGCAAAAACTATAATAAACAACCCAATCCACAAGTACATAAATAGAAAAAGTATTAAAAAACATAGGAAATGTAATAGAAATTTCATGGTAACCTAAAATATTAGTAAATAGATAAGAACTTTTTTAAAAGAATTTTTATATGGATTTAAACTCTTAGATTTGGATAAATCATTGCGTATATGTTACAATATTGTTTTGCTTATATTAGTAGTGAATATACAAATACTCTTAAAAATATTTGGACAGTATATTAAGATCATTATCTGTTAAATCATATTTTTCTGTTTAAAAATCATAAGGAACTATAATTTAATTTTTTTTAGGAACAGGAATGAAATCAATTTTTTTATCATCTTATTACATTTATAAAATTAATGAAAAGTAGTATAGTTAATTAAAACTAATTAAGATTTATCTATTCATAATGAAATTGTTTATACATTATTCAAATAGTCAATAGATACACAATATTATCATATAGTTAATCATTTATTTATCTTTATAAGTAATAAATTAATAACTGCTTGATGTATATTGATCCAGCTGACACTAAAGCATGGGCAGAAGAATTGAAAGAGTAAGATTCTATATTAAATATAGATATCAAGGGAATAGAAAATAAAAAGTGGAATTTTAGAAACCAAAGATCTTCACATAAAAAGAAATGAAATAGAAACAGACTGAATTCAATCCTGTTTTATAAACTTATCAAAATCCAGAAAGGGATGTTAAAGAGAAGGATAAAGATTTTCAAAAGACATCAACATTAGCATAAAAGAAAATGGTATTGTGATTTTAGATTTGATAGGAAATGGTTAAGAAATATATGCATGAATATGATTTAGTTAATTTAGAGTAAATTTAAGGAATAGAGAGATTAGATGAGAGAGAGAAAACTAAATAATGTTTAGTATATAATTAAATTATATGTTAGTTACCACCTAATTTTAATGATTATAATATAATTACAAATGAAAAAAAGAGTGAAGAATACTATAAAAATATGAAAGTTGTTGTTTAGAAAAGAGTTCATGAGAAACCAGTCATTAATAGAAATAAGAGAGATTTTAATATCATTACAAATAAGTTCGAAATTAAAATTATTCAGGTTTTTGGATAATCATGAATTAAAAGCTTAAGAATAAGAAGTTGCTATAATGTCAGATATTAATGATAAATGTAAAAGAGTTAGAAACTATGATATTGTTGCAGGAACTTTTTATAATGATGAAAAAGAGTAGGAATATTAATAGTATTTTTTCCAATAAAAATGAGGAAATTAAAATAGGACTAATAAAATCATGGCAAACATTTTAATGATAGATTTCCACCATCTTGGAAATTTAGAGAATCAGTTTATTTAGATTAAACAAAAGAGATACCTGAAGAAATTAAAATGATTGATGAAATCAATAGAAATCATAAAAAACGTTATGAAATAAGACATGTTTTAGAAAATGAATATAAAGAAAGAGATTTATAAGATTAAATGAGAACTCAAGATAGATTGATAAAAAGACATAAATATGATGATTTAATTAAAAAATATGATAAAGGTAATAATAATTAATAAATTTATAAATAGAATTCGATATAATTACTTTAGAAAAACCAGAAATAGATCATATTATTAAAGCATTACCACCTAAACCACCTTTAAATTCTTGGGAAAAGGTTCAAATGACAAAGTCAGTGTCAGATGCTCCAATTCATGAAGTAAGCATACCTGAAGGGATTGAATTTAAAGATAATGTTTAAAATCAAAATGAATCTTAAGGGAGAGTGAGATTTCCATAAGTAAATAGATAAGGAAGTGAGAAATCATAAAAATCTATCTCTAAATCAAATAAATCTGGACCAAAATCGATAGTTCAATCATAGAAATCAAATATTTAAGGAACTGAAATAAAGTCTGGAGGATTTTTTTGATAATTTGTGATAAATTAATTATAATAGAGAAATTTAGATTATTTTAAAATTATAATGTAAATAGTAATTATTTTAATATATTAAATTTATAGAATATAAAAATAAATTATATTTATTAATATGTTTATATGTAAATTATCATTTTCTGATTTTACTTAATTGTTAAAATGCTGAGTTATAATTAGTTGAGTTATAATTTGTTGCTGACATTTTATATGAGGATGATTTCTAAATACTACCTTAAGAACCTTTTCTTGAGAGTTAATGTTGAGAGACCTACAAAGCACTTTGACTTTATAGGTTTTATGATAATGTATTTTATAAAACTGTCGAGACACTATTTTAAATGTTTTACATTGATTATTTTCTAGGGATTTATTTTAATGGACTCCCGCTATCAACATTAGGAAAGATTGATTAAGATTGTTTTTTTTACATCATCATATTTGGACTTTAATAAATAAATTAATTTGTAGGTTCATTATTATATGTATGTTCTTATGATGTAGTTTTTTTTCTTAATTATTAAGTATAAGATGGTGTTTTATGATGAAAAGGTCGATTGACATTTTGAGATTCATATTATTTATTATCACTAATATCTGTGTTAGATGGTTCTGAATCTTTGCTTTTTTTGAGAAATGAATCCTTCTTTGTAGGTGATGTAGATTTCTCAGCACTTATATTAACTGGAACATTCTTTAAATTACGAATCAAAATTTAATGTTCCATTTTCTTCTTCTAGGTTATATGAGAATAAAGAGCATCTCTATATTCTTTTACTGTAAATTTATGATTATCATCCATGAAAGTTTCAATTGCACTATCTAAGAAATATCTAATTCAAATACCTCTAGAAATTTCATCTTCAGTTCCTTTGAATTCTTTTACATAAGGATGATTTAATGCTTATTCAACTGTCATTCTTTTGTATGGATTATAAATCAGAGTTTACCTTATATTTAAATTCACATCATTACCTGATGAAATCAATTGCTTCATCTTCACCTGAAGCAAATAATTATGTTATGCTTTTTCTTTTTTAGGTACTGATATTAGATATTACTTAATCAGCTAATGGAGCTTTAATAGCATCCAATTCATCCTATTTAGGTCTTCCAATCAATTCAATAATTCTCTCAATTTAATTTAGAGTTGAAGTTCCAGGAAAGATAGCCTTCCCTATTATCATTTCTCCCAAGATACAACCTAAACTCCACATATCAACTGCCTTGGAATAATGTTAAGAACCCAACAATATTTCTGGAGCTCTGTACCATCTAGTAGCTACATATTCAGTAAGAATTGGATTGCCTAATCATTGTTATCATAACAACACTTACTATTGTCATCTGGTTTAGCTACACTCCTTGCTAAACCAAAGTCAGCAACTTTGACCTTGCATTCTGAATTGATAAGTAAATTGGAAGGCTTTAAATCTCGATGGATTAGTTCACCAGTGTGAAGATATTTGAGACCTTTGAGTATTTGGTATATTATATATTTTTTATGAATGGGTTCTAAGATGTTTGCTCTTATGACCTTAAAATTACTATTAAATATCAATACTTTATGAAGATCTGTTTCCATAAAGTCAAACACCATATACAGATCTTTGTTATTTTCTGCTTTTATGACACATGTTAATTTAATGATGTTTTCATGGTTTACCAACTACTCTAGAAAAACTACTTCACGAAATGTCCTTTGTGAATCAGTGGCATTATGAAATGCATCAAAAATCTATCACTTTTAAACTAAAAGTACTTTCTTCAATGCAACAATCTATTTTGTTTTACGGTCAACTGCCTTCCAAACTACTCCATAAGCTCCTTTTCCTTTAAATTCAAGTAGTTCAAATTTCCTTTAAATATGATCTTCCACTTAACAGTGTTCATCTTCCTTCTAGGATGATTTAGATTATGGTTGCATTTATAATAATATTAATAATCTTCCAAAACAAAAAAAATAGTATCAAGTATGATATTTTATTCAATCTATTTATGATTGTTAATAATCTAATTTTAGTATTAACTACTACTCTTAATAAATCTTTTAGAATCTGTTATCCCTTTTCATAACAGATTATTTATTTACTTTATTTTAAACTATAAAAATACAATAGATGTTATATTCATTCTAATTATTTAACTACCTAAATCTAAATATTTATTAATATTATTTTTCAAACTAATATCTAAATAAGTATTCTATAATAATACATAATCAATACTATTTTTATATATACTACATCAAATCAATCATATGTCAAAAATTTAAACTTTAATATTTTAAAATATGAAACATAAAATAAATAATATACATCATCATTACTAAATTTAAATTTAGATATCCTAAACAATCTCAATCAATTAGGAAAGATATTCTACCTTCATTTTGTCGAGATTTTAATTTTAACAATTTTTATACATTTATATTTCTATCATTAATTACTCTATCATTAAGTCTCTTTTTCTTAATTATTTTTAAAGCTCAAATAATTCTTTAGAGTATTAAGATTTTAATTCTAATAACTCTTATTCCATCTATTCTTTAGTTTCTTTAATTAAATCCTATGTCTTAGCTCTTTCTATTTCAATTAAATTATCTTCTTGTATTGGATCCTCTTAAACAACAATTTAACTTCTTTTTATCTTTGATACTTCAGATGTTTTTTACTCCAGTTCTTTTGAAAGCATGTAAATTTTTGTATTTAAATATACAACCTTATTATATTAAATAATTGCCTTACCTTTTATTCATATACCTATTTTACTAATTCTAATTCTTGACTATTCAATTATTCCAATTTTTATAGTTCTTGATGCATAAAAACTGAAATTAAAATTATTTAATTTATTATTAAGATTATAATTTAATAAAAAAACTAATTAAAATACAAAGTAGTTTTTATCATTCCTATTATCTTCTCTATTTGAGAACAAAGGAACTATCAATCATAGGTTGAAGGTGATCTGATTGCTGTTAATCAAATTCTTTTAATTAACCAGGAGAGTGAGAAGTTTCCTATTCTGGATATTTAAATGATTTCTATTTTTATTTTGATTTACTCCCAGGTGTATTACGTAAAGGAGTCCTTCCTTAAGGAATTTCGAGTTTATTCTATTGGATTAGAAAAGGATGTTTTAATAATTTGGTAGCATTCCATCGTTTATGTTCATCAACCCTAATAATATATTTACTCCCTTAAATACTCTAAACAATGCGAAACAAAATTTTTAGCTTCTTCAGAAAATCCTTCTGGAATTTCTGGTATTTCACCTTTACCTATTCTGATCATAACTGCAAATTAATTTGTTAATTGATGCCATGGTGGCTTACCTGTAGCCAATTCTATCATAGTACATCCTAGACTCCAAATATCAGCCTTCCTCCCAGATTTTTATTATTTTACTACTTCAGGAGCCATAAAATTAGGAGTTCCAAATATAGTGCTATTGCTATTTAATGCAATCTTCTTACTGCTTCCAAAATCAGCCAATTTGCAAACTCCTTAATTGTCAACTAATACATTTGCACCCTTAATATCTCTATGCATTATGCCATTTTAATGTAAATATTCTAATCCCAATAAAATTTAGCGCATATAAACTTTAATCAAAGGTTCCTTAAAAGGACCAAATTTTTGAAGCATTGAACTCAAAGATCCACCTGCAACTCTTTCCAAAAAGATATTTAATGTCTTTTCTGTACGTTCCATTCCATAATAAGAAACTATATTCTTATGATTTATTAAAGAAAGTAAATCGATTTCTATTTCAAGAGCTATTATTCGATCTTCATTTCGAACATCAACCATTACCTATTTAACTGCCATCAATTATCCTGTATCTAGATTCATTGCCTCTATTACTCTTCCAAATGAACCTTACCCAATCACTTATCCTGGAGTCCAACGTATTTTTTTGGGTTCACTTTTAATAAGACTTAATAGTTAATTGCGATCAATGCAACGTAATTCATCTGCATCATAATAGTTATCTTCATTTCCATATAATGTTTTCTCAAACACTTCAGACTTCATTTCATCAATTCGAGAACGTTGAGTATCAAATTTCTTAGTCTATCTGAGACTTGGATTATTGGAACTGGCTGCCACATGAGCCTTTCTTTTCATGCAACAACCCATTAATATTATTTAAAAATAAATATATATAACAAATATCTATTATTATAATAATCCACAAATTAATTAATATTATTCTTGTAAATTGAGAAGAATGCCTATTTAACCATTTTAAAATTTACTAATTTTTTAAGTATGTTTATTAAATACAAAACAAATATTTATTATTATATCATAAATAAAATATACAATTTTATTCTTTTTATAATAATATAAATTTATTCATATATAATTATTATTCATAATAACTCCAAAAAAGAAGGTAATAAAAATTGTATAATTACTTATTTCTATTTTAATTAGTTTTAGAAAAAATGAATTAATATTAATAAATAAAATATAGATTTATACTTGTTAAATATTGTTATTAATTAATAAATAATTTTCAATATTCATCATTATCTTATTAATATGAAATTAAATAATATGTGTCTAAAAATAATTATATTATTGTTTTTCATATGTTTTTAGCTAATAAAAATTTAAATTATAACATATTATATTTATATTAATATATGAAATTTTACATCATATTTACAATTCTGTATTGTATTAATGCTAAAATAAATTATCCAACAGCTTGTGATTGCAATGAACATGATAATTAAGAATCATGTGAGGCACATAAATGTTTTTGGAATTAAAATGAGTGTAGAATATCTGAATGCAATGAGAGAACTTTAGAAAATTGTATAAAGGCTTCATAATTTTTAAGCTCAAATCCAAAATATTGTTATATTAAGAATGATAATTGTGTTGAATTGAATAGTTGTGAATAATTGTAAATAGTAGAGAATCCTAAAATTGCAAGAGAAAAATGTTAATTATTTTAGTGTGCTTATGATTTAGTTAGTGGTTATTGTTTTAAAGCAGAAAAATGTGATTAAATATATGATAAAGAGACTTGCAATAGTTATCTTATAGCATAGAGTCATCCTCTTTCTTTAGAATCATTTTGTTATTGGGATGGAACATGTAAAGAAAGAAAAAATTGGATATAAAATTGCGAATTAATAGATGAATAAGATGTCTGTGAATAAGCTGGATGCAGATATAATAATAAAGTTTGTTAAGAAATAGAATGTGAAAATCTTAGCAATAAAGAATGTAATGGAGAATATGTGAATAATTTAGGAAATACATTTTTATGTTAATTAATTGATTAAAAATGTTAAAAAGTAGAAATATCAAATCTCAATAAAATAATATGTAATAAATTAATTGGACATACATTTGGCAATAATAAATGTAGAAAATGTATATCATATGCATAACATTCTAAATAATGATTAAATTTTTGCATATTATTATCAAATATATATGTTAAATATTTAAATTTACATCAAAATTTTATTTGTTTCTTTTATGATACAAATTTATTACTGTAATTGAAATACATATTTTTATATAATATAATTTGTAAATATATCAATCAAACTGATTTATAAGTATATATTCTTTAGAGTTGCATTTTTAATATGCAAGTAAATATTATTTGAATCATTTCTTCAATTATTTTATTTAAATAAACTTGTTTATGATTTATTGTAATTATTTTAAATCGTTTAACTTACTATTTAACTCAACTCAAATTATTATATAACTATTTAATTGGATAATATTTGAAAAGTTTCATAACATATTGATTATCTTAAAAATTTAAATAAACTCATAAATTTAGGAATAAATTTACAAAATTATTTTGGATACAAATAAAAATATACTTTTTAAGGAAATAAAAGATGATTTATAAATCTTATTTTATTTTTATTAATTTTAGATATGTATATAATTATAAATGATAAAATATCATAGATAAATAAGTTTTGCTAATATTATGAATATTAGATGTTTAATCAATATTAAGAATTGATACCTTAATTATATATTAATAATAAATGATTTCGAATCCTATGATTGATACTGACTAACAAAATCAACAAACTAGAAGTGGTCAATCTTAAGGCACCTACTAAATAATAAAATCAAACTAAGTAGAACTATCTATTCAAAATAAATTGATTGAATAAGATGTTGACTATCCTAAAGTGCCTTAATCAAGAAATAAAGAAAAATTATTGTGTACTAAATGCAATCAAGTGGTTGAAACAGATGTTTTATTTGAGATGGGTAGGTGTAGTTATATATTGATGTTCATTTTAATAGTAGGCATAGTAACAGCTGTCCTTGCTTTCTTACCTTGTGTTCTAGATGGATGTAAAGATGCTAAACATAGATGTTCAAAATGTACAAAACTTATAGGAACAAAGCAATTTATGTGTGGATGAATTAAATCATATACTATATATAACTTAATTAATTAGCAAACATGTTGCCTAATTGTCTGATTCATATTGTTGAATTTAATTAACTATATTAAAATTGAATCAACTACATCTTCATTCAATACTATTGATAATTAATTTTATTGTGGAAATTAATCATATAAATTTAAATATCAAATTTAAGTTAGTTATTTGCATTAGAAACTGTTACTGATAACAAATCCATCATATATTCTTATTAAGAATTGTTAATAATAACTATTTGTTACAAATTTAATGAAACATTCAACATATCATTTATATCTAAATGTGTAACATCATTAAAATTTCACACATCTTTAGTTGAAGTCAAAAATTAATTTATAATTAAGTTAAACTCAACTGTTAAGTTTTTAAAACTAAAAACTAAAAAAAGTAGTACTAAATACTACTTTGAATAATTTTATAATATTAATTAATACTAATAATAATATATATATATCAAATATTAATATCTGATTAATCAAACCCTTGACTTTCTAATATAATTGCTACTAATCTCATAAATGTTTCCAATTCTATCTCAAATTCATTGTACTTGTCTTATTGCAAATGTTTTAAATAACTTTGAAGTAATTTTTCTAAAAAAATAACTCTATGTATATGATTACCTTCAATATCAAAACCCATGCTCTAAAATATGGCTTTGCTATTAATTAAAGTAATTTTATGTTCCTAATTAGAGGCAGACTCAAATTATAAAGCCAAGTCTTCCATCTCTTATTTAGAATACATCTCATCTAATGGAATATGTATAGCTCTATAAATGATTCTCTCCTTTCTAGCCAATTCCATTGAATCTTTAAGAACATTTGTAGGATCTTGTAATTCAACTTTAGGAATATCTGGCAACACATAAGGATCCATGAAATGCTTTTCTCTTTCCTCTTTCACTGTATAAGGATCCTCTACTTCAGAATATACTCCAGTTTTGGGCATATCATCTACCCATTCTCCAACAAATACTTGATTCTTAGTAGCAAAGAAGTAAGATCCTTGACCTTCCTATATAAATAATAATATATATAATAATTACTCTTTTATCATTTACCCAATAACCTTCAAAATGATCACCATTTCTTTTAGTTAATACTCCATAACCACTTCTTAAACCCTTAAACCATGATCCTTCATAGACATCACCATTTGCATAAATCATACGTCCTTCTCCATGAGATTTATCATCTTACCATACACCATCATATCTATTTCCATTCTAATAAAACATAGTTCCTTTTCCTGTTTTCTTATCATTCACCCAATCACCTGTATATTCTCTTCTCATTCTAAAATCATAAAATTGAATGTTTATACTTATTCTTTCCTTCACTCACCCAATATGTACCTTATCCATTTCTTTAATTATCAAACCATCCACCTTCATATTTATCACCATTTCCATAATATTATACACCAAACCCACATTTTTTATTTTGATTCCAATCACCTACATATTTTTAATCAGCCACCCATCTCTCTTATTTTTATGTTCCATCTTCATTCTTTGTTTAACTTTTTACCCAATAAATTGCTTTATGTAATCCATTTTTCTCTGCCTTTTAATCATTAATCTACCATTATCGAGCAACTTTCATTGAATTATTCTTTACTGATTATTTCTACTACGATTATGAATAGTAACTGGCGTCTTAATACATAATTTAAAATTAATAATATAATTTAAACTAATCCTCAATTATATTAACATATCCATCTTTTCCATTAAGCAATATATATATATATAAATTTTATATTGATATATATATATGTATAATCCATTTATAATATATATCTATTACAAAATTGTTTAGTATTATTCAATCAATAATATATTAGTTTATATTCTTCATATAAAAGTTATCCATATAAAATATATTTGATGAATTATATTATTATGATTTCATAACTGCTTTCTTAATTCAAACAAATAATATATTTCTCTATTCTTTCTCTAACTTTTTCATTACAATAAGAAAATTTTAATTATGAAGCATCCTTTCTCTAAATGGATGGCCCCTACTTAAGGTTTTATGATAATTTGGATATAAATAAAAAGATTTTTAAACCAAAATAAAATCTTGTGCGTAATATGAACACCCTTAAAGTGTTAAGTGATATAGTATTTGATAAGAATGAAAAGCTAGAAATAGAAAAGGAAAACTCCTTTACTTATTGTGAACCTCATTATATGGCAGAGAATGAATAAGTAATATATTATGCATATATTTGAATTAGGAGGAAGAATAATAAGAGGAGATACAATTACCTGTTTATTCACCTTAGTAGTTATCACATTTCAAAAGACCTAAGCCAATTTCTTTTGATGAATTCAATCTAGATGAAGATCCAAAAAAAAAAGTATGCACTTAAATGGAATCATCTACTACAACAGAACAATCAGAAGTATAACAAATGGGAGATTTGGAAAGATTGGCTGATATGCTCTAACGTGAAAATTAAAAGAAATATTCATACCCCAAGAATTTACCTGCTCCTTCTAACATCGATAATCATTTAGGTGAATTGATTTTGAGATTCAATCCATCACAAAAATAGGATGAATTTGTTTCAAATTATGTAAAGGGAGATGATTTATTGAGAATCAAAGTTGGATTATGTGATGATATCCTAAATGATGAAGAAACATTAAAGTTTGAAGATTGGGTTGAATAATTATGTACTTCAACTAATCATGAATCACTCAAAGAAATGGCAAGAAAATAAAAAGTTAAACGATATCTAGAAAAAAAACATAATAGAACTTATGAAAAGAAAGTTCATTATCATATAAGATAAAAGGTAGCTGAAGAGAGATTAAGAGTCAAGGGTAGATTTGTAACATGGGGATAAGTATGTTAATTATTATATATTAATATAGGCATTGAAGATGTTGGATGAAAAGGACATCAAGAAATCATGGAGTTATAATGACTATACTAAAATAAAGAGTTTATTGAATGAAAAGTATGGAGCTATAAAAAGTGAAAAGTCATTGAGATTCTGATTGTTTTACAACACTTACGTATGTTAATATATTATATTTCTAAATTGATTTATAATTAAATATTGATCTTTTCTCAAAGTTTTTAATTCAAAAAATATTAAAGATTATGTATATAATCATTAATAATTTTACAATATCAATCTCAAATGAATCTATTAAATAACTTTTAATATCAATTAATTAGTGTAAAATAATAATTTTCCTTTGAAAATGAATTAATTTCTTTGTACTTTCATAAAAATTTTAAATATTTATTTTAATCCAAAATTACATAAGATCTAATTTAGATAATATTTATATGGATAAAATAATTTTTTCATGTTAAAATAATTTAGTATAGAAATTAATTTTTCATTATAATTAATAAGAATTTTAATAATTGAATTATGAATGATATCAATAATCAAACTTATTATTAAATTTTATTGAATTAAAATAAGAGAATGATGAGATTTAAATTGATCTAAATGTGGTATAAAAATAATAAAAAATAATTATAAAAATATTGATAAATTATTAATTATAAAAATTAGAAGATGTAAGGGGGTAGGTGAAAATATTATAGTGTATTTGGACTTATGAGTATAATATGTAGATGGGAATATAATAATTATTTTAATACCTTGAATGAAGGACAACTGTGTCTTAAACTTACCTTCTAATACATCTTATCCTTAGGAAAATCAATATGGTTAATAAAATGAAATTAGTGAGACCAATAGCAGTCAAAGAACGAATAATGGAAGTGAAATGGGTTTTAGTTAATAAGTAAGGATAATTATAATGATTTATAGGATGGGAGCAAGAAGACAGAAGGTATAAAAAAGAAAATCAACAAGGAATAAAGTTAAAATGGGATAAAAAATCAAGGCCATTGGACTAATCAGGAACATCAAATATATGTAGAGTTCTTAGAGTAGCATCACAGCACATCAATGTAGAGCCAATAAAATAGAAAGAATAACAAAATCTTTAAGTTGATGTCATAAACAATTGGAACCAGATCTCCATCTTAGTGTAGGTAAAATAAAGTAATATGTAGATCGCATCATCAGAAATTCAACCCTTATACTGCAGCAGGGTAAAAGAGGAACAAAAGAAATCAAAGGAGAATTTGTAATTAAAAGTTGGATGGAGAGAACGTATTAAATATCATAGCAAAGCCTATGATAGAATATAATACTCCAATGGTTAAGCCCATTTTAGGTATGATTGATGAAAATACTTATAAGATTAATGTTATGATGAGTGCGATGATTACATCTCAAACTATGAGGATTCACGTCCTTAGTTATACAACTATTGTCGCAACTCCAACTTCAATAATGCATACAGAAATAGATGGGATCGTGATTAAGACCTTTATTGAATGGAGTTAATATAATATATTCGATTTGTTTATAAATTATAATAAAAAAAAACAATATAATCATTCATCTGTAGTATCAGTTTAATCATTGCAACAACAATACTCTGAAATTACATCTCCACATGCAGATTCTGCTTCTTATAATTCTAATTCATCAAGACCATCTTGTAAAAATATATGTAAATAAGCTCGCTTTTGAAAAAGAGTTCTATATTGTTGTTACAATAAATTAAGTTTATTTCCCATAGCAGTATGATGATTGATTGAAAAAGCCATTAAATCACATTATTTTTATTTGACTGGACAAACGCTATAAGTGATTGGATCAGCAATCCATTTGACAAATTATATATCATCAGAATTAATAGTCTATTTGAATTCTTACTGGACTGAAAATACATCAGTATTACCATAGATCATGATTTGTTAAGCTAAAAATAGACCTTAAGATAAAGACATCGAGAATGTTTGGTTTCGTTTAGAGTAGATTTCTTTACTCATTTATAGTAGACTTGGTGAATTGATATATGAAAATAAAGGAGCTAATGATACAGTATAGCAATGTAATTTTGGAAAAGGAGTGATATTTGTTTAGATCTTATAAAAATTAGTATTGGAATAAGAATTATGACGAAAGGATTTGTAGATTCCATCCATTGCAAAAGCTAATAATTGATTGTACGTTTCGTAATTTTAATCATAAATAAACATATTCTCTGTCATTTGTTATAATGCATCATTATCAAAATAGAATCCCATATTTTAATTATAATTAAGATGCATTAAACCAAGTAAAGAATTATAAGGATAAATTACACTATTTTCATATTTTGATGGATATATAGTAATGTTGATTTGTGAACAATCACAAAAATTATCACTTGTATAATATATTAATTTAGCTCCAATACCAGATCCAGTTCCACCATTTATTGAATGAATTAATTACACTGCTTATACTCCATCACATTATTCTTACTCTTTTCTTATCTTTTCAACTATTTCATCAAATAAATCATTCTAACCATAATAACCACTTGCAAATGTCAAACATTTACCACTCTTCCCACTTACAAAGTTATTTGGATCATAATATGATAAATTCTTATTTCCTCTAATCTTATCTAATGTATTATCTTCACTATCTACTAATAATGTTCGAGGAATCCCTTTACGAAAAAACTTTTAATCCAAATTTTCACCACAATCCTCCATCATTTGATTCCATATAGCATTTCCTATCTGATTTCCACTTTAACCCACTTAAATTGTTATTATTTATTTCATTAATTCATTTATTAATTAAACTCTCATTATTCTTATTCAACTAAAGAGCATTCTAGTATATCAATAATAAATAAAAATTAAGTAATTACAAAAAGTCAAAGATATTTTATTAAAGATTGTGAATGTTATCTGATAGATAATTGCAGAAATGAGATTAAGTCAATTTTTTTTGTGTTTAACATGAATACAATAATCAACTATTCAAAATATATAATAAAGATGCTATTCATACTCTGAATCTCAAATTTCTAAATAATCAGTCCCCAACATTAAACTTGTAATGAAATGCTTATGATTAATGGGTAAAAAAGACTTAAAATGGATTTATATGATATGAAGAGACTCAAAAATTAAATAAATACTAAACTAATTATTGAAAAGTGATATAAAATAATTTAAAAACAAGAATTATTGTACAAATATAAATTGAGAATTAAAACTAAACAATTAAAGAATTTAATTATAATGAAAAATAACTTATAAATCATAATATTATTGATTATTTTAGCTCTTCTAAACTATAAATTATAAGTATATATGATATAATTATGTTGTTTATTAGAAAAATAGGGAATATGCCACATTACTACTTTTATGATTATATATATAATTATTTATTTATTTTAATTGTTTGTAAATAATGTCAAAAATAGATCCACTATTAAAGCTAAGATAAAAACAATAAAGAGAGTTGTAACATCTTATGGAATATGAAAAATAATTAAGAGATAAGGAAATTAGAAATTCACAACTGTTATTGAAAAAAAAAGAAAAGTTCTAAGACATATCAATGAAGTAATTAAGATTGAAGGAAGATTTAAAATAGAAGGCTGAATAAAAAAGAATGGAATTTGAAAAAAATTTAAGTCAAGCAAAAATGATTGAATAAGAATAACTAAAAGTAAAGATATATATTATAATTATAGCAATCACAACATCATGTTAAGAAAACAATTTAAACAGTTATTAAATTTGAATAAGAATATTAGAAAGAGCAATAGGACTTTTTAAATTAAAAAAAATAAGAACATCAAAATTAAATTGAATAAGTTTTAGAAAATAAGAAAAAGATAGAAAACAAAAAATTAAAAGAGTTAAGTCAATCTTTAGATGCTAAATTCAAATCTTCATAAGAAGTATATATAATTTAGAATATTTAATAGTTATAAGAGAATTTGAATAAGTAATTAAGTGATAGATAAAAATAAGAATAATAAAAATTATAAACTTATTTTAAGTAAGTTGAAGAATAACAATAAATTTTATAAAAAGAAAGAATGAAAAAAGGAGAAATGTTTGAAGAAAAATTAGATAAAGTAGAAAAATTGAAATAAGAAAAAGAAAAAGAATTGAAAGAAAGACAAAGACTTAGATTAGAAGCTGAAAAATAAAAAGAATTATTATCTAAAGAATTTTAAGAAGAAATTGTGGTAATTAATTTAAAAATATCTTTAAGAAAATGTAAAAGTCTAATTTTCGCAAACAGTTGCTAAGTTGAATAAATAGATATATATATATATTCTCATAAAAAACAATATTTATATATATTAATATGTAAATTAGAAGATCATTAATTCAAAAAAAAGACTTAAGAAATGACTTCAAAAAGTAGGAATAAAATCTACCAGATTTATCAGATAAATTTAGAAAGGTCTTTGAAATTTGTGGAGATGATATTATTTCTTATCTCAATAAAAAAGAATAAATGCAATTACGATCAGGTTGAATATAAATATATTTAAAGTTTGTAGAATTTCATTTTATATGGTATAAAGTTATCAAGTATGGAATATGATGATATTTGATAGTGATCAAATTAGTCAAGCCACTACAAATGATTCAAATATGAAAGAAAGCTTTTTGAAAAACTCATTTTATTCAAAAGTTGGAAAATCACGTCCATCTACTTAAGAAACAATATAAAAAGAATAATGGTTAATTAAACCTGTTAATTATAATCCACCTTAAAAAAAGTTAGTATTTTTAAAAAATAAAAACAAGATTGAAGACAATATCCTTGTATTTTGTTAAATTTAAAATAGTCTGATGAAGATCTTAAATAAACTATCACAGTTTGGACTCTTAATTTAAATAGTCTTGAAAAATAAATAAATATTGCAAAAATATAGACTGACAGTTTTATTTAGGAAATTACATTATGGGCAGATCATATTAACTTATTATAAGAATTTAAAAAAGAGTATTAACTTGAACATGTTGGAAAGATACTATAGTTATTGAAATAGAAATCCATCTTAGATGTAAGTTTGGATAGAAAAAGAAAAATATTATAAGATATTTTTAATTCATTATTAAATGATTTTGAATTAAAATAGCAATATTCTATTGAAATACAGATATTAAAACCTATTTGTTAAAGATTGTTATAAGTTAAATTAGCTGATTTTTAATAAGAGATTCCAAATCAATTATGGCCTAAAATAGATTAAATTTAGAATTGCTTTGATAAAATTTTTAATATAAGAAAGGAGTTCTTTTTTATGAAATTGTTTTAGATAACTTAAAAAATATTTTCTATTAATTTAAGTTGGATAGTTGATTTTTCAAATTATGAATTAACTCTTAATTTATTAGAATAATTTTAATAGTTTTTAATTTAATTAGTAATTGTTAATTTATTATAATTAGATATAAAGACATTCTTTTGGAGAAAAGAAATTTAATTAAAATTAACTATAACATTCATAAAATGAACTTTATTTTTAGAATTTTAAAAAGTCTATTGATGATATAATGAAAATGCTAAAACTTAATAAAAAGCTTTATGATACTTAAAAGGAAAATCTATAAGTATAAGCCTTATTATAGAGTTACAAATAATAAACTTTTGATTAATTTCAAGAAAAGTAATAATGGGCTTAAATTTATGTATAATTATATTTAAATTATTAGAAAACTTGGAAAGAGAAATATTAAAACATAAAGAAATAATCATAAGATGAACCAGAATCATAGGAAGGAATTAGTTTTGGATTTTTTTAAACTAAAATGAGTTGGAGTATATAATGATTAGATTTTCACATAAAAATTATTCAAAATCACTATTTCCTTGATACTGAACTTAAGGGCCTAACCTTTGACAATATTCTATTTTAAGATTCAATAACAACTCTCGTTTAATTGTATTTTCTACTTTCCATATTATATTTTTATTAAGCATCATCTCGTTCTTTAAGAAATCTAAAAAGTTGAAATTATACCTCTTTGAAGTTATGCTATCTATTATTTAAATTTATCTGAATTGACAGTAATTTAATCTTGAAGTTCTTTAATCATTTCTCTTAATTTATTTGCATATGTCCTTAGAGTACTAAAATCCATAGACATAAAATTTATAGAGTCCAATTAATTATAATCAATTTCTAAAATAATTTAACTTTATGATTATCTTAATTATTTAGTAGCTGTTTTAATTGTTTTTTCAACATTTGATGCTTTCTTAGTCAAGGTAGCAGTTACACTTTTAGTTTCTAGAAAATGAAATAAACTAAATATAATTAGAAAATAAGGTTCATACTTTTTATGTTTAACTTTATTAGGTAAATTAGGTTTGTCTTATTTAGGAATACTAAATGATTTTAATCCTCCACTATATCCTCCTGTTTCAATTTTATCAATAACTTTGCCTTATTTTGTTATAATATCATATAAATCTAATAATTCTTCAACAATTTCATTAATTTATGATCTAAATTATATATATATAACTAATGTTACTTCTTTTTTTCTCTATATTTTTTGAATTAATTAAGAAAACTTTCAATTTCTTCTACTTTAGCATTTAATTTTTATTCATACTAAAATTTATAATGATCTAATGATTTATTATATTCAATTTTAATAATTTCTAAACTTTTGTTAAATTCTTTTTCAATTTCAGTTTTAATTAATTTTTTTAATTCTTAAAGTTTTTAATTTTCAACATTTTTAGTTTATGCTGTTTAAGGAAGATTAAGTATAGAAGCTACTTTATCTTCTAATAAATTTTTAGATTCATCTTATAATTTTTTAATAAATTAATCTCTATCTTAAGATAATAATCGAATTGCATCATCTCCACTCATTTTAGACAATTATAATTAATCTTTTAATTTTTTATTAATTTCTTTTTACTCCAAAATTTATTATTAATATCTTTCTAATTTAGTATGTGTATCCTTTTTTAAATCATCAATTTCTTTTTTTAATTGTGCATTTTCATAATGATATTCATCAATTTATTATTATAAACTTACATTTTTTAATAATGCTTCTTATTAATTTTTAAAAATAGTAATATCTTTTGCATTTTTAGCAGAAAGTCTTTCTAAATCAATATCCAAACCTAAAAGTCTTTATAATTCAAGAAATCTCTTTTTTCTATCAGCATTTAATTATTCAATTTTTATTTTATATTCTTCTATTTCATCTTTCAATTTTTTTATTTCTTTTTCTTATTGAATATTAACTTAATTATCAAAACCTAACATAGATTATTGTTTTTTTATTGTAACTTATATATTTTTAGTCCTATCTAAATATTAAAGTGTTAATAAACATTCTTCATAATTTGATTAACTAGGATTAATTGCTCCAATTAATACAACTTATGTATTATTATCAATTAATAATGCTGAAGTTAATTTTGATTCTTTTTTTGGTAATATTTTATTTGGATTTTGATTGAAAGAATTTAAACAACGATTAAGAACTTAATGACTAGCAGTAATCAATATTGCTTCTTAAAATTTTTCACCTTCAGTTATATTTTTTGCCACTCTTTCAGATCCTGCTAAATCAACAAATTATAATTTAGTATTCGAATTAATCTCTAATGTAAGTATAATATGAGTTCTCATTTATCTTTTGATATCAGTGGTTCTTAAAATTTTGATCATTTCCCAAAAATCATTTATTAACAATATTTATCGCTTTGTAAACTCTTCAGTGATTAGATTTGTATTTAAATCTTTTATTTAATCTACATAGATCTCTTAAAATGACACTTAAACATTCTATCCTTTTTATAATATCTATTAAATCAATAAAGGAACAATTCCTGGATTTTATATATTTCCAAATAAAGAGTAACTTTTACCACTACCAGATTGTCCATAAGATATTATACATCCATTCTTATTCTCATAATCAAAACTAAACACACTTTCAAATAATTCTTATTATGTTGAAGAGGATGGAAAAATCTTATCATAACGATATTAATTCCATTCTGCTTATTTATTTGTTGGATCCTGTCATTATTTTCATAAATACATACCTTAATAGAAATAACATTCTAATCTATACTAAGCATAGATTAATCATAATCGATTGGTCTCACTCTTAAATAAACTTTATAATTATTCATATAAATCAGTATATACCAAACTCTCCTGGTATTTAATATTTTCCTGGTCCTGGTGTACTACTTTATTTACTATTAAATCTTTCTTCTTTTGAAAATTTTGGTACATTGCAATTTGACCAATTTGAATTCACATAACTTGCTGACAATTCTGTCTTAGGTCTATATTATTATGGACCAGGAATATAATCAGGTGTACGACTTGTTCTTCCTGATACTGGATGGTAAATTACTGATTAAGAATGCTCCTTATACTAAATATCATATTTCCCTGGACCTGGAGAACATGTTTCATCCTCTACTATTTGTTATTTCATTTACTCATTGCAATTTTTTAACCAAAATGTGGTATTCTTTCATTTTTAATTATGCTTGATGCAATATTATATTTCCCTACAGATGGCATATCATTCTTTTATTTAAAGTAAGTTCTCCCTATTCCCATTGTGTGTTTTTATAAATATGTAGATGTTTTTTCTTTTTCTAATTTATAAGAACCTGGACCTGGAGTTTTATCACTTAATTTTGAAAAATCTACTTTTGTTCCTAATCCAAAAGAAACCCCTTTGTTAGGAGAACCAATAGTGCCTTTGATCTCATAAAATGAAGAGGAATTTTAATCCACATTAACTTTATAATTGAAACGAGGAGATTTTGAAAAAGAATAAAGTTATTTGCTAGTTGAATTATTAAGTGGATTCATTTTCACTTATTTGAAATTTTCATCTACTTTGCTATTAAACATTTTTTGTATTCAAATAAAATTATTTAATTAAATTGATACACAAAATATTTTATTTTAAGATTAAGAAAATGATATAATCATATATTAATGAGTATACTATTTATCAATTTTTCAATTATTATTTTCCTTTTACAAAAAAAATCAATATCCTCATTTTATATATAAAAGTATATTTATTAGATAAATAAATTATTAGTTTATTAGGATTTTCAAATCACCAAAATATATATAATTTTAAAGATATTTAAATTTATCTATCATCAAAATAAACTTATTATAATAAGATTGAATCAAGTGAAAAACCTGATATTACTGTAAATTATTTTTTATGCAAAATAACAAAAAATTAATTTATTTGAATAGGTTTGATTTGAAATTGAATTTATGTATGATACAAGAATAAACTAGATCATTTCATATAATATTGTTTGTTAAGAATATAATTAATGGAAAGTAGGATGATTATATATAAATTTGATAATATGCTTATAAAAATTATAAAATATTCGTTTTTAAAGAGAATTGATAAGCATTAATATTTATATATTATGAAGACTATTCTGCTTATTTTATTAAGTGTGTAAATCTTGTTAGCTCAGGATCCTTGGGTAACTCATTACACAGCATTTACATCAGCAGAAATAAATGATTTGGATGGTAAAGAGTGATAAATATGCTTAGGTTGGGTTGTAAAGAAAGCATTTAAAGGAAATACCTTTAGTAAATGTGATAAAATCAGTTTGGTTGGTGGTTATGGAGCTTTTGGAAAAGGAGCAACAGCATTAAAATAATTGAATCTTCCTCCACATTATAAATTAAAGATTAATGTGCAGTTATGGAAGTAAAAATTAATTTATATAATTAAACCTTTAGAATTGACAGTTGGGATAATGAAATTATGTTTGTTTTGGTTGATGGTTTCATATGGCAAGCTAAATGGCATTATTCAGAGGGAGCAAATTTATGTGGAGCAGCAAATGATTGGAAAGAGGCTTTTTATAATATTGAATTTGAAGTTCCACATAATTCACCTACTGTAAGTATAGTATTAACATCAAATTTGGATGAAGATGCTTTGAATGTATAAATAATTATAATAAATATAATAGGAATCATGGGCATTTAGAGATTTCAAATTATCATTTTAAAGATGTCATCCAGAATGTGCAGTATGTGGTGATAATAAACCAGATAATTGTTTCTTTTGGACAAATGTAGCTACTAATTGGAATAAATAAATTTCATTAGAAGGATGGACATTAGATGGAGAAGGAAAAGCTGAATCAAATGAATGTGCAGGAGTATAACTTTTTGGTGGTTTTGGGAAATTAGGAAGAAAAGCTAATTTATGGAAGAGATTCACAAATTTACCTCCACACTTTTAAGTTAAGGTTAAGGTTTAAATGTGGAAGATTGATTCTTGGGATAATGAATTATTTTTAATGGAAATTGATGATTAAGAAAAATTCAGACAAGCATTTGCTTATAATGAAGGAGTTGATCTTTGTGGTGTTGATACAGGTGCAAAATAAGGAGAAGGATGGGCTGAAAAAATAGTTAATATTGAAATTAATGTTCCTCACAAATTCCCTGAAGTAAAAGTCTTAATGAAATCAACATTGGATGAACCACCTGAAAATGAATCATGGGGTGTTAGAGATTTCTAATTATTTGCTGCTTAATGTTTCAAAGGATGTACAGGTTGTACTGGACCAGCAAAATCTGATTGTACTTCATGTGGTTAAGGTTTTGATTTAGTGAATGGTGAATGTAAAGAAGGAAGTAATTAAATTAATATATATAATTATTAGTTAAATGGATGACATTGAATAGATTCTTCTTTAATGATGAATAAGATTTCTAAGGATTATAAGATTGGATTCCATCAAATGTATTTTAAAATTAAAATCCATTTTCAACTTGTGGTTAAAAGAAACTTTTTGGTGGTTATTAAAGATTTGGTGCCAGAGCTAAAGCTGAAAGAAATTTCAATCTTCCTAAACACTCTAGACTTAGAATCTAATTCTAATTTTGGAAAGTTGATTCATGGGATGATGAAAAATTCTAATTATTTGTTGATGGCAAAGTTGTCTTTGAAAGATCATTTGGATTTAGTACTCCAGGATAAGCTAAAATTTGTGGAGCTCCATAAAGTACTTGGATGACTTATTTCTTCAATGTTGATGTCATTATTGAACACTCTAATCCTACTGCTAATGTTGTCTTAAGTTCTACTTTAGACTAAGGTGCTGATGATGAATCTTGGGGTTTCAGAGAATTTTAATTACTTTATGAATTAAAAGAAGATTGTGTTGAATTGTATACTGAATGTGGNTGAAGATGCTTTGAATGTATAAATAATGATAATAATTATAATAGGAATCATGGGCATTTAGAGATTTCAAATTATCATTTTAAAGATGTCATCCAGAATGTGCAGTATGTGGTGATAATAAACCAGATAATTGTTTCTTTTGGACAAATGTAGCTACTAATTGGAATAAATAAATTTCATTAGAAGGATGGACATTAGATGGAGAAGGAAAAGCTGAATCAAATGAATGTGCAGGAGTATAACTTTTTGGTGGTTTTGGAAAATTAGGAAGAAAAGCTAATTTATGGAAGAGATTTACTAATTTACCACCTCACTTTTAAGTCAAAGTCAAGGTTTAAATGTGGAAGATTGATTCTTGGGATAATGAATTATTTTTAATGGAAATTGATGATTAAGAAAAATTCAGACAAGCATTTGCTTATAATGAAGGAGTTGATCTTTGTGGTGTTGATACAGGTGCAAAATAAGGAGAAGGATGGGCTGAAAAAATAGTTAATATTGAAATTAATGTTCCTCACAAATTCCCTGAAGTAAAAGTCTTAATGAAATCAACATTGGATGAACCACCTGAAAATGAATCATGGGGTGTTAGAGATTTCTAATTATTTGCTGCTTAATGTTTCAAAGGATGTACAGGTTGTACTGGACCAGCAAAATCTGATTGTACTTCATGTGGTTAAGGTTTTGATTTAGTGAATGGTGAATGTAAAGAAGGAAGTAATTAAATTAATATATATAATTATTAGTTAAATGGATGACATTGAATAGATTCTTCTTTAATGATGAATAAGATTTCTAAGGATTATAAGATTGGATTCCATCAAATGTATTTTAAAATTAAAATCCATTTTCAACTTGTGGTTAAAAGAAACTTTTTGGTGGTTATTAAAGATTTGGTGCCAGAGCTAAAGCTGAAAGAAATTTCAATCTTCCTAAACACTCTAGACTTAGAATCTAATTCTAATTTTGGAAAGTTGATTCATGGGATGATGAAAAATTCTAATTATTTGTTGATGGCAAAGTTGTCTTTGAAAGATCATTTGGATTTAGTACTCCAGGATAAGCTAAAATTTGTGGAGCTCCATAAAGTACTTGGATGACTTATTTCTTCAATGTTGATGTCATTATTGAACACTCTAATCCTACTGCTAATGTTGTCTTAAGTTCTACTTTAGACTAAGGTGCTGATGATGAATCTTGGGGTTTCAGAGAATTTTAATTACTNAATAGGAATCATGGGCATTTAGAGATTTCAAATTATCATTTTAAAGATGTCATCCAGAATGTGCAGTATGTGGTGATAATAAACCAGATAATTGTTTCTTTTGGACAAATGTAGCTACTAATTGGAATAAATAAATTTCATTAGAAGGATGGACATTAGATGGAGAAGGAAAAGCTGAATCAAATGAATGTGCAGGAGTATAACTTTTTGGTGGTTTTGGGAAATTAGGAAGAAAAGCTAATTTATGGAAGAGATTCACAAATTTACCTCCACACTTTTAAGTTAAGGTTAAGGTTTAAATGTGGAAGATTGATTCTTGGGATAATGAATTATTTTTAATGGAAATTGATGATTAAGAAAAATTCAGACAAGCATTTGCTTATAATGAAGGAGTTGATCTTTGTGGTGTTGATACAGGTGCAAAATAAGGAGAAGGATGGGCTGAAAAAATAGTTAATATTGAAATTAATGTTCCTCACAAATTCCCTGAAGTAAAAGTCTTAATGAAATCAACATTGGATGAACCACCTGAAAATGAATCATGGGGTGTTAGAGATTTCTAATTATTTGCTGCTTAATGTTTCAAAGGATGTACAGGTTGTACTGGACCAGCAAAATCTGATTGTACTTCATGTGGTTAAGGTTTTGATTTAGTGAATGGTGAATGTAAAGAAGGAAGTAATTAAATTAATATATATAATTATTAGTTAAATGGATGACATTGAATAGATTCTTCTTTAATGATGAATAAGATTTCTAAGGATTATAAGATTGGATTCCATCAAATGTATTCTAAAATTAAAATCCATTTTCAACTTGTGGTTAAAAGAAACTTTTTGGTGGTTATCAAAGATTTGGTGCCAGAGCTAAAGCTGAAAGAAATTTCAATCTTCCTAAACACTCTAGACTTAGAATCTAATTCTAATTTTGGAAAGTTGATTCATGGGATGATGAAAAATTCTAATTATTTGTTGATGGCAAAGTTGTCTTTGAAAGATCATTTGGATTTAGTACTCCAGGATAAGCTAAAATTTGTGGAGCTCCATAAAGTACTTGGATGACTTATTTCTTCAATGTTGATGTCATTATTGAACATTCTAATCCTACTGCTAATGTTGTCTTAAGTTCTACTTTAGACTAAGGTGCTGATGATGAATCTTGGGGTTTCAGAGAATTCCAATTACTTTATGAATTAAAAGAAGATTGTGTTGAATTGTATACTGAATGTGGATTTAAGGGAACAAAATATGAAATTTGCAGAGATACTCCATCACTTGCTAGAGTAATATATATTTATAAATAAATTTTAGGAAAAAATAAGTTAAGTTAAATCAATAAAGATTCCTCCTGGAGTTATTGTCTAAGGATTTGATGAAGAAGTTTACAAAGGAAAAAATGTGAAGTTTTCATCAAGTTAAGATTGTTTAGAAGAAATCTAATTTTCTTTCATCCAAAAAAAATTTGAAATAATTCAAGCTGATGATTCTGTCCTTGCTGCAAATTTAAGACGTATCAGATTTGATTGATTTTATAATCATAAGACATAATTATTTCTAATAAAAATCGTTCATTTTTTTTATTTATTATTATTTATTTATATGTAAATTGAATAAAGCATTATAGTTGATGGATAAAATAATTAACAGCTTTCTGATATAGTCAAATGTTTGATAGCTATTCCTGATCTTATTAATAACAATGTATATTATTATTTAATCCTATTTAGCTTACTTTCCTTAACATCTCTTAATTTACTTATTCTGCATAATTACATAATTAAATTAATTCCAATATCAAATTGTATTTAAATTTACACATATATCAAGTGAGAACTAAATAAATTTGACTGAATCACAAAAAAATTTTGATTTTGTATTAAAACAATAACTAAATGCTGAAAGTTAATTATTCAATAATTTACAGTTAACATTGTTTTAAACAAATAAAAGATCTTAATGTAATTTTAGCTTCTTAATTTAAGCTCAGCACCCAAATCAATATAAACTGATAAATAAAAAGAAATTATAAATTGTAGTCGAAATTCTTAAATTGGAATCAAATTTGTATTATATTTTTATTTTAATATAGAAAAAATCTGATGGGCTATTATCTAATTAAATATTTAATAGCAAAATATAATCAGCTCCTTTAACAGCTCCATTCTCTGCTCGCAATTCAATTATTATGTGTTAAAGTGAAATCTAATCATAAAATGATTAAAAAATGAATGAATAATAAGATTAAAATGATAAATATAGATGGATGCATTAAGTTCCTTAAAATATCATTAATAAATAGACACCTTAAACTCAAAAAATATAAAAATAAAGATATTTTGTTTAAGATTATTCTTAATTACATCCTAATCCATATTAAGATCCAATTTACATTAAAAATCAATTTTAAACATATAGCTAAATAAATACAAATATTAAATTCTAAAAAAGTAAAAATAAGAACTTAAATCAAAATACTTATCAAAGTTAAATTACATCTCAAAACTCTGGTTTTAAATTATTAACAAAATAATAAAAAACAAATACAAATAAACCAAAAGATGGGCATATAATAATTACTTTACCTTAAAATTAAAAAAAATTTGATAGTTTCTCTTAAAAATAAAGATAACAATCTAAAAGTTTAGATTAAATTAAAATAAATGAACATTTTAAAAGATTATTATAAACTTCAGAATCAAGAGAATTATATTCTAAGCCATTTTGTTATTCTTAATATTCACAAATATCTAAAATTCCATTTTAATCCTCTTTAGAAAAATATACATAAAATTTATATAAACCTATAACCAAATAAAGAACCAAATCTTAATAGAGAGGAAATCAGTCTTTAGAATAAAATCAAAATTATTCATATGATCAACCTCAATAATAGTATTATTCAGATGATAGTTTTGAAGGTAAACCATAAAATGTCAAGAAAGTAGATTTATATTAATTGGCATAAGAAAGGTAATAACATTTTAATTATGTGTAAAATAATACAAACTTAAAGTCACATGAAAATAGTAAGAATTAATATTAAGAGAGTCCAACATAGAACTCTCAAAATTATTAAATGACTCTTTAATCCAGTTAATTTTATTAAAGTACTAAAGATATAGAAGAACAAACCAGAAATTCGAATTTATAAGAGTACTCAAACTTTCATTATTTCTAAGATAATTAAATTCCAAATTAAATACAATAAAACCCTTTTTCTCAAACATCAAAGAAACCAATTTAAATTAAATTAAATATTAAGGAATTTATTGCATCCGAATAGCAATAGAGATCCTCTCCTATGTCTTGTAATTAATTAATTAATTATATTTTAGCTAATTTATTATAACAAAAAATAGGCAATTTAAATACTCATCATTGAAGTCTATGAGATAATAAAGTAGATATTATAAATTAATGTTTATATACTATATTCAATATTTTATTAAAGAATAATATAATAATTATTAGTATTTCTTGAAATCCAAATACTTACTAAACCAATATATTTAAGAATATTTGTTTAGAATAAGAATAGAATTGATTAAGTATTTATGAAATTGCAGAATTACTCAATTTGCTAAAAATAGTTGTAAATTCTTAATCTTAATTTTTGCTAATGATAATACAATGTAAAATGATGGGATTATATATAAGTGATAGAGATTTACAAACTTTAGATGGAAGCATCTTATAATTTATTTAATTTATTAGTTAACATAATTTAATATTAAAATTACGATAATTTTATTGAATTAAAATTATAATTCAATCAGTAAAATATATAAAGTTCATGTATTAAAATAAGTATTCTGTCAAAAATAATCATGAATTTAGTATCTATTGGTCATTACTTTACTATAAATGTTCTTATTATTGATTACTTTTCACCTTTTTCTGTATATAAGAGCTTTCTATTTATTTTTGTTCTTTTTGTATCTGTGGCTGTCTGTAGAGTTCCTTATGGTAAGCATCAAGTTGTTTCATGAAGCCCATATTAGGTTAGGCAATTCTTCTCCTTGATTGAAGGAGTTTCAGTGCTTAGAGTGGTGTCATTTGTAGATATTTTATTAAATAGGCAATAACAAAGGAAGCAGACCTAGATTTACCAGCAAAACTTTAAATATATATGTATAATACCAATGAATAAGTACATTCTACTTATTTTTGATAGCAGAATGAATGAAATCATTAGCTATTTCAAACTTGGACTTGATTTCTTAATCAACACTGTCGTTGATATTAATAAGAAGAGATTTAAAATCTTCTGCCTAATAAGGGAATATTGGCATTTCACACACACTTAAAATATGTGTTATTTAAGCTGTAATTTATACATTTTATATACTTTCATAGAGTTTTTTTTTATTCAATACTGTTCCCAAACATCCTATATATAGATTTGGTATGACCAAATTAGGCGAACTATCTTCTTTTAGTTGTTTTACAACTAAAAATACCTTAACTTTCTCGAGAATTGCTTTGACATTCAATTCCTCTGGAAAATCAGCCATGTCATCAAGAGAATCGAAATGTTCCATTGAGGTTTTCATTGAATAATGTTTTAGATTTTTCTTAATTAATGAAATTTAATTAATTAGTTAGAAGAAAATATATATTTCATTTTTGAATCAATTTATTCTATCTTTAGATGATTTTAAGATATTCTTAGAACATTGTGATATAGAATGATGATTATCTAAATTATATATGACTTATATATAATTTAATAAGACAAAATATTATATCCTGTTCGATATTAAAAATGATATTATTGGATATATAATATAAAGATAAGAATAAAAGATGATTCTTAATTTCTTTTAATTTATATAAATCATATTCCAAAGTAAAGAAAAGATAATTATACATGAATCAACTTATCTAATACACTACAATAACGTAGATCTGATTTACAGATATACAATATGATTTTTATTAATATATACAAATAATCTTCAGAGATAATAAAATTAATTTTAGATTAAATTGAAGTCTTTTATACCATAATGTATATTATCTATATCATTCCTGTTGTTATAAATATTATGTTTTTTTTTATATTAAATTTAATTGGCAAATAAAAAAATGATTATTATATATAAAATGTAAAGAATTAGGCTATTTAGATGTTTTTTATGTATTTTTCACTAGATTTAAGTTATATTTAAAGAAGAATAATATTTAAAATTTTATTTTGATGGAATCCAAATTATGAATTATAATCAATAAAATTTAATAGCAAAATAGGTTGAATTAATTTGTTTTTAATTTTCATAGATATAATTATGATATTTATCAAAATATTATATAATAGTAATCCAAAAATAATAATAATAATTAAATAAAATTCATCTTTTAGTATAAGAACTAGTAAGATAAGATATGATTTATATACTTATATCTAAGTGTTCCAAGTCCTGCTTATTAAATGACTTTATTTGTTTTATCGAGCTTCTCAGATTTCTACTTATTAAAAAGTGGTTTTTGCTACATCGTTGCTGTATCAATTGTATATTGTTTCTTCAATAAAGGAGTTTAATGATTTTATGTATTTTGAGTAGTTACTTCTGGTGAGAACTGAGGAAATCTAAAAACTCAATAAATGATACTAAAATAATTATTTTTTGTCTGGAACAAAACTATGTGTTAGAGCATATCTATCTACACTCATTTATTATCTTAGTTATCCTAACATAGTTTTAGGAATGGCAACAATTTCATATTCATCCATATCTATTTAATTGAAATCTGGTTGTATTCTTAATTGCAATTGTTTGAGTTATTTATTTTGTTCATCAAAATATGGTTATTATTTAGATGGAATTTGTGTAGATTTGATGACTTAATTCCCTGTATTAGAAAATTTTTAGGAATAATTAGTTTAGTTTCTTTATTTTGGAGAAGTCTAAATATTAGTAAAGACATGTGATTTAGTTTCTCTTATTCCTTCTGTATATAGACTAGTTTATTTTTTTGTAGGTGAGGAATCATCATTTTCCTGATAATATTAATTGCTTTTGACAATTGGTAAAGAAGGTTTATTCACCATTGCAATTACTCCATCTTTATTCATCACAGTCATCTTTCCCTTAAATCGAGATTTAAAATCCATTAATCAATATATATTAATAAATAATTATAATCGTCTAAATGAATCAATTTTATGGCAATTCTTTTAACTTTGATGACACTTCCATTGTACAATAATTTCTCTATCTAGGGAGTTAATCATACTCTTCACTTTAATCCAAATGCAACAAAACATTTATCTAATACTTAAACTGCTAAACAAGAAATAAATGATTAAAATTTACAATGTAATATATATCTCTTCTTATCCATTGTTCATGGCATCAAAAGATTGAATAAACTATTTATTTAGACATGTTCCAATAGAGATTAGTTCCTCCATTTATTTGACACTTAACAATATTCCCTCTTACTTTAAAAAGTTCTCTAAATTGTAAATCAATATTTCAATGATGAAAACACAAAGATTTAATATGAAAAACATGCAATAAATAGATCATGGCACTCTTCTGAATAGAAACCATATTAACAATACTAATAGCCTATATAAATATAAAACAATAACGATAAGTTTTAATAGATGATAAAGAAAATTATTTCAACTGATTTAGATCCGTTAAAATCATTGATTCATAAAGTTCAAGATTAAAATAGAACATATTAATATTCATAAACCAAAATAAATAATACACCCCAAGTTTCATTTCACCAAAATGAAAAGGTAATGAAATCAGGTTCTTTAAAAGATTAATTGAAAGATAAAATTGCTAAATTAACTATGTAAAATACTTATCTTTGTAAAGAAAAAATTGTTAAAACTAATTCAGATTCTGTTTAATATACATAAAACAATATAGCCATTAATGAATCTATGAATGAGAAATAATTTGAGAAAGATATAGTTTAAAAATAAAATAAAACAAACTTTGGGTAACATATGTTATTCAATAATCTCATTCAATAAGAAGAATAACTTATGTCTTAATAAAATAATATAAAATAATAAAAGACAATACATGAATCAATTCCAATATTTGTTTAAAATCAAAAAACCGATTTTGCAGTTCAAACTTCTGAATAATAAATTGATGTATAATTAATTTAACCAAAAAATGATGAAATACAATACATCTAAAATCAAGAAGATAATCCATAAAACAATCTTCATACTAGTTATAATGAATAAAGTGTGAAGAGACAAGAAGTTTCAATGAATAGAGTAAGATATTGTTAAGAATGTAAAAATAAAAATAAATACAATAATGTTGCTTCTAGTGTTTCTCCATAAAAAAGTGATAGACATATTCGTGAAATCTATTCAATTGATTATGTTTAACATAAAAAAAAGATTGGTAGTAATTGTACAAATAGAAATTTTAATATTTTAACGAATGCTTAATTAGGATGAATGAAAAACAAAATAAAATTTAATTACATATTTATTATGTCTATTTTAACACTGTATAAATCAAATTCTAGATCTGCTCTTTCAAAAGATAAAATTGAAGGTCCATCAACAACTACTCCTATGAAATTAATTAAATCCTAATAATAAGACAGAGAAAAACTTTACAATAGTTAAATCATGTAAAATGCCTTGATTGAATCATGCAAGAAATCTAAAGAAAATAGAATGAATTCTCCAACTTTTAAAGTCACTGATACTATTATTTAAGTATGTCTTAATAACAAAATAGGCAAATTAAGATGTACCAACATAAAAATCCGGGAAAAAGAAAGGAATATTTAGTGGAATAGATTCCTAAATAGACCCTTTTAGAAATGTTCATACATCTACTAACAAGACTAATGTTAAATTGATGATGTTTAATGATGGTCATTTTATGAAAAAATATCAACAAAAATAAACAGATATTCAATAAGAAAAGAATCATAGATATTCAATCAAAGTGTTTTAATAAGAGCCAAGATAGGATGTAGCTTAAAAAAAAGTAAGAAAAAGTGTTCCAGGATAACCAGTAGCAAAAGATCCGATCTTGTCTCCTGATTCAAAAATAGATAAGAAAGTATGAAATTGAAAATATTTAAAGCTAAGGATTTCTTGTTAACATAAAATTGAACATAAGGAATAGATAGAAAGTATAAGAACATATTAACATGCAAATTCATCTATGGGATATAGAGGAAGTTTTTAAGAAGGTAAGAATAATGATGTTAGTCCAATTAAAATGAGGGAAAGTAATACATACAAAAGTGAAATGAGAAATATATTAACTTAAGATGAGAACTTTTTAAAACTTGTAATTCTTGCATATAGATGTTGATAGTTTTCAAGGACTGATTATAAAGGAAGTGACAATATCAAAAAGTCAAAGAAGCTTTGTTTGAAAATGGATGTCCCAAGACCGATATCTGCATTTGCTTTATATGCAAAGTGATATAAATTTTAAATTAATTTACGTTATTAATTACTATATAGAAGTGTTGTAATACAAAAATTGAAATGAAAAGAGCATAAATTAGATACTTAAGTATGTTTTCACAATCTAAAATAAGAATTTTCCTATTTTCACATAATATTAAGAATTATCATTTTATGTTGCTTCAAACTCTTCTCATAAATTATACCATATTATTATCATATAAATGAGTGAACTCTTCTATTTAAGTTCATTATATATTAGGGGAGTGTGGAAAGCCAATCTTACTATGAAGTGATTGATGAACTGAGTTTGGTTCTTTTTATTCATTTTAAAAGAGCTAAAGGCTGGGAATATTACAAAGTAGATGAGACCTCTTTAATAGAATGGATTAAGATGGTAGAAAAGGGGATGAAATGGAATGTGTCTTAATGATGGTTTGGAAAATTAAAAAGATAAATAAATGCATATATGAATTAAAGTATGGAAATAAACTCAAGAAATGAATAGAGAATGAACAAGATTTGGTTAAATAGTTTGTGTTTAGACTGGTGAATATAAGGGCTTAGTATTTATTATGAAACAAATTAATTATTTTCAATAAGCATTTTCTTCATCGAATAGATAGGTTCTGGATTTGATTATATTAAGTTAGTAGATAGTGATGAAGAATCAATATGATGAATAGTAGAAAATTAAAAATAATAGTACATAATTCGAAGACAATAATGGAATTGATTTAGGCATACGCAAAGTAATAAAATTAGGAGAGAATGAAGATAAGATAGGTACAAGCTTAAGCATTAATTTAGCAACCAATTTGTAATACGAATCTTTAAGAGACACAGAATAATAAAAATAAGTGATATAGCAAATTAAGCATCTTGCACGATAAGGTTCACATATGTACGTAACTATCTTTTTATATTATTTTGATCTCTGCAAATACTGTTTCCCATATTCCTTATATTTTATTATTGCCTATTTATTATTATTTTAGCACCGGATATTTGGAGCTACCCACAGAAGTAATAAATTAATACAAAAAGAAAAGTAACTCTGATGCCTTAATAGATGAAGTGTTATTAGAGTAAGTACTTTTTAATCACTCTCTAAAACTTTATTTCCTTATATTCATCATTTATTTTTTCATTATTTTTTTACTTAGTAAGTTTTTACCGCCAAACTCGATCACTCCGCTTATATTCACTAAGAAATTACCTCAAGGTGGACAGTATAGACAAAAAGGAACTTAACCATTGTGGGTAAATGCATTTGAAAGCCTTCTAAGTGTTGTGGTCTAATTGTATTACAAGAGTGATTAGAAATTAGCAGAATTTATGAAAGAAAAGGTCTAAATAGATAGTAAAAAAGACATTAAGCAAGTAATTATTACAATAAATAAAAGGAAAAGAAACCAGGTAGAAAAAAGAAAATTCTTGATAACGATTCTCCTAATCAAGAATAAATCGAATAATAGTAGCCAAACAGCTAAAATGTTTACTCTCTTTTATAATAAGATGTATTAGATATACTCATTTCTCCATTAAGAAACGATTTTTCATTTGGTATTCTATCAATTTTTATCTTATAGAAACTTGGACAACTAAAGAAATTGCCATATTTGAATGTGGATTATGTAGATATGGTAAATAATATGAATTCTTGTCACATCTAGTAAATATATTCTTAATAGATATAGATTAAAACCAAAAATGCATAAGATATTATTCAATTTTATTACAATTGGAAATTCACAAGCCATTATAAGTTATGGAAAATAAATAAAGCATATTATCATCGCAGCAACCTTAATAACTATGTTTGAAATGATTTTATTGGAAATCCCCTATTTTATTTTATTAATAATACACTATCAAATATTCAAATTCTAATCCTCAATTTCATTTCCCCCTTAACTTATTATTAATACCACATTTTATAATAATAAAATAAAAAATAAATTTATATGAAACCATATTTATTATTATTATCATAACGAAATACATCTAATAAGTAAATATTAAACACTATCATTATTAGATACTTCTAATTTCTTCTATTATAAATTTCTCCCACACATTTCTAGATACTTTTAAACTCACAGCCTTCTCATAAGCATCTTAAAGTAATAAGTTTTTGCCTGGATGATTATGAGGTAGATTTAATTTTATCTAAACTGCTAACTAATAAAAGGCTTTTTTTTAATCCTAAAATATTATTTAATATATTAAACTTCATTCTAAATCATTGTAGGACTGCTTCCCTCTTTACGAACAGCAAATCCATCGAAATCTCTTTAATATTAGATATCTGACACAATACTATTTGTCACTCTATTTGTTTTAGTATCTGGATTCCTTACATCCCATTCAGAGTTTATTTAAGATAAAACTTCATTATCTACATTCTATTCCAAGTATTGTGCTCTCAAATACTTCATATTTTCAAGGTCATCCTTTTAAATTTTCTTAAACAACTCCTATTCAAATTTGACTTATTCTTAATTACTAAATAATGTAATTTATAATACGCTTTCTCTATCCCAACCTATTTATTTAATCTAATAAATTCATTTTATATATAACTCTCATCTTCTAATTAAGCATTTTAACTTTCTTCAACAAACTATAATTTTAGTTATTTCTCCTATGAAACTGCTAAAACCCTTTATAAAGTAAGTATCATAATGAATCTTTTTTGATCAAAATTTTATTAATATTTTTGGTATTGTTACTCTAATAACTCATTATAATATTTGAGTTTCTTATAATTATAGGAACATTAGATTATTTTTTTAATACAATTAATCATTTCCTCAGTATTTACTAAATCATTTTCTACTTACTTAGATTAAATTATAATGTTTTATTTTAGTTACTCTAATTTCTGATTTAAATTTTGAATTAATATATGTGCATTTTGTGTTTTTGCTTATTGTTTAGATTTAGCCAAACATCTAATAGAATGGGAATCTACATTCTCGAAAGGAATGAGATCTTCACATATAACACACAATACTTGTAAATCATCTTATTTATTACCATTATTCTTAGAAAATATTTAATTATTTCTTTATTCTTATTTAGTTTATTAATTTTACCATTCAGGTAATATGGCTTTAGGTTAAGTTCTTTAAAATTTAATTGCTTTTTCTGCTTATAAAAATAGTTCTTTTTGATCCAATCTTTCTTATTGTTTTGAAATTATAGTAGGGGATTAAGTTTATTTAATAGGAGATTAAATAGTATATTATTATTTTTGAGGTTAAGGAATTATAATCTATTATTAAGAAGTGCGATTACTTTATATTTGAGATTATTAATCTAAGAAAGTGTTATTTTTATTTGGAGATTGAATTTTTCTGGAATATTATTATAATTAAGAATCTAATTCATATTAATTATTATCCTAAACTCTATTGACAATTGTTCTTTATAAAACTTTTTGATTAGCAATTGGTTAAATCATTTATGAGTAATAGACCTCAGAATTCTTTTTATTAATTTAAGTTTCTGGTTTATTGTTTATGAAACTAGAATGTCTTAATGGTAATACAGGTGCAGAAGGTGAAGTTAATGATTAATTTTTAAAATTATCAACTTTGACAATTTCAGTAATTTTTATTGTTTCAAATTAATCAGGACTATTAATTCTTAAATTTTCTGTCTTATTTTATGGACTTTGATAATATTGAGATTATTATTATTATTATTATTATTATTATTATTATTATTATTATTATTATTATTATTTCTATAATGTTGGAGATATAAATCTACTTTTTGGAGGAGTATTTTGAATTATAAGATTAGTTTCAATAGGTTTAGAATAAGTATTATTATAAGTTGAGGGAGTATATTTCATTTAGTCTTTATTTTTTAAATCTTATAAATTTGGTTATTTTAAGAACTAATTATGATCAGATGGTTATTATAAGAATTTATTATGATCAGATGATTAATATAAATCAATAGTTTAATTTTTATTCTCATATGTTAATTACTTATTATTAGAACTATCTTGTATTGGTTTATGAAATTACTAATATTAAATAGGTGTAATAAATTTATTAATTGTATGAAGATCTTAGACTTAATATTATAATTCAGCTCTCAATTCCTCATCACAAATTGTTTAAGCATTTTTTGTGTTATGATCAAATTAATAAGGTTCTTAAAATTTCTTGTAAATTAAATCCTTCTATTATAATGGTTTTTAGAGAGCATCCTAATTAAGAATACCAAAAAATGATGAATTAATTAAACTATCATCATCAGAATATTTGATGATTTCTTAATTATATTTTTTCTACTCAATTACCTATGTAATAGATAGTGTATTATTATTGAATGAACTCTCTATTGTTCCTCTATAAGCAGGTGATTAATCAATGTAAAAATTGCGATTATCAAATGGTTATATGACGCTATCATTCAACCTGGATGAAATGTCTGTCTCTGATGAAAATATTTTTTCAAAATCATGTGCTTATTCTTGTCCAATAGTAGATTAAGGAATTTTGGGTATGAATTCAGTTCGATGATAACTTATTGACATGGAATAATCGACAGGTTGAAAAACTGGGTTAACAAATTATTTCATTATATTTTATTATTAGCATGGATTTAAGTTGGAATCCAAATTAACATACATAGGAAAAAGGAAATCATTTTGAAACTTTACAAGAGGATGGTTAAGAGGACCCTATCAACAACCTTGTTGAAAATAAAATTTAAGAAAATAGAGATATCAAGTAAATATTGACAGAATATGATGATACTTTCCTAATTCAATTATTGAGAAATTTCTCATGTAACATAATTTCTTAAGGCTAAATTTGTTAAAACTAGATAAATGACTTGTTAATAATGAACGAACCCTTTATAATCTAAAATGAAAAATTTTAAATCTATGTAATTTAAGAAGATGATGATAATAATATTTTATGTAAAATAGTCAATATATATATTAGTTTAATCAAATAATGAGGGGTAATATTCTAATGAAGTTTAATAAGTGATTTAATGTGGAGACAATAATGTAGAATAATAAAATGAATCATTATAGATAATTCATCCGAAAGAGAAATAAATATAATGAATATCGATATAATAGAACATAAACTTAAAACATTATTTGTTATAAATTTTTTTCATTGAATTTGTGATATATAAAAATGTAAAAATATTTTTGAATAATATTTATAATGTAAAATAATGCATCATTCATTTTATCTCAATCTAATTACACTGGCATTGCAACTTACATTACTAATACTTTTGTTTACGTCTTATACTGGATGTACTCGACTAAAACTTGGTTCTTTAATCAATTTTTTATATTTGCAATATAAAGTGATAGAACAAGCTGATACACTTATGAATGCTGCTGCTAAGATGATAATCACAATTGCCATAACAGTGGATTAATTATCAGGTCCAGGATCTACAGTATAAGGAATACATGAAGAATCAGATAATTAATATTCACTCTTACAAGTGACACAAATATTTGGAACTTAGCAATCATTACATCCATCAGGACATTTTGGTTCACAAAGTTTAGTATTGGTATTTCTAAAGTAGCCTTCTGGACATTCAGTTTCAATACAAGCTTCATTATTATTTAATTGATATCCATTCTTACATTTTTAACATGTCCAAGGGATTTCACAAGAATCACAAAATGCACCACAATCCATAATACATTAATTACTTTTGTTTAAATAGAAACCGTATTAACATTTCAAACAAACTAATGGTGATTAACAACTTTAACATTAATAACTGCATAGATCAGTGGAAGATGATGAATCTGTTATTAATGTTCCATATTTATTGTATTTTTACATGAAAATACCATCTCCTAGTATTGTTCCATCAGAATCAATATTTTTGGCTGTCCAAGTAACTGCAAATTAATTCTCATTGATAATTTATATTCTAGGAGTTTATGGATAAATGCCTTCAATTTATACTTCAATAATTTATGTATTAGACATTCCCATAGAATCAAATATCTAAAATTCAAGCCCTATTGATTTATAATTAGAGTCAGTGATTTTCCAGGCTATTATAAATCCATCATTAAATGATTGAATATCTGGAGTTAAAGAAGCAATTTAAATATCACCAACACTCTTAACTTCACTTCTAGTTTTTAAGTCTTTAGATATTAATTAATAATTCAAAATGAATTGAGGTTAAGATAGCTATAGATTTTTATTTTCCCATAAAAATACCATAATTCCATTAGCTAAATTAGTAACTTTTAGATTGATAGAATTAGAGTCAGCAATTGCTTTAGGAGTATCTATTAAATTGCCATCTTCAGTAATTTATTAAACAAACACATATCCATCACTTTAATATGTTAAAGAGATAATGCCATTTTCATCTGATACAATAGATGGAGCAGCTAATTAGTTAACTTTTTTAATTTCTTGAACTTATGTTTTACTATTCATAAAAGAATCATATGATGATATGAACATAGAGAAATCATCAGATTATTTTTCACTTTTAGCCATATAAGCAATCAATAATGAATTATTAGGTGTCTTTTTGATTTGACAAGGTATTTTAATATCTTATAAATCTGTTTTTTAATGAGTTCCTATTAATAAATCTTGACTTTAAGCAGTTCCATCAGATGAAAACTTCTTTAATTTAACATCAGTTGATTCTGCAGAAGCATCCATCCAAGTAACAAAGAATTCATAATCAATTGCTATTATATCTGCATAATAATTTTAAATAATAGATTATTAACTTAACAATCTTCTAGTATTTCCAGTAACTTTCATTGGATCTCCAACCTTAATATTATCAGCAGAATACAATTAGAAATAGACACCAGCATTATCTCCATTTTAATACCACATAAGAATGTAACTACCATCAGGGAAAGTAGCCATAAGAGGTGTTCCAACAGTAGTATTTTTGATTTAATCTAGAATGGATGAATTTTCTTATTAACATTTTTTGTCTGATGTAACAACATATCCGAAAGCACAAGTTTCACATTCAAGAGGAACAGTACATTAACTGCAATTAGAAGGACATTAAGGAATACATTATTAACTATCACTACTGAGATAGTAATTATCATTACACAATTAACAAACTGTTCCTGTAGTTGAAGTAGTATCTTCTAAACATTAAGCACAATTAGTAACACAATCAATTTTAACACATTATCCATTTTCTAATTTATATCCAACATTACAAGATTCACAATTTGTAAAACTAGAACATTAATTACAATTAGATTGACATGTTAATTTACATTTATTAGTAGTATCTAGTTAATAATTCTAACTACATTATTCACAATAATAGGAATTGATACATTTATCACAATTAGCTATACAATTATTATTTGTAGTCCATGCTTGTATATTTCCTAATTCATCATATTATTTAAAGTAAATGATTGCATATGGTAATTCTGAATAGATTCTCTCTTCTGAGTATATCACATATCCATTTGAGGTTTGTTTATAGAATTTTCTCTACCATCCTTTATTGAATAAAATAAATTATTATTCTCCAATTCTCATACCTGCATTATCAAATCTTTATGAATATATTTCAATATTTCCATTATATAAATAATTATATGGCTTTTCAATTATTATTGTAAATGAATCTTAAAATGTAAATAACATAGCAAATTATTGATTAGAAAATGTATTCTCTAAAACTTAGGCTTCTGTTGTTAATGGAATATTTTAATTATCTAATATTCTATAATAAATTTGATAAGATGTTTCTTAGTTAGTTAAACTATAATATTTAAGATTTTAAGTTCCATAAATTATTTAAATCTTATTACCATTAGAAAGTTTAAAAATATCACAAGAATTGGTTTATAATAATTGTGAATAAATACAAATTTAAGTTGTTTATTGAATAACTTGAGAATTAGTAAATGTTTATTTTTCATCATATTTCTATAAAAAGAGTTAATTTCTATTTTTCTAAAAACCATACCAATATTAAGTATCTTACCATACTTATTCTTTTTGAATCTCATTAAATACTTCATCATATAACACTCTAAAGACTCCTGATGCAAACTTATAATATAATAGAGAGTATTAATTATTACCAATTGGATTCAAAATTAAACTCTAAAATTCAATTGCAGAATCAATAGACTCAATTTGTAAGAAAAGGTTTAAGACTTCTTCTTGTTAAGCATTATACTTAATAATTCTGATGCCATCCTTGATATAGAATATTAAATAATAATTATCTTCTAAATAGTATGGATAAATAGAATAATAATTAGTTGTTAATGTATTTGTTTAAACTTCTATTTATTTGATTATTTCATTATTTTAATAAATGTATAAAGTAAATATTTCTTTTTATTGATCATATAGAGTTTACTAAGTGTAAAAAATTGACTATCCATTTGGTAATAATTCCATATCAATTATATTTGTTTTAATTGGATAATTCATTAGAACTTATGGTTCTTAATAATTTACTGGAATTGGTGAACATTTACCTGATATTTTTTAATAGTATCCATCTTAACAAACTTCACAAATCCTTGGTATTGAACATATTAAACAATTGCTTTCACATTATGGTATACATTATTGATTTTACAATAAATATTAATTTATACATTAAGAACAAGTGTTTTAAGTATCACATGATTTACAATCATTAGAACACACAATTTAATCAATAGGAACTATTTGGGAATTTTTAGATAATCTTTAGATATAAATGTTCATATTATTTTAATCATAACTAATGGATGTTTGAGATATTTATGATAAACCATTCCAATATAAGAAATATTGATCAATATTATTATGTGTTATAGCATAGATTCTCATATGATAGAAAATATGTTGGTATTACAAGTTGAATCCAAATGATAGCAATTCAGTTACTTGCCAATTAATATCAATATAAAATTAACGATAATAAGATAATCTGCTAGATTCTTATAATATTAATAATGCACCATCATTTAAACTAAATAATTCAATCTTTTAGAAGTATTTATATTTAGATTATTAGTAAAATGAATTTGTAGCAACAATAATTGGATTTCCATATGGTAAGAATTGATTGTTATAAAATTACAATTTGATTTACTATTCGTTAGATAATTAAATGATACTAGCCAATGCAAAGTAATGAGAAATACTAATCAATTTTAATTAATGTATTTAATCCATTTCCCAACCAAATAATTCTTAATTAGATAAGAAGACTCCTTCTTATGTGTAAATGCTTACAGAATATCTATTATCAATATTTTTTCTATGTAATATAGCTAAATCAGTTATTGTTAAAGCCACTTCTAAATCATAATTTTCATTAACATCAACAATTTAAGTTTAAATAATTAAATTACTTGCAGAATCATAAAATTATAAATTTATTTGATTAATTGAAATCCAAAGAATAACAAATCCACCATTTCTAAGACTTATTATTTTATTGATTAACTAATAATTCAATTAGAAATTATTTATATTAAATGTCGTAAATAGTTATTCATTACCTATAGTTTATAATTGATTATTAAATCTTATTCCTTTTATTATTGCTTCTTTTTCTGGATTACCTTCAATAAATGTTATAATTGCTGTATCATCTTCTAATACAGCTACTTATGGACTATGTTATGTACCAAATACACTTTAACTTACTTTAAAATTGTTACCAACCTTTTAACCTTGATTATTTAACAATTAAGCAAACACTCCCCAACTATCTTCATCTTCATTATTACTTGACCATGCCATTAAAATTGAACCATCTCTAAATTTAGCAGCATTTGGTGCAATTTAACTAAATTATGAAAATTCATTTATTTAAATAGCTTTATTTTCAAATTCATTCTATTTACAAATTCCTTCTTAATCAACAAAATAATTTTTTTAACATCTTGAACATTCTCCAAAATCACAAAAATCACAGAATGGATCACATTTTTTTGAACAAACTGAATATTTTTCATCTTTCTCCATATAATAGGTCATTAAATCATATCCTGGTTAGCATTATTAACATGAAGATGAATCAGAACATTATAAACAATTCTAAGGACAACTAATATTTGTAAATTCAATATATTTTCCAGTTTTATCTAATAGGGAATATGATAAGGTCCATTGTTATTGATTAGTCCAAACACTCCAAACTAAACAGACAATTTGATTATCTAATTCAGTTAATAATGGTCTTAAACTGTATTATCCATTAATATAACCTGAATTAATCTTTTATCCTAATCTATCTAATACTACATATTCTACTGTTGATTATAATTTTATCTGACTCCAAGCTATAACAATTGATGATTAAGTAGTAACCATATTGACACTTAAATCTCCTCTTATATAATTATCTTTATTAAATATCATTTAATATTAAGTATTCATAATCCTAAAGTTCCAATTTTAAGATCCAATTTCTTTATACAGAATGACAATCTATTCAAAATCTAATGTAAATTCAATTTATTCTATATTTGGTATTTCTAATATACTTTCTCCAAAAAATTAACCTTATGAATTAATTGCAATTATCTTTAAATTTATTTAACTAGTAATTACTGTATATAGAATATCTGAATAAATGTATAAGCTATTTATCTTATTGACATTACAATATTCTTATGTAAAAGGTGAAGGATTATTAAAATTTTATTTAAAATCTATTTATTAATTAATTTCATTGTAAAAGTAAAGGGATTATGATAAACATCTTAAATATCCATAATTATCAAATTAATACTCAGATAAAGAAACTAGAATCACATAGTTTGTTGTAAAACCTTTGATAATAACTTATGTAATTTGATATTAAATATCATTTCTAAACTATAGATTAAATTATTAGGTTGTTTCAGTAAAACTATAAACTTAATAACTAAATGATTCCATTTCAGTCACTATTACAAGATAAATTTAATTATTGATTATTGCAGCATCTAAAGATAAAATATAAGTATTTAAATTGAGTTCAGTAAACATTAATTCTTAACCTTATGCATTGAATCTAGTCATCTTTATATATCCATAACTTTCATAAATTAAAGCAAATTCATTATTTGAGAATTTTAAAACTTTCTTTTTCAATTCATAATTAAATTATTAATTAATAGAATATTTGACATTTGCATCAATAGAAGGATCTTAAGTGAGTGTAACACAAATTCCATCCTAACTAATGAACATTCCATCTTTACAAACATCACAATTAGAATTCTCACATGATTGACAACCCTAAATAGTGCATATTTTTTCACATAATGAAGTTTATTCATTCCTATTATATCCAGGTTTACAAATGTTACAAATTGTTGTTTAGAAACAGAATTCACAATTTTAAGGACATATTATTTATGCTGTACTTAAAGATTTTCCATATTAATCAAATCTTGCTAATCTTAAATATTATCTGCTCATCCATGTATTTTAATCAAATGTTCTTCCAGTAAATATAATAAAAACATCTAAATTTTAAAGTTAAAATAGATTATAGGATGTTATTTCTATTTCTTTCATATTTACTTAAACATCTGCTTTACCTAATCCATCTAAATTATAATATGTTAATAATAAAATAGATGTTTATTATTTAGAATCAAGAGATAGTAATACTAATTCATTATTTTCATTTACAAAAATTGAAATAGCCAATATTTATTATTTATTAAATGGACTAGACTTAATAATTGTTGTTTTATCAATAACATTTATTTATGATTAGGTTAGTACTATGAATTACTTTTGATTATTAATTGCCATTTTGATATATTATCCATCTTTAATTACTAAATCCTTTATAAATCTTAATTATTTATCATAAACCTTTATAACTGTGCATTATTCATAAATTAAATCACATTAATTCTCTTAATATCCATATAAAATATATTCTCCATTAGATATAAACTCAAATTACATTTAAGTTGGTATGACTGTATTTCCTATTAATTAACTAAGATCAGAATTATACAAACTGAATATTACTTTTTGATCTATAAACAAAGCTATTCCAATCATATTATTTTATAAAAGTTTCACTATCAATCTATCTTAATATGTATATGAATAGGTATTCACAGGAATCAATTTTATATCCCCAATTCTATTTAATTGATTATCATATTATTCAATTACTTATTATGTAATATATAATTAACTTGGATAGTAACCTTATATATATACAAAAGTTAAAACATCTTGATCATCAATAATCATTGAAAATTTAATAATATTTGGATCATAAGAATATTGTGTATCTATAGGACCTTCAAGTATCATATAATAATCTTTTACTTAAGTACCTTCTTAATTAAATACTCTAATTCCTATTGATTTCTCTGAATATTTTTAGGCCACTATAAATGTACCATTCTTATAAGTTGCAACTTGATAATCATTTTCCTATTCCATAATATCAATCTCCAAATTTTATTTTATTTCATTACATTCAAGATATCTATTCTTATAGTATCCATCCAAACAATATTTACAATCAGATTTATAATTTTGACAATCTCCTAATTTAGGAATACAATTTCCAAGTGCATTTAATATATATTTTTGTTCATTGTAGCATCTTATACATTTACCTAAGTTTGTACATTCTTAACATCCTTATGAACATCTAAATTAAGTAAATTCTATTATTTAACCATCTTTATTTAATTTTATAGCAGATATAGCATTTTAATTAACTAATATATTATAAGAAATCCATCCAATAACAATATCTTAATTTGGTAATTCAAGTAATTTCAATAAGTTATCTTTTCCTTTCTTTACAAAACTGTCTGAATTCAATTATATTGGATTTGTAACTTATTAATAATTTTGTTTTGATATTAAAACAGTTTTGTAAATTGTATTAGCTGTCATATCAGCTTTATATGAACCTTCTCTCCAAATAACTGCAATTGAATCACTTAATAAATGTATCTTTAAATCAAGTTTATATAATTCTGAACTTGTAGATAATTTCTTTGGTTCAAATTTATTTTGATCATTCATTTTAATTACATAATATACTTCATATTTAGAATAAGAAATTTCAGTCCAAACTTCAAGGAATGACCCATCTTATAATTCCATAATTTTATATTCTACTTAATTATTATCATTCTTCTTTTTAATTGTTTTTATTAGATTACCAAAGAAATCATAAGTTTTATAAATGTATCTTATTTCTGAATTTTGAACATTTTCAATCCATATCTTAATCTGATTATTAATAATATCAACATTAATGGATTAAGATTAAGATTAGTATTATTATTATTAAGTTTAAAGGATAACTATTTATTATTCAAATGACATGTAAGCACCTCCATCTTAAACGTTAATCTTTATAATTTACATAAATAAATATGCTTAATTAGTTGATTCATCAAATTATTGATAGATGATTGCTACTTTATTATTCCCCAAATATTTAGTAATTATAAAGTATTCTCTGTTATCCCAATATTATTATTATAAATTGAATACAAATTATTATTGATTTAACATATTTTCTTTATCATCATAAATTGAAACTTAAATCACATTCACATGCTCAAAATAGGCTAAAACAAAGTAATTATTATCAATCTCACATGCATCAAATGCATTTATTTATTAATAATAAGGCATAGGTTGTATATTACTTTATTTTGGTGCATAATATTATTTACCATATTAATCAAACTTTTAGAAGTTATAAGATGTTTCATTCTTCCAAATAAATAAAATATCACTATTTTAATATTTGATCATAGCAAATTTTGAAGTGATTTCATTTATAAATTCAACATTTAGTTATTATGTCTTTGTTTCTTTGTAGCAAATATTTTGACTTAATTTATATTCTGTTTCACAAGTTTCACAAACTAATTCAACACTATTTTATGAATATGATGTACAATGTGGTATTGATTAAACACAAATATTGTTATTAAGAACATAATTATTCATGCAAACTAAACAAATATCATTTTCATTGCATTATTAACAATTCTAAGAACAAACAACTGTATCCATAGGTAATTAAATTCCATTACTATTATATCTTTTCATGTATAAATCATCTTAAAAGCTTGTCTCTTATAACTGACTTAATGTCCATGTAGCCAAAAATTCTCCTTATGGTAATTATGTTAATTAAGGATGATGTGGATATAGATTCATTTCATTATAAACATCTATGATATTAGTCAGTTAATATCCATCTATATTAAATAATTACATTTTAAGATTTCTTAAATCACTCATTAATGAATGTCTATTTTCAAAGATAATTGAAAATCCATTGTTTGTAGATAAAACATCAGGATTATTCAAATTATGATCTTGAATCATAATCTAATTACTGAATTCATAAGTATTTAAATCTGAAGAGTATTTTCTATACATAATATTCTGACTCATAATATCATTACTATTTAAAAAGGTTTCTCTCCATCCAATAATAAATTTATTATCACTTAAAACACTAATTGTAGGAGCTTAACCCTCTCCTGATAGAATTTATTAACTAATATAAACATAATTTAGACTAAATTTGCTTGCTATAATTCCTTAATCTGATTACCATACAATTACAATAATTTGATCATTTGATGCAACTACTGGTTCAGAATTTCTAATAGATTCTTAATTATTTAAAATAAAGAACCCTTATTAAACATCTTATAAATCATAAAAGACTACATGAAGTTTCTCTATCAATTTATTAGATTCTAAATGATTTTGTGTCCATACAATAACATATCCATTAATTATAGATTATATCATTACTGGAGTATCAAATTGTTTTGTATTTTTCAATTAAACATTATCCTTGACTGTAATCTCATCACCAATTCTAACAAAATCTTTAGTAAATCTTTAAATTTTAATCTTTGCTTATATTTTTAAATCTCCTTCAATCCAAACAGCACAAAATTAATCATTTTCCAAAGCCTATACATCAGGATAAATTTGAATTCCTGCAGATGATAAACTAATTCTTTTCTCATCAAGTATTTTCTTACCATGAGCATTAAACATTGACATAAATACACCTGTTCCTTAATTTTCATAGTATTATCTATACCAAACTGTTACATAATCACCATTTTTAAATGTAGTAATTCTTTATTTACTTTACAGTATATAAGTGTTCATTTTCATTTCCTTATATCTTTAATCTTCTAATGAACATACCTTATCAACAGTCAACATATATCCTAAATCACATACTTCACAAATTCCATTATCACCATCTGCACAATGTTTTGGCAATTCTAATTCACATTAATTTTCAAATATATAATATCCTTATTTACACCATATACATTCTTCTTTACTATTCCTTTAGAAACAATTATCTGAAGGTGTTGAAAATTAGTGAGCATTAAAATAGAATAATTATTGAGATGAACCAACAAAACCTGAAAATAATATAGTAAAGTAATTAGTTCTTATTAGAATACGGTGACCATAATCAAATGCATATTAAGATAAAGCATTTCCAAGTTTAAATTCTTCAAGTTTAAATTCTCTCTAATCATAAAATGATAAATATTTATATCTAATTCTATATTAACCATCTAATTCTTTTATTGCCAATGTAAAAAAGTAATCACTAGAAGAATATTAATTAATAGGAGCATTTAATTAAGTAATTTATTAAATAGTTCTTAATAAAGTTTATTAAGAGGTTCTAGCATTTAAATTTTGATCAAACCATTAAACATACAAATTATTATATGCAAAATAAAGACCTGTATCTTCTTATTCAATCCAAATTATAGCAATACCATAATAATATGAATATATAACAGTTAATGATGCAATAGGTCTTTTAGATGTATAAATTTCTCTATAATTATTTGTTGAACCATCGACTGTCAATGAATTAATAATTAAATTATTCTTAACATATACAATCTAATAATAGCCACTCTAAATAATTAATTTAGCAAAAGAGGATTAATCATTTTCATCTTAATTTATGTTAAATTTAAGTGAAAATCCATTATTTTAATTGAATTCCCCTAACATAGTTTATGATTTATCATTTTAATCTAATTCTGTCCATAAAAATAAATAATTATCATTGAATTTTTGAATTTATAAATTAAAATTATTTACATTTACTTTAATTATTCTCAATTCATATGGATTAGATATTGCTTATAAATCATTTTAAAATAATTATAACATTAATCTGCATTATATTTAACAATTACCACTTAACCAAACTAAAATTATGAAATTCTATTCTTAAGCATATAAATAATGATAAGCAATTTCTTAATCTTCACTAATTAGGTTTTAATCTAATATTATACTATTTTAAGTTTATTATTTTATATTAACATTTATCTTGTATTATTGATTCTCATATTTTAAATATGAATATATAGGATTTTCATTAGACAACTCTATTATTGAAGGTAAACCATAACAAGAATCTTAACAAATTTAGGTTTCCAATACAAGTTAAGAAATATCTGTACATTTCTAATCAATAAACTTTGAGCTACCATTACAATAATCACAAGTATAAGGTGTTTTACATGATTAACAATTTTCAGCACATATTGGTTCACATTTATTATTAATTTCATTATATTAATAATCCAATTAACATTATTTACAAATTAAATTACTATCACAAATTTCACAATTCATATTGCATATTTATTCAACAAAAGGTATGGTATTTAATTCAGAGTTTAATCTCACTTTAAATATTCTATTATTCTTGAAGGAGGACCATGTTAAATAAATCATATCATCTGAGGATGAACTTGATAATTCTTAAATGTATAATTCATTATGATATATTTATCTTTAATTTAATTTATCTCCATTCAATGAATATTTTATAATTTAAATATTCATATTATCATTTGTAGTTGATTATTCTGTGTAAATGAAATATACAAACTTAGGTTATAATAGTATTTAGAATGAATTTAATTAATATGATGATTCAATTGTATGTTCTTATTACATTTCTTAATTTTCATTATTAAATTTAACTTTTATTAAATTTGCATTCAATTTTTCATAAGATACAGCCCATAATTTATGATTATTAAAGTAATATTCAAATTTCACTTATAAATCCATCCAAATAAAATCAAAATATTCAGTTAAATACACTACTTTGATTGATTCATTGTTATCTTCTATGAAAGTATATGTAACAGTTAGTTTTTACAATGATATGGTTTTCATAATTTAAACATCTTTAACTTTTTATTACTTATCAATTCTAGCTAACCAACGGCTATTTTATGATAAACGTTTTGGATTTCCTATGTTATTCATATCATATTTTTCATATCCTAAATAAATATTTTGACCTTCCCAATAATAATTTGTATATTGTATAAAGAAAATATGGATTCTGAGATCATCAGAAGCAATGAAATCTATCACATTTTCATTACCATATAATATTCCTTATGTGATAAAACTATTTATCAATATATACTAATCACCTAAGATAACAAATTATCCAAGATTTTCCGAATAATCATTCCTTCTAATATATTAAATTACAATCTAATTGTTAACTTTAAGAACTTTAGGACGAATAAATAAGACTATCTCTGTATCCTGTGATACCTTAATTTCCCCAGATATTGATTATCCTTATCTATTGAATTCTTCAAAAATGACATCATTTCTTATATTATTTTTCTTTAATGACACTTATAAGATTGAGTCATCATATGAAGCAATATATGATAAAATTACATTATCTTATTAATATATATCTTATTATTATGTTTAATCACATAATAAATTTTCATTTAAATAGAATCCACTAACACATTATAAACATTAATCTTCAACTTCACACAGTTCACAATTACTTTCACAAGTTAATACACAATTACCATCTTACAATTAATATTTAGTATTTTTGCATTCTAAACATAAACCTTAATCTGTGCAAGTATTACAACCACTACTACATATTTATTCCTTTAAATTAGTCAACTCTTATGTCTGTAAATTAACAATTTAAATATAAACTTGTCTTATAGGGTTTTCAAGTTCTACATTAGAACAACCAATCCAAGTAAGAATAACATGTGATTATCCTAAATTTGATGATGAAAACATTTTGATATTTCTAGTTTATTAAGTTACTTGCAATATCTTAGATGGATTCATTGAAGTAAAATTCATGAATATTTGTTTATTGAAATATTCATCATAATCAATATAGATAGATGCTGAACCATATATCTTCTAATATTTATAGTCTATTTAAATATACTATTCATTTAAATAAATTATTTGATATTGTTCTATTTTATATTGATATAAATAATCTTTGTTTGTTAGGTTGACATATATAATATTTTGACTTACTGAAATATCAATTTAATTGAATAATTAATGATTGAAATTAAAGACTGAATTTTAATAATTTCCATTTTCATCGATTCTTACATAATAATATTGATACCAATTATTCTATTCAACAAAAGTTTAATAAAAATAGCAAAATTCTTAATTCTTAAGTTGAATGATTCTTATTTAGTTTTTTCCTTTCAACATTGAATATTATACATCAAGAATTCTTTCATTAAGAATTTCCATTGTTTCAAAATCATATTCATAATCAATAAGTTGTAGTACAGAATCCACTGTCAATCGTTTGATTATAATATGGAATTATTAAACACCATCTAAAGATGATATATCAAAATCAAGTATTTTATTTGGTTATTAATTGATTAAAATTTTTTTAATTAAGACTCCTTAACTATTAATTTTATTTAAAACAAGTTATGTCTCTTTTTAGAATTCATCTAAACTATATAAAATTAGAATTTCATTATCCTTTATTGAGACTCTAGTTAGTCCTTTTTGTTCTTATTCATCACTTATTTTTAATTCATTGATATTATTTTAAGGAGTTATACATAAATTTTCAGATGTGTACTAAAATCCCTATTTACATTTTATACAAAATGAAGGATCGATGCAGTAATCACAATTATCAGGACATATTGGTACACATTCATTTTTGACAGTTATAAATGAATATCCATCCTAACATTATAGACATTTAAATTATGGATCACATAATTTACAATTTTATTTACACTCATTTAGTTTTATATTCATATCTAAATTAATAGTATGCAACTCATATTAAAACTAATTATAATTCAACCATTTTAATGAAAATCTATTAAAACCTAATTCATCAACTCTTTGATAATATGTTTCAGTCCAAAATTTTGGTTTTAAAATTTTCCTTTATTATATCACATTTTAACTTTGGTTTGAGAAATCAAGCTAAGAATAACATATACCATCATATCCTTAATACATAATAAATAAAGTATATTGATATTAATAAAAAGTGGGTTTTTGCTGAAATTCAAGACAAAATTCTGGTCCTGATAAACGCATAAAATTAGTCTTTATCTAATTTAAATATTGATCAAATCTAGCAACAATAAACTCCCATCTGTTTTAAAAAATGATAAATTATCCATTAGGTAATGAGATCATATTTAGAGCATTCAAATTTTCATCAAAAACATTATTATTTGATGATAAAATTACATCAGTAATCTTTTAATTTTCAATTTTAGTTATACTAAGAGTTTATTAATATAGTTGTACTATACCAGTAATTCCTAATTGATTTTGTGCAATAGAGATATCATTGCTATCTTGAAGTGTTAGTATTTAAGTTGTTTTATCTGATGTAGTATCATATTAAATGTAATTCCATTATAATTGATTCACAGATTGACCTCTAGATCTCCAAATTATAGAGAAAGCTGTATTGTTTAATTGAGTGAGCTCAATAAATTTCATTTTTTTATCAAATTTAGCATTTTCTAAAGAATCTCCCAATGTGTAATCAACCTATTGTTCGATTAAGTTAGAGTCGTATTTCTTTAGTCCTAATTATACAATACTTAAATCTTGTTTAACATAAACTAAATAAATGAAGTTATTCATAAAAATTATTTAAGGATGATAATTCTATCTATTCTAGTCTTCAACTATAACTCTTTTGATTAATTCATTTTTATAAATGTCTAGGAGACTTAATTCAATCTAATATTTAGACTCATAGCTTCTAAAATGTTTAGTAAATATTAATGTCTTTTCGTCTAAAGAAATTGTCTTAGCGCTCCAATCAAGTGAAACATCTTTAATTTATACTTAAAACAGTTCTATTTCACTTTTTTCAGCACCTAAAGTATAAAATACAAGGGTAGTTAACAGAGTAAAAATCATGTCTAAAAATCTTTTAAAAAAAAAATAGTTAAAGAAATTAATAAATCCCTAAAACAAATTATCCCTCTTTAAATGTAGACTTAGTACATCTACTAATTATAGAATAAATTAAAATCTAATAAGTAGAATTATTTGTTTATGACAAAAATGAATTCGAGTCTATATGTGAATAAACAATATTTAATAAACTTAAATGACAATGTCCTTTAATTGAAAAGAAATATGATATGAATTTATATAAAAAAATAAAATGCTTTTACTTTTAAATCACTGTCAATAGTTGTCCCTGATTATGGATCAAAATAATTTAATGTAGAATTCTTTTTTTATATTAAATTCAAAAATTTTTAAGTTATATACAGAAATATTATTATAAGGATCATAGTATTTCAGTATATCAGATACGATTAATATTGTAGGGATTTAAAGAAAGATAATTATTTGTGATTTAAATTTAATAATAATTATGCAAAAGATTATTGATGTACCCTTTAAGGGAGTAGAAGAGTAAGCAATTTTATAAATCATAACTCTTCTTCATTTGGATATTATAAAAGTTGAGTTTAGCAGTTAGTTTTTATCATTAATTAAAGAATTATTAATTAAATTTACCTATTATTAATTATTATTATAATAGGTTAATATTAAAAAAATATTTTTTAATATTGAATGAATTATGGCTTAGAGAAGTAAATTTTAAGAAATACTCAACGATTAAAAAGTTTCATATAAGATTTTGTATATTTTTTAATTTTCCTAGAATTTTGTTATTACTTCCTCCACCATCTTTGAATTCTGATAGTACATTATTCTCTTAATATGTAAAAACAGAATTATCATTTTAATAATAGATTTCAATTTTATAAATTTTAAGTAAACAAAGGTCAATTGTTTCCACAAACTTAAAATTATTATTTATTTATCCATTAATTTGATACTTTATTTATAAGTCTTCAAAACTCTGATATAGGCTATTAAAGTTGTTTAACATTTTGATAAACTTTATTTATTGAAATACTAAATTTATGTATACTATCATACAAGCTCTTCTATTATAAGAGCCTTAGCTTTGAGTTTAATGTTGATAAATAGGAAATATGCTTCAATTTTTGATTTCTTGTCTCACTCTTTCTAGAACAAAGATCAGTACAATCAAGACCGATTAGTAAATAAATTAATATATATTTATTTAATTTGTCTTGTTTGATCAATTTAGAGTGATAGTTTTATGCTAATTGCTAAAAATTTTTAAAACATCTAGTGTTAAATATTTATGTATTTAAAAACTGTTATGAACAATACAAAGTTAAGCAATTATTTAGTAGATGGGACAGGTAGGGACACTTATGTAAGCAATTTCAATGGTGGATTTTGGAAATAAAATTAAGTTTAAGCTGTTCGTCCTGAAAGTGGTTCATACCCTAATCGTAGATATTAAGCATCACCTGCTCCTTGCATTGATTCAAAAATAAACAGATATAGAAATGATGGAAGTGGAAGAGATGGATATATTAGGTATGAGATTAACTATTTGAAGCTATGATGAGGGTGGGTTTTCAGTTTCAATAGGAAGGAAAAAGAATTTTATATCAAATTTAAGGGGTTATGATAATAAAGTAAGATGTAATACACGTGATAGTTCTCCTATGTTATAATCATTTTCAAGAACATAATCAATTACAAAAAGACTTTATTACTCAAAATAAGTAGAGGATCCATATTAGTCAATAAGAAAATTAACTAGTTTGCACTATAAAAAATGACTATTTATAATACAATTTAGAGCAATAATTAAATAAAGATATTTCCATTAATGTCAGAGGATGATTCAAATTCAGTTCTTGAAGTATCTGCTCCAATTAAAGGTAGACTATAAAGGGCAAAAAGTTCAGATGAAGAAAAAGATGAATAATAAAAGGATGTATTTAAGGCAGAATAACCTGATTCTATTGAAATTAGTGATCAAAGTGATATATAAGAGGTAGAAAATAAAAAGAGATAGAAAAAATAAAATTAAAATCCATAGAAATCTCGCAAACCTAGATAAAAAAAATAGAATGAAAATGCCGCCAATTAAAATGAGGAAAATTAAGAAAAATAAAATAAGGAAAAACAAACAAAATAAGTAAAGACAAAAAAGAAAACAGTAGAAACTAATGAGAAGACAATTGAAAATTTACTAAATAAAAAGTTTATATAAGCAGAAGAGGAAGATGAGCCTCCAAGAAGAGAAATGGAAATAGAATATGAAAGTAAAAGAAATGAAAGAGATACTTTTGGTATTGATAATAAATAAAATAAAAGAAAAGCTTAAAATGCTAAAAATATCAATTAACTTATTAAAAATAGACATAAATTTTTTACAGAATTTGAGGATACACCATTTGAATTTTAAAATGAAAACTAAAATTATTAAGAAATAGATACTGATTAATTTGAATTAAAATTTGAAAAATAATAAGTAGAAGAAAGTGCAATTAAATAAAAAGCAAAACGAGACATGTTAAATAAAGTTTAATAATATAAATAAAATGTACTTGTTTTTGGAGATTAATAAAAATCATAAAAATCATTATTATCAAGTACTTTCTTACCTTCATAAGATTAAGAATAAAATGGAAATAATATACCTAAAATTCCTTAAATAATAAAAACAGCATCATTTATATAAGAAGAACAAAATTAGAGATTAGATGGAGAATCTAGAAATTCATTATTAAGAAAAACCTATTCAATGGGATTGAAAAAAGGATTATCATAAGAAGATAATGAAGATCCAGAATTACAATTATTTATACCTAAAATTAATGGGGCAAAAGATAAAATTTTTGAACATACATTATTTTTAAATAAAATTAAATAGAAAGGATTTGATAGGGTTGTATAAACATCTACAAGTTTAAATAATAGTAATAAAGCTTATTCAAGAAGTGAATTTTAATAAATATTATAATAAAAATAAGTTGAACATAAAGCAAATAAAATTAATTTATCATTAAATGAATTAATGAATAGATTTTAAAGTACTACTTTTGAATAAATTGAATAAAGAAGATAATAAAATTAAAAAGCAAATAATGGTTAAGATGATGATGATGATTCATCACCTGATGAAGATTTTGTACCTAAATAAAATGAATTAAATTAAGAAAGTGAAGATATTGATGATGGAAGTAGTTAAAGTAGTTAAGATAATAAATTAATAGATGATAAAGTTAAAGAATGTAAATAAACAGAAAAAGAAATAGAAGAATAAGAAAATAATGAAGTTAAAAAAGAAAAAGATTTTGGTATTATAATAGAGGAAAAATCAGATGTAATGAGTAAAATAGATGATGAAGAATTTTAATAACTTTAATAAATAAAAAATAGAAAATTAAATTAAGATAATGATTAAAATTAATTAGATGCTGATGAAGAAAATGAGAATTAGAATGAAAATGAAAATGAAGATGAAGATGAAGAAGAGGAAGAGGAAGAAAATAAAAAAGATGATGATAATAATAAAGAAGATCATAAAGTATAAGAAAACAAAAAATTCAATAAACTTGCTTAAATTGATATTAGTGATGATGATGATTAATAAGCAGATGAGATAAATGAAGATGATTTAAATATGTTTAGACGTTTAAAAAAGGTTTCTACTATGTTTAAAGAAAGAAAGAGAAAAGAAAAAGAATTAGAAGAGAAAAAGAAATTAAAATTAGAGAGATAGAAAGAAAGAGAAAAAATGAAGAAATATATTGAATCAAATTTAGTAGAGGATTAAGCAGAATAAGGATCTGATAATGAATCTCATGATGATGTTGTTAAAGAGATTAAAGATGATGATGAAGAGGAAGATAATGAAGTAATAGAAAAAGAATTATTGGAAATGATTGATGATAAGATTGAAGATTTAGATGAAGGAAATGAAATTAGAGCATTTTAAATATTTATGGATAGAATACATGCATAAGAAAAAGAAGATATTAAAAAGATATTAAAAGGAGAATTTAAAAGAAGAAATGGAAAAGTATCTAATATAGATTTAATAAATATGGAATAGACTGAAGAAGAAAAATAAGCTAGATTAATGCATAAATTTGAAGAAAGTGAAGAAGAAAATTATGATTCTGATTTTGAAAATTATTTAAAAATGAGTAAAAATTAAAAAAAAGAATTTTTAAAAGAAAAAAAATTGTAAAAGATTTTATAAGCTTAAAAAGAAATGAATTTATAAACTAAAAAAAATAGATTGCAAGAATAATAGTTATTTTAACCAGATCTTTTGAAAGTTGTAGAATAAGCTAAAAAAAAATAATAAGAAACTATATAAAAAAAAATGACATAAAAACCACCTTCATTTGGATAATCTCTTTAATTATAATCAAAAATTAATGAAAACTCAAATGCACATAATTCAAATTCAATGTAGTAGATAAATGTCTAAAAAAAGAATATCAGATAATAATAAAATAATACAAGTTATGCAATAAATAGACTTTTTTCTGATAATTTAAATTCAAAAGGATAATAATTATAAAAATCACCCAATAAAGCAGTTTTATTGATGAAAAAAAAATGATTTATATAATATTCTTCTTATATCATAATATTGTATTTTTATATATATTTTAATATATGATTTCTATTGTTATCATTAAATAATTCAAATTGAATGAAATAAAATTATTAGATATTTAATTCTTAACTAAGAAATATAAGAATCTGAATTGAAATTCTACTCTGTCAAAAAATGAGAAATTTTTATTTTCATCTTTTATTGATATAGAAATATTTAATAAAAAACAATCATTATTTCAATAATTATTACTCCTCAAAGAAATTAATGATATTATGTTATTGGTGATTATTTATTTAAAATATTCATATAAAATGAAATGTAAACATCACTCTAAATTGATAAATCCTATTAATTTGAAAGCTAAAGTTCTTGTTAATTCATCATTACTATCAAGAAATTGACTAATTATCTGTTCTCCTTAACAACTTTAGATCAATTACTTAACTTAATCTAAATTAATTGATGAGTCAAATGAAAGTAATTGATATAAAGAACTTAATATATTATTGACTATTTCTGTTTGACCAACAGTATCATTTAATGAATTAATCAAGATTTCTATTCCTCCAAATTTAATTACAATTTCAGCTGATTCTTAATAATTTGTTAGCAATACTTAAATGGCTCCAAATGCTTCATTTCTTACTTCTAATTTATTAGCTCCTGTACATCGATATAATAAATCTTTAATAATTGGTAATTATTGCTAATTTAAAAATTATGTTATTAATTCTTCATCTTCTGCACCAAAAATATTTCTAATACAACCAATAGTCTCTTCAATAACTTCTTAATTAGTGCTTGACATTAATTTAATGATCACTTCACTTAAACCAAGTGAAAGTAATTGTTCAATTACATCATCTTAACCATATAAAAGATTTCGAAGAACTTCAGCTTATTCCAAATGTACTTTTGGATCCCAAGGATTTGAAATCAAAAATATAAGTAATTAAACATGAGTAGCAAATAATTCACTTATTTCATCTTCTGTCATATGTCTTGTTATAGTTGATAATCCTTATAAAAAGTCTTGGCATATTTAGAATGAAATATCATTATTATTGATTTGAAACTTTTCAATGAAGGTTATGTTCATTTATAAAATATCAAAGAATTAACAATAAATATTATTTGATAATTAGCTTAAATTTCTTAATACCCACATTAAACCATGAATAAAATTTACTGTTGGATTTGTCTAAATATTCTATTAAAGAATTGCAAGATCAATTAAAAATTATTGATATGATTATAATATGAATGGATGTTTGAGAACTAAAGCTTTTTCACTTAAAATATTAGCAATAGTAAATAATCCAAAAGCAGCAACTTCTAATTTTTCTTATCTAATAAAATCAAATGTTGAATCTTTTATATAAATATACAATTCCTTAAAACCTGACATATTATAAAATAATAGTAATTATGATTGATCTAAATAATAAATGATATTCAACAAATGATAAAATACTAGATATGATAAATACTCTTCTTTAGATGATAAAACTCCTACAAATGGAGTTATCAATTCTAATAATTTTGGTTAAAGCAATTTGTAAATTTTTAATTATTTTCTTTTCTCATTTAAGATTTTTAAGCCTTCCAAAACGTAAGGTAATTAATTATTTGGATTCAATAACTTTTCTGTTATAAAAACTTGAATCTCAGCTTCTGGAATTGATTCCAAGAAATTTTCAGGTACATACTTATATAAAGTTGCTTATGATGCAAATTAATTTCTTTTCTAATTAAATATTGCTAATCTGCTTTAATTTCTGATTTCGACAGCATAATTTTCTCTTTTAGCCTTCACACGATTCTAAATTAATATAATCATATACATCTTCCTATTGAAACATAATTAATTTTATAATAAATTAGCGCTAAATATATTTTTTTAATAATGAATCATAATCATATTGGACTATTATTTATATATAAATAAGTATAATAAGTATGAAATACTATTTTGAAATGTGACTCTCACTTTCTTAATAAATTAATTATTGTATAAATATGAAGTATAATATTACAATAATTTAAGATTAAATAGAAAGTTAAATTTATGACAAATAAATTCTGATAATGATGATCACTATTTTTTACCTTTATTCCAAATACCTTCAGTTTTCTTGCCATTAGTATCAATCAACTCTCCTTTACCATGTTATCTTCCCTTTTTCCATCCTCCTATGTATTTACTACCACTGGGCCAAATCATTTCACCTTATCCATCCCTTTTATCATTTGTGAAATTGCCTTAAAAACTATAATAATAATGTACCTTTATAAATTCTTCCATCTTTGTAATGTAATATCCCTTCACCATTTAGATCTCCATCAACCCAATTACCCTTGTAGACTTTCCCGTCTGCCCAATAATACTCTCCATAACCATTAAACTTCTCATCTGTAAAGTCTCCATCATAATAAGAACCGTCAGCCCATCTAAACAATCCTCTTCCATTTTTTCTGCCTTCCTATAAAAGTCCTTCAAAAAAACATCCATTTTCCCAACGAATTTAACCTTTTCCTTGCTAAGATAAGTTAAAATTTATAAATACTGGCAAACCATTCATTAAATCTCCAGAATACACTCCACCATCAGAATAATCATAAGTTTCTTTTATAACTTTATTTGATGAGCAGCAAGAACCCATTAATAAAATAATAAATAAAATGAATCAAATCATCTTAAGAAAAAATATAGTTGAATAGGATATAAGTTTCAAAATAAATGAGGCATTGTTTAATTTTACATTGTTAATAAAATGAATTAAAATTAAACTTAAGTGCCAATTCTCAAACATCTAATTTTAATTCAAAAAAGTATTATCATCTAAAATTTCAAAATAAAAAGAGAGATATCAAATTCATTATAATAGATAGTATTAAGCATATTTTTTAATTGTAAAGTATTTTGTATTATCATTAATGAATAACTATATTAAACAGAATCAGATAATTTAGCAAATAAAATTTGATGTGCTATTTAATAAATAGATATTTATGAAGTAAATATTATGATTATATAAAATAAATAAAATAATACTTTTTAAATTTAATCACAATAACTTTTAGAGGAAAATATTTAAAATCACAAATATCCATAAATGATAATACAATTTTATGTATATTTGTACGTATTTTATTTTATAATAATATTATTTACATAATTAAAAGAGCAATTATTCAATGATTTATATATAAATCAAACACTTTAGAATATAAATAAATATATTGTTAATTACTGACCATAACATAAGATTATTTATTAGCCTTTAAATAGATAACCATCATTTTTTCTTATAAATTTTAGAATCCTTTTTAGAGTAACAAATAAATAAATTTATTTGTTACTCTAAAACATTTTGTAGAGAATTCTTCAAACTTTTTTAATGAAGAGGGGAGTCAAATTCAATAATTTAAAAATTAATATTATCGATTTTCTAAATATAAAATTTCTAATAGTCTATCAATAAGGAGATATGTTCTTAATCAATTAAAAAAAGTCAACTACTATTTCACAAACTAGTTTTAATTTCTATTAATTTAATTAAGGAATGTATAAATGATCTAATGAAATGGAATTTGACTCTTTATTTTGCCAAAGTATATGACTTGATTAAGATAATTATAACAATGTATAACAAAATGAAATCATATTAAATGAATTTGCGAATAATAATTCAAAGATGAATTTTTGTATTATATCCAATGATTTAATAAATAGATTGTATTTAAAATGTATTAAATAAATATTCAAATTCATAACATTTAATATATGATAAGTGACATCATTGTTATTTTATTTTGGATGACTCTACCTCAGTACATATAATTTTATCTTAGGTTTACCTATTCTGAATGCAATTATCTGATTTAGTCATAAAACAGAAATAGTCAGATAGAACCCTTATAAGACATTGAAATTGAGTTAGATGAGCAAATAGTATAGGGAAATTAAAATCTTGGGTATGGAATGTGGATAAAGTATCAACCTTTTGAGTCTAGATTTGATATCGGTATTTTTTATTTTAAAAATAGACATTTCATCATAAACATATGATAAACCAAAAAATTTTTTTATTTATTCGCTATAAGATTCATAATCATAAAGTTCAATCTTAACCTTTTATATTGAAATATCTACTTCTACTTCAGTAATAAAGCATCATATAGACTATTCTTTCTAAATATAAAAATCTAAAATTTCTGTCAATTTTGATTTTTTAAATTACGAAGGAAAATGGATATTATATTACTTTTATTTTAATTTTTAGTCAAAATAAACAACATTTGCTTTTCTCTTTTTAGAATAGAAATTTGATCCAAAAGTGTTAATTGTAGAAGATATCCCCACTATGCCTGAAATTATAAGGCATATAGTTGGAGGAAGTTCAAAAATTGATTAAGATTAAGGAAATTTGGATTTTTTATAGTTTTAAGGAAGACTTTCACAATTATTTAGTTAAGGCGACTCTAATGTATTATAAGATAGTAATACTTAAAATGAAATAATATAATTATGCAAAATGGAAACTGAATGCATATAAAAATAATATAAGTTAGCTTATTTTGATGAAGAATAAAGAGGATTTCGTTTTACAAATGATGTGACAACTATTTTAGAATTTCCAATTTATACTATCCAAGGTTGGGTTAGAATAAAATAATTACAATAGTAATATCGTGAGATGTTAATATTTAGGATTACTATTAATGGGGATTATAAAGATGATTTTAGAATTGGAGATAAAGAATTATATTTAAAATATTATTAAGACTAAAATCCTAATTTTAATGGATTTACAATTACTACCTACTCTTATGCTTTTCCAACCAAAACAGTTTATTAAAGCTCAGATAAAGATATAATTAAAGTTTTTGGAGAAGAATATCAATAATTATTAGTAAATTGGCATTATATATTATATGAAATTGGAACTATTAATTATGAAAATTCAGCTTAATTTTAAATATACTTCCCTTCTTTATAAAAAGTTTAAAAATTTAAATGGGAACATCCAATACATCATTTTAGTGGAATAAAGTTACTTTGTTATATTGGAGGTGATAAATACACTAAAGATTATATGATTGGATATCTTAGTGATCTTATACTAAATATATATTGTACTCCTCCACTTATTAATTTTACTCCAAATTGTCATTATTCTTGTTTAACTTGTTATGGTCCTAAAATTAATAATTGTTTAACATGTCCACTAAATAGCAATCGTATATTAATATCTAAAAAAAATACTTGTCCATGCAACATTTAATATGTCGATTATGATGATTAACCTACCTGTGTATAATTAATAACCATATATCCAAATTTAAAACTTCTAGAAAAAAAAAAATATTGCAATAAAGATGGATATCTATTTTGTGATTTTAATTCTTCAGTATGTCAATAAGGATATTTTTTATATAATTCAACTTGCCTAGAATGGTATTAATATAAATTATAATAGTCCTGGTAACTCTGTACTTAATTCAAGAAATTATATTCATTGTTCAAATTGTATTTACAATCCCATCTAATTTTCATATACTCTAGAATGTACTGAAGATACTATTTAGTAAGATTATGCATGTTAAACAACATAAAGATCTTTTTATTAAATAGAAAGTTATGTAGTTATTAAAAATAGTGAAAATAAATTGGAGTTGCATTTGAATAATGTTAAAGAAGATTGTATATATGGTTATTTTATCAATAGAGAAAATTAATGTATTCCTTGTTTAGAAGGTTGTTAATATTGCAAAAATTCAGAGTATTGTATTGAATGTAAAATTGGCTATTTTTTGAATTAAGAATTTCAATGCTAGTAATGTTAAGGATGTAAAACATGCAAATAAGAATAAAATTCTGTGATTTGTATTTCATGTCATAGTCGAGCATTTTTAAATTAAAATGGCACCTGTTCATTTTGTGGATAAAATTGTGCTAATTGTGATAATAATCAAAAATGTTATTATTGTGATGATCCAGAATTATATTTTTTAACAATTGATGGAATTAATTGCTAAAGTTGCTAAATTGCAAACTGCATCTATTGTTATCATTATTATGTTTAAAATGATCTAATTTATTCTACTTTAGATATTAACTTTGAATTTAATTAGAATTATTATTCTACATTATAAATAGGTTGTGCACGTTGTAAAAGCTACTATTATTTTAATTAAATTACAAAATAATGTGAATTTATAGCAATTATACATAAAAAGGGGTTGGGGTTGGGGTTGGTAAAATCTACGAGTATAAGGAAAATAAAATACCTATACTCTCCGAGTACGGTTGGGGTTGATTCGGGTTTGGGTTTGGGTTTGGGTTTGGGTTGGGGTTGGGTTTGGGGTTGGGTTTGGGTTTGGGGTTGGGTTTGGGGTTGGGGTTGGGGTTGGGTTTGGGTTTGGGTTTGGGTTTGGGGTTGGGTTTGGGTTTGGGTTTATTATTCCCCAAATAGTAAAATATGGATATCTATGTTTTGTTATTCCCCAAACCCTTAGGCTGGGAGTCCAACCCCAAACTTGTAGGCTGGGAGTCATGGGAGGTGGGGTTGGGTTTGGGGTTGGGTTTGGGTTTGGGTTTGGGTTTGGTAAAATCTACGAGTATAAGGAAAATAAAATACCTATACTCTCCGAGTACGGTTGGGGTTGATCCCTTTATGTCCTAAAAGTTGCGTCCTTTGTTTTTTGATTTTCTTAAGGAAAAAAACGATGTAATCGTTGTAAATATTGCGATTTGAAAAAAGTAAGGGGGGGGTACGGGATTTTTTTTAAATTTGGAAATTTTTTAAAGAAAATTATTATTAAGGTAGAACTGGACAAAATTAGTTAAAAGGAAAAATTAGATTAAATTAGCATAAAGGAAAAATTATATATTTTTAGCATTAAGGAAAAATCTGACATAATTAGTTTAAAAGGCAAATTTAGACACAATAAGTTGAAAGGAAAAATCGGACATAATTAGTTCAAAAGGAAAAATTAGATAAAATAAGTTGAAAGGCAAATTTAGACATAATTAGTTGTAAGAAAAGATTAGATTTTATTAGGATAAAGGAAAAATTAGATATTATAGCAAAAATGAATTTCCTCATTTCTACAATTTAAGTGCATTATTGTTTCCAAAACTTCCTGCTTATTCTTTAGTTTAACTTGATATTCAACTTCTATGATAGTTTTTCCTTTTATTGATTGAGTTAAATCTCCAATTAATCAAACTTTGTTATATTTTTGATTAGTGATAAATCTTTATCAAAGTTTGGTAAATATTCATTAAACTAATATTATTAATGTATTTATACTTTCTACTATTTCACCTCTTTGAATTCCTATGATATATTATTTATTATTAATTCATATTAATTTAATGCTTTGTGTAAGATATCTTAATATATTTTAATATTTCGTAGTTATAAATTAAATTATATAATTAATTTTTGATAATAAAGGTGGCTTTCCTCTTTTAATTAATTCTTTTTCGTTTCCATATTTTCTTAAATATTAAGATTATATTAAAAGAATATCTAATTAATCTTTTCAGTTTATTTTAAATCACTTAATAAAAATATCCCTAAATTTGTAGTTATGCTTGGTTGTTAATTTACGTCTTTCTTTTAAATATTTTATTATCTTTCAGTCAAAGCTTGGAACATATCATTCTAGCTTAATATTTCAGTTAATTTATTAAATTACTCTGGCTTCATCTCATAAATAATATTTTCATTATGTTAATTCGTTAAATTATATTATAAAATTTATTATTGAGTGTTTATCCTATTAATTTTAGTTTTCTGCTGTTATACCTAATCCTGTATCAGAAACTGTTATATCTACAGGCTTTGCATATTCTTATACAACCATTCTATTATAGGTTTCTGTAGTAAAATGATGAAGATTTAATTATTTTATATCTAATTCTAATTTTCCTACATTGACACATCTGTAATAACTCTTTATAAAAATATAGCATGATTAATTGAAGTCAAATTTCTTCTTAATAAATGTTTTGATCTCTTAAGATTTTATATTCATCGATTTAGGTATCACTTATTACAATTGATACTTTAATGTGAAATCAAAATATATCTTATGCAACAAATATTAACATTAATTATTTTTGAAGTTAAGATGATCTTAATGTATATAAATTCATAAAATTATTATATATAGTACAGTTAGAAATAATAAGTTTCATAAATTTTTCATAAAAAATAGATATAAATATATATCATATTTTTTTTAATAAATATAAATTTCCAAATATTATTTTATATATTAAGACTAATTAAATGAAATTTTAAAATTAATAATTTATGTTCAAAGAAATCCAAATTATAAAAGTTAAATTAAAAATAACAAAAAGTTAACATAAATATTATGATTATAAATTAATAATAATGATGACTTCTTGTATCTTTGAACTTTTCTCATAACATTAGGATTATATTTTATAATTTCTTCTTAAATTTTATTTTCTATATTTTTTAGTATTAAGTTTATAGTTATTAAGATATTTAATTATTTTTTAAATTTTGAAATTTCTATATAAAGTAAACTTACAACTTATATGTGAACTTCTGATGAAGTTGTTTTCTGGATTGTCCTAAATTGACATAAAATATAATTAATTATTGTACAGTTCAAAATAATAAAATTTTGATAATTTTTAATATTAACAATTAAAATACATATCTAATATATAAAAATAATTAATATTATAAATGAAAAATTAAATTATAAAATAAAAAAAATAAATTATTATTAAAATTATAATATAAAAAATATATATATTTATATATAAAATAAAAATAAAATTTTTATAATGTTCTTTTAATATGAATGATAATAAATCAATGATTTCTAACTTTCATTTGTTCTTATTTTAATTGAATCATGGCTTGTCTTAAGTCAAAGTTCATTAAATTTATAATGTCTAATATTTCAGAAAAATCTTTTTTTAATAAATCTGAAATGTCCTAATTCTCTAAGTATTTAGGAACTTCGAGAATATTTTCCTCATAAAATTTCTTAATTTCTTAACAAACTCTAACTTTAAACATATTATAATCCAATTTTCCAATAAGGTACAAATTACTCATTTATCTAACTCTACTCAAAGCAGTGTAGAGTAATCCTGATTATTATCTTTCAGGCATATCTAAATCTAAAATAACATTGTCAAAGGTGGAACCTTGTGCACAATGTATAGTTCTTGCATATCCTAAATTAATTGGAAATTAGGATATTTAGATTTTACATACATTTGGTAACTTTTAAATCATAAATTTCATGTGAGTTATACTTCTCTCCAAATATTAAAGACAAAAGTGTCCATTTAAAATATC